CGTAATAATATGGGATCTCTTAATGTTATTTATTAAATAAGTATGTAATGAGTTATAATGAAACTTAGAAATAAAAAGACTTATTTTTATCAAAATTACTTATTGTACAAGATTTAAGATTATAACAGTTTTAGTTTGTATAGTAATAAAATATTCACTGAGGATAATACACAAACAATATTAATGAAAATAATAGAAAATAATAATTAAGAATCGCAGTAAAAAGCTGTCCCAATACAACATTTTTTATACGTATGAAGTATGTACTAATACCCAATCTTCTTCTTCTTCCTGGCATTTTCCCAGGTTTAGCCAGGGTCTGCCTTACATGTTGTGAATAGTTTTGGCTAATTGTTCTTACGTCAGCCGCCTGCCTGACATCAACCCTCTTTGGGAATGCATAATATTAATACCCATATAATTGGCATAAAACAATTAAATACTACTAAGATTGTAGGAATCGTTATATATTTTATTTCTTTGTATTGTGAATTAATAAAATTGTAAAGTAACAAGTTATAGATGTATTTAGCTTACGTTTACTATCTACAAGATATTAGAAGTGGTTGTAGCTAGTTCAAACTAATTTTATTACATAGTAAGTATGTATGTATATTATATACATATATATATTTGATCTTAACTCTGTCTCTTTCATTCTCTCTCTCTCTCTTTATATGTCTCTTTCTTTCTCTTCTTATATATATGCTAGTTTTTATCCGCGACTTCGTCAGCGTTAGTTTCATAATTAGTAATGAATAGACCGGTCGAATTCTATTCCTTAAAGACAGTAGATAAGATTTTATATTTGATCAACTTATTATTTTTCAATCGTATGTAAAGCATCCTATATCCTTTCTATGTTCTAATCTATCTCTCCACCAATCTTCATCCAAACCCGTACAGTTTACAGTTATAAATAGTGTAACTAACACGACTTTCATTTATATAAAGATATATATAATATATGACTATATTATTCGCAATTACTACAACAATAATGCTTATCATATGTTATCTTGTAAATTATTAAAACACTAACAATATGGCGTCAGATAAAAATGACAAAGAACGCTCGCAATTAAAATGACTAAACAAACAGTGCGAGTTGTTCGACCTATATCAAGATGGTCAATTGACTCACAGGATGTGACGTCAGGAGTCGTTGATCGTCTCATTAATGACAGACGCGGCTATATTAATTTTTATTACTAGTTTTTGACCGCGATTTTGCTTTAATTTCGAAATTAGTAATATTATAGCTGATCAGGTGAACTCTATTCACCCCTAGAGGTCGTAAATGCCTACTAATATTATAAATGCGAAAGTAACTCTGTCTGTTTGTTACGCTTTCACGCCTAAACCACTGAACTGATTTTAATGAAATTTGGTACAGAGATAGATCTGACCTTGAGAAAGAACATAGGATAGTTTTTATCACAGACTTTTGAAAGGTTCTCTTGGAAACGCGATATAACCGAACTCCACGCGGGCGAAGCTGCGGCGGAAAACTAGTAACAAAATATAAGGATTTTTTAAATTTTATTTTTCTTTTCTATCGAGCAGTATTAAATATCCTATGTCCTTTCTATGTTCTAATCTATCTCTCCGCCAGTCTTCATCCAAACCCGTACAGCCGTTAGAGTTATAAATAGTGTTACTAATATGACTTTCTTTCATATATATAGATTATTTACGTTGTTTTATCTTAATTGTAATGTTTTTTTTCTATTTTTTCGTAATTTTCCCCCGTCCTTGACACTTCAAAGGCTTGTAACCTAAATCCGAGCGCAAATATATGCGTTATCATTTACAACCTATAAAATGATATCAGTACGAAATTTTCCGTTTATTTTTTTTAGGTTAGTTAGAATAATATTTGTAATTTGAAAACTTTAAATGTGTAGAATAAGAGGTTATTGCCAAAATTTTTAGTATGAATGAAAAATTATGTATGTTTTGTTATTATATTCGTTAATTTTGAAGGCATCCGAAATAAAATTAATACATCTGAAAACACCAATAGGATTTGTTTAATATGACGGAATATTATGATTTTTTGAAACAAGCGATGCTATTGGTGGATTTCAAAATGTATTTAAAAAGAAGCCATTTCATTGGTCGATACTTTTGGCGGTTTTTTAATGACATTTGAAGTAATATATGTATATTGTATTTAGTACAAATTCGTTGTTTTTAAAGTGAGTGACGTCATTGTTGACGTCATTAATGTAATTTCAGTACGTTCCATGATATTTTAAAATGAAACTTCAATTGTTCTTAATGCTTCTGTATTTCTCGAAGATTCTTCATAATCACATACTTCAATGGTCCACACTCACTGAATTCTGCCGTCGTGCGTCCAGACGTCATATTTATACCAAGATTCAAACATAGTTCTATTCTCCTTTAAACAATCTTTGATTTCGTTTTACTTTTAACAATAATCATGAATACTAATGTGGTTTAATAATAATTGATGAGAGACACAAGTTATTGTTACATTGCAAACCATCATTGGAGCTTATAGCGACAATATAGTTTACGAATAACTTCAGACTGTCAGTATTTAGTCTAAAATAGTAATGTATCTTCTTCCTGGCAATTTCCCAGCTTTAGCCAGGGTCTGTCTTACATATTGTGAATAGTTTTGGCTAATTGTTTTTACGATCCGCCTGCCTGACATCAACCCTCTTTGGGAATGATGGTAATGTATTTTATCTTCGTTAAATCTGCAATTGAACCTTGAAATTCCTATCACAAACAAGGTTATATAAAAAAGTTTAATTAATTAACCATAAAGGTCAACTAGTAACTGGTACATTTTTAATTGGTATGACTTTGATGTAAAAAGATAACTAACTTCTAATACAAATCTATTTGTTTAGTTAAAATCTCACCTTCTACCTGGCAATTTCCCAGCTTTAGCCAGGGTCTGCCTTACGTGTCGTGAAATAGTTTTGGCTAATAGTTTTTTTTAACGACGGGCCGCCTGCCTGACATCAACCCTCTTTTGGGAATGCATTAATCAGTGATGTCTAAATACTCTTATAAAGTACATATGACTCGTAAAAATCACATTGGTACTTGACAGGATCGAACCCGCGCCCACATGCATGAGAGGCGGGCCTTTTAACCACTAGGCCACCACTGACTAAAACTATCCATAGTACTGTACTATTTGAGAAAACCTATAATTAAATAAATTTTACTACTCCGTGTAAACAACAGTACCCTTTTTTCAATTAAGTCGGTTAAACAAATACATCGAAGTAAACAAGTAATTAGGCAAACACTCCAAATATCAAGGTCAATGACATTTATCATTGATTGGATATGTTATCAGTGACGCGGCGTGGGCGTAGATGGATCTGGATTTGAATGGATTTGGGTGGATTTGATACGTTGTTTCTGGATTTGAATGGATTTGAATTTGATGTTTTTTATGGATTTTATTCTATACATACTTATACCAATAAATCGTTATATAATTTCGTATTATTATTTCGCTATACTAATTATTTTTTCCGGCTTCGCTTATTAAAATATTGTTTTATTTATAACTAGCTTTCCGCCCGCAGCTTCGCCCGCGTGGAGTTCGGTTATATCGCGTTTCCGAGAGAATCTTTCAAAAGTCTGGGATAAAAACTATCCTATGTTCTTTCTCAAGGTCAACTCCATCTCTGTACCAAATTTCATTAAAATGAGTTCAGTGCTTTAGGCGTGAAAGAGTAACAGACAGACAGACAGAGTTACTTTTGCATTTATAATATTAGTAGGGATTTGTGTTTGTCATATATAATAGTTTAATTATTTAATATTTACATGACATTATTATGCAAAGATATTTCGTAGTATTATTTTAGTTATTCCAAATTTATTATAAAACAAAAATAGTAAGTGGAGTACCTCCGCGCGTAAGAATTGAAACTTTTTAATGTTGAAATGAAAGTAAGAAGATATAGAAATCAATTTTAGTGAAGTCATAATGTTTTAATACAAACTTTATAAACATTGCTTACAATATAATCGTCCCACTCATTCACTCTCGCTACGTCTCTTTCTAACCCTCTAGTAGCGTTGAACGTTTAACGCAACCATGTTGGAAGTTGCATTAGAAGTTTCACTTATATATGTATATGTTTGGATTAAGTATATTTTTACGTAATTAGTGAAAATAAAGTAACCTTGGGTGTAGGAATTTTAATTTTGAATTGTATAATTATATTCTAATATTAGTTTCCATCGTCACTACATACTCCACGTCAACAGTATTTCATTCGTAACTTCTCACATAGTATTAACGTATTAATGAGAAACGGGAAACTATTAGTATGTAGTGTATACAAACATGTAGTAAGATTATGTATTCTCAATATAAGTAGTTCGAAATTTTTCAATAAGATAAATTGATATACAGGGTGAATGGTGAATTACTATCAATATTTAAGGAGAATACTCGGTACATGATTCTCATTCGAATTATGTAAAAAAAATAGGTTCTTAATTTTTGACCAAATTTCCGTATAAATAAATAAAGTGTGGACACGTTCCAAGTGTTCCAAGTGTGGACGCGTGCGGCGGCGTGCTGATACAACACCACGCCGACGCGCGCGAGTGTGTGTGTGTGTATATCTAATCTGTAGGGTGTTCACACGATGCGTAATTAATTACATAACTTTTGGTTAACTTTACTTAGAAGTTTATTAATATTTATGTTATATTAATTTTTATTTTGTCATATATGATCGTCAAATATCACGTCCTCAAGTACCGATAGTAATTCACCAGTCCCCCTGTATATGTTCGAAATTTCTTATAAAATAATGCATCCTTTACTAATAACTAGTCGTCCTTCACAATCTTTCTTTTATCTTAAAATATCTTTAATTCCAGTACCCCATAAGGATTTAAGGAACATGCTACACAATCACAACAAATCACACAGCTAACTGTCGCAGCGACATGCTCGTCCGCCATTTTGTTTAACACAAAACAAGATGGCGTCCATCAAGATGGCGTCCGAGAATGCTGTAGACGAAGCTGAGACGAAGCTTCTAGAAAAGAACAATGTTATTGTAGTACAGAATAGAAATGACCAAGGAACTGTTTCAGCGAAATCATCAAAGAAAGGTAATTTATAATTAAATAAATTAATTTTTTATTAATTTTATATATACTAGCTGACCCTGCAAACTTTGTTTTGCTATAAAAATAGGGGTTGGTGATAAAAAGTAAAATTTTTGAGTTGTATGTATTTTTTAATGGTACATTATAAAAAAAATAAAAATAAAAAATTTTGTCCGAAAAAAAAAATTAAGCGTGACCAACCTTTATAACTTAGGGGTATGAAAAATAGATGTTGGCCGATTCTCAGAGCTACTCGATATGCTCACAATTTCATCAAAATCAGTCCAGTCGTTTCGGTGGAGTTCTCTGTCTAACACCGCGACACGAGAATTTTATATATATATAAGATATCTCGTAATACATAATAATTCACGCGACTTTATCTTAAAATGCATTTTTTATTATAATTTACATATTTTTACATCTCGTCTTAATGATCACGGTTGCAAAGTAACCGAAACGTTGTCGTATGTAGTTAAAATAATAATATACGCTTAGTATACGAAAATATTAGTTACATTTAAATAAATACAAAGTCTTACGACATCATTATAATTTACTTTAATCAAAATTAAATAAGTTATTACTCTATTTATAAACTACTAGCTTTACTCCCGCAGCTTCGCCCGCGTTGAGTTCGGTTATATCGCGTTTCCAAGAGAACCTTTCAAAAGTCTGGGATAAAAACTATCCTATATTCTTTCTCAAGGTCAACTCTATCTCTGTACCAAACTTCATTAAAATCAGTTCAGTGGTTTAGGCGTGAAAGCGTAACAGACAGACAGACAGAGTTACTTTCGCATTTATAATATTAGTAGGGTTAATAAACAAGTTATTTTAAAGTATGTATGATTTTAACTTGTGGGTAGTTACAAATAACTGCATAACTAACTGCGGTTAAATAATTCAGTTTTGTGCAGTGATGACGAGGTACAAGAAGCTAAGAAACTGTGAGTTAAATTTGATAGTTAAATTTAACTATTATATATATTTGTATTATTTTTTCGATTATTTTCAATTTTAGCGAATTTTTTGATATGAATTATCGTATTTTTGTATAATTTTCGTAATTATTGTTTATATTTGAATTATTTTTCTTAATATAATTTCGATTATTTTCAATTTTAGTGAATTTTTTCATGTAAATTATTATCGACTTGGACGACGTAATTTTTTTTGGTTATTTTTTTTAGTTTAATCGAATTTTAGTTAGTGCTTTTGTTGAATTTGACTATATAATATGAAGTGTTATGAAAAAGTAAATTTAACGTTTATTATATAATACAATTTATTTATATAACCCTTACTAAGAACGGTTTAAAGATTACGTCAAGCATATTGGTTTCACACGACCAACGTAACTTGACCTATTATTGTATTAAGACAGCTTATATTTAGATGTCACAATAATTGGTCGCACAATATCATAAGCTTTTATCACTAAATTCACATATATTATTAAGAAATAATATTTGTATAGACATATTATTAAGAACTGACTTACCAATAATGCTTGACCTTTCTGTGCTAAGGCGGACTTAGATATTAGGGCTCAAAACATATTGGTTATTGAAAATGTACATACGAACTTAACCGACCAATAATTCCTGACCTTTCTGTGCTAAGGTGGGCTTACATATTAGGGCTCTTAATATAATGGTTATTAAAATTAACCAGCGTAACTTGACCTAGTATTTGTTGAGATCAGCTAATATTTGGAGGTCACGATAATTGGTCATACATACTTAATCAATTAACATATATATGCGAACACGCTATATAAGGCTATTTACACACGTAATACAATTTCGTCTTAATAATGTAGTCCAGTGTGTTTATGACTTAGCAGCTACAGGTTTTACGAGTGTACCTGTGTATGCGGAATCATGTTATGGTCATTACCATATAAATATATTAAATAGTTTAAATAAATAAAAATAATATCTTTTTGTATGGAATTCTTAAAAAAAATTTATAATTACTTCAAACCACGCAATCTGTTTAACAAAGATTAGTAAGATGTGTGGTTATTTTAAACTGAGTTCAATTTAACCGTAGTTAAAATATGTCGCGAGTTAAACGTGAAGTTAAACGGGAGGGTGAATATTGGATTAATATACCTACTTTGATACAGAATAAAAATTGCGAAATTATATCTAACTAGCTTTCCGCCCGCCGCTTCGCCCGCGTGGAGTTCGGTTATACCGCGTTTCCAAGAGAAATTTTCAAAAGTCTGGGATAAAAACTATCCTATGATCTTTCTCAAGGTCAACTCTATCTCTGTACCAAATTTCATTAAAATCAGTTCAGTGGTTTAGGCGTGAAAGCGTAACAGACAGACAAAGTTACTTTCGCATTTATAATATTAGTAGGGATTTTTGGTTTTTATCAAAATTGAGAGTTATTTATATATAGATGCATATTTTTTTCTTATTATGTGTATTGTTTTATTGTACTTGAGACATTTTTATGTAGTAGTTAACGATGAAGGGATAAAAGATTTGTAAGTGAAATAGAATGATACGAGTGAGTGAAAGGGATGTATACGGAAGAAAGAGATGGCGATATATATTATAGCTTATATATATATATTTACAGTTAAGCTGCCCGAAGATGAAGCAGCTGTCGGCGGAAGATTCACAATCGGGCCGGCTCCTGAGAGAGACTGGGAGTTGGTGCCGCCCGACGGTAGATGGGGCTGGTGTGTGCTCGTGGGTGAGTGACGTCACACATATATATATATATATATATATACTAGAAGACCTGGCAAACTTCGTATAGCCGTATAATCAAGAAATATGTTACGTTTTTTTATTTATATTTTTGGAGATCACCTATTAAAGACATAAATCTCCGTGTTTTGAAGTGCGACAGAATGATTGACATATTAGTTAGTTTTCAAATCTAATGTCAAAAAAAAACGTTTGTATCAACAACTACTAATAAATTAAAAAAACATTGTCCAGCGGACAAAATTGTGAAGCTAAACTATTCCCAGATCCCCTTGAACACACACAAACAATTTCTTCAAAATCGTTCCAGTCGTCTGAGAGAAGTTCAGTGACATACACACTCACAGAAGAATTATATATATAAAGATATATATATATATTTATGTGAAAAGTGGCAAACCAGCAGACGGCCTACTTGATAGGCAGTAGTCACTTTCGCCTATGGACATTTGCTACATAAATATTGCAGATACATTGCCAAATTTTAGTTGTTGAGGAAAAGGAAGGGGTGGGAATAAGGAAATAGAAGGAAAGGGTGGGAATAGGGAAAGGGCAAATAACTGTTACGATTAAGGAACTTAAATGTAGTATAATTTGATCAAAGGCAAAAAAAAAGTATAAAATGATAATATTTTGTAATTTAGTTATTATATATACAGGGTGACTGGTGAATTACTATCAATATTTAAGGAGCATACTCGGTACATGATTCTCATTCGAATTATGTAAAAAAAATAGGTACTTAATTTTTGACCAAATTTCCGTGTAAATAAATAAAGTGTGTACACGTTCCAAGTGTTCCAAGTGTGGACGCGTGCGGCGGCGTGCTGATACAACACTACGCCGCCGCCGCGTCTGTGTGAATGTGTGTGTATACCTAATTTGTAGGGTGTTCATACGATGCGTAATTAATTACATAACTTTTGGTTAACTTTACTTAGAAGTTTATTAATATTTATGTTATATTAATTTTTATTTTGTCATATATGATCGTCAAATATCACGTCCTCAAATATCGATAGTAATTCACCAGTCACCCTGTATATACTAGCTTTCCGCCCGCAGCTTCGTCCGCGTGGAGTTCGGTTGTATCGCGTTTCCAAGAGAACCTTTCAAAAGTCCGGAATAAAAACTATCCTATGTTCTTTCTCAAAGTCAACTCCATCTCTGTACCAAATTTCATTAAAACCGGTTCACTGGTTTAGGCGTGAAAGCGTAACAAACAGACAGACAGAGTTACTTTCGCATTTACAATATTAGTAGGGATATATCAAAATAGGATGTAGCATAGAATTTATGTAGAAATTCTGTTTAAATACACCAAAATCAATGGATAATAGAAAATAATTGTAATATTATTACAATAATTATATATCATATATAAAAAATAGTATATAATGATAATATTTTGTAATTTAGTTATTATATATATCTTTTTTCATTTCCAGGAGCTACATTAGTGAATATACTCATCCCGGGAACAATAAAGTCATTTGGAGTGCTATTAGTTGAGTTTAATGATGTGTTTAACTCAAGTCCTGCAGCTTCATCTGGGATTGTGGCGTTATGTTACTTCTTATATAGCAGTCTGGGTTAGTATATATAATATCTTGTTCCTGGCAATTTCCCAGGTTCAGCCAGAGTCTGCCTTAGATGTGAATAGTTTGGGATAATTGTATTTATGACCGGCCGCCTGCCTGACATCAACTCTCTTTGGGAATGCATTAATCAGTGATGTCTAAATACTCTTAGAAAGTACATATGACTCGGAGAAATCATATTGGTACTTGTCAGGATCGAACCCGCGCCCTCGTGCATGAGAGACGGGCCTTTTAACCACTAGGACACCACTGACTTATTATTATATTATTATTATAAGCAAAATATTTAAGACAAATTAATTTACATACTGTCAAAAAAATTCAAATTTGAATATAAATTATAGTTTAATATATGAGTGTTATATATGTTAGGGGAGTATAATAATCTTACACTATTTTTATCATTTTCCAACTGTATGCTTGTAACAGATAATCTCCAAAACTTCTGAACCGATTTCAATGATACTTAAACTAGTATATAGTTATTATAATCAAGAGTGACATAGTATATGTTATATTATATATGTATATGTTACAGGTCCTATATCTTCAATACTATCAGTAAAGTGGTCATATAGAACTGTGACACTCATCGGTGGATGTTTTGCAGCTTTTGGAATGATCTTCAGTAGTTGGGCGTTTTCTATCACCTATTTGTATTTCAGGTAACATATATATATGTTATATATCTAATTTAAACTACTATTATATTATTAAGAACTTGTATGAGACTAAATTTAATTAATTCAGTGAATTTTATATAAGAAAGACAGAAATAAAGACAATATTAACATTTTTTTTGGTGTAATTGTAAAAAATGATGTTATTACAGTTAAGAAGTTATTTTTTTGTATCTTTTCAAATAGAATAACACAAATACTATTAATATTTCGCTATAATAATCAAAATATATCTCATTTCAGTGATCATGATATCTTTTTTTATGTTTTTTGTTATCTTTTTTGTATCTTTTTGTATCTTTTCTCCCAAGTTTCGGCGCTATGGTTGGTACAGGCGCCGGTCTAGCGTTCCCACCCACTGTGTATATAGTGACCTCCTACTTCGTTCGTCTTCGAGGCTTAGCTAATGGAATATGTATGTCAGGAAGTGCATTTGGTAGTATAATACTACCGCCAATATTGAGAATACTATTGGAAACTTACGGTTACAAGTGAGTATTTAACTATCAAACTATAAGTATTTAGTTTCATAGTAATATGAATCAGTTATTGATAGTCAGTGGTAGCCTAGTGGTTAAAAGGTCCGCCTCTCAAGCACGAGGGCGTGGGTTCGATCCTGGCAAGTGCCAATGTGATTTTTCTGAATCATATGCACTTTCTAAGAGTATTTAGACATAATTGATTAATGCATTTCCAAAGCTGGGAAATTGCCCGGTAGGAGAAGATGAATAATATATTTATTAGATTAGATTATTATGTATGTCATACATTATAATAACACATAGTATATAATGTATCGTTCAGTCCGTGTAGTTCCCGGGAACACTTCATAACAGATGTATTGTATGAAGTAACGACACGCGACAGATGGCGCTGACTTTGGTTCACATATATTAAATAAAATTACCTTAAAATACATACAAAGTCGCGAGCAAAAACTAGTTATATATATAAAAAGATTATGTTCAACAACAATGAAAAACAAGATTAATTCATATAATATGTAGAGAACGCGGCAGTGTTACAGAACAAACTAGTTTCTGAGATGACGATGAACATACAGACATATATATATATGGACACACATACTAACGAGCTGGGTCGGTAAATAACGATCACATGACATACTATGTTAATTATATAAATATATATTACAAAACATATGTTACGAGTATTTCCCAATAACATAGTATATTGTATTAGGAGTTTTTTCAATCGTCATATATCTCTTTATTTTAAGCCTAGGTTACTTAAGTATACTTAAAAGCAATTGTAATATAATTTTATATTAATGACCTGCTTATTTTGTTACATTATTTAAATCTTGGAATATATTATATAAAATTTCTAAATTATTTGTATATTGTCTCAATTAAGTAACTAAGTACATATATTGTAATGACTACATATGTATATTATTGAGATATATTACTTTAACATATATAAGATATACATATAAAAATATTATATGAAACAGCTAGTTAATATGTAATACTATGTCAATTACCTCTTTATCTAATAATATATATAATATACAGATATATTGCTGTAAAATAATACATATATCGATGGCTTCTACTTAAAAGGGCCAATGTGCTATATGACAATTGTTCAGTAGAGGCGTTTTAAGTTTGATTTCAATGTATCTTGGACATGCTACAACTGATGCTTTTGAAACTTTGCATAACAAATATGACATACATTTACGTCATTTAAGATTGATAAACTTTTTTGTAAACCTGTTAGTTTTTTAAATATACATGATTTTTATGAAATACATTATATAAGCCCTTAATCGTTAAAAAGTGTGTTACTGATGTCCTTTAACTGGAATAAAAACTAAATCTTTCCATCAACAAATATACATTTACTTAAATGGATGTTGTAGAGTATTATATAGTGTTTAAAGCAAAAAATGAAAATTACTCAATGTACATTGGCCCTTATACATATTACATATGAACCATCAATATATATATTTATAATTATTATATATATATGATTTTTCTTCCCCAGAGGAGCAGTTCTCATCCTGGGTGGTATAATGTTGAATGTTTGGGCCGCTGCATTACTATTTCAACCAGTTGAAGAACACATGGTGAAGAAATACAAAGAAATTGAGGAAGACGGACCACAAGTGAGTATTATAATGATTACACACATATTAACCGACTTCTATACAAAGAAGGGTTATGTTTGTGGTTTTTTTTGTCCCGTTTCCATCATATATATACAGAAAAATGATGATAAGATATTTTTCTATCCGTTATGATTTTTTTTCATGTATTCAGGGATTTTTTTAAATATGTTTTTTCTATGCGGTGTGTTTTTGAAAATGAACGAATTATAAAGTAAGCTATTTGTCTGTAATTCAGCTTGTTTTGTATTAACTAACTGTCGGTGGTTTTTGTATTTAATCAAAATTGGTACAGTCTTTGTTGTGTTCTTGTATTAATGCTTGTATTTATGTGATTTTAATATGAATTAAATTAAACTAATATTTTTGGGTAATACGTGACTTTATTTTTGATAGACTACATATTCCCGAGGTTTCGGTTACTTTACAGCAACTGTAACTTTGAGCAGATGATAAAATAACAAGACTGACAGACACTCACACCTCGTCTTTGAGATCACGGTTGCTGTAAAGTAACCGAAATATTAGGAGTATATAGTTTTTATCCCTACTAATATTATAAATGCGAAAGTAACTCTGTCTGTCTGTTACGCTTTCACACCTAAACCAATGAACTGATTTTAATGAAATTTGGTACAGAGATACAGTTGACATTGAGAATGAACATAGGATAGTTGTTATCCCAGACTTCTGAAAGGTTCTCTTGGAAACGCGATATAACCAAACTCCACGCGGGCGAAGCTGCGGACGGAAAGCTAGTCAAAAATAAAGTCGCGTAGTATATCCGAAAAATATTAGTTTCATTTAAATGACTCGCGAAAATATCAGATCTCATTATGGGTTGATTTAGTTTTTTACAATGACAATTCAAAGTATATGATTATTATGTTATTTCATATATCAGGTAGGTGAATTTAAGACTTTGAGTTGTCTATATATATGTATGTATATATATGTATATATATATCTCATCTAATACACTTTCTTAGATTAATTTCATTTTCAAAAACGCACATTTTTTGAAGAAAGTGTTATTATTGAGGATTTTTTTTATTAAATAAATAGATCTTATATTTAGATAGAATAATAATAGTAAATAGTTTTAGTTAGTTAGTTGTTCTAACATATAATTGTTATATGCTTATACGTTAGTAGCTTGCATGTACATATACTTATATACATATATATATGTTTTTTTATCTATTTTCGTAATTTCTTCCACAGGATGAAATTCTATTCGAAGAGGAAGAACCTATAGATGAATATGATATGACAGTTATTAACGAGAAAATTAACGGTAACGAAAAAGAACCAGTACGGAACGTATCTCAAAGTCACGTGAATTCAACCCAGAATCTACGTCAGAACGTATCAAAACGTAAATTATCGTATACCCGTCCGATTACAAAGAATACAATGAGTTCCACGTCAATAGCAATGGATGCTCAGGATATGAAGAAGATAGGTTCCCAAGAGACTTTCGCTAGAAGATTGAGCGCTTGCAAGAGAAATGTATCTACAACAAGCTTTGCCTATATCTCTACACCTTTCCATGGTTCTACATTATCAGCGTTTGAGAAACCAAATGAATTTGCGTCACAATTCTCATTAAAATCATTAACTGAAAGTGTCGCCGATGTGGCCTATTGCTGTTTTTGCTGCAAAAAATCCAAAAAACCTAGCAAATTTTTCGATGTAACTCTCCTAACTGATCCTACGTATCTAGTTATTCTTATTTCAAGCAGTACAGTCGCTATATCTTGTACTAATTTCATTATTTTGTTGCCATCACACGCACAGAATATCGGTTTTGATAAAGCTAAAGGTGCTTATCTCCTTAGTACGGTGTCAGCTCTTGATTTGGTTGGACGTATTGGCGGTTCTACGTTATGCGACTTAAATATAATGCCGAAAGCGTTTTATTTCGTTGGTGGTTTAGTTTTTTCTGGTTTAACATTAGCGACGATACCTTTTTTGGAATCGTATATAGCTATTAGCGTTTTCTGCGCGCTGTTTGGGTTGGCTAGTGGTGTAAATAATGGTGTCACCACACTGGTTATGGCTGAAATATTGGGTGTAGATAGATTAATGTCGACGTATGGGATAAGTTTGTTTGTGAATGGTCTCTTACAATTAGTTGGACCTCCTATATGTGGTATTTGGTATCAGCATGATAAGAATTTTGTTCATATGTTCGTTACTTTTGGCATGATTTTTATAGCGGGCGCGTCTTTATGGCTCTTCATGCCGGTAATTAATAGAAGGAAGAAATTAGCCAACGAAAATGCTAATAAAACGTAAATGAGTACAAATTATGGCCAAATAGTTAGGTTCCTATAAATAATTAATTGATATATAACAAAAAAATTATGAATTTGTGTTTTTTTTCTATATTTTTTTATTTTTAGTTAGACTATGGTTTTAATTACGAATTTATACTAAGGCTTGAGACTTTAAAATTATTTTAATTGAGGTATCTATGGACTATCAAGATTGCCAAATTTATATTCGTTTAAGATAAATTAGTGAACGAATATATATTTTTATGATTCTTATAGCTAAAATTATATTAAAACGTGTTCAGCTATTTATTTTTATGTCTTTTAGGACAGATTTTTTTTTATTAATAAATACATGACTCTTTACTCTGCGTATTGAGTTTAGACACGTGGTAAGGATACGAATAAAATGTATAATTAAATTCTTTATATATTAGTTAAAAATGATTTAAATATCTATTTGAGAGTATTCGTCTTTTTTGGATATCTCAAAATTATTATAGTAATGAGAATTTACGAAATACTTTACGTTTTACACGTATTTTGTATTTCTTTAGTGATTGAAGATCCGGTTGGTATGTTAAATTATATCGATGGATTAGGAAGTGAAGTTTTTTATCGATAGATATAGTACATCACTATTTATTTTTAAGTTTCTTTTATATTCCGAGTGATTTCTTCGCACAATTCCGTGACATACATATCAAATGTTTAATTGAAATGTTGAATTTATATATATTATAATAACTTGTTATATTTTGTAAATAAATAAATGTGTACGACATTTTTTATCATTGTTTTATTTCCTCGTTTTTATTCACAATATTTAGTAATAATATTTTTTTGTTTTTTTTTGATGGATTATATGTTAATTTTATTTGGAAGTGTAATTTCTGAGTATATTTCCTTTAATCGAAGTTATTTTATGCATAATTTCTGTTATATTTCAACTTTTGATCCTCAAAATCTAAGTGTTTATATTCTTTATCTATTATTTTTGTATTTGGTCTTAATTAGCCATTATTACAGGTTTGTGACTTAATTTTCTAAATCGTTTTCAGTTGGAACCATTCATAGAAGAGGAAGCAGATGAGATAGAACATCCGAAACTAACATTAACACCGGACAAAGACGACAAAATACAGAATGGATCTCCACCCATGAGGGAAAAATCGTTTTTGGATGAAAAATTCTCTCCAAATAGAAGCGATTTCGCCAGATCAGCAAGCGTTGCCCACGTATCTCATCTAGAAAACAGTCGGATAAGAAAAATTTCAACTCCAATCCCGCCAAAACACGGCCTACAGAGCATATCAAGCAAGATATCAAACCACTTACCGAGCAACCCGTCGTTACTAGAATCTGTACCAGAAGGAAAACCGAGTCGCGTGAATTCTCAAGAAGCATTCGGGAAGAAGTTAGTAGTGCCAAAAACTCCCAAACGCAGCCCATCAACGTCAAGCTTTCAGTACATGTCCACACCTTTCCATGGTTCCACGTTATCAGCTTTTGAGAAACCAAGCGAATTCGCGTCTCAATTTAGTCTAAAATCCGTCACAGATAGTCTAGCGCCGATATCTTATTGTTGCGGATGTAAAAAATCTAAAGAAGACGAAACAAAGAAGGAACCAAGCAAATATTTCGATCTCCAACTCTTCAAAGATCCGATATATCTCGTCATTTTGATATCCAACTGCACGTGCGCGATATCGTATACGAATTTCATAATTCTGGTGCCGTCGTACGCTAAAGAGTGCGGATTTGATAAAGCGCGCGGCGCTTATCTATTATCTATTATATCCGCGTTGGATTTGGTCGGAAGAATCGGCGGATCCGCGCTATCTGACATAGTTACGACTCCGAAGCGTTACTTCTTCATCACCGGTCTGTTGTTATCCGGGATAAGTTTAGCCATGATACCTTTAGTGACGACTTATTCCGCTATAAGCGCTTTTTGCTGTATTTTTGGTATAGCGTCGGGTATCAACGTAGGCGTGACGGCGCTTGTGATGACAGAAATGCTTGGAACTGAGAGGCTCATGAGCTCGTATGGCATAAGTCTGTTCATGAACGGTATTCTGCAGCTCATTGGACCACCGATTTGCGGTATTTGGTTCGAATATACCAAATCTTATAGATCTTTATTTGTTACGCTCGGCTTCATTTTGGTTTTTGGAGCTAGCTTATGGCTGTTCGTGCCGTTTATACACAGACGCAGGAAAAGAGCGCAGGCGCTCAAAAATAATACTGAAAATAGGGCCTAGGTAGCGAATTTATTTTTATATCTAACGATAATCTGTTTGTAATTGTCCAATTTGTGATTTTTATCGAATCTAACAATATATGAATGTATTTTTATTACGGGATTAACTTAAATTAATTTATAATGTATGCACAAACTCATTATATATTACTCAGTTACCATATAACATATAATCGAGATATAGCTTTTATTTTTTATATATTGACGTATATCACACGCATTAAATTTATAAGTATTATTTTTACGATCTAGTATTAAAAGTATCACTCAGTATTTAAGTTTGAAACTCAATATACAAGCATTTAAAGCATCACAATGGAAAATTAAGTTTATTTTAATAGGAAAATAGTCGTAATTAATTTATATGTATATAAATATAATAAACTCCATCCTCATACGCTTTACGAAAATATTTTCTTTGAAAAATAGTTTATATATTCTGACCACTTAAACATACCAATTACGCTTAAGGTCAATTTATAAAACAATGCCTTATTAAATATAGTAGAAAGGAGTATTTATAACGCGAGCAACTTTTATTATCTATATATGTAATCTGTCAAAGTCATTTTGACGTTTACTCGTTATGTCAAATCTTATTTTGTAGTAGGTACTTAATAATTTTTAAGCGTATTTTTTATTGTAATTAGTTAATAGATTTTATGTTTAACATCTTTCTAATGGAAAGAATGGAAAAAATATCTAAAAAAAAAAATGAATTAAATTAGCTTTAGTTATTAATAATCGTTATTTTCGTAATTATTTTCAATGTAATCTCGATTGTCGTCTTATTTCAATGTATTTTGCTTATACAACGTTTCGTATACATTTTTGTATTAAATAAATGATTTAAAAATTGAAATGCATGTCTTATTTCTATTGAATATTTTGTCATTTTTTAATATCGTATACATATATTGATTTGTCAAGATTTTAATTTGAACTTATGACTTCTATATGTATGTATGGTCAGTGGTGGCCTAGTGGTTAAAAGGCCCGCGTCTAATGCATGAGGGCGCGGATTCGATCCTGGCAAGTACCAATGTGATTTTTCCGAGTCATATGTACTTTATAAGGGTATTTAGACATCACTGATTAATGCATCCCCAAAGAGGGTTGATGTCAGGCTGGCGGCCGGTTTTTAAAAACAATTAGCCAAAACTATTCACAACATGTAAGGCAGACCCTGGCTAAAGCTGGCATTTGCCAGGAAGAAGAGTATCATATGTATATAAGTATTAAGATTTAATTTATTATATGTATATAAGTATAAGTATTATATGTATATAAGTATAAGATTTAAGTCGAGTCAGTGGTGGCCCAGTGGTTAAGAAGCCCTCCTCTCATGCACGAGGGCGCGGGTTCGATCCTGACCCAGGCGATCCTGACCCAGGCAAGTACCAATGTGATTTTTCCGAGTCATATGTACTTTCTAAGAGTATTTAGACTTCACTGATTAATACATTCCCAAAAGAGGGTTGATGTCAGGCAGGCGGCCGGTCGTGAAAACAATTAGCCAAAACTATTTTAAAAAAAAACACGTATGATGTAAGGCAGACCCTGGCTAAAGCTGGGAAATTGCCAGGTAGAAGAAGTATAAGATTTAAGTATATACCCAACAATATACAACGTGTAACATAATTAACGCACACCCTGAAAGTAGTTTGTTCAGAATCGGAATCTGGATCGATTTTTATAGTATTTTATGTAGGTCATGTTTTTCTCAAATTTAGATAGAATTAAGTAAATTACAGTCATCCTACACAGAGTATTAAGATTTTTAAAATGAAATATTAAATTAGTAATCATCATTCAATTAAAGAAAACTGATACTTGTTTCAAGGCTAAAATAGTATTTTACAAATATCTACGCACGCACACCGACAGTCGGCACACATCAAATACCTACGCACGTGTCCATTGACCTCCTAGATCAGCTGATTTGACACGACTCGGCTTTTTTTTGTGGGGGCGAATTAAATCGCTAGAGACATCAAGTGCCGAAAAACTAAAAAATAAGATAATTACCGCCTTTGTAAAAGTGACACTGCAGTATTGTCTAAAATAAAACCACAATTGCGAAAACGGTCATGAAAGTGCATTGAACAAGGCGGTGGACATTTTGAAAATGTTTTAAAACGACAACGCCGTGCGAGTGCAAATTAAACTGTAAGTTTGTTTATAATCTTTAAATTATTGTTAATATTTTGATACACACCATTTAAACACGCCGACTTTGTCGTAGGTATTGTGGTGTCTAAACTCTAATCAAATCACGCGTTATCAGCTGTTTAATAATTCTTATTTACAAATTTAATTTAACAAATCAGTAATTATAAAATATTGGCTTCACATTAAAAAAAATCAATGTCGACAATCTAAATCTTGAAAAGTGTGATGGAAAGAAGAATCATAAATCATAATGTAGTTATTTCGTGTACTTATTATTACCTACTATGTAAGTATGTACTTAATACTTATTATTGTCGGACGGCGCTCGGAGAGGGGCGCGGGCGCGGCGAGTACATTGTGTCTGTGTGTGAGTGTGCAGCGGAGTGTTGGTGAATAGCTGACCATATTATTTGCACGAAACTGGGATAACTAATTTCACAAATAAAAAATGCAAACGCACATATAAATAATATTTTTGGTGTATGCATTGCGTTTATATTATTATATTTTAATTGGGGTGTTTGAGGATGTGCGTTAATTATGTTACACGTTGTATATAGCTCAAAACCTAGCCAACTATACATTATATTATAAACATAAGCTGATTCATGAAAAATAATTTTTAATGTGAAATTTCAGTAAATATTTATTTTTGCGTTACGAAAAGTAAGCGTTACGTTTTGTCACATTATAATGAGTAGAATAAAGAGAAATAGAAGATTTTCTCTCCTTTTATGACCAGATGCTTTTTATGTGTACAAATGGCGCCATTTGTACCGTAATTATAATATAATCCTTACAATTATTATTATAACTGATTATAACTAACTATTAAACTGAACCATTGTAATTTTATGTCATACTTTAAGTGTCAACTTGTATCCCTACTAATATTATAAATGCTAAAGTAACTCTGTCTGTCTGTTACGCTTTCACGTCCAAACCATTGAACTGATTTTAATTAAATTTGGTACAGATATAGAGTTGACCTCGAGGAAGAACATAGGATAGTTTTTATCCTAGACTTTTGAAAGGTTCTCTTGGAAACTCGATATAACCGAACTCCATTTTGTAGGACATTACTGGAAGTAATGAACATTGAATAACAAAACTGTAACTGTATTTAAACAATCACTATTTGGCTTCCTAATATATTATTTTGTACACAGAAAAATAATTATTGGGTTTCCTAAAGAATTATTGTTATATTATAAAATCTGAAATAAGACATTTTCTAGTAAAAAATCTTTTTGTTCACAAATCAAACACACACTTTCAATAACATTTATTAAAAGTAAAAATGATCACAATTTTTTAGATATGTATAGTAAAAAAATATCTTACAACTATATGAATGGAGATCTGAAAATTTTTATTGGAATGAATATAAAGAATTATAATGTACATGTACTTATGTTTAGTACGAGTTAGTTTGATACAGTGATACTTACATTTCGATAGTTATTATTCACTATCAAATTCATGTTTTAACTGATAATTATTGCTTAGAAAATATTTTTAATTATTAAATGACTTGATACCACTAACCTTTCTTAATATAATAATTCATTTACATATATATGTTATGAAAGAATTTTATCAAAAATGTTGTACAGTTTCCAAATTTCAAGTCTTTATTACAGTCAATGATTTTGTTGGTCCAATATATATATATATATATTAAAAAAGTGTATATAAATAAATTTATGTAAAATAGCTGCCATATTACTACAAAGATATATATATGAGATAAAACCTCTCATCATTCCATGTATTCACGGTGCGGGTCCATCGTTGTAGTGAGAGGAGCTTCAACAGTGCCTGTGACTTGTGACCCAGGTGTAGGTTTATAGGACCCCTACCTAACGTTAAACGCTCACCTCCACTGTACAAGCTCCACTCTCTACATAACAATATATATTTACAAATATTACGTATTTTTTGTGCCATTGATTCTCTATCAATCTGTTTATTTTGACAAAAATATGAAAAGAAATGAAATATACAATTATATTGAAAGAAAATACCAAATTCATAATAATATAAGATAGTACATGAAAAGTAATTAAGGATTGCTTTCAAATGATATTTATTTTGGTTAATTTCAACCAAAAAAATCTATGTAGAGGTCAATGACCTTATTTTTATTAATTTTATTGATTTTTAATTAATATTGAGGTGATATACAAAACCTTTGAATTATTTAACATAAACTGTCATACATATATTTGGATAATTTCATATTATTTAATATATAATCTTAAAAAAATCATTTTTCCTTCAAATATTTTAACTATATGACAATTGTAAATAGCACATATATCTCATTGATTGCGTTCTTAATAAAAATCAGTCATTAAAATCCAAAACTTAATTTCTATATATAAAATTGAGAAATTAACTCAATATTAGCACAGAAATTACATTAAACATATATATTTATACATTTACAATAATAATTTCTAATAAATAAGTGATTTTTTTATATATATTATTATCAATGTACTGAATAATCAATATATATGTATATTAATCACGTATTTTGATATATTTCACATGAGATCACCGTATTGCTAGTAGCTGTCTTCCTTTTAAAGCCGATCTCATTTTCTTGACCAGTCCCGACGGTTGAATTAATATTGACACTTCTGTGCCGTGGAAAGAGATTCTGTTCATTTCTTCTTCACCACCCTGGAAATAATATATAAATAACATATATATATAGCTGATAACATATTATCTAAATTAAAGACTTGTAAGATATTTTTTTCACAATTAGTAATTATTTAGTGTTCAATTTATGACTAATAGTGAAAAAAATACCATGAAAATAGTTAATATAGATAATATTTCAGTTCAAACTTCTGATAATCTGCTTCTAATGTAGATATGAGGAATTATACAATGATAGTAACGAGGATTTGCACTGTCCCCGACTATATGTGACAAATTTAATACAACTTTATTCTATCATCATCAGCCTATCAGAGCCCACTGCTGAGCCTCTTCTCACATGGAGAAGGTTTGAGCATTAATCACCACGCTCGCTCAAGACGGATTGGTGTTTTCAAGCTGATAATTTGATATAAGTCCATGTTTCCTCACGATGCTTTCCTTCATCAGTCAGTGGTGTCTTAATACTCTTATAAAGTACATATAACTCGGAAAAATCACATTTTTACTGGTCAGGATTCGAACCCGCACCCACATGCAAGAGGCGGACCTTTAACCACTTGACCATCACGACTTACTATTATTCAATACTACGTGTATATAACAAGCGCGGTGATTAATACTCTAACCTTCTCCATGTGAGAAAGAGGCCTTTGCTCAGCAGTGGGCTCTGATAGACTTATGATGATATATATATTAACATTTAAAATTTTATATACTATATCAAATTATCAATACTTATATTATATATGTTACCTTGACTATATTTATAGGTCGATTATTAACTTCCGTGACGGCCCACCGACCCGCTGGCAGCCCTGCCCGGCTAGCTGGCGACTCCGCCGCTATTGATGTTATAGTACATTCATTGTCCAACTTTATACCTATATATAAAGATAAACATTTTAATATCCTACTAATATTATAATTGCGAAAGTTTGTGAGTGCGTGTGTATGTTTGTTACTTATTCACGCTCAAACGGCTGAAGTGATTTTGATAAAATTTTGTATACAGGAAGCTGACGTCCAGGAATAACACATAGGCTACTTTACGCCACGGAAATCTGCGGGTAACATAGCGGGGCACAGCTAGTATATATATAATGATAACCATTTATTAAACTATCAACCCTCAAGCCACGTATATAAGGAGCGCCCTTACTGACAATCTGACACTTTTTGTTCTCAACTATTGTTAAGAGAAGAAACTCTGAACTAATTATTGCTGAATATTAATAAATAGGTCATTGGCTGACGAACGTTTTTTTTAAATCATAACGTGTTTTATCTCTAACAATATACTAGTTTTTGCCCGCGACTTCGTCCGTGTTAATTTTGTCATTAATATATGTATAGCTGATCAAGCGAACTCTATTCCGTCTTAAATAACCAGGTATTGGTGTTTATTAATTTTTTCCTGTTTTAATCGAACAGAATGATTAACATATTACTTAGTTGTCAAATCTATTGTCAAAAAAACGTTTGTATGGGAAATAGAAAAGAGCTGTTTTTAGGATTTTCCCAGAAATGAATCAATTTTTTCATCTTTTAAACCTTCCTTGAACCTCCACGAACATTTCAAGACTCAGATAAGATAAATCCGTTCAGCCGTTCATACATATATATATATATATATATATATATATATATATATATATATATACAGGGTGACTGGTGAATTACTATCAATATTTTAGGAGAATACTCGGTACATGATTCTCATTCGAATTATGTAAAAAAAATAGGTACTTAATTTTTGACCAAATTTCCGTATAAATAAATAAAGTGTTGACACGTTCCAAGTGTTCCAAGTGTGGACGCGTGCGGCGGCGTGCTGATACAACAACACGCCGCCGCGCGCGTATGTGTGAGTGTGTAGTGTAGAGTATTCGTAGGGTGTTTATACGATGCGTAATTAATTACACAACTTTTGGTTAACTTTACTTAGAAGTTTATTAATATTAATGTTATATTAATTTTTATTTCGTCATATATGATCGTCAAATATCACGTCCTCAAATATCGATAGTAATTCACCAGTCACCCAGTATATATATATACAACGTGTAACGTAATTAACGCACACCCTCAAATACCCCAATGCGTATATAATGATATAAACGCAATGCATACACCAAATATTATTTATATGTGCGTATGAATTTTTTATTTGTGAAATTAGTTATCCCAATTTCGTGCAAATAATATGGTCGCTGACCATTCACCAAGACTCCGCTGCACACGCACATACAGACACAATGTACTCGCCGCGCCCGCGCCCCTCTCTCCGAGTGCCGTCCGACAATAATAAGAAGTAGGTAATAATAAGTACACGAAATAACTACATACATTATGATTTTTCTTTCCATCACACTTTTCAAGCTTTAGATTGTTGACATTGAATTTTCTTTTTAATGTGAAGCCAATATTTTATAATTACTGATTTTTTAAATTAAATTTGTAAAAAAGAATTATTAAACAGCTGATAACGCGTGATTTGAATAGACACCACAATACCTACGACAAAGTTAAACACAGTCGGCCTGTTTAAATGGTGTGTATCAAAATATTTACAATAATTTAAAGATCATAAACAAACTTACAGTTTAATTTGCACTCGCACAGCGTTGTCGTTTTAAAACATTTTCAAAATGTCCACCGCCTTGTTTAATGCACTTTAATGACCGTTTTCGCAATTGTGGTTTTATTTTAGATAATACTGCAATGTCACTTTTCACTTTTACAAAAGCGGTTATTATCTTATTTTTTACTTTTACTTGTTATCTCTGTGTTATAAACTAGCGATTTAATTCGCCCCCACAAAAAAAAAGTCGAGTCGCGTCAAATCAGCTGATCTAGGAGGTCAATGGACACGTGCGTAGGTACTTGATGTATTGAATGTTAGTGTACCGAAACGACACAGCGAAATGCGCGACTAAGATTTTATTTGCACTTTACACTTGACCTCTTTTCGATAAGGTGGACGCGGCGTGACTAACCCAAAACACATTTTGTTGACTTCGATGTTTAGTTATTATTACTCTGATTCCCGGAATTATGTCTGCCGTCTCGCTCTATTATAATGTTATTAAGCCAAAGAAAGAAGGAGAAAGTAATAATTTTTGTATTACGCGGCTTTCTTTTATGCACTGTAGTGACCTTGCTGTGTGCCGGTTGTCGCTATGGTGTTGGGTGCGTAGTTATTATTAAATACTATTTTAGCCTTGAAATAAGTATCAGTTTTCTTTAATTGAATGATGATTACTAATTAAATATTTCATTTTAAAAATCTTAATACCCTGACTTACGATCTATTTTCGTTTCCATTAATTTTCGTTTCTATGAAGTGTTTAGATAACTGTGTGTAGGGTGACTATAATTTACTTAGTTCTATCTAAATCTGAGAAAAAAAATGACCTACATAAAAAACTATCAAAATCGATCCAGTATCCGATTCTGATCAAACTACTTTCAGGGTGTGCGTTAATTATGTTACACGTGTATATATATATATATATATATGTATGTATTTAAACTCACCCAAACTTTCTTTATCTCTCTTGTTGATGACGTATATCTTAGCGAGGGGAACCCGGTGAAATAGTATGTCTATCTGAAAACAAATAACACGACATTTATCAACACATATAGTTAGAACAAGTATTGACACGATATCTCAATTCACCAAGAGTCTTAAGAATAATATTTAACAAATTGTTGCTTTCTAGCCAGCTTATACAATTTTGTAAATATATTTTATTTTAAACATTTTTGGCCCTGACAAGTACCAATGTGATTTTTCCGAGTCATATGTACTTTATAAGAGTATTTAGACATCACTGATTAATGCATTCCCAAAGAGGGTTGATGTCAGGCAGGCGGCCGGATGTTAAAAAAATAGCCAAAACTATTCACAACATGTACGGCAGACCCTGGCTAAAACTGGGAAAATTGCCAGGTAGAAGATCGTATGTTCATATAATGCTTGTGTAGTTTTTAATAATAAATATTGATTATTATTACATATACTACTTTTTGAACACGATTTCGTCTGCGTTAGTTTCATAATTAGTAATGTATAGACCTGACGAACTCTGTTCCTTAAAGACAGTAGATAAGATTTTGTATTTGATCAACTTATTTTATTTTCAATCGTATGTACAGTATCCTATATCCTTTCTGTGTTCTAATCTATCTCTCCGCCAATCTTCATCCAAATCAATACAGTCGTTAGAGTTATAAATAGTGTAACTAACACGACTTTCTTTTATATATATTTTTATACTTACAAACGACGTATGAGCATTCCTAATCAAGTTCCTCGCGTGTGTGAGCGAGCTGGGAGTCGAACCTGCTATCCCCGCGACTCTATCACCTGAACGACCAGATATACGGAACCCATTGGAACCCCAACGAGCGACCCTGGAATGAAACATACAATTACATTCATAATTCAATGTATTCACTAAGATAACTGGTATTTTTATTTATTGGTTATCCATATATGTTGTTCATGAACAAATGTAGAATTTGATCAATTTCTATGAAGTTGTAGTAATAAAATGCGAAAATTTAATTAACTTTGCCATTTTACTTAAGAAATATCATCGGTTCTTTAGTAGTTGAGATTTAAGGACATATGTATATATAATTCTTCTGTGAGTGTGTATGTCACTGAACTTCTCTCAAACGACTGCACCGATTTTGATGAAATTTTTTGTGTGTGTTCAAGGGGATCTGGGAATGGTTTAGATTCACAATTTCGTCCGCTGCACAATGTTTTTTTAATAAATTTTTAATTTAGTAGTTGTTGATACAAACGTTTTTTTTTACATTAGAATTGACAACAAACTAATATGTGAATGATTCTGTCGCACTTCAAAACACGGAGATTTATGTCTTTAATAGGTAAATTCCAAAAATATAAATAAAAAAACGTAACAGATATTTCTTGATTATAGGGCGATACGAAGTTCGGCGGGTCTTCTAGTATACAGGGTGACTGGTGAATTACTATCGATATTTGAGGACGTGATATTTGACGATAATATATGACAAAATAAAAATTAATATAACATAAATATTAATAAACTTCTAAGTAAAGTTACCCAAAAGTTATGTAATTAATTACGCATCGTGTGAACACCCTACAGATTAGGTATACACACACACTCACACATACGCGTGTCGTGACGTAGTGTTGTATCAGCACGCCGCCGCACGCGTCCACACTTGAACACTTGGAACGTGTCAACACTTTATTTATTCATACGGAAATTTTGTCAAAAATTAAGTGCCTATTTTTTTTACATAATTCGAATGAGAATCATGTACCGAGTATTCTCCTTAAATATTGATAGTAATTCACCAGTCACCCTGTATATATATATATACAGTGTGTTCACTACGTAGTACTAACCACACGCTCCTCTCATACTCGCACATGAGCGGCGCGTCCTTAACCCTCACGGATGTAACACTAGCTCCGCGCCCCTGGTCCGCTCTCAGCGCGGCCGCCTGCCGACAACGGAGGGGCTGGAGGGGCGACGGACCGGGAGGGGAGGGACCTGGAATGATGAGAACACCTGTATATATGTGAGAGAGGGAAAGAGTGGGGAAAGGGCAACCGTCTCTCTCACTCATCAGATGAAACGCATCTATTAAAGACTACTTCACGCTGATCTTCAGTGAGAGGGTGGTACTTACGGTCGAGACAGAACATGTTCGAGATGTAGAAACTTGAACACAGATAGGCTCTACCACTCATATATACAGTCAAACCTGGATAAGCGAGAGTTCAAGGGAGCACAATCTCAATCTCGCTTATAGAGGTTTCTCACTAACCCGAGTTTCTCGCTAATGCAGGTACATGGGTAGCGTTTCTCTCTTAAAGGGGTACGCAGCAATAACAAGTCACAGCAAGTACGAATGTAGTAAATATTTTAAGTTTATCACTTAACGACAGTACTTTAATTTTTTGGTTTTGACATGATGCAGAACAGAACTTTCCTTCGCAATTGAAAACTATAAACTGAGTAAGTCTGACAAACAGGACGGTACACAGGCACACTAGTCCATTTGAAAAGAATGCGATGAAATAACAACAATAAAGTTATTTAGTTCCACGAAATAGAATAGGAACAATATTTACGATAATACAAAAATAATGGTAGGAAGTTCCACGAAAGTTAAGAATGAGTCATAAAATAGCACATGTTAAATTTGTAAATAAAGCTTGACTGTTGCTTATAGAGGTATAGATAAGTAGCAGTCTCACTTACGGAGGTCTATGAGGGAAAAACGACTCTCTCTTACAGAGGTTTCTGTTTCTCGCTTATAGAGGTTTTGGGAGCTTAAATTGACGGGTCCTGGCTATTAGGCCTCGGCCTCGAATTTTGCGGGTAGCGGAGCGGCAGCGGCGGCGGCACGGAAACGCATACTATTCTCCAACCTAGCGGGCAGCGGGCACCGCTGTATTCGAGGGTCGGTCCATTTGATTATACGCGTAAGATCTTGCCGCTCCCGCTGCCGCTCCGCTGCCCGCAAAATTCGAGGCCGAGGCCTTACTCTCACTTATAGAGTTTTCTCACTTATCCAGTTTTCACTTATCCAGGTTTGACTGTATATAGGAAACATACATAGTATACTAACTATTATTAAGTGAGCTGCTTCTCCTCCTAACATTGTCTCTGGCTGGAGTTCTTGGTCGGTGGACTACCTTCACTGATGAAGTCACTCTGGAAAAGTAAACATATATATATAACTATGAGTATCTCCTATATTCTATCTAATGAAACAAGTAAAACTTTATAAACAAATTATATATTATTATTATTTTTAATCTTCATCGTCATCAGCCTATCAGAGCCCACTGCTGAGCCTCTTCTCACATGAAGAAGGTTTGAGCATTAATCACCACGGTCACTCAAGACGGGTGGGTAATTTCAAACTTATTATTTGATAAGTCCATGTTTCCTCACGATGTTTTCCTTCATCAGTCAGTGATGTCTCAATACTCTTATAAAGTACATATGACTCTGAAAAATCACATTGGTACTTGCCAGGACCAGGATCGAACCCGCGCCCTCGGCAACGAGAGGCGGGCCTTTTAACCACTAGAACACCACTGACTTAATATGTATACTTATTTAAGACAGAAAACATACACTTTTAATCATAGTAATACATTGTTTACATTGTTTATCTTGTTTCGTTGGCTGTACTATCTCAATACATTATCTCACCTCTCCTCTTGTCTATTCGGACTCTCCTGCCTCTTCTGACCGATTCCTCTCAATCGGCTCAACAGCGACAGTTCGGTCAAACCTCTTTTCCACACCGGTTTCTGTTGTTGTTGTTCCGATTTTTCTGTAAATTTCACATATATATTATTAATTTTATATATTTATTAATGAACCCATACATTATATCCCTAATAATATTATAAATGCGAAAGTAACTTAGTCTATCTGTCTGTTACGTTTTCACGCCTAAACAGGTCAACTGATTTTAATGAAATTTGGTACATAGATAGAGTTGACCTTGAGAAAGAAAATAGGATAGTTTTTATCCCAGACTTTTTAAAAGGTTCTCTTGGAAACGCGATATAACCGAACTCCACGCGGGCGAAGCTGCGGGCGGTAAGCTAGTAAATATATATTTGAAACGAATATTGAGATAAAACTAACGCGACCAACAGTTTGTAGTAAAAAAGATTTGTACATAATAATATCATATTGTAATACTAATTCATGAAATAAAGGATTTTTTATTTATTTATAATGTTTTATAGCTTTTTTGTAACAAAGATACACTGACACCTGACTTTGGTCATAAATCTGAGATTAAACAAAGAATTTCTTTTCTTTTTTATCTAATCTTCATTAAGCTAATAATTATGACTATTTTTATACCTCAGTTAAATAAATTTGAGTAATTATTCGCAAGTTATATACAAACAAAAACCAACCTTGTTTATTATCTCTCTTAGGGCTATTATTCTGTATTCTTCGCCGCGGACTTATATCGTATGCGTTCTGACTCTGCGACCTTTCTATATTCGACCTTATCACCCTTGTATTAGGGTTGTCACTACCAACATTAATCCTCTCAATATTGCTATTAACTATGACATCGGTATTAGAATTATTAGGATATAGATACTCGTAAGTCGATTCGGCTATATCTAGATTGGGTAGAGACGATTTTCTTATCTTATTCTCGTTAATCACTTTTCGTATTGACAGCGGAGAGGCAGCCCTATTGGAGGTTGAAGCCATGCATAACCGCTCGTATAAACCGTTGACATCCCTAGCGTTTGAATCTTCAATCACATTGACATTTACATCTGTCACTGTCGAGCCATCTGTCATTTTGACGTTGACTTCATTATTATCTGTACTCGGCCCGGCAGCTGTCACTTTGACATTTCCCGCGTCATTCGACTCATCGCCTGTCAAGTTGACAGTTGTAGGGACGTGCCTGTAATCATCGACGTAAACAGTGCCGTAGCTGTTCCGGTTTTCTGTGTTTACGATGTTCACGAAATCGTTATTTTCCGGTTTTATCGTTAATTTCTGTTTGAATTCGAAGTCGAACACGTTTTCACCCAACACTGGTATCGCGGTGTGCGGAGTCTTGTTTGATACTTGGATCACTGTCACGTTGTTTCTTGATATATTTGCGGTACTGAAATATAAATAACATATTATATATATATATATATATATATATATATATATATATATATATATATATATATATATATATATATATATAATAATAGTATTAATTAAAATTATTTTATTTATATAATACTACTAGATATACAGACAAATGAAATTGCTTTTTGATTTATCCTACAATTTTATCTTAACTCAAGTCGATGTAAATAGCTTTAAAGGTAGTATGGTGATAAAGTTTTGTCAAAATGTTGACCTACCCGGTAGATTTTATCATTATTTCTGCTATATAGTTACTTTTCTAGTATAATTCTGTTCTACCAATATATCTCAACCTACCCACCATATTCCTTATATCCCCATCTACCCACTATCCCTACCCATCTACCCACCTCTGTCCGTCTCCCTCGCTAACAACCAGTCGTTGCTTGTACTCGCAGTCGTCTTTAATCTCATCTATCTCATTGAAGAACTCCTCATCACTCTCACTAACATTCCTCTTGAGTATTGAATCATCTAAACATATATTCTGTCCGCATATCTTGGCAATCGTTCTAGTATCGTCTCTGCTCGTGCTTGGCAATGGATACGCGTCCCAATTCGATATATCTACGTCAGAATCATTTATATCTGATGTCATTGATGTCATATTTGATAGTGACGTCAGGTTTGACGGCTGATTTGTGATTGATGTCACTGATTCGTTCCGTTCAGCCTCGTTAGTGATGTTTGTGTCACTAGTGTTGGGTTCTAGATTTCTTGTTATTGGAGTCAAATCGATTCCTGGTACCCTGGAAATGAGGTAAGATATATGAAGAACTGGCTGTTATATTACGAATTTTATTATAAAGAAGAATTGAAATAAAATATGATATTTTTATATGGGAGTTAATATGATAAATGAAATTAATATTTACGGATAACTTCGCGTCTTTTATTATTTTGAATAGATAATCCTGACGTTTCAGTTACTTTTCAGCAACCGTGAACATTAAGACGAGATGAGAATTATCATGACCATTAAAAATAATAAAATAACGAGTAGTTATCCGAAAATATTAGTTAATAAAGGAGTACTAACGAATGACTTAGATCTCATTAACTAATATAATATATTACTGATCTTGAATAACTCTTTATATGTTTGCAAAGAAAGAAAATATGGGACATTATATTGCCAAGAACCTTTAGAGATGCTCTTAAGTCAAAAAAAATTTTGCTAGATTCTTAACTATTATAATAAAATAATAATAGTTTAAAAATTATAATTATTTGTATAGAACATATAGTTATTGATATATGATTACATATATAGTTGCTTTACCAACTAAGCTATCGCGCAATAAACGAATTTATGTAAATTAAAATTAATACAAGATAAGAAACAAGATTATTCTAGCTAGCAATCCATAAACCAGAATATTAGGACCTTGGTGTCATACAAACATTTTGGAAGCAGAGGTCTATTCAGAATTTTTAAAGGTATTTAACATTATACTATCTAACAATACATAAATTAGAATATTAGGACCTTGGTGTCATACAAAGACTTTGAAAGCAGAGGTCTAATTTAAACTTCTATAAGGTTTTTAATATTATTCTAGCTATCAATCCCAAAGGTCTAATCAAAACTTCTAAGGTTCTTAATATTAACCTACCTATCCCTCCAAGAACTAGAATATAAGGCACCTTTGCACCATACAAATACTATGAAACCAGAGGTCTTGCTAATAATGTATATTTTTGATATATTTTACCTATCCGGTGGCACAGGCGGTGTGGGTGGTAGTGGGGATGTGGGATCTCTCGCCGCAGCACGCGGTGGCAGCGCAGCCGGTGGTGAACAGTATACATTCTCACCAGGAGAGACTATTCGGAGTTCGTGAAGCTTCGTACGTAGAATGGACACCCAGTCTTGCATTGAGTCCCTGTGTGAACGATATTTGAATGGAATTTTTTTTTGGACAAGAGTTTTGATGGTCGAAATATCAAATAATTTAAGTTATTTTATAGAATATTATAATATATCTATATTAAATACATTCTTCCTTCAAATTTCTAGTCTCTATATGTACTACTAGCTTTCCACCCGCAGCTTCGCCCGCGTGGAGTTCGCTTATATCGAGTTTCCAAGAGAACCTTTCAAAAGTCTGGGATAACAACTATCCTATGTTCATTCTCAAGGTCAACTCTATATCTGTACCAAATTTCATTAAAATCTATTCAGTGGTTTAGGAGTGAAAGCATAACAGACAGACAGACAGAGTTACTTTCGCATTTATAATATTAGTAGAGTTAGTCCATTAATTGGAAGATTTTTTTGGACAAGCTTTTTGGTTGACGAAATCTCATATGATTCAAGTTATTTAACAAAATATTATTATATATATGAATATATAATACATACATGCTACATTGAACTTAAAATTTATTTACGACTGGGCATCAATATATATCCAATCATATATGGAATTATTTCTCTTTATTTATTTATTTATAGACTATATTTAAACACTACTAAGACAAAATATACAGGATTACACAGTCAGAGTACAAATATAAATATAAAGGTACCTTAAGTAATAATAACCTCAATACTAATTAGCAAGACTATTGCGTGTGTGTTTTGTATATTTTTCCACAATAAAATCTATTAAGTCTCACCAATTAGGGGCCAGCATCCTGATAGGTCCATGATCCGTATCAACGAGGAAATCATATTCTTCTCCCAGATGAGGTTTCACACTTGCTGTAACATGTCTGGCGGTTTTCAAACATACTCTCCAAGTAGGCTGGTGAGTGAGAGTAGCTTTTGGTTCGGGATATTGCTCTAAGAACGGCACCCTGCCATTGTGTATGCAAAATAATGTCCACATTGGCTTCAATGGCTGTTTCTGGTGAAAAAAATGATAAAAAATCGTCAACTCGACAGCACAAATAAATATAAAAATACATATAACTTATATCTTTATATAAAAGAAAGTTGTGTTAGTTACACTATTTATAAATCTAACCGCTGTATGAATTTTGATGAAGATTGGTGGAGAGATAGATTAGAACATAGAAAGGACATAGGATACTTTACATACGATTGATCAAATAAAAAGTTGATCAAATACAAAATCTTATCTACTGTCTTTAAGGTAGAATAGAGTTTGCCTGGTCAGATATACATTTCTAATTCAGAAACTAATGCGGACGAAGTCGCTGACAAAAACTAGTATATATATATTTAATGTAAGCTTTGGAATAGTTTCTCTAACAAATTAATATCTGTTACAATGTAAAAGTTTGTTTATTAAATATAAAATCAATAACTCTAACCAACAAACACGGTTTTCCCGTATTTGTTGAGGTCAAAACATTAGCACCATTGGAAATATTCTATCACAATAATAGGCAAATATCTTTACCCTTAATACGAGTTTCAATTTACGAACAAAAAACGTCGAGTTCCCAGTTTTTCCTACATCATGGACGATAAACTTCGAAAATATAGGTATTAGTAAAATTGGTAATTGATATAAATGTATTTATTTAATTGAAACTAATATTTTTCAGAATTTTTTTTTGTGAAAAATTACATACTTCCGACGTTTCGGCTACTTTTCAGTAACTGTGATCACGGGCAGACGAGATGTGAGTGTCTGTCAGTTGGTCTTGTTATTTTATCACCTACCGCCATCGATTTCTTAATTTTCTGGCGTACCACTTTGAATGGATATAAATATAATCAAAAACGAAATAAAAAGAAAAAAGTAACCTATTTAAAAAAGAGGTTCTCGATTCGTTTTAATTTTTTGTTTTTTATGTCTGTTTAAGAACACATAAAATAAAAGAACATAATAACCCAATAATTAAATCCAGACAAAGCCACAAACATCGGCTATATATGTTAAGTAGGTATTTTATATATTAAAAAAAATAACCAAATAACAATATTAGGAATGTTAAATAAAAATGCACTGAAATTAAATCGATGAAACTCTTGCAAATGGATAGTTATTATGCCGGATATAGATCCATATCCTTTACTTGTTATACGGATCCTTTTCCTTACTTATGCTTGATCTATATCCTAATTTAAATAATATAACAAATTACATACATCTACTAAAAGATCATGCACTAATAGTAATATATATCTTATAAAATTCTCGTCTCGCGATGTTAGACAGAGAACTCCTACGAAACGGCTGGACAGATTTTGATGTAATTTTGTGAGCATATTGAGCATGTCTAAGAATCGGCCAACATCTATTTTTCATACCCAAGTCAAAATGGTTGTCCACCCTTAATTTTTTTTATAATGTAGCGTTAAAAAATACATAGAACCCAAAATTTTTATCACCAACCCCTATTTTTATATGGCAAAACAATGTTTGCTGGGTCAGCTAGTAGATATATATATATATATATATATACTAGGTGACCCATATATATATATATATATATGTATAAATATATCTAATATATAAAATTCTCGTGTCACAGTTTTCGTGCCCATACTCCTCCGAAACAACCTGACCGATTTTGATGAAATTTTTTGTGCTTATTCGGTAGCTATGAGAATCGGCCAACATCTATTTTTCATCCCCCTAAATGTTAGGGGTAGTCCACCCCTAAATTTTTATTTTTTATTTTTTAGACAAAATTTTTAATTACTATTTTTTTATGATACAACGTACAAAAATACATACAATCCTAAATTTTCACCCTTCTACGATCAACCCTTATTTTTTAATAGCTATTTTAGTAATTTAATCATTTTTCATCTCCGGTCGATAACTGATCAATCGTCATTTAATAAGTTATCCCCGCCAGATATCTACAGGTGTCACTTCTGACCCAGTAAACAGCACGGAGTAGGGATGAGAACGAAGCCGGTCTTCTGTTTCTCTCACACAATTAGACTTCTCTCACTCCCTACACAGTTGTCGGCCATCGTTATTGTTTGTGCATCAAGTGTAGTAGTAACGTTGACAATTATTATTTTGCTAGCTCAGTGTAACTCTCATATTAACTATTAATCATTCCTAATCACTTCAAAACACGGAGATTTATGGCTTTAATAGGTAAACTCCAAAAATATAAATAAAAAAACGTAACAGATATTTCTTGATTATAGGGCGAAACGAAGTTCGCCGGGTCTTCTAGTATATATGTATATATATATCAACATTAATTGTTATATTGTTGTGGTAAGTTATTTTTATATTATAAATTTATAAAATGTATATAATAGAATATTTCAAGGAAAAATTTAACAATTATATTTAAAACAATAATATAGTAGTATACTACATACTATCTAAGCACGCGACTTTGATTGACTATGATTTCTTTTATATATAGATGAGAAATTAATTCAAATTTTTTACTTAAGTAGCTTAAGTCTTTTTATACTAAATGATTTATCTGCCAGTGAAAGTCTCATCAAAATCTGTCTAACAGTTTCAGAGATTATTTGTAACAAACAGATAGGTAAACAAAAGTAATTAAACATTATTAGTATATATATATGTATATATTAATTACTTTTGTCTACCTATCTGTTTATACATACATCTGTGTATACAGTATGACAGACAGATGGTACAATTTTATATATTATATGTATATATATTACGCATAGAACAGTTGAATCATCAACAGCATAATAAAATTTATATCAGTACAAAGACAATAGTCAGTATATTTATCAAACAGAATATAAGTCGGCTAGCCAGAGATTCATCGAGTAGTGCTTCATAAATAATCGGTGAGTTAAAACACATTATGTACTACTAGCTTTCCGCCCGCAGCTTCGCCCGCGTGGAGTTCGGTTATATCGTGTTTCCAAGAGAACCTTTCAAAATTCGGAGATAAAAACTATCATGTTCTTTCTCAAGGTCAACTCTATCTCTGTACCTTTCATTAAAATCAGTTCAGTGGTTTAGACGTGAAAGCGTAACAGACAGACAGAGTTACTTTCGCATTTATAATATTAATAGGGATTCAATTATGTACCATTCATAAATATATACTAGTTTATATAATGTACTATTCGTTTATGTACCTTACAAGTGTATGTAGTTCGTACCTTATTGCCGAGCGGTCGTAATTTCCCACTGCTCTCAATTGGTATTCTCTTAAGGTAAGCATTTTTTTGTATTTCTCTGTAATACACCGGCCCCTCGTCTCCGCTGTGGAACATCTTTATACTGCCATTCGTTACTGTAAATGTAATTAGGTACATAATATATTATTTGTCTGAATTTCATGACATTTAAAGTAATTTCTTTCACAATAACTAACTATTTAGTCTTTAATTTATTATTAATTGTGAAGAAATTACTTTAAAAGTCGTTCATATAGACAATATTTCATCTCAAACTTTCTTTTGATAATCTGCTTCCAAAGTAGATACGCGGAATTATACAATGGTAGTTATGCAGATTTGCACTATCACCGACAATATTATATTAAATTTTAAGACATTACAATGAAGATCATAACTAGAATAAGCTATCATATTGAAGTCTGCTTAATAACTGTTTTATTTCATGAGATTCTAAGGATTTTGGAAGATTTCAGTATTGGTTACCGAGGTGATGTGCTTACTTATGATACCATTACTTATACTCAGTCGTAATGGTACACAAACTACCTCAATAGCAAAGATATTTAAATCTTATAAAAATATATATAATTTTAAGTTCATCTTTAGATATTAAAATTGTAGTTACAATCCAACATGTCTATAATATTTTTATTTTAAGACAATACATAATTATCAGACTTTCTTAACTTGTTTTCGTTTATTGATTTGTTATGTTTCCTGAAGTATGTATATGCTATTAAATACACACAAAATTAAGTTTATCTTTAAAATAACTTTACTTATAACATAAAATATATTTATACTGATCAAACAACTTCGTAATAACTTAACCAGTTAGTCGGAAAATTGTGTAAGTAAGTTGCAAAAGTATGTATAAAAAAGCGTAAAAATTGGCAGTTTTAGCGGCAAAATACAAACAGATACGGTTGTGTAAACTAATTGCGTGCTGACTGTTGTGCCAGTTGATGAATTAATTAGGAGTGAGTCAATTTAGAGGAATGCGATTAATATATACGTACACCCGAAAATGTAAGAGAAAGTTGATTAAAAATCAAACACATGACGATGTATATAAATAAGTATGGTTGTACATTCATTTACATTATTCTATTAACCCACTGAGACACTTTAAGACTTGTTAAAATTAATTAAATAGTAAAAATAACGACGAATCCCACTTACCTTATAAAGAGATAGAACTCTTTAATTTTTTATGCTATTAGGTTTAAATATCAAATAAATAGCTACCATAAAATTAATAATAAAATATGGTTCACATTTATAAAACATTTGACACACATTTAATTTAAAACTAAGGAGCAACAATATAACAATGATTGCAATCGGACGCCATAACTGATTATGACGTTTACCTGTATTGTTGCTAGAACTTTATGCAGGTACTCATTTTAATCATTAAAACAATTAAACACCTTATGTAAAACGATTAATATAAGTAATTTATATTAGAAAATAATTAAATATTCTATTTAGTTTAAAAGTATTTACATTTTTTTACCCTTTAAAATATCGTTAATATATTTCTTGCCTGTTTGACTAGTCATTAATATGTTGGCAACACTGTTTATCATGTCAGATCTGTAATTTTTGACAATGATACCTAATTCTGACGTATGTACATGAAAAGTGATAAGTGATAAGCTCTTAAATGATAAATTAGCAGCAGTACAGGTGAGTTAATAAATTTTAATTCAGTAAATATACAATTTATGGCATCTTTTTCATTTGTGTTAAGAAAAAAGTTGTCTTTTTACTGATAAAGTAGTGATATTCTTAGCGTTAAGTCTACTAAGAATGACTAATATTTACAACAAATTCAGTTTCTTTATTCCACACGAGTGGCGCGACCGTCGCTAGTTATTTAGATCACGTGATCGTTCGGACCGCCAAAATAAATGTCATCTTTTCGCCGACTTTACGGATATCTCTTGTACAAATTCGTTTTAGCGACCGTTTCTTTGTTGTAACGTATTTGAATTGATATTTTATTTGAAATTCGTCATATTTAGAACCTAAGTGTTAAAGAGATCGCTGGGAAAGCGATTGATAATGGCAAAAGTTCACATAACCAACGTAGTAGTATTAGACAATCCGAGTCCGTTTCTCAATCCTTTCCAATTCGAGTTAACCTTTGAATGCATCGAGGAATTGAAGGAGGATCTCGAATGGAAGATGATTTACGTCGGATCAGCGGAAACTGAAGAGCACGACCAAGTTTTGGACACGATATACGTCGGCCCAATACCAGAAGGAAGGCATATGTTTGTTTTCCAAGCGCCACCACCCGACGTGAATAGAATACCAGAAAACGACGCGCTAGGTGTTACGGTCGTGCTATTAACGTGCTCCTACCGCGGCCAGGAGTTCGTGAGGGTTGGTTATTTCATCAACAACGAATACAGTGACAGCGAGCCCGAATTACGCGAAAACCCGCCAGCGAAGCCCCAGTTTGACAAAGTAGTGAGAAATATCCTCGCATCTGAACCAAGAGTGACTAGATTTAAGATTAATTGGGCTGAACCGGACGCAGCGGCTACTGTAGACTCGGGAGACGGTAATTTAGAGACTAGTCATGCCCCCAGTAATGACTCGTACGCCTTTAACGCTGATAGCCAGATCAGTGGGATGGAATTCCAAGGCAGCTTTAGTGGTTACGGCGATAATTCAAACTCAATAGCTCCTATGGAATGCTAAGGTTAGTTTTCTTATTATAACAATTATACAAATAATATTCGTATATGTATAGTTAGTTATAAATTTTGCATTCTCTTTAATATATAAGTTATCATCGGTATATCAGAGCCTACTGAGGAGCAAAGGAATCTTCTCAAATGGAGAAGATTACAACTTATAACTATAACTTATGTAGTTGTTTCATATAATACCGATCATAATATATATGTGTTATAACACATATATATACATATATATTTGTATAATATAGCCAAATACATAATGGTTTTGATGTTGAACAAAATTATGTGTGGCTTGAAAGTTAATGCTTTTCAACATGGTATCGGCTCAAGATTTAACCTTAACCCTTATATATACACAGACACCTCCCATGTAAATAGTTGTATGTCACAAAAATGCTATTTTGCTTTTATTTTGAAAAATATCCTATTATAGATCATTATATCCATTCAAAGTAAAAAAACACAACAATATTTTTAAAGGATTTGTCAGATGCATACACAATGTCGTAATTTTCAAATTTTGCATATTTTGGTTTAATTTGAATCTTTGAAACTCTACTGTAAATTTACAGTTTTGTAGATACAACAACTTATATGGGAGGTATCGATGTATATGTTCAACCACAAAATTGCCTGCTTATATATATATATGAGTTGCTTACTTGAACATATATATATCAATCTAATACTATGTTTGTTTATTTGCAGATATGTTATAAAAATTATGGAGTATAGTATGCAATGTGCCCGAGTGCCGTTGGCAGGAGTTTAAAGACGAAGATGCTCACACAACTATCGATATATCTTAGCATAAGTCTGTATATATGTTGTACAAAATGTGTTGAGATTATAAATGTGTGTTGTGCCTTAAAGTCCACAATAATCATGCTCGGAACTTCTTAAATATCTCCCATTATTTATAAGTATTCTTAGATTATGTATATTTTTTACCAAAATTAACGATTAAATAATGATTAAGATTGTATGATTATTTTATTTGTTTTTATACCTGTTAACGGATTTAAAAATGAGAGGTGCTTCATTTGTATGTATAGTTTTGTCATGTATTGAGAGTAAAAGTTATGTTTATGTGTGTTTGTATGTTACATAGTTCGGAAACAATATTTGAATTTTTGTTTCAATTAAATTATATATACTAATTTTTGCCCATGACTTTGTCAGTGTTAGTTTCAGAATTAGTAATGTATATCTGAACAGGCGAACTCTATTCTTTCTTAAAGACAGTAGATAGAAGATTTTGTAATTGATCAACATATTATTTCTTTTTCAATTTTATGTAAGGTATCCTATGTCCTTTCTATGTTCCAATATATCTCTCCACCAATCTTCATCCAAACCCGTACAGCCGTTCTTGAGTTATAAATAGTGTAACTAACACTACTTTCTTTTATATATAAAGATATAGGATATATATTATGTACTTTACACTTACCATGTGTTTGTCTTGTCATAAACATATATGTAGTTTTCTATCCAAGAAACTAGGTTACTATCATTTTTTAAGTATTGTGATTGAATAAGTGTGTAGCATCGGTAATTGGACAAACATGTAGTAAGGTTGATTTTTCCCAAAGAGGTTGATGTCAGGCAGGCGGCCGGTCGTTAAAACAATTAGCCAAAACTATTCACAACATGTAAGGCAGACTCTGGCTATAGCTGGGAAATTGCCAGGTAGAAGAAGAAGAAGTAGTAAAGTTGATAAGAATGATAGTTGGTGTATTAGAATTATTAAGGACTGAGTCTAAGTTACTAGGAAATTGCCAAAACCGTTTTGAGTCTTTTCCAATATCTATGAGAAAATATTCTTAGGATAAAGACTTTGTTAGAGAAATATACTTTGTTTAATAACAAAGGTACTTTATATTATGACAAAGAAATTGACAAAGCATTTGCTGATTTAAAATATATATGGTAGATTTTCTATATAAATTAGTTAGGTACTCTTGTAGCTAATCTATATTATGTAAGAAATTTATTAAAATATGCGTATGATTTTTTTTCATGTAAGCATGCATCGAATGAAACTTAAGTTTTGGTGTGCTTTGAAAGAAAAACGGTTAAACTGTAAGTGTCTAGTTAATGAAGAAAATTGGTACTGAGAGAACATATTTTTGGGTAGTTTAAAAAAAGTTTATACATATTGCAGTTTACTAACCCCGGGTTCGTATCAAACTTAAAAACGAAAGTGACAGTATCGTATCGCAACTGGAAACGGTGTACGATCAGTTCGATCGTGAAAACGAATACTAAGGATAAAACAGAATGATACTTCATCGAGCCTCGCAATATTTACTGACATTTAATAATTAGATACACGTTTAATTTTAACGCAAAACGTCGCAGTTCATTATGTTTATAAGTATTTCATGGGATGTCCCAGTTTTACTTAGCGTCGTAGTAACCTTTGACATTAGTGACATTTTCAAAATACCTGTTCAAATATTAAGAAGCATCGTAGCCTTGTAGGAATGTACATATTTAAATTTTTTAACTAAAATAACCCTTATTTTGGTAACTGAATACTTTTTATTATTATTTCGATTTTTATATAAGATAGCCCTTGTAGGTTCTTTTCAAATTTGGATTGGTAGAGAGGAGCTTGGAGTGTGGAGGTGAGAGTATTACGCTCGTTAGATAGGGTCCCTTAAACCTACACCTGGGTCACAAGTCACAGTCACTGTTGAAGCTCCTCTCACTGCAACGATGGACCCGACACACGCACTGTGAATACATGGAATGATGAGAGGTTTCATCTCTTATTAATTATTATATAATGTACAAATAATTTATGTATTATATTTCGAGGTTAGGGTTTAAGGTAAGAGCATTTAACACCACGTTCTCTCAAGGCGGATTGGTGATTTCAAACTTATAATTTGATAAGTACATATTTCCTCACGATGTTTTCCTTCATCAGTCAGTGGTGTCTAAATACTCTTATAAAGTACATATGACTCGGAACATCACATTGGTACTTGCCAAGTTTCGAACCAACCCTCAAGCATGAGAGACGGACCTTTAACTTTTAGGCAACCACGATTTACAGATATTTTTATTAGGAAATATGTATGTGCTTGTTAGTCGTTTTAAACCTAGTAATATTTATTGAAAATCTCAATTAACCTTAGTAATTTGGTTATATATTAAAATATTATAACGGCTGTATCTTTTATCGGATATATTGGCTAGTTTTTGTCCCAAAAATCACGCTTAGCTGAAAGACGTACTAATAAAATATTGCTACTTTTTCGATTATTCTCATGTTTTTACCACGAGTTTGCAGCTCCATCCAATACAGAGGTAATAATTTCATTCACAAAACTTAATTCTACTAATGGGATCTTAGAATTTCGCGTGTATACATTTAAATGAAACTAATATTTTTGGATTACTAGCTTATTTTATTAATAATGATCATTTTCATCTCGTCTTCGTGTACAAAGTTGCTGCAAAGTAACCAAAACCTCGGGAGTATGTAGTTTTTATAAATAAGATATAACCTCTCATCATTCCATGTATTCATATGCGTGTGTCGGGTCCATCGTTGTAGTGAGAGGAGCTTCAACAGTGACTGGGACTTGTGACCCAGGTGTAGGTTTAAGGGACCCCTATCTAATGCTTAGTAATCCAAAATAAATTAAGTTTCATTTAGACTATTAAGTTAAGGCGGCCAACCGTCCCGCATTCTGCGGGACCGTCCCGCGATTCTAAACGAAATCCCGCTTTGAAATTATTAGTAAAATAGTCCCGGAAAACGTTGTATGCGTCCCGCATGTCCCGCATCCCTATTTTTCTACGACACTTCTACACAACACCCATACGCGCTCACGGTCAACAGTGCAGGAACACAGATTACCTACATATAATAGGGACAAGCGTATCGCGCCCGCGATAATCTCGTTTTCTTTCTTTCTTCTGAACTCATGACGCGTAAGAGAGTACTTAAATTTAATATGAGCAGTTGCGAAGATTTTTATGACATTCCCAATCCCTAACACCCCCCCCCCCCCCCCCCCCCCGCCATTCACGAAAAGTTAAGTCCCGCATCCAGTTTTCGGAAAGTTGGCCGCCTTATATTAAGTTATAGACATCTTTATAAATTAATTCATCCTTTGTAAATCAAATTTCTTTTATAATACTGTACAATTACAATTTTTTTGGTACATAAATAAATAAATTGAACATCATAGCTGTACATAGAAAACTCGAAACTATAAGTATTTCGTTTCTAATTTCTTTCTTTAAAATTACTCTTTATTGAAATATTAGCCAATCAACCAATCATATTCTCTTTCAATTTCAACTTAGACTTGGTACAAAGTAGCCATATACAATTTTTTTTTATTTTTACTATATCTTATCTATAAAACTGATATATTATTTAATTTTAATCTGTGCTATATAAAATAGATACTCTGTGACAAAAATCAGCTGTCACTGTCAGTGTCTTAAAATGGTGGCAAATGTTTATGTGTTTTTTTATTTAATTATGTTTTCGTGAGTATTTTTTTTATGTTAATTTATTTGTTGATTAAGAAACCATTTTAAGCATGAATTTTCAGTAAGTACAAAAATGAAAAGTAAATAATTCTATTGAGTATCCGATTGTATCTCCTTCTACCTGACAATTTCCCAGCTTTAGCCAGGGTCTGCCTTACATGTTGTGAATAGTTTTGGCTAATTGTTTTTACGACCGGCCGCCTGCCTGACATCAACCCTTTTTGGGAATGCATTAATCAGTGATGTCTAAATACTCTTAGAAAGAGCATATGACTCGGAATAATCACATTGGTACTTGCCAGGATCGAACCCGTGCCCTCGTACATGAGAGGTGGGCCTTTTAACCACTAGGCCACCACTGACTAAAGTATCCGACACGACGATACTGAGTATCCGATTGTATAAAAGAATTAAATATAGTATATTTCAGATATTAATTCGAATAATTATGTATATGTTATTATAGGGCCGTATTCTTACTACAAGTTCGCGATACCACACTAAAAACGTGTATTTTCTAGTCTAGAATTTTTTTTTTTGAATTTCTTAGTTTTAACGTACATATTAAGAATAAACGGGAATATATCTTTTATTTAGATTTCAATTAGATCATTTTAGTGTAACTCCAAGTTGCATCGTCACTTCATACTCCACGTCAACAGTATTTCATTCGTAACTTCTCACGTAGTGTTAACGTATTAATGAGAAACACCCGGTTCTAATGAAAGCCCGGCGTCGTCGGGGTGGTCCTAATTGCCGGGATCGCCCCCATGCTCCGAGGGAGTAAGTCCGGTCTTTGCCAGGACCGGCCAGTCGCTGGTGTGCCCTGTCGCTGACAGATCCGAGGTACACCGACATAGCGGCCGATGGCTTTCGCAGTGGTTTTAGTGAGTAGGGGCCTGCCCAGGCCGAGCCTCACACATCCCTTCCGGCCCCACCAATGCCGGTTGGACGGCTCGTAAAAAGAGTTTCCCTGCGTCATCAAAAAAAAAAAGGTTAATGAGAAACGGGAAACTATTAGTATGTAGTGTATACAAACATGTGGTAGTACTAGTCTAAATTAAATCATCAAATAAAGAATTTAGCAGTATTGAAATTAAATTGGGTCTAAATATAGAATATAAAGAAATTTTATAAAACAAGTTTTACTTACATATAATAAGATAAGATATTCAAAGTAAATGTTGCTTGTATTGTAATTACAATTTACTTTATACAGGGTGACTGGTGAATTACTATCGATATTTGAGGACGTGATATTTGACGATCATATATGACAAAATAAAAATGACATAAATATTAATAAACTTCTAAGTAAAGTTAACCAAAAGTTATGTAATTAATTACGCATCGTGTGAACACCCTACAGATTAGGTATACACTCACACTCACACATACGCGTGTCGCGACGTGGTGTTGTATCAGCACGCCGCCACACGCGTCCACACTTGAACACTTGGAACGTGTCAACACTTTACTTATTTATACGGAAATTTTGTCAAAAATTAAGTGCCTATTTTTTTTACATAATTCGAATGAGACAGTTCTGTCCGCGGCGTACAAGATGTTTTCTGGGTTGGTATACTTGGAAATCAGAAGGTATGCCGAAGAAATTCTGGGGGAATATCAGGGTGGTTTTAGACCGAATCGGTCTACGACTGATCAAATCCATCTCATCCGCCAGACTCTTGAAAAGGCTTATGAATATGATATAGATCTACATCATATGTTCATAGATTTCAAGCAGGCCTTCGATAGCGTGAACAGACATAAGATCTTTGATGCCATGAGGTTGCTGGGAATCCCAAGTAAACTAGTGCGCCTGGTTGAGGCTACTATGTGTAACTCGAAATCGGTAGTAGCTATACAAAATGACATATCGGACCCATTCGAAATACGCTCAGGAGTAAGGCAAGGAGATGCCCTATCTACTGTTGTCTTCAACCTTACGCTGGAGGCAGCCATCCGAAACGTAGGAGTAAAAGGGCTTTTAGACTATAACACCAGTCAGCTAGCCGCCTATGCGGATGATATCGTTATCGCAAGCAGGTCTCAAAGCAGCATGATCAGACACACCACAACTCTCCAGATGGAAGCGGCAAAGTATGGATTGATGGTTAACGCAAGCAAAACGAAGTACCTTCATAGCACGCGCAACCCTCGTCCACTACAGGATGTCACCATTGGAGATGATACAATTGAAGGAGTCAGCAGCTTTAAGTACCTGGGGTCGATACTGTCCAGCCGGAATAAGGTTGGAGATGAGGTGAATGCCAGAATCATGGCTGGCAGTGGATGCTTTTACTCTCTCAGCAAACTTTTGCGATCAAAATACCTTAGTGCAAAATCCAAGCTGTCTATCTATAAGACCATAATACGCCCCGTCACCACCTATGGGTGTGAAGCATGGTCACTAACAGCTTTGGAAACCCAAAAGCTCGCCGTGTTTGAGAGGAAAGTTCTGCGCAAAGTGTTTGGGCCAGTGAAAGACGCAGACGGTGACTACCGTATACGCATGAATCACGAGCTGGAGGCACTCATGAACCGAGAAACAATCGTCCGATTCATCAAGTCACAGCGTCTGAGATGGGCTGGGCACGTAGAGAGGATGGGCAAAAACAGGGCACCCAAGATTATGACCGACTGGAAGCCGCAGCAAAGGAGACCTAGAGGAAGGCCGAGAAAGAGATGGTGCGACTGCATCGAAGATGATCTCAAGGCTCTGAAATGTTTTACGAACTGGAGAAGGACAGCCAAGGATCGTCGCGCATGGCAGTCTATTGTGGAAGAGGCCAAGACCCACAAAGGGTTGTAGCGCCGAAGAAAGTCAAAGTCAAAGTCAATTCGAATGAGAATCATGTACCGACTATTCTCCTAAAATATTGATAGTAATTCACCAGTCACCCTGTATATAGTCAGTGGTGGCCTAGTGGTTAGAGAGCCCGCCTCTCGTGCTCGAGTTCGCGGGTTCGATCCTGGCAAATACCAATGTGATTATTTGGAACTGAGGAAAGTGCGGGGCGGAGTAAAAACAGAAAAAACCGGTTAAAAACTAGAAACGAACGTGGCATTCAAAATTTGACATCACACCTACACTATCCATGTACACACACACAAATGTAAAGCTCAGCTTAACCAAACGCCCTATGCAGTTGACAATGCTTGTGCATGCGTGCAAAGTACAAAAAGACCAATAAACAACTGTCGGCGTTTGTGTTTAATTATATTCAGATAATGTATCTTAATCTATCTATCTTCTTCTTCTACCTGGCAATTTCCCAGCTTTTAGCCAGGGTCTGCCTTACGTGTTGTGAATAGTTTTGGCTAATTGTTTTTACGACCGGCCGCCTGCCTGACTTCAACCCTGCTTTTTTGGGAATCAGATTAGTCAGTGATGTATAATCTATCTATCTATATATATAAAAATGGATTGCTGTTCGTTAGTCTCGGTAAAACTCGAGAACAGCTGAACGGATTTATCTTATCTTAGTCTTGAAATGTTCGTGGAGGTTCAGCATTCCTGAAATAAAACTAATATTTTGCCCGTGATCACAATTGCTAGTTCAAAATAATAAAAAAAGCAGAGTTATCCGAAAATATTAGACTTTTTTTATTAATATTTTTTAATCTTAAGACTTTCTGGTCACTTAAAGCTATCAATTTCATTCTTATCTGATAAACGTATAAAGTGATTTATTTTCCTGTTTCATTTCTTCGTCCCAAGTTGACAAAACAATTCTGTTTTAAAGTTTAAAATAATAAAATTGAAATCTTTAGCAAGGTAAGGACTTTTTTGAGAGTGTTCTGCTATGATACTCTATGCCATGCTAAATACGATATTATGCGGTATGTCTTGTCTGAAAATTTTTGATTTGATGATATACCAATCCCTACTAATATTATAAATGCCAAAGTAACTCTGTCTGTCTGTCTGTTACGCTTTCACGTCTAAACCACTGAACTGATTCTAATGAAATTTGGTACAGACATTGAGTTGACCTTGAGAAAGAACAAGATAGTTTTTATACAAACTTCTGAAAGGTTCTCTTGGAAACGCGATATAACCGAACTCCACGCGGGCGAAGCTGTGGGCGGAAAGCTAGTTGGAAATTTAACATTAATGTCCTACAATCAAGTTTTCCATCTTTATTTAATCTTGATTTATCTATCGCTAGTTATCGTATTACTTCAAACAGTCTGTAACTCTAAATTTCTTTTCAGATTCACACAAATCAATGCTGTGGGAGTGACTACGAGAAAAAGTGAGTGAATAATATTAAAATAAAATCTTTTTTTATGCTTTGCTTTTTAGGTTTTAAGTGTGTTCCTTTTCCGAGTAGAGAACTATTATTGTTGAAGTAATTATTTATTAAAATGACAGACAATCTCGTGAATACTAGACTAGATTTCATTCTTGTGGATTTCAAACTTGAATTTTGTGATCATTTACGAATACTGAAGCAAAATACAGTAATACCCCGTTTAACGCGACCCCGTTGTACACGGTTTCACTATAACGCGATTTTCAAAAATTTATTCAGATTTGGGACATTGTAGAGTAGACAATAGTGATGACCGCGCCTTGACCGTGTGTCAAACAATTAAAAACAGTGTTGGGTGTTATGAACGTATTTTACAAGAACGTAAACAAAACGCTACCCATAAGACAATACATGTTTTTTTTCGTAAAAAATAGGAGTACCTATGTGTTGTATAGTGTTCATAGAATTAAATTGATTGATTAAAATGATTTTTATATTTGTGTATTAAATTTTGACTGTGTTTAATCATAAACCTCGATATACGCGAATTTCAGTTAACGCGATTTTCTTCGGAACGTATCCCTCGCGTAAAACGGGGTATTACTGTACACTTTTTAACCAATGGTGCCATCTACTATCTATTTTCAATAACTTTATACACAATATATCTTTTGTTTTTTCTTCCTGCGATAGCTTAAAAGTATTTCGATTAAATGTATTATGAAAATTATTCTAATATTTTCCCAATTTCCTTAAAATTTTCCAGAAGCGCCAAATCAAAGATACCCATAGATTTTTACATTTATAATTTTATATTTAGTAAGTAATGTTTTGTTATTTCAGGAGCAATGACTATACAAAGGTTGACGGCGCTACGCGCGCTGATGGCGGGAAATCCAACAGCCTTGGCGGCGTATATTATACCTACTGCTGATGCTCATAATGTAGGTACATATACACACACATATATACACATACACACATATAATTCATATCATTTTAATTTTGTATTTTTTTTGTTTTTGTACATGAAGTATTTCTGCTTCATATACTGCAAATCAATGAAATATCTATCTTACTTTGATAATAAAGAAAATATGGTTGTCTTATAAGCATAATATTAGAACTTAAATTAGTGTTTATAGTAAAAATCCTCGTTTATAAGGACTATTTGTGATTGGGTTATGTCCGAATATGCCAAAATATTTGCTATGAAAATCAGTGATGTTAATTAATTTGGCTGAAACTTAATAATAGATGATCAATATTATTATATTTCAATTATTTATTGAAAAAAAAACTACCTTTAAAAGTTGTCCAAAATTACGTATATATTAAATCAAGTAGCAAAAGATGTTCTTCCTAAAAAAATTGCCTAACATGATCCATTTTGGTCCTCAGTCGGAATATATATCACCAGCGGACGCTCGGAGGGAATGGATATCAGGGTTCACTGGTTCTGCCGGAACAGCTGTAGTTACAGCCAATAAAGCTTTGGTCTGGACAGACGGTAGATACTACACTCAGTTTGAGAAAGAAGCAGATTTAACTATATGGACGTTGATGAAGCAGTGTTAGTATTTGTATTGTTTTTGGGTAGAGCCTAGCTGTGGTTATACTACAGCTCGAACATGTTCTGTCTCGACCGTAAGTACCACCCTCTCATCGATCGGCGTCAAGTAGTCTTTAATGCGTTTCGTCCGATGAGTGAGAGAGACGGTTGCCCTTTCCTACACCTTCTTTTTTCCCTCCCTTTCCTATTCTTTTTCCTTAATTAAGGCTGGTTACACATCCGCAAACTATGTTACGGATGTCTATAGGCGACGGTACTACCTTCATCAGGTAGGCCGTCTGCTCAGTTTCGCTCTTTCGCATAAAAAAACCTAATTCAGATATTTATATAAAATTCGAATACAGTTTAATATTGATATCGTAATCAGGAAAAATAGATGAAATATAATGTGACTAGTCTTTCCGCCCGCAGCTTCGCTCGCGTGGAGTTCGGTTATATCGCGTTTCCAAGAGAACCTTTCAAAAGTTTTAATAAAAACTAACCTATGTTTTTTCTCAATGTCAACGCTATCTATACCAAATTTCATTAAAATCTGTTCAGTGGTTTAGACGTGAAAGCGCAACAGACAGACAGAGTTACTTTCGCATTTATAATAATTGTGTATAATAATTATCGTTAGTGCCTCATATTTAGACGATATATTGATAGTTCTGTCAAAATGTTTGCAGCTTTGCCTGAAACTCCAACTATGGAGAAATGGCTAACAAGCAACTTAATAGCAGGTTCTATTGTGGGTGTTGACCCTCACACTATGACTAGAGAAGAATGGACCCCCTTACAGGTATATTGCGAAAAACTTTATCAGTTATTCTCTTCGCTAAATTTAGAAATATATTTTCATAGTATGATGATATTTTTTTGGACGATATTAGCTTAAAATGAACGGAAAATCTCTCCTGATTTTTTGGTGCTATATGTAGATTTTAAAATAAAATTAAACATATAACTTAAGTAGTCAGTGGTGGCCTAGTGGTTAAAAGGTCCGCCTCTCATGCATGAGGTCGCAGGTTCGGTCCTGGCAAGTACCAATGTGATATTCCCGAGTCATATGTACTTTATAAGAGTATTTAGACATCACTGATTAATTCCCAAAGAGGGTTGATGTCAGGCAGGCGGCCGGTCGTAAAAACATAAGCCAAAACTATACACAACATGCAAGGCAGACCCTGGCTAAAGCTGGGTTATTGCCAGAATGAAGATGATATAACTTAAGTAACTAATAAATAATTCTAACGATATTTCTATAGTTATATATATTATATTACAGACTGCGCTGTCTAAGGCGAAAATGCAACTAGTAGCTGTAGAGAACAATTTGGTTGATAAAGCCCGTGTCACACTGGGCGACCCTCCGCCCAAGAGACCTCAGAATGATATTATACACCTGCCTTTAGAATATACTGGTGAGTTACATACATAAATACATATATATATATATATATATATATATATATATATATATATATATATATATATATATATATATACTAGAAGACCCGGCAAACTTCGTATCGCCCTATAATCAAGAAATATCTGTTACGTTTTTTTTTATTTATATTTTTGGAGTTTACCTATTAAAGCCATAAATCTCCGTGTTTTGAAGTGCGACAGAATGATTGACATATTAGTTAGTTGTCAAATCTAATGTCAAAAAAAAAAACGTTCGTACCAACAACAACTACTAATAAATTAAAAATTAATTAAAAAAACATTGTCCAGCGGACAAAATTGTGAATCTAATCCATTCCCAGATCCCCTTGAAGTTTGAACACACACAAAAAATTTCATCAAAATCGGTCCGGTCGTTTGAGAGAAGTTCAGTGACATACACACTCGCAGAAGAATTATATATATAAAGATATATATTTATACAATGATGTACCGATTTCAATGTATTTTTTTGGAGGTAGTTACAATCTTAGATAAGGGTATGGGATAATATTTTTTGCGATTATCCCTATCACAGATTATTATAAAAAAATGTTCGAATAATAATTTTAAGTAAAGTATTTTATTAAATTAAAATCATCAAACTCAAATACGCAATAGATTAAAAATATATTTTAATTCTTCCACTTTTGTACATCATTAGAACTTGATTATCCTACTACCATAGAATGATCTTCAATTGAAAATCTCATCAAAATCGGTTCAGCCATATCAAATAATACCAAGTCAAAAATAAAAACATATTTTTATATAGATAATAGTTTTTCATTAGTTTCTATAAAATAATAATTCGATATGTATATATATTTACAGGGAAAACCGCTGGTGAAAAAATCCATGATTTAAGAGTGGGGATGCTTGAGAAGAAAGCTTCGGCGCTCATTATAACAGCTTTGGATGAAGTTGCGTGTGAGTATATAATGTATATATAACTTATTATATATAACTGACTTTGAACTCCACATACTAGCTACGAACATACGGCAGCCACTTTAACATTTGAGCTATCGTGTCTTAAGTAAAGTTGAGGTTAAATCACGCTTTTGTATGGAATTTTCATATTATATAATTTTGATCAAACTATATATATATATATTTATCTTATAAAGCAGTCTTGGCTCTGGCGTGGCTCGATACACTAGTTGTACTTAGCTTGCTTAATTTAGACGCTTTTGATAATTAATTAATTAGTGAAAACGAATTAATTATTATTCCGTTGCTATAATTTGGTCCCTACACTAATTAATTATTTAAACTATTATTAATTTTAAAAGAACTTCATGCCTTTAACAATGACCATCCTTTTATATTCTTTTTCTATATATATTTGTTATAATTTAATATTTTTATTGATCCACAGATACACTGAATCTAAGAGGTAGCGATATAAATTATAATCCAGTATTTTTCTCCTATTTATTGCTAACCCCCGACGTAGTAACGTTATTCTGGAGTGGGGGTTGCATTCCCGACGATATACGACGAAATTTATCTGAAGAAGGGGTCGAGATTGTGGGTCGGCCTTACGATGACGTCATTGGGGGTTTGAGTGATTTGGCTGTGAGTATATACTAGTTTTTGTCAGCGACTTCGTCTGCGTTAGTTTTAGAATTAGTAATGTATCGTCATCAGCCTATCAACGCTCAATACTGAGCAAGGCCTCTTCTCACATGGAGAAGGTTAGAGAATTAATCACCACGCTTGCTCAAGACGGGTTGGTGATTTCAAACTTATAATTGTGAAACTGTAAGTCCAGTTTTCCTCACGATGTTTTCCTTCACCGTATTTCAGTGGTGTCTAAATGCTCTCAGAAAGACAATATAACTCCGAAAAATAACATTGATACTTGCCAGAATCGAACCCACGCCCTCATGCATGAGAGGCGGACCCTTTAACCACTAGGACACCACTGATGAGTAATGTATAGACTGGGCGAACTCTATTCCTTAAAGACAGTACATAACATTTTGTATTTAATCAACTTATTTTTTCTTTTTCAATTGTATGTAAAGTATCCTATGTCCTTTCTATGTTCTAATCTATCTCTCCACCAATCTACATCCAAACCCGTACAGTCGTTAGAATTATAAATAGTGTAACTAACACGACTTTCTTTTATATATATATATATGTTTGTTTTATTTCAGCGTCAGTTATCTAATTCTGGTGATGATGAACATTCCGTGTGGATATCAAACGAGGCGAGCGAAGCTATACATAAAGCTGTTTCCGGGGTCTGTATATATATAGATTTTAAGTATTAATTTAAATGAAACTAATATTTTTCGTATACTACGCGTATTATTATTTAAACTACATACGACTAAATTTCAGCAAACTAGTTAAAATTAATCATATTGGGCAGACCCTGGCAAAAGCTGGGAGATTGCCAGGAAGAAGTGTACGAAAATTTACTTTTTCAAATACATATGACAGCGAATAATATAATATTATCTCTTGTTTCTCTTGAATCAAGACTAAAACAAAAAATGTGCAGTTTATTAGTCTATATTTTTCATATACTCTGTAATTTCATTTTTTGTCCCGCTCACACATTCTTATAGTCTATTTCGCTCACACAGAGACAATAGAATATACTTGTCTCGCTCGCACAAAGTTTTATCATCTGTCTCGCTCACACACAAACTCCTCATAGTTTCTTAATCACTATCTCCATCTCTTTCTATCATATGATATATATCATCCGTCCTTGTCGCTCTTCCAGGAAGGTGTATTGAAGAAGCCTCTTAATTTAATATCGGAAGTGTCTCCAGTGGCTTTGGCGAAATTGGTGAAGAATGAAGTCGAATTAGAGGTACGTGGGTTCAATACTGGTTTAATGTACCTTATATATATATATAGCAGACCCTGGCTAAAGCTGGGAGGTTGCCAGGAAGAAGAAGATATAACATTATTAGACTATAATTTATATATTTCAATTTTTTTGCATGATATTATAATTTATCTTAGAAATTTTTGATACGAAAAATTTTATAATAGATGTACGTATATATAAATTTAGTTTTTTTGCATTAACTCGGTCCACTATCACCAATAAGGGTAATTTTAGTCTTTATACATGTAATATTCAATGATAAATTTTCTTAATTTTTTTTAATACATATATACACTGTAAATTTCAATTTTACCAATATTTCTTATTTATATGTATAATACATACATATATAAATACAGATTTTTTTGCATAAACTTGGTCCATTACCACCAATAAATGTATTTTTTTTGTCTTTACATATATAATATCAAATAAATATAATTTTTCAGGGTTTCCGTAATTGTCACATTCGTGATGGCACGGCTGTGTGTAGATTCTTCAAGTGGCTTCACCAACAAGTGGATGAAGGGAATAAGATTACTGAAGTAGAAGCTGCTCAGAGATTGTTGGAGTTTAGGAAGTGAGTTATATGATTATCATCATCATTATTATCATCAGCCTATCAGAGCACACTGTATAGACATATTATTGTATAGTTAAAACAAATTTTTAATGTTAATTTCACATAGAATACTTGTTCAATTCCTAATATTATAAATGCGAAAGTAACTCTGTCTGTCTGTCTGTTACGCTTTCACGCCTAAACCACTGAACTGATTTTAATGAAATTTGGTACAGACAGAGTTGACCGTGAGAAAGAACGTAGGATAGTTATATCCCGGATTTTTTAAAGGTTCTCTTGGAAACGTGACATAACCGAAATCCACGCGGGCGAAGCTGCGGACGGAAAGCTAGTTTATATAAGACTTATTTGATCCTACTAGTAGTGTTATAAAAACAAAGGGAAATTTAAACACATATTCTGACAACTTTGTCTATATATCAACTAACTATACAATCAGTAGGAGATTAGTCTCATATAAGAGGTGTTTGGTGGTATTAGTCTTTTAAAATAGGACAAAGTAGATCGTCATCATCCTATCAGAGCCCACTGCTGAGCCTCTTCTCACATGGAGAAGATTAGAGCATTAATCACCACGCTCGCTCAAGACGGGCTGGTGATTTCAAACTTATACATAATTTGATTATAATCAGTCAGTGATGTCTAAATACTCTTATAAAGTACATATGACTCGGAACATCACATTGATACTTGCCAGGATCGAACCCGCGCTCTTATGTATGAGAGGTGAGTGATGTTATATAGACGAAACTCCTCATCCTTCCATATATTCACGGTGCGTGTGTCGTGTCCATCGTTGTAGTGAGAGGAGCTTCAACAGTGACTGTGACTTGTGACCCAGGTGTAGGTTTAAGGGTCCCTTTCTAACGTTAAACGATCACCTACACCGTACAAGCTCCTCTCTCTATTTGATTACATTTAATCCAATTAAGACACGATAGTTCAGTCAGTATAGTAACTGACATGAGATTTTTGTTGGTAGTAACTTCGAATCATGCTAGCGATGTCAAATTTTCCATTCAATATTCACTGTTTTGAATTTTATTTTCGTGTTTTTTAATTGATAAGTTGAATTTTAATAGCTTACTTTAAGGTCACGTGCTAAAGACTAGTGACTCAAGGGTGAGGCTAGTATTAAAGATATTTTTGCTTCTTTTCATTGACTAGATATACATACAATATTATTCTTAATTAAGTCAGTGGTGACCTAGTGGTTAAAAGGCCCGCCTCTAATGCACGAGGGCGCGGGTTCGATCCTAACAAGTACCAATGATGTTCCGAGTCATATGTACTTTATAGGAGTATTTAGACATCACTGATTAATGCATTCCCAAAGATGGTTGATGTCAGGCAGGCGCCCGATCGTAAAAACAATTAGCCAAAACTATTCACAACATGTAAGACAGACCCTGGCTAAAGCTGGGAAATTGACAGGTAGAAGAAAAAATATTCTTAGTTATATATCTGATTGTTTGTAAGGCATAAAGGCTGGAGCCATTTTGTTGAAGTTTAGTATAGAAGTAGATATGGCCTAAATCACAAGATATATTGTGTTATGAAGAAGTCATTTTTTCTTCTTTCTTGCACATCTAATATTTATTTGTTTATTTATTTATATGTATATCGTAGGGAGGAAAAAGATTTCATGGGCCCTTCCTTCGAGACTATATCCGGTGCGGGCGAGAACGGAGCTGTCATACATTACTCACCGACAGATGACGCGCCCAGGGTCATTACTGATGATGACGTGTACCTGCTGGACTCTGGCGGGCAGTACAGGTGAGGGAGATGGAGAATAGAGATTATATATATGTGGGAGGGAGATGGAGAATAGGGATTGTACATGTGTGGGAGGGAGATGGAGAATAGGGATTGTACATGTGTGGGAGGGAGATGGAGAATAGTGGTTATGTATGTGTACGTGAGCGAGATGTTAGATGGTAGTACTGTGTGTGAGCGAGATAGGACATAGGGAGTGTATACGTGGGAGGGAGATAGAGGATAGTGATTGTATATGTGTGAACAATATATACTATAGAGCTTAGAGAATCCATATATGTGTGATCGAGATAGAGGATAGTGATTATATATGTGTGTGTGTGTGTGTGTGTGTGAACGAGATAGAACATAGGGATTTCATATACGTGTGAGCGAGATAAAGCATAGTGATTCTATTATGTGTGTGAACGAGAAAGAGCATAGTGACTATATATATGTGAACTAGATTTAAGATTACTATGTTTGAGCAAAATAGAGAATTGGGACTGTAAGCGTGTCTAAGTGAGATGGAGCATAATGATACTAGTGTGTGAGTGAGATGTTAGATGATGGAACTGTTTTTGAGCGAGACAGAGAATAGTGAATTTATATATGTGTGAGCGAGATAGAGAATCGTAATTCTGTACATTGTGAGCGAGATGTAAGATGTAGTACTGTGAGTGAGCGAGATAGAGCATAGATAGCCACTCTATATGTGAGTGAGCTAGATTTAAAATTGTTTCAAAAATTTTGTTTGTAACCGTATAGAATTATTACTTTGAATGAGAGTAAGGTCACATAACATGTTCCATTACTTGAAATTAAACAAGTTGAACGATAAGAATAGGTTTATTTACAAAATATATATTGTTTCGCTCTATATATGACATCTTAAATAGCAAAATAAATAAGATTAATTATTTATATTTTATATGTATAGGGACGGTACAACGGACATAACTCGCACTCGTCACATGAGTGAACCAACGGACCTACAGAAAGAAACATTCACTAGAGTACTCAAGGGTCAAATCGGTATCGGCGCTGCTCTGTACCCCGCGGGGGTAAAGGTAAGTTATGACCAAGGTAACGATGCGTTATACTCATCTAGTTGAATTGTTTTCACATAGAATCTTATTTTACCTTAAGAGTTATATTTTAAATTTTATCTAAGAATTTGTTTACTAAACTATAATTACTTTTGTTTGCATATAAATTCCATAATTTATTATAAAAATTACCCTGCCTTCTATAATAATATTAAACTTTCCGAATTACTAATTGTTACCCCAACTCAATAACCCATATCATACATAATTTCCTAAGGTGAATTTACCGAAAATATTTTTTTAATATATTATACTTTCATAGTAATAAAATCTAGGGTAATTAATATATTTACCAGGGTAACGTCCTAGACTCGTTAGCACGTAAATATCTATGGGACGTCGGTCTAGACTATGCTCATGGTACGGGACACGGCGTTGGACACTTCTTGAACGTTCATGAAGGACCCTCGGGAGTATCGTGGAGACCTTACCCTCACGATCCCGGACTAAAAATGGGGCAGATATTGAGTAACGGTGAGTATATATATACATATAATATAGACATCTACTCATGTTGGTGCCATCCCTACTAATATTATAAATGCGAAAGTAACTCTGTCTGTCTGTTTGTCTGTCTGTCTGTCTGTCTGTTACGCTTTCATGCCTAAACCATTGAACTGATTTTAATTAAATTTGGTACAGAGATAGAGTTGACCTTGAGAAAGAATATAGGAAAGTTTTTATCACAGACTTTTGAAAGGTTCTCTTGGTAACATTAAATTCTTCAGTTTATTATAAACTAGCTTTCCGCCCGCAGCTTCGCCCGCGTGGAGTTCGGTTATATCGCATTTCCAAGAGAACTTCTCAAAAGTCTGGGATAAAACTATCCTATGTTCTTTCTCAAGGTCAACTCCATCTGTACCAAATTTCATTAAAATCAGTTCAGTGGTTTAGGTGTGAAGGCGTAACAGACAGACAGACTGAGTTACTTTCGAATTTATAATATTAGTAGGGATTTTACTGTGAGTTTATTTGTAGACATAAACAGTTTGTTAAGATATGAATGACTCAAAAGTTTGTTATATGTGTACCTTTTATAATCTTCTTCCTGGCAATTGTCTATCACTTAACCAAGGCGTATATATCTAAAATCCTCATTAACTTCCTGTCAACACTTTGGATGTCATTAGTAATAAATAAATTATGATTCTAGAGCCCGGGTATTACCGGGTCGGGGAATTCGGTATCCGGATAGAAGATTTAGTGGAGACTATCAACGTAACTAAGGATACAAACCACCCTAGGGTAAGATATATACAGGGTGACACAAACGAACAGGGTATAGTCCATTAGACTTAAGCCGAGCTTTGCATTTGTGTGAGTGAAAGTAAAAGTAGAGTTAGACAAAAAACTTTTAGAAATAAATTTTATTATATTTTAAATAGTAATTAAGTAAGTTCTGTAAAATAAGCAAAACTTATAAAATGCCAAATGGAAATATTATGAATATTATGGAAAAAAAAATTTGGAAAAATTTTTCTTCACTTGACATTGCGTTTTCAACATTTGAAGCTGTTATCAGTACAAAGGGTGAAGTGAGGAAGGCGCGGGGCGGAGTAAAAGCAGTATAAACCGGTTCAAAACTAGAAAACCACGTGGCATACAAAAATTTGACATCTCACCTACACTATCCGTGTACACTCACATGCAAAGCTCAGCTTAAATCAAACGCACTATAGTAAATAACAGTTATCCCTATTACCCTGACTATTTTCAATCAAAAAGTCTACTTTTGAATATTTTAACTTAAATTCATAAACTTTTTATACAGGGTAACTGAAATAAACAGGGTAATGAACAACATTTATCTAAATTACCCTAGTTACGATTATTTTTAATCAAATTCTATTTTTATGATTTACCTTATAGTTCATAAACTTGCAAAATATCTTTACATTTTGCTGTTTTAAGCTATAATTTTTCTTAAGGGTAATTTCTAACAATTATATATAGGCCAAAGATCTTCTTGGTGACTACAACGGGCGCGGCGTGTTGGGTTTCAATACGTTAACCCTCGTACCCAATCAAAGGAAATTCATCAAAACTCAGTTACTAGATGAGTTTGAGGTGAGTTAAAACAATAAAAATAGTCAGTTAGTTGTTCTATAGAAATTTATTGTAACGACGAATGATACAGTATGAGAAATTTAATGATAGATAATATCTGCGACTACCAAAGTGATAGTCAATTTATAAGCTGATTTTTTACTAGTTAGTGGAGTATTGTTAAGTTTTTTTTAAGTTATAATCGTATTTTGTAAAGAAATCTCTTAAATTTTTAAGAATAATTCATTTCAAATTCAGCTACAGTATATAAATGACAATATAACCTAAATGTAACTTTAAAAAACTACAAGAATTTCATTATTAAATTATATTTTTTACTTAAAATGATTCCTTTTTATCAAATACATTTATGTAATACTCAGGTTTAGTTCAAATATGTAAATCTATAAACCATATATATAAAACATCAAAACTATAACAAAAAATATATTCATAACAATATTTGCCCAAATTTACACTTTTTTTCTATATTATGAAAGAAAATCTATATAAATATATATATTTACAGATCAAATACATAAATTCCTACCACAAGAGAGTATTGGATACTCTGGGACCGATATTGAAGAACCGAGGCTTGATGGATGATTACGCCTGGCTGGAGAAGGAATGTTCTCCACTGATGTAGACGAGGAAGAAGTAAGAAACTATTAAAACAGACATATGTATATAAATAAATACGATTTAAGACGAGAATGGTGCAAAATAAATAGAAAGCTTTATAGATATGACACTGATCAGAAATTTCTTTTTGGAAGGCACCTTTTATGTGATATATGTTTATTTATTATAATATATACAATATTAAGAAGAAATATCACTAAGTTAATGTTAAAATAACTTTGAATCCCATTCAATAAGATTAAAAGAATAATTTATCCTGAATTTTGTTCCAAGAAAATCAAAATAACTCAAAAACTATGAAATCTTTTTTTTTCAGATTCACCAGGACCTTGGAATTTTTTTTGACAAATTATTTTGAAGTACGCAAAAAAATTTACCGCGTAATATATGAAGTACATAGCTTCTGTCACATATATAAGATGAAACAAAGGACCCATCACACTGCCTTGGAGAACACCCAAATATTTTTACGAAATTATTAATAATATTTAATTATTATCCAACATTTGTTTTTTTTTTTACATACAATGCGATCAGATTATAATAAATTATATATTATTTACATATTTGTTTTATTTAAACACCAAATTTTAGATAAACTGCCATAAATGTGGGACAAAAATAATTTTGCGTTTGTCAAAATTCTGTTTTACACAAAATTGACCATCTATCAGTTTTTGTGATGCCCTGATAATATTGTTATTCATTATTTTCATATTATAATTAAAATTCTTTTTGACAAAATCTAAGCAAATTTTGTTCCTTATTGAATAGGTTTCTTGTGTAAGGAGCATCTTATATACAGCGTGTTCTAAAAACTGTGTCCTTGAAGGCATGTATACATATAAGCTTATTATAAAAAAATAGTATAACTTAAAAATTATCAAGCAGAGGTCAGTTACAGTGCATAAGCTAAATAAGTTTTAAATCGACATTATTTGAAAAAATATTACATCTGACATTTAAACAGTTAAGGCGTCGTATAGTCGCGCCAGCGCACGCGCGGCCATACATCGCAGGCGCCGGAGTTATTATTATTATTTTGTTAGGTTTTCGAATAGAGATTTGCGAGTTTAAAAATTAGGTATATCGATAAATATTCTATCGATATTTTCAATATTGCTATAAATCGTTATGCTTTTCACATTAAAATAATTTCATTTAAAATAACTTTTATTAATAATAATTAACATTTATTAATCAATATTATAATTTGGAACTTCTTCAGGTAAATTAACTATGTTGTATTATTAGGATAAATCGTTAATCTACTTTTGTTAAAAATCAAAAATAATATTAATGTTTGATATATCAAAATAAGTATTGAAATAATATGAATATTAAATATTTATTTATTGTTATGATTTTTTTAAATATCGATATTTTTTATTCGAGCCTATGCCGCCCTTTTAATAAAAAAAAATTATTAGTTAGTTCCTCGTGGAAATTTCTTCCGAGTGGATTACTTTTTGGTTACGGTTTTATAAAATTGTGTTGTTTTATAAAATATACGTCAACCAGGAATATTTCAATATTTTAATGTGTCTAGTAATTATGTGATTATAATTATAGGGAATCGCGTAGACTTTATGACAAACTGTTTGCTTCTCCAAGAAACATACCATTACCGTCACTTAATGCATTTTAGCGTCTTCATATACGCATGTACAATTTCGGAAATGTCGATGGCCGTGAACAACAACGTGGTAATGTGGGAAGGCCGAGGGTTGATAATGACGATCTAGAGGAATACATATCAGATATTCTTCGATCCTACGCAAAGCACGCGCTCGGTGGGACATCAACTCTGTGCCGACCATACGCGTGTATGGAAAGTTTTAAAGGAAAATGCCCAGCACCCGTACCATTATCGTCGAGTACAGTTATTAATTCCTACCGACTTCGAGCCTAGAATGGCATTCTGCAGATGGATTTTAAACGAAAACGATGAAGTCAGTGAATTCTCGAGCCGTATACTTTTTAGTTAACTAAGTGTTATTTTAAATTGATTCCTAACATAGTGAAACGTATCGATATTTGAAAAAAAGTAGTATCAGTGAATAGTTAGTGATTAAACAATCAAAATAATGTGTATGTACGTTCGAGTTCGTCACTAGTAGCGCAGCAGGTGTGATGACGTCATTGAGTGTCATCGTGTTATACCAGGGCTTACAAACATTTGGTTACTCTACATATAATATTCATTTAATATTTAATTTTATTATTTTTATTCAAGAGTTTGTAAATGTAAGTTGTTTGATTGTGTTCCATTTCCGATACTGATAACGCATTTAAGGGGATTGACACAATTTTTCATACACCCTGTATAAATAACATGATTTAAACTAATCAGTACTATATTTGAAAATCATATCAAAGATTATTTATCACACAATTCTTGACAGACATCTTGTCACATGTATGTAGATAGAGGAACGATTTCAACAAAAAAAAATGGACGCAAACAATAAAATATAAAAATAAGAGGCATGTCGGGGTACTATACTAGTGAGAATTGTTGCAAGCAAGCTTGTGGTATACAACAACTTGGGTATATTTTCATGTAAAACTTCTCTCAATTTGTTTTACTAGCTTTTTCATCATTCTGAACAAATTACAAACAATCTTAGCATAAATAGTATTTAAAAGGACTTGTTATAGAAAAAATACATAAAACATTGATTATTTCCAGTTTGCAATTTTAGTTCTATTGTAATGGTCGTAGAAATCTGTATTCACATTTGTTTTTATATGAAATTAAGATAAAGTTTGATCTCCATAGTAATCTTTAAGACAGAACAAAAACCTCTCATCATTCAATGTATTCACCGTGCGTGTGTCGGGTCCATCGTTGTAGTGAGAGGAGCTTCAACCTCATATGTATAACGTTCGTTAATCATTCTGTTACCTTTTTATATGAATGAAGTTAATTTCTTTATTAAGTATAACTGACCCGACGGACAATGATCTGTCTTTTTAACTGTGATTATTGAATTCTAATTAGTATATTAATATATCAAAATTATTCCAAAAACAGTGTTTATTATTCTAATCCTTTATTATACCTACGTGAATAGGTATATATAACTGTGAGAGACACATTATTTCAATAAAAAAGTGAAATACTCTAGTTTTTTTTTTCTAGAAATTTTCGTATTTATTTCTTACATAAGAAACTTCTCCTAATAATACTTAACAAATACAACAAAAAAAGAATTAGTGTAATCGGTCCAGACATTCACGAGTGATGCCGTGACCAATGGAAAAAGGGGTTAAATTTTATAACAAATTTCTTTAAAGATTTATCTTTATTTGGTGGAGGGAAGCCTAATATTAAATTGTAATTATCAACTATCATTAAATTTAACTTTCAGTCACCGTTTACACAACTGTTAATAGCAATACTTAATTTAATTGAAACTATATTCGAATTTAAGAAATAGTTTTCAAGATTAACTTTTATCTTCTTCTTCTACCTGGCAATTTCCCAGCTATAGCCAGGGTCTGCCTTACTTGTTGTGAATAGTTTTTGGCTATTTGTTTTTACGACCGGCCGCCTGCCTGTGGCTGACATCAACCCTCTTTTGGGAATCAACATTAATCAGTGATGTCTAAATACTCTTAGAAAGTACCTATGATTCGGAAAAATCACATTAGTACTTGCCCGGGCCAGGATCGAACCCGCGCCCTCGGCGACGAGAGGCGGGCCCTTTAACCACTGAGCCACCACTGACTTGAAGATTAACTTTTATATCATGTATCAAAGTTTAAGGCAAAGTTTGCCTCATCTATTTTTTTAACTGATCTTAATAAAAATTTATACTTAGTCATTTTTAACACGAATTTATTATCTTTGTGTTTTCTCGCAACTATCATCAATTTATCTATTATGTATCACAAATTCTAAAACTAAGACTGTTATTAAAAATCTATAATAGTTCCAGGGCAGACCCTGGCTAAAGCTGGGAAATTGCCAGGAAGAAGAAGAATAGTTCAAACGATCTTTCGTTATTAGAAAATATTAATTTAATATTGACAACGAGGTTGAATACAGGAAATTTAGTTCCAAAAACGAAAATTCACTGAATTTTTATCAATATATTAACGTAAATAAAAGATAATATTATCATCAATAAAACACAAATTATCTTTAAGATAATTATTTATTAGTTGTATTACAAGTAACAACGAATTTCTATCCACTTAAGAAGCAGACTGATAATTTTTTTTACGTCAAGAATTTGAGTGCTTATAAGTGAAATTTGATAATTTTGGTATAGAAAAGGGAATTGGAGGAAATTTATTTTTATGGAATTTTTAGTGTTTCTTTAAAACAAACTTTATTAACACTATTTACAAGTCATAATTGATTGCCATCATGTGATCGAGCGGCACATTCCCTGTCGCTCTATCTCTTTATCCCCGAGCGTTAAATATTTAACGCAACCTTGTTAAAAGTCGCATAAGAAATTTCGATCCAATAATCTTCTTGCAGTGCATAGTAAATATGACACTAGTACAGCTTACACATATATAACGACAAACGCCAAAAAAATCCTAAGAATATTCACAATGTTGATAACTCGTTGAAAACATATTTAAAATTAATATTAAATCTGACTATTTAACTTGTTACGTACGAGCTACATATATACTTGTATCGGTAAACTATCATATAACTCTTGACGCCGCTGACTCCGGGGAACGAACACCAAGCCGAGTGAACCAGAAGATTCCTGATACACACAAGCTATGGAATGGTATTGCTATCATAACATCGGGTCAATCATGTAGTCTTAGGTGTAGGTTATAAGTTTTAATATGTGATTCTTATTATAATATACATACATATATGTAAGTAAGTTTCATAGTTTTCCTGGAACCTCCGGTTGCCACACTTTTTTTTTTTTGTTATCGCGGTGAAAGGTTTTATACCTACCCCTCCGTCTAGGGGAGACAGAGGCGGTTATGTGGGATTCACGGCCAGAAGGGCCCATGTTACCCACTAAAACACCAGCGGTCACTCTCCGTTGCCGCCAAGTGGATCGCCACGGGAAACGCCGAAGCATGCATCCGCGACGATCCGGCGGCGGGCCGCGAACGGCCACCTCCCCCCCCGAGGGCTCACTCCAAGTGACCAGGAGTGTCCCCCCGCCTGGCGGGCTTGCTTAATCGCGAGAGGGTTAACCCCTTACCCCTCCCACCCAAGCCCACGCGGCCAGTCTCCAACCACCCACCGACGAGCGCAAGCGCCCGACGGCAGACAGAGAGGAAACCGACCGACCACAAGCGAACTCAGGCCTCCGGAGAGACCCGAGTATCCCCTCCCCCCCCCCCAAGACAGCCACGGACGGCCTCCTGCCAGATCCGTGACCGTCTTACTCCCAGGGCTGTACCCCCAGCCCTCCCCCCCGTGACTGATTGCACCGGAATACACCAGTGGGCGATGGGGTCGTCACGTCCCGACGCCGGACTGCGCCGACAGTGGCCGAGGCCACCCGCCAACACGTAGGGCCGAACTTGGCAGCGGCGGTGTACACCGCCGAGCCTCGTCCTACCCACCTCCATGGGCTGCACCCCCAGCCCGGGCCAAGACCCCACGAGGAGGTCAAGGCCCTTCCCCCCCGTGACTAATTGCACCGGCATACACCGGTGGGCGATGGGGTCGTCACGTCCCGACGCCGGAGCGGTTGCCACTCTATAATTAACTAAGATATAACTTATTTGTGTACAGAATTTTAACTACAAATCAAAAATGCTTATAGATATCTAATATTCGCGTGTACTCATATAAATAAAGTTAAAGTTTTCGAATACCACATAATTTCGAACACCCGAAATCAAAGTGAGTTAGTTAGTTTAATATATTCACTTATTTATTATAAATATTAATATTACCAGCCCCTTAAAGATCTCTGATAAATATTTACATAACAATTGAGTAAGGATATCTTTATATAAAAGAAAGTCGTGTTAGTTACACTATTTATAACTCTAAACTGTACGGGTTTGGATGAAGATTGGTGGAGATATAGATTAGAACATAGAAAGGACATAGGATACTTTACATTTGATCGAAAAAGAATAACAATGGATCAAATCTAAAATCTTCTTATCTACTTTCTTTAATGAGGAATGGAGTTCACCCGGACAGATATACATTACTAATTCAGAAACTAACGTAGACAAAATTGCGGGCAAAAACTAGTATATATATTGGTATTTATGTCAATACCAATATATATATATATATCTTTATATAATATATAATCAGATAAGTTTTAAATCTAAATAAATTTATATAAAACAATAAATCTTGATAACAGTCAATACGATACAAGTGTGTGGATTACAATGATCGCTCGTGTCTTTATAATATTGTAAGTTATATATTGTTATAAATTTTAACCTGATTTACTGTTTTTAACCAAAAAAATACCAAAATACTACATAACAATGTATAATATGTAAACAAAAATGGAAATATACGATTAGACTAATACGTAAATACGAAAAAACTTATAAAAAATCTTGTTATATCACATTAGTTCAACAACAGATTTGTTTAAGATAAAAATATTAGTATTCTTAAGATTTTTTATAATTTAAACTTTGAATTTGTGTGAAAATTGTAATTCAAAGTACCTGTAGCGTTGAGAAACTTAGAAAATATGACGATGTAGTGTTTTCCACATACAAATAATTACTCACATTTCATTTATGTTAATTCTTTATAATATAAGATTTTCGAATATGCTCATTTTAATAAAATACTTTTGTTATTATTTATAGATATACTTCTGTCTCGTCTTCGTGATCACGATTTCTATAAAGGAAAAATTAAACTCATTTTACACTTCAATATCTAAAATCATTAGTACCTACAGAATAAATCTCTTAAAACAGTTATACTATTCAAATATATAAATCTGGCAAAACAACAGACAGTTGCTTTATTCATATACTTATTTATATATATTTGTAATAATAAAGCGTACGATGAAAGACGACATGAATCCTCTCATCATTCCATGTATTCACGGTGCGTGTGTCGGGTCCATCGTTGTAGTGAGAGGAGCTTCAACAGTGACTGGGACTTGTGACCGAGGTGTAGGTTTAAGGGACTCTATATAACGTTAAACGATCACCTACACTGTCCAAACTATCAATGAAAAAACTGTGCATTTAGTTAAGACGACAAAATTATACCAAAAAACTACAATAAATCATATTTACGGTTCATAAACTTATTCTTTTATTTATACGTAATTATGAAAAACCTTCATTAATTATTTTACAGTGCCGCACAAAATCTGGTGATTGGTAATCTACATTCTTTCGAAGTCAACACATATTCACAATACGCTGAAAGTCATGTATCAGGTAAGTTATTGAAATATGTAAAATATTTTAAAATAATAATATTTGTATCTTTTGTGAGCTCAGAGACATATGCTTTGACATCAAATGATAAGAATATACGAAAACAATGAATTTTCGATAGAAACCTTTCATTTTTTTAATGGTCACAATTCTCAATATTTATTTAACTTCCTAGTTATAAAAGCCTTATTAAAGATATAGGCTGTTTATTTTCTAGTGCAATTACATTTAAACTACTAATAAAAGTTATTGCAAATATATAATTCCTCTGGATCTATCCTGAATTTCATTGAAAATAAACTTATTGTGTTAAGTAAATCAAATAATTTTATATATAAGCATTGCTAAACTCAATTTAATATTTACTATCTATATTCTATAATATTACACACGTAATATAAACAGAAGTACTGCTTATAATCCAAAATTAATAATATTTATAGGTAATTCAAATGGCAAGAAACTAAGCAGATCTCAAAGCTTGGAACGTGTGACAGCCGTCAGAAATGTTATGACAGAGAGAGGACTTGACGCCTTTATAGTACCTACTTCTGACGCGCATAATGTGAGTAAAAACAAGTAGTAACTAGTAAGGAATATGCAATATATAAAGGGTGACTGGTGAATTACTATCAATATTTAAGGAGAATACTCGGTACATGATTCTCATTCGAATTATGTAAAAAAAATAGGTACTTAATTTTTGACCAAATTTCCGTATAAATAAATAAAGTGTGGACACATTCCAAGTGTTCCAAGTGTGGACGCGTGGATCGTCAAATATCACGTCCTCAAGTATCGATAGTAATTCACCAGTCACCCTGTATATTATATATGTTTTTATATAGCAAAAACGATTTAATCCTAATCATTATCTTTCGTAGAGACTTACTTAACATTAATTATATATTTTAAATTTAAATTTAATTTACGAATATTTCACTTAACATTTGATTTAAAATAATTTTTCATGACATCATTACATATTATAATCTAAATCATCATCATTATCGTCATTATTGTATTAAATTTTAAATATTTTTATCCATATTGAACTGTTTGTCATAACTCATCGTTACCTTCTAAAATGCCCGTCATAACTCATTGTTACCTTTCAATATATATAACTTACCTGTTACCAGTCACAATATATAGCGCCGGCGGATGCTAGACGGGAATGGCTGTCGGGACTTTCGGGTTCTGCTGGAACAGCTGTAGTAACAGCTAACAATGCATTACTATGGACTGATGGTAGATACTTCACGCAGTTTGAAATGCAAGTTGATACAAGTATTTGGACACTCATGAGAATTGGTAAGTAAAAGAATATAGTATTCTAAAGTTTACTTATAATAATAGAGACGAAACCTCTTAGCATTCAATGGATTCACCGTGCGAGTGCCGGGTCCATCGCGTTGTAGTGAGAGGAGCTTCAACAGTGCCTGGGACTTGCGACCCAGGTGTAGGTTTAAGGGGCCCCTTAACTATCGCGCGTTATACGCTCACCTCCACTGTCCAAGCTCCTCTGCCTACCTAACCAAATTTGAAAAGAACCTACTAGGGCTGCATTCGATGTACGTTCCAAGAATGCATTAATGTGAGTTCTGGACAAGCCCAAGTCTTTTAGTAGGTTATAGAGAGATTTCTCTGTTATACCTCTCGCTCCCACCTCTACCGCGTACAAATCTACGACGAACCTATAGATTTAGTTATTTATTTGTAATCTTTAGACCCAGTTTCACCAATCAATGTTTGTTTAGTCTAATCACAGCATTTACTAACCAACCTTCAAAATTATAAATTTTTATTTAAATATTTACGTCCCACGATGACAAATTAACAACGCATTATTAAACGTCATGTCAAATGACCGACTACCAAATTATTCGTTCTTGTTATAAGACGACCAAATGGAAACTATAGCGTTTAACACGGCACGTTTGACACGATGCACCACTTTATACTTTGATCTTATATATCCCTCGATACGTCACTTGTAAGCTAATGCGACCAAAGTTGCATACATTTAGAACACAAAAAGCTTTCTTTTCAATTTACTAGGTGTTACTTGTCAAAATCGTGTTGTCAATAAATTGTGTTATAAATATAGACATAAATTGTTTTCAAATTATAAGAAATAAAAAGAAAACTTAATTTGCAATGTCATAGAAAAGTTGGAGGCAAAATCATCATACTAAATGGAATTTTAATTCACTTTATTAATAATAACAAGGAAATAGTCGAAACTGACAAAACAGATGACGTTACTATGGTTACAAGAAATCAAGGCTGTGATTGGACAATTGAGTTTTGACAATGCTTTAATAGTCTATTAGCCATTAGACGGAGCTCCAGAGCAGGAATTAATATTAGTGACTTAAGTACTACTTAAGTAATACTTAAGTTAAGACATTTAAACGGACATTTGTGCGTGGTGGGACGCTCGATACATCTAACAGAGCATCAAACGCATTAACACGATGTTACTTATTTAACATTGATTGGTGAAACTGGGTTTTAGTTTTTATTATCGTCATTATTCAGGTACTGATGTGACTATTGAGAATTGGTTAGCATCAAATATGACAGCCGGTTCAACAATTGGTATTGATCCAACTACCTACACACGCAGTTCCTGGATAACTTTGGAGGTAAAATATTTAAATACTTTCACAAATCAGTATTATATAAAAATTCGTTAAAAAAGGTTATAATTTTATAACAAAAGAATTATACAGGAATAGATTTAGGTAACATACTTGTTTCTGAATAAAAAAGTTACTCTACCGCCCTTTTAAAGATCTTAAAGTAATATAATAAACTTTTATAGTAAACCCAGATATAATGATTTTATTTCTCACAGTAAGAACTAAGTTTTATAAACAAAAACTTAAATTTATCTTCAAACATATCGTGATTTCTATTGTTAAAAAGCGAATTAATTAATAAGTATGTTTAAACTAAATTATATGTTTATTAGAATGCTGTACGAAGCGCAAATATAAGTATTGTACCAGTTTACAATAACACAGTTGATGAAGCTAGAATAAGGATTTCGGATCCCCCTCCCGCCAGGCCAAACGAACCATTATTGGCACTTTCAGTAAATTTCACAGGTAAGTTATACAGGGTGACTGGTGAATTACTATCGATACTTGAGGACGTGATATTTGACGATCATATATGACAAAATAAAAATTAATATAACATAAATATTAATAAACTTCTAAGTAAAGTTAACCAAAAGGTTGTAGGTGTTGTATCAGCACGCCACCGCACGCGTCCACACTTGGAACACTTGGAACGTGTCCATACTTTATTTATTTATTCGGAAATTTGGTCAAAAATTAAGTACCTATTTTTTTTACATAATTCGAATGAGAATCATGTACCGAGTATTCTCCTTAAATATTGATAGTAATTCACCAGTCACCCTGTATAAGTTAAGGTAATTCGTATAACAATATCTTTTTTATCCATAATTTAGATATTTACTTTCTTATTAGATGTAAGATTTTTCTGATTCTTTTTAATGAAATTAATATTGTAGGAGGTATTACGCGTTTTCTTATTATTTTAACTACATACTCTCGAAATTTCGTTGACTTTACAGCAACCGTGATCACTAAGACTAGATGTGAATTCATTCCATATATTAGTTTCATTTAAATGAATACTCGCGAAAGTCTTAGATCTCATTACCTAAAACATACTTCTCTATCTATATTTACTATCCATAATTAATATATTAACTTTTTATTGCCTGTTTTATATGTGAATTGTATATTTTATTTCAGGGAGAGCATCAAATGAGAAAATATCGAGTCTAGTCACTCAAATCCGTAGTAGAGGCGCTTCGGCGCTGGTTTTGACGGCGTTGGATGATATAGCTTGTAAGAATAATCGAATATTTATTTAAATCTTTAAAACTTTCATAAAGTTAAGAACGTATTTACGAAAGGCCTTATGAATTTAGCAATAAGAGAATTTTAAAAACTATCTCAGAAACTATAATATTAAAACTTATTATACTATTTAAACTGGTAATTTCAGTTAAATATAAAAAATATCCTGAGCTTTTGATTATTTAATGCACTATTCTCAAAGAAATTTGATGTAAGATTTAAAAAAAAAGAGTTTATAAGAACTAAAAAAAAAGTGTAAAATATTTTTTCATATAGGCAGAAAATAATGAACGAAAAATATTAATATTATTGTGAAAAAGTATGACTTTGTAATTTCAAGAAGAAAATATAATAGAGCAATTAAATTAGTGTAAAAACGAGCTCAAAAACTTTAGCCAAAAAAAGTGTAGCCAAAAAAGTATTCTAAAATAATTAAGATTACTAAATTAATAAATATCTATAAAATATAATATTTTCTTGTAAATGCTAATTTATTTTCATCCCCAGACGTTTTAAACATCCGTGGATCAGATATTCCTTACAATCCTGTTTTCTTCTCGTATTTGGTCATTCAAGCTGATACGGTAATTATTATTTTATATATGAAAATGTTATTTTTGTTACACTAGCTTTTGTACCCGTGTTTGTCTGTGTTATTCAAATTTATTTAATTGTAACTAGATTGTATTTTATTCTAGTAATTTTGTAAATGTTTTTGCATAGATTTATTATTTTATTTCAATATTATAAATTACTTTCGCTATGTTTTCTAAAATCTTTCTTGATTTTGGTCAAATTATAATATACATATATATGTTGAGGCTAAAAACTATCTATATATTAAGTATATATTGATAGTTATTTATCAAGATTTATAATAACGTGTTAATATTTAACAACCAGACTATCTTTTCTTAAAATTACACTTTTGTTTTAGAAATAAGGAATTAATATCACCCCAACTACATAAATGACCACAATTCGTGCTAAAAATCATTATATCTTAGTTTTTTGACAAAAAAACTTATTTTTAATGTCAGTTAATGCATATTTATATATAAATTAATTTTATTTAACAGGTTAATTCTAATATCACTCTTTTTTGGGGAGACGGTAATCTGACAGGAGACATATTGGAACATTTACAAATTGAAGGAACAAGACTAAATTGTAAACCATACACAGAAATATTTGATTATTTACGGAATATGGTGGTAAGTAACTCACTAACTCAATTATTATCTGAAAATTACTTAATTTAAGTAGATAAGTATGTAATATCAGTGTAGGATTTAAATTTAAGTTATTTTTAAGTGTCATTTTTGATGATTGAAGTCAAAAGAGGCATTTTTTTTTAACTAAAAAATCTATACAATTGTATGTCTTTACATATATAAATCAAGTGTCACGTTTTTTTTATCCTGAATTATTTGACCGATTTTATATTAGATTTAAGTATACACCATATGCAGTTTGTTCCAATTTGAAAAAAAAATTAGATAGCTTACATCCTAACTTATAGCTGCAATATTATTTTATTGCAATTTTTTCTATTATTTGACATTCACAATGATCTGTCAACTGCAAATCATTTCAACAGTTTTTTTGTGTATGTCACGTGACACAGTATAAAATATATTCTTGACATAATCATATCTATTGTTTTTTAACACACTATACATTTTACCCTGTGACATATTCACGCGGACGAAATCGCAGGCAAAAACTAGTATATTTCTATATATCGAACTTTTTGTCTATTTGGATATATTAGATTCATTTCGTTCATTCGTTCTTCTTGTTCATTCATTCTTTTCAGAGCCTCCTCCCACCCAATAGCACCGTCTGGTTACCAACCGGAGGTAGCCAGGCTATATATCTAGCACTTGAAGTGGTATGTATATAATATGTGTATTAAATAATATTATAATAAGATAAACAAGTTTTTAGGCTATTTGTAGTCATTAATTTTTAAAAAGAGGGAGTTTTTTTTGGAAGAATGATTCCAGGAATGTACTAACTCTAAATAAAATAGATTTTTTTAAATAGTATCACTTTATTTATCGTTTTATGTGCACCACAAATGTTTCTTTTTATCTAAAATAAAAATAATTAGAGATAACTAGCTTTTTTAATTCGTCTATTTTTAATGTATTAAAATTAATTAAGACCTGAAACCCAAAAAGACATTTTTATTTATTTAAAATTACTTATTTGTTTCTTTAACAACAGAATAGCGCCGTAACAACAGTCTCCACAATATCTCCTGTTGTAATGATGAAATACTTGAAAAACGATGTCGAGCTCAGGGTAAGATTCAATAATATTTCTTATAAATCCTTAATATTTATATAAAACTATGATTTTCGGGTATAACTTCATGATTTTACTATACTGCATTATACAACACGTTCTTTCTTTGATTCTGACCTTATTCATGAGACGAGATGTAAGTATCTGTCAGTTGGTCTTGTTATTTGTCATCTACTGACAACGATCTCTTAATTTTCTCTTATTACTCCGAATTCAGGCAGACTACAGGTAAAAATATACATAGTTATAGAATTATAAATCGCGTAGTATGTCCGAAAACTATAGTTTCATTCAGATATCTAATGGAAAAAATCTTACATATATTTTACATAATATTAGCTTTCCGCCCGCGTGGAGGTCGGTTATATCGCGTTTCCAAGAGAACCTTTCAAAAGTCTGGGATAAAAACTATCCTATGTTCTTTGTCAAGGTCAACTATATCTATACCAAATTTCATTAAAATCAGTTCAGTGGTTTAGGCGTGAAAGCGTAACAGACAGACAGAGTTACTTTCGCATTTATAATATTGCTAGTAGGGACTAGTATGTATAAGTAATTATTGTACATTATTTAACTTATTTTTTTATTTAAGACCATGTTTTGGGTCCCTATTGACACTTTATGCAGCTTTATATTTCAAATACTCATTGCATGATTCATAACAGTTTATAACATATAAGTAGGGATTTAGCCAGTAATAAATGTAAATTATATTATTTTAACTACATTTAAAACCTATATACCTACATTAAAATTAATATTTTATAATAAAGCATTTCTAATGTAAATTAATTTATAATTATATATATTTGAAGGGTTTTAGATCAGCTCATGTGAAGGATGGTATAGCCGTCGTAAGATTCCTCCGTTGGGTCCACGAGTTAGTGGATTCAGGAGCTAATGTTACAGAAATAAACGTGGTTGATAAATTGGACGAACTTAGAAGGTAATTTTTATTTATATAGCTCATTTTATCAACTATATTTGTCAATTTAATTAAATTAATACTGATATGTAAGGTAAATTCTCGTATTTTCTGAATTTTCCTAAAGAAAATATGTTATATTTTAACCTCTGTATGGATTTATGTCGTTAGATATTAGATTTTAAAGACATTTTTATTTAAAAGCATATTTAACAGAAAAAAATCTATGAAACTAATGATGATGCGTACACTACGAGTTTTTTTATTATTTTAACTACATACTACTGACGTTTTGGTTACTTTATAGCAACCGTGATCACTAAGACTAGATGAGAATGATCATGTCTATTAAAAATAATAAAATAATACGTATTAATCCGACAATATTAGTGTCATTTAAATAAATAGCCGCGAAAGTTTTGGATCTTAAACATTTTGTATGTCAAGTAATGTATAATGGTTTCTAAAAGTTTAAAGTTATTGTTTATTAACTTAATGTATGTAATATTAAAATCATGTTATGTTTGGATTGGATTGGGATTAAAGTATGAGAGTTTGAACAAAGTCTTCTTCAAGTAAAGAGGTTATGAAATAACTTCTACTTTATTGTAAACTTTTGTAAGATGTACTCTGCTCCACTCTTACATATTATGCATGTAGAATGTAGTAATACCTATTTAAGATCAAATAAATATCCTAATACAATAGTTTCTACATCTCTATTAAAAGATTAATTAACAAATATATTTATCAACAAAGAACAAAGACATACTTAAGTAACGATAATAGTCTAAGCAGAGATTAATGCAAAACCTAGCTTATTTCAGCTAATTTTAGTATATGCTATGAATTTTTGTGAAGAAGATTTTTCCCTAAGCAGACCTTTGTGAAAAATTTGGCTTATTTTAGTATATACTAAGATTTTTGTGAAAAGATTTGTCCTTTAGCAGAGATCGGCAAAAAACCTAGCTTATATCAGCTAATTTTAGTATATAATATAACTTTTCCTCATTTTTCTGTATCTTTTTCTTCACTTACGTGTTTTCGTTCTAACTTCTAAGCTCCTATCACCAAAAATTGTCTGTGAGAGATCGCTATAAACGATAAGACCGCCTTTGCGCACCACGTACTTATTTTATGATTTGTATTTCCCTCTTTTTTCCATGTGTTGTGCAATAAAGCATTTTAAATAAAATAAAAATAAACTTTTTTCAGTGATGAAGAATATTACAAGGGACCTTCATTCGCTACCATCGCGGGCACCGGTTCGAATGGAGCCGTCATACATTATAAACCATCTCGAGATGGCGAACAAACAGTTATTGGAAGGAATGACATGTTGTTGGTGGATTCCGGGGGGCAATACATGTATGATAATTATATTAACTTCTTCTTCTACCTGGCAATTTCCCAGCTTCAGCCAGGGTCAGCTTGTTGTGAATAGTTTTGGCTAATTGTTTTACGACCGGCCGCCTGCCTGACATCAACCCTCTCTTGGGAATGCATTAATCAGTGATGTCTAAATGATCTTAGAAAGTACATATGACTCGGAAAAATCACATTGGTACTTGCTCGGGCCAGGATCGAACTCGCGCCCTCGGCAACGAGAGGCGGGCTCTTTAACCACTAGGCTATCACTGACTTACTATTGTAATTATATTAACTATCAAAAGATTATTGCTAGTCATTTTGTAAATAACTCCGGTTAAAATCACGGTTAACGGTTCAAATAACTTGTTGTTAAACTTATGTAACTGTTTGAAGTGTGTTATTTGTATTAAATACATGCTACCAGCATTTATATCTCTAAATGAAACTAAGTTTTTCCTATGGTAGGTGTTTTTTATTATTTTATATCTATATGATTTCAACTTATTAAACAATCATAGTCACGATGACGGGAAGAAGCTTTCATAGAGATATAATAATAACAAGTTGTTATGCATCCACAAACTTAGTATCATTTTAATATACAGGCAAAAATCTAACACATCGTTTTTCCCTTATTGTCTTAATTATCAAAAATGAAATAATAATTATTATGGACAACCTTCAAAAGTTATTTTATAATATCCCACATAAAACTTAATTTATATAAATTTTGCATCTTACTTTTCAGTATCGTTCTAATAATGTCATTAATTTTTACAATTGAATACCAACGATTAAGATTTTAAGCATATATAAATAAAGTCGAGTAATGAGAAGATAATCTAGTCTGCTTCCTAAATATATTTAACTATCAGTTGCTTGCGACTTTGTCCGCTTTAGTTTTATAATTAGAAATGGTTAGCTGACCAGGTTAATTCTATTCCTCATTAAAGACAGTAGATAACAAGATTTCGTCTTTGATCAACTTATATTTCCTTTTTCAATCGTATGTAAAGTATCCTATGTCCTTTCTATGTTCTAATCTATCTCTCCACCAATCTTCAACCAAACCCGTACAGTTTAGAGTTATAAATAGTGTAACTAACACGACTTTCTTTTATATATAAAGATAGATGAAAGTATGTGTTTAATATATTTACAGGGATGGTACAACAGATATCACTCGTACCCGACACATGGGAACTCCAACGAACATACAAAAACAGACATTCACGAGGGTACTGAAGGGACAGATTATGTTGGCTACAGCCGTTTTTCCTAGAGGAACTCTGGTTAGTTCCAGTATTTTATCTTATAGTCTATAGATAACAAATAATATTGAGATCTAAGATTTTCGCGAGTAAACTAATATTTTCGGATTTTACTTCGCGTTTATATTTTTTTGATTACAAACTACATACTCACGACGTTTCGGCTACTTTTCAGCAACCGTGATCACGGCAGACATCTCGTCTGGCCGTGTAAAATCCGAAAATATTAGTTTCATTTAAACAAATAATATTCTTAAAACTTCAAAAGCAAACAATGAAATAGCAAATAATATACATATACCGTAATAACTAAGTTATACAAAATCTTCAATTAATTTTAAATATTTTTATTATTTTATTGACTCAATATTTTTAGTTTATATTTACTCGAAAGAATTCATAATTTTCATACTGTTAAGACTAAATTCAATCAAAAATATTAAAGTATTATAGCTTTTTCGTAAATGTCTAAACAGGGTAGGGATTTGGAGACGTTTGCCCGAAGATATCTGTGGGACGTTGGCTTGAACTATGCTCATGGTACGGGACACGGTGTTGGACACTTCTTGAACGTTCACGAAGGACCCGTCGGTATTATGAACATGGCTAACGACCCAGGACTCGAACCCGGTATTATTATGAGTAACGGTGAGTTGATGAGGTAACGATGAGTAACTATGAGTTATTATGAGTAATTCCGAAATATTTTTTTTATATGTATCAAATTTTTATATTGAAAATGTTTATGAATAATAAATAATATTTATCAATTAAGTATGATTTCGACGGTGGGTGGATGCAATGAAACCAAAATTATTTGACTTAATTTAATTATAAAGTAAATTACAAACTAATGGGTTCGACTATGTTCCACAAAGGTTGAACAAATAGTGACAATAACCTAATTAAATTCTTAAAAAAAATATTATAAACTAAAAACATAAAAGTAATATAAAACCAAGAACTGTCTTCACACGGAACTGCTGAGTCAGACCCGTGTAGAATAGACTAGTTTACCCAGAACCTAAGGCGTCCTCTGATTACACCGTATAAAGATAATTATATTTTAATTAAACCACCACTTATTACACCGTCACATAACAGATTTGATTTTAATAAAACGTTTTGTATATATCACATATGCAATATTCTTTAATATTTTATTATTAATTATTAGTTTTTTCGGTATAAATATTCTAATTATATATTTTTTTACAGAACCAGGTTATTATGAGGTCGGTGAATACGGAATAAGACACGAGGATATTGTTGAAGTTATTAATTTAACCAAAGATTCAGACCACATATATGTGAGTAATGTGTTTTACCGAGACTTTGTCTACTTGAGAATTATATTCAGACACTAATAAATAATAGGTAAACATAGAATTAGAGAATTAAGAATCACATATATTATGTTTATTTTAGAATCTAAGCTTTTTTAATTTGTTTATAAAAGACCAAAAAAGAAATGTTGAAAAAGGTATATATATATACAGTATCCGGAAATTTTCAGTAGAAATATAACATACAGATACATATGTATATGTCAATTATTATGAATGATTGTTATCTAATGTCTGGGAAGAAACCTCTCATCATTCCATGTATTCATATGCGTGTGTCGGGTCCATCGTTGTAGTGAGAGGAGCTTCAACAGTGACTGTGACTTGTGACCCAGGTGTAAGTTTAATATATATAGAGAGACGAAACCTCTCATCATTCCATGTATTCACGGTGCGTGTGCCGGGTCCATCGTTGTAGTGAGAGGAGCTTCAACAGTGACTATGACTTGTGACCCAGGTGTAGGTTTAATATATATAGAGAGACGAAACCTCTCATCATTCCATGTATTCACGGTGCGGGTGTCGGGTCCATCGTTGTAGTGAGAGGAGCTTCAACAGTGACTGTCACTTGTGACCCAGGTGTAGGTTTAATATATATAGAGAGACGAAACCTCTCATCATTCCATGTATTCACGGTGCGTGTGCCGGGTCCATCGTTGTAGTGAGAGGAGCTTCAACAGTGACTGTGACTTGTGACCCAGGTGTAGGTTTAAGGGACCCTATATAACGTTAAACGATCACCTCCACTATACAAGCTCTATTTAACCGAACTTTGATGAAATATTTGATAAATATGTGTGATATATTAAAATTTTTCTTACAGGCGAAGGATCTTATTGGTAATTTCACCAATCGCAGCCCAACAGCCTTTTATACTATATCTTTAGCGCCTCATCAGACTAAATGTTTGGATGTTGGCATCATGAGTGATGATGAGGTACGTGCTTAGTGCTAAGTTTAAGTTTCAACAATCTTAGTATATTTAAATGAAACTAATATCGGAATAATTCGAATATTTCATTATCTTAAACTACGTACTACCGTGATCATTGTTGCTAAGTAACCGAAACGTTGGTAGTATGTAGTTAAAAAGTAGTAGTGTACTATACGAAAATATTAGTTTCATTTAAATGAATACTCGCGAAAGTCTTTGAAGTTAGATTTTATAATCTTTTTATTTGATTCTTAATTTAGAATAGGTAAATAAAAAAGTTTAGGGATCAGGAAAACTATCTGTTAGTGGTAGTATATTTGTTAAATTTGCAAACAAAAATAAGTCATTCTTCAATCTTAATGTAGTAAGAAATTATTATTTGATTTTTTTCGTTTTATTTTGTTTTGTGCATAGCATTTTTTTATTTTAGCCGTCTTATAAATTATGTTTAAGTTATAATAGTACCTTTTCTCACTAAATTGTTAAACTTACAATGCAAAAATATTCATTTCCCTTAATCGATGTCTCTAAAACTAAAGGTGGCAACGAAAATCGTTGGCATATTAAAAAAACGTGAAATATCGTGAAAAATTAGAGTAATATACTATTTTAACCCTCCAATTATTCTTTTATCTTCCATATTTACGAAGTAAAAAATAAAATATACTTTCTATTTTCAGATAAAATACTTAAATAATTACCACGCCCGGGTATTATCTACGCTGGGGCCGATATTAAAAGAACGAGATTTACAAAAAGACTACGAATGGCTGGAAAAAGAATGTGCTCCAATACAAAGAAGTTCAGCTGTTCTTGTTAAATCATCACCATTCATGATTATCATCATCACCTCTCTATGGTACACACCATAGACACTTAATATAGAATTAAAAATATATATATAATACCATAAAGTTATAATATTCGTTTTATTCCTTCAAATATTATGTGATGTTTTAAGAAATCGTACTTTGAAAATGTTATCTAAAATCTATTTTATGATTATAAACTGTTATGAATCTCGCAATGAGTATTTGAAATATAAAGGTGCATAGTGTCAATAGGGACTCAAAACATGGTCTTAAATAAAAAAATAAGGTAAATAATTACTTATCCCTATACTAGTCCCTACTAGCAATATTATAAAGGCGAAAATAACTCTGTCTGTCTGTTACTATTTCACGCCTAAACCACTGAACTGATTTTAATGAAATTTGGTACAGAGATAGAGTTGACCTTAAGAAAGAACGTAGAATAGTTTTTATCCCAGACTTTTGAAAGGTTCTCTTGGAAACGCGATATAACCGAACTCCACGCGGGCGAAGCTGCGGGCGGAAAGCTAGTAATCTATAATAATTACTTATATTGAATAAATAAAGATTTTATATTACTTACATGTTATGAATTTATTGGAATTATTTCATTATCAAAGAGATGTATTATATTTGTTCTGTAATTTACATTAAGACGAGAAATATTTGAACCATTCCAATAATTCTATGGTGGTAGATCCTACCTCTGGTCAAGTTACTACAGCTCGAACATGTTCTGTCTCGACCGTAAGTACCACCCTCTCACAGAAGATCGGCGTGAAGTAGTCTTTAATGGCTGCGTTACGTCCGATGAGTAAGAGAGACGGTTTTCCTATCCCAGTTTTCACCCTTTCCTGTCTTTTCCTTATTCCTACCCCTCCCTTTTCTTTAATAACCAAGGTTGTTGGATAACCAAGGTTGTCGGATGTCTATGGAAGACGGTGACTACTGCTCATCAAACAGAGCGTCTGCTCGTTTGTCAATTGTCATCTATCTCATAAAAAACAGCTATCTCCGAAATGTAGCTTTAACTTTAGAAAATAACCTATCGCGGTTTTGATAACCTAATCATTAAATTTTCAAAGCCTTAGTTTTTCTTAATGTAAATGATCATTTCAACTTTTCAAATTACAACTTGATATCGTAATTTCCATGCAGGTAATTATAACATTATAACAATATTATCAGTAAGTGAATGTAAATTTTCTACAGTGTTGTCGAAATTTTCTGGTCCTTTTTTTGTAATTTTACTATAAGAGTTATTTAGATTTTTAGTTAGAAAAAGGAGTTATTTAGATTATTAGTTACAAAAAGGGAATTATCGTAGTTATTTTCACAGCCCTATCCATGCATTGAAAGCTTTATAATAAGAGTATTGTAAGCTTTAACTGCATTTTTAAAGTTGCTTCGCAAATAATATGTTCTCTATCTATAATACTATCCCACATGAAATTGTTTTTTTGGATACAAAATCTGATGATAAAAGATAAGACTAATTGGTCTACCTTTATCTCGTCTACATGAAATATTAGTTATTATAAAGGAAATTTAATGTTGGAAAACTGTAAAATTAAATAATAATTATAATCGTTATACATAAATTCATGTATCTTTGTAAATATTCAGTCAGAAGTATCTTAGATTTCACTGCTGTCAGATGCTCTCATCTGCATTATTCCCAATATGTGTATTTAATTAACTTGTCCTTAATTTAACTCAACAGTCAACCTATTCCTCTCAATTGCTTATCGGATATCGCATTTCAGCTGAAGTAGAGTGGGGCAATCTATTTGTGAAAATATCTTTATTCTAATAGAATGAAAAAGGCCTTAAATGTATTTTCTGGCGATAAACTAAAGCAAAACAGTTTTATTTTATCAATTTGTGTATTAAAAACATGTATAAGTACTACTATAAGCAGATATACATATATCATAACTATAACTGCCATATACTTTCCACATAATAAAAAAATTATAATAATTTATCAATTCTGCCTAGATCACAATTTATATTTAAACTATCTGTATTTAAAAACTCTAAACTCTTTGTAAGTAAGTTAAAAACGAAAAACCGATAGTAATGATGTAAAAATAAAAGTCACAACAAATTAATTACTTATTTAATACATAACACACTACATTATTTGTTATATAGTTTAGTTCTTGTCGCGGTAGTTCTTAATGTTGACAAGCACGTATGCCGGGATTGACAGCCAGCTGACCACCATAATGCCGGAGAGGAAGATCAGCTCCTGGAAACGAACAGTCGATTAAACATAATACACACACAAAAATATATATCGCAGACCCTGGCTAAAACTGGGAAATTGCCAGGAAGAAGACACACATATATTGATACCTCCCATTTAAGTTGTTGTATGCCACAAAAATGCTATTTTGCTTTAATTCTGAATAATATCTTAGTATGGATCATTATATCCATTCAAAGTAAAAAACATGAACACTATTTTTAAAGGATTTGTCAGACATACCTAATGTTGTAATTTTAAAATTTTGCAGATTTTGGTTTAATTTGAATCTTTGAAATACTACTGTAAATTTACAGTTTTGGAGATACAACAACATATTAGGAGGTATCAATATATATATACTTATATTTTATCATTTATGTATCAAATGTAGAACAACTTATATTATTGTCAAAAAAATATGATGCATAATGGATAATTTATCTTTTAAAAAGACACCTCTACTAGAAATCCTTTTGTTAGAGGAGATGAGAAAAAAAATGTGGTGTAACTACAATAGAAAAAAAGGTATGAAAAAGGAGATATATAAGTATATAAGCACACAGATAAAATTATAATCAGAAAATTATATTATACATACATAGACATATACATACTCAAATAGTATTACATACTTATATTAACATTTATCCTTTTCTGTATTTTTCTTGACGCAAGTTATGTTTCATTCCATAGCCTCTAGATTATAATTTTTAATCTTTGTAAAGTTAGCTTTAATTTTAATCAATAGTTTGGGACATTATCAGTTGTTTTAAAAACTTTTATTTAGTAGGTTTTAGGTACTAAAATATTTATTACATTATTTGTAATTGCTACTAAATTGTATTGATTTTCTTCCTAGCAATTTCCCAGCTTTAGCCAGAGTCTGCCTTACATGTTGTGAATAGTTTTGGCAATTTGTTTTTACGACCGGCCGCCTGCCTAACATCAACCCTCTTTGGGAATGCATTAATCAATGATGTCTTGATATTCTTAGAAAGTACGTATGACTCAGAAAAACCACGTTGGTACTTGCCAGGGCTAGGATCGAACCCGCGCCTTTGTGCCTGAGAGGCGGGCCTTTTAACCACTAGGCCACCACTGACTTCAATTTGTATTGATATCACGGTGTATTAAAATGTTTCTCAATAAATGGAAAATCTATGAATCTAATAATTTTTCATATGGGACACTTAGTCTCTGAGATTAAAAGAACACAAACTGACTAACAACTCAGCTATACATTAATATAGATTACATAAACAAATAAATTAATAAAACATTTCTTATTAAGACTCTTATCTTTATATTTCTTTAAATTATAATAATTTTGACTAAATACTTATAGAAGTGATTTCAATTAAATTATTATTTCTTAAATGTATTATTAAATGCACTAATATTGAAAAGCGAATTTTTGGTCTATTTTCCCAATAAAAACTCTTTGATTAAAACTTATTATAGAAAAGATATTGATTTTATATTCTTTTTGGCGTCTTTTTAAATTTCATTTAATTAATAGTGATGGTAATAGATTATAAGATATCAGACAATCATTTTTTTAATGCTATGTCTTCATTCACACTGGAATCGTATAATATTTTGTCAATGTCAATGTTTTTATTTGTTGGATGAATTATAATGTTGAGTTCTGTGTGGAGACACGAAGGAGTTTGTAGAATGGAATTAATGATTATTTAAAAAGTAATATATCTACCAGCAGAAAATAACTTTTTGTATATAATAATTAATTGTGACAATTAAAAAGTACTGAGTGAAAAAGGTTCAATAAGTTTAAATTAATAATAAGAACATAGTATATAGTATATTCACTTAATTTCTTGCAAGTAATTATATAAGAATGAAATAATTATTGTATTATTATTTGTCTTTATATAAATAAAATATATATAAAGAGTAATTTTGTTTTTGTCTGTCTTAGGGGATTTTGAGACAGGTTTGTTGGATGAAATTAATTTATCAAGAAACATACATGTTGTTATATATATACTACTTGTGGTTTTATAGAGAAAATCAACTATAAAAGATAATAAGTAAAAAATATAAGGAAATGACATTAAAATATTAAATCTCTCGCAAATTTTACGATTATATTTAGAAAAACAGCATGATAATATTGTAAAACTAAAATAATGTATTAATCGAATAAAGAAGTATATACAACCTAATAAATAAACCAACTAGGTCCTTATAAGATAACCTATCATTTAAAAATTACGTAACGAAGACTAAAACCTCTTTTGTCTTCATTCAAATCGACATATACAACCTTTTTGGCTGTATATAATTAAACAAGTGTATTTTAGATGAAAATACGTTAAAAATTAATTAAATTTGGAATTATATCAAATAATACTCACTCCTCTTGTCACCTTGTTCCTGGCTGGAGTTGATAGTCCGCTCATATTTCTTTGGACTACAGCATTTTTGATCAACGGAGTGTTGCTTTTCAGGAGGCTTCTAATTCCCAGCATGTTTAATTTTTTTGGAAAATTGTGTTAATTTATAATAATACGAATAACACTTCGAATGAAAACTGAGAATTTGTGTTGCCACAATCAGTTATCGATTTGAGCAAGACCACAGAGTAACATCATACATACATTAAAAAGGGTATAAAGTTGCTTTTAAACTATTGTTTTTCTAAAATATATTAATATTACTAAAAGTTATCTCATTTAACACAAAACTATTATGTATTGTTTATATTCAAAACAATTTGCAATTTTAAATTATTAAGTCAGGTTATATTTTTAACACTTCTACTGTAACATTCGGTTATCCTAATTTTCATTAGTAAATAAGTTATATGTTTAATATATGGTTACATTCTGGATGATAATATTATTTCCGTTAATCAATCAGTTTTTTACTTATTTGTTAAAACTTAATATAAAATTGATTAATTTTAAATAAAGATCTACAGATAAACAGAAAATTCAAAAAAATAAAATCAAACTAACCAAAGCAAGTTTAAAAAAAATTATGTACTTAGCTTTAGAACAATAATAAATTTTGCTTAATATTAAACAAGTAAAAAGCTTTGCTTTGTTCTCTTATATCGTCATTTTTTAATTGTTTATTTATTTAATATTTTATTTCATTCAAACTTTTTATAAATTCTCCTTATGGTTGAGATTAAGAAGCTTCATTAAAATATATAACATAAAACTTCATTTACGAATAGGTACCTACAAGAAATTACCACCGTTAGCAATATCCGGTATTATTATAATGTTATTGGTAATGATGTAAATAAGATATTAAATTTTAAATATCAAAAATGAAATACTTAATTCACATAATTCGTGACATATTGAGAATGTTTTCTTTTTGCAAAATTGAATTCATAAAGAAAAAAAATTGTTATAGTAAGTGTAGATTTTAATAAATATTTTATATCGTTTCCCTTAAAAATATAATTAATGAATTAGTGCATATTAAAATTTATTAGTTAAATATCTCTTGTTTCAATTTATTTCATGTAGAGAACTTATAATTAATTAAATAGGGTTTTAGTCCAGGATACATGACTGTTTTTTGTACTTGATTACTAACAAGCTAATTTTCCGTGAGTAGCTTCGTTTCATCGAGACGCCCAACTATTTTCTTTTCGATATTTCTTGATAGTGGTAGCTAAGTTAGCTAGCAGAGAAAAAATATGTTGATTTGATAATTTTCCAAAATTTATTACTAACTGGATTTATTTATGTTAAATCTTATAATAATTATCTAAATTATTCGAAAAAAAAAATTGTCCTACAAAATGTATGGTTTGATCAAAGAATCCCCCTCCTTTCAACATGTATAGATAACGAGATAATCTCAAGTGATTACTAACCAGCTAATTTTTTATTTATTTACTTAGGTGATATTTATATAATTTAACAGTAACATTGTCCTACAAGTTGCTTAGTACGTTATCCCGGTCCTACGCTTAAAAGTGGTTGATGCCACAAGACCATTTTTCTCATTACTAACTGTAGGACGAAATGCCACATGATAGATTATCCGACAGGAATTGTGTTTTTTTTTTACTTGAAACATAAGATATAATGAAAATATTATTATTATTTTTAATTAAAAAATCTTGATTTTTTGGTGAGATGCGTACAAAAAATTGTGTATGTGTACATAAACAAAAATTAATCTTCATCAGATTCATTTGATGAATCTTCGCTGCTTACATCGTTGTCACCTTTATTTATTTCATTGGCTTCATTTGTGATATCTGACTCTGTAATAACATGACAAAAGTTAGAAAATTATATAATAGTACGTAATCTATACATATAATAAAATTGTAGAAAAGTGCTGTCTGTACATTGAAAATAAAAATAAAAAAATAGCAGGGGTTATTGTTATGTCGATGTCGAACCCAAAAATGTAATTAACTTTTTTTTTTGTCTGTTTGTCTGTTCACGCTAATCTCAGAAACGGCTGATCCGAGTTGGATGCGGTTTTTACGAATATATTGTGGTATGCTTCAGTTATGCTTTAGTGTTTGTTTCATGTCAATCGGTTCATAAATAAAAAAGTTATGTCAAATTAAAGAATCACGTCGAACACTATTCTATGCTTATACATACATAGGCGCCATTAATCTCCGCAACTATTTGACGGATTTGGTTGAAATTTTGTACCGACATATTTTAGAGCCTGGCGCAACATAAAGACTACTTTTTACCGCGGGAAAACATCAAAAATAAGTATATATTAAAAAAAAAAAACGCTGCTCATAGTCACTATTCCACGCGAACGAAGTCGCGGGCACAGCTAGCAAATCAATAATTAACAATAGTATTAATAGGGTACCTTGTATGTCAGAAGATATTTCCTCAAAAGATGGACTTTGGGGACCATAAAACCAATAAAATTCATAATTGCCATCAATATTTTTTCTTGTGGGGCACCGCATGTGTGCATTACACCATATATTGCAGATGAATGCAGTTCTTTTAATTATTTGCAACAATTCTTGTTTTAGTGGTTGCAAACTAGAAGAATCATATCCTATGATTTTTGTTTTAAAATTTCTTCATTTTATTTTTTTGATTTATACCCTTTTTCAAATAACTCATACCGCCCTTTGTTGATATGATTTTTTTTGTTTTTAAAGCGTACATTCTACATACATACTTATTTTTTTTATAAACATTCCCTGTAAAAATATGGCATATGGCGAGTGAACAAGACAATTGATCTCCAAGCTTGGCAGAAATTTCGTTGATGTTTAAGTGCATTTTTTACTCGTACTTAAATTAATAATGATTTGAATTTCATCTTTTAAATATTTAAAATTTAGTTATTTATTAATTTCTTTAGCTAGTAAGTAATCATTCGTGATGACCTCGTTATCTTTACATGTTTAAAGGAGGGAGACTCTTTGATCAAACCATACATTTTGTAGGACAATCTTTTTTTTGAATAAATTAGATAATTATTATAAGATTTAACTTAAAAAAATCCTGTTACTAATAAATTTTGGAGGGTTATCAAATCAACATATTTAATCCCTGATACCTCTGTTACCTACCACAATCGAGAATTATCGCACAGGAAAAAGTCGGGCGTCTCATTGAAATGGAGCTCCTCACGAAGATTCGCCTTGATAGTAATTATTTTTTTATCAATGATCAGTACTACTACTTTTAAGCGTAGGACCGGGATAACGTACCCAGCAACTTGTAGGACAATATTACTGTTAAATTATATAAATATCAACTAAGTAAATAAATAAAAAATCAGCTAGTTAGTAATCACTTGCGATTATCTCGTTATCTATACATGTTGAAAGGAGGAGGATTCTTTGATCAAACCATACATTTTGTAGGACAATTTTTTTTTCGATTAATTTAGATATTTATCATAAGATTTAACATAAATAAATCCAGTTAGTAATAAATTTTGGAAAATTATCAAATCAACATATTTTATCTCTGCTAGCTAAGTTAGCTACCACAGTCAAGAAATATCGGAAAGAAAATAGTTGGGCGTCTAAAATTAGCTTGTTAATAATCAAGTGCAAAAAAAGCCATGTATCCTGGACTATTTCTCTTAATCTTTGTTAATAGTTTCTTATGCAAAGCGACATCTATTGACGCGTGTTTGTACTAATGAGCTGTTGATAGTACATAATATACATGATATATGCTGTAATACCGTTGAAGTGGAGGGTAAATATAATCCAGTGATATTGTTGCCGAGTTAAAGATGACTCCAAAAAATAATAGTTTCTATTTAAATGGATAAATTATATGTATCTGAATCTGGCTTGAAAATAAAAGTTAAGGAACAGTAATAAAGTATATCCCGCTATACTTTCACTGCAGATCTTGCAGGTGGTGGATTAACTCGACTTTTCCTAGTACCGGGAAAAGAGTTATAATAATTTCCAGGTGTATTTAAATCAATTAATTAATTAATTAGTACCACTCTCTGTGTGATTGTAATTTACAATTTTTATAAGAGTAGTAAATATTTACTGAATCGTGTGTTTGAAAAGAATCGATGTCCACGATCCAGGCCTAGCCTAGTGTGGACGTCAACGTTTACTATATATTGCATTGTTAAGTGTTTTTACAAATGGATAAAAATGAATTATGCTAATGCAGAAGTAATAGACAATTTTTGTATTGAACAAAATGTTGACGTAATCCCTTAAGATTTTTTATCTTGTATACATAAATTTTGCATAAAAACCTCGCGAATTAGTTCTGCACATAGTATTAGAGGTACGGTTTCAGTTTTTTCTCGTAATTTCTTACAAAATAGCTCATAGAATTCATACTTTTCAGATACAAAATTACAATTGCTCTGTATTTTAATTAATTAAAATCAGTCATAGAAATTATTGTATTATAGTATGTTATAATTAGTACGGCACAGATGGTGCCACTTGTTATCGGTTTAATGTAAATTTTGAAATAGAGGTTTGTCTCTGTAGTAAGAATATTCTATCTTTTAAAACCATTCTTCATATTATTTATGTGTTACAATCATCATAGAAAACCTTTCACCACCATAAAAACACCTACCTATTCACATCAAATCGTATTACATACAAAATAATAGACAAATGAAAAATCAATTTATTTATTAAACTTATTTAACATAATGCTGAGGTGAGGAACAAAGACTTGTATTGAATCAGATCTCATTTCACTGCGACACTTCCATTTGCTGAGGGCCGTCTGAAAAAAGATATACATAAAGTTTATTTCAATAGAAATTGGCAATTTAGTAAACAAACGTGATCAGCTGATATTGATAGACTTGTTTATGCCTCAAATGATGTGAGCACTCTTCAAAAGATTATAATAAGATACTTCAAAATAATCTTAATTATTATTATTAAAGTATTAATACAAAAAATCTTATTCTGATTATATTTTGTTAACTATTTATTAGTGAGCTATTTTAAATGAGTTTAGAAATGAAAAATGCAAACAAAATGTATTCTTTATGTATATATTTATACAGTAATACCCAGCTTTACGCGAGTCGCGTTAACTGAAATTCGCGTATATCGAAGTTTATGATTAAACACAGTCAAAATTTAATACACAAATAAAAAATCATTTTAATCAATCACTTTAATTCTAAGAACACTATACAATACATAGGTACTCCTATTTTTTAAGAAAAAATACATGTATTGTCTTTTGGGTAGCCTTTTGTTTACGTTTTTGTAAAATAAGTTCATAACACCCAACACTGTTTTTAATTGTTTGACACACGGTCAAGACACAGTCATCATTATTATCTATACTCTGCAATTTGTCCAAATCTGAATAAATTTTTGAAAATCGCGTTATAGTGAAACCGTGTACAACGTGGTCGCGTTAAGCGGGGTATTACTGTATATGGTTAAATAATTAATAAATAATTATTAATCTAGCAACTGATACTTTTTGTTCTCAACTATTGTTAAGAGAAGAAACTCTGAACTAATTAATGTGGAATATTAAACTTGTGCATTGGCCGGCAAACGTTTGATTTTAAAAATCTATGTTATTGCCACTTACCACCAGAGCCATCATTGAACATAAACTCATCCTGATATTCCTTCAGGAACTGTTCCGAGCGATGCTCATCGAGGAACAATGAGTACACCTTCTTCACATCCTCCATACTGACCTGGAATGGAATATTATATGAGTTGTTTGTATTTAAACAACTAGTTGGAATGGAATACAACTGAATGGAAATAAAATTTTAATGGAATATGGAATTCAAATGGAATTTAAGAATCAGATATCAGTTGTTAAAGGTCCCAATATTATTTGTAAGTCTGAAAATATATACATATATTATATACATATTAAAATAATTATGAATAAAGAAAAAACATAATTAGATAGAATTTACATAGACACATACAGATTAAAATACATAACCCCTCCATTCACACTTGTGTGAAACAAGTTGATATTAAGACTTGAGATAATATAAAATGATTATTAAATATGTTCGTAAAGTAAATATTATATTGTATAAATGAAACTTGTATACTGAGGTTAGATTTCAATAGAAAATAAATAGTAATATTTTTAAAACATGATAATTTTTAGTCTTATATGCATATGGTGAAAATGATCCCAGTTATTTCGACTCTGCATAGCTTTCAAACAACAGTTACTTTGTTTAGCATAGTCTAGCCATCTATCTACATCTATCTATATCTATCTACATCTATCTACATCTATCTATATCTATCTACATCTATCTACATCTACCTCAGCAGCTCTCCGTCTCCTGGCTACAAGTGATGCTGTAGTGACCAGTTGTATAGCATATCTCAAAGAGGTCTCGGTAGCCACTCTTGTTAGTACAGTCAAAGCATCGCTAGACATCTGACAATCTTCCTCCTCACACCTGGAATGATTATAGATTAGTTCTGGATTATTAAGTAAGATAATTATAAGTATATATATATATAAAACCAAGTAAGAACAATTTTATATATAAGGAATCTTGTAATGAGCGATAGAGATAATAAATGGGTGGGATAATTGTAAGCAATGTTTATAAAGTTTGTATTAAAACAATACGAGTTCACTAAAAATGTATTTCTACTCCTTACTGTTCTCATTTCCACATAACAATAACTGAATGTAAAATATCATTAGTAATAATAATTTGACGGTGCAAACTTGTGGTAGCCACTATATATATAGAGACGTAACCTCTCATCATTCCATGTATTCACGGTGCGTGTGTCGGGTCCATCGTTGTAGTGAGAGGAGCTTCAACAGTGACTGGGACTTGTGACCCAGGTGTAGGTTTAAGGGACCCTATCTAACGTTAAACGATCACCTACACCGTACAAGCTCCTCTCTCTGTCGTCGTCGTCGTCAGTCGTCAGCCTATCAGAGCCCATTGCTGAGCAAAGGCCTCTTTCTCACATGGAGAAGGTTTGAGCATTAATCACCACGCTTGCTCAAGACGGGTTGGTGATTTCAAACTTATAATTGTGAAACTATAAGTCCAGGTTTCCTCACGATGTTTTCCTTCACCGTATGTCAGTGGTGTCTAAATACTCTCAGAAAGTACATATGACTCCGAAAAATCACATTGGTACTTGCCAGGTTTGAACCCGCGCCCTCGGAAACGAGAGGCGGACCCTTTAACCGCTAGGCCACCACTGACTTCTCTCTACCTAACTAAATTTGAAAAGAACCTACTAGGGCCGCCTTCGAAGAGCGTTCCAAGAATGTATATATATAATATATATGTATATGATATAAGGATAGTAGAAACTCGATTATCCGGTCCTCAGTTATACTGATTCGCGATTATCCGGACTACGGACAAAGAATGTCAAAGCGTAAGAGAGTGGTGTTGTTGAGAGTGGCTACGTCAAATGACAATTACAAAATACTCTAAACCAAATGAAACTTATTATTTTAATTCATGATTACCAAATACATATTGCAATTTATTTTTTAAATAAACATATTACATTGTGAACTATATAAGCACAAAACCAGCATTTCTTCATACATTTGATTATTCGAATGCCTATAAATAACAATTAGTCCGATTAATAGAGTTTCTACTGTATATGTATACCAACCGTATATTCAATATCTCCCGCAGTTCTTGGTGTGAGTACGGTGTGGTGGGTACAATAATCATTCTGTCCAACAAATCAAGCGGTATTCCGTGCGGGCTTTTATAATTAGTGCCTCTTATCCGAGTAATTCCTCGGTTGGTAGCCATAATCACTACGGGGGCTGTCTCAGATTCGAGTGCCCGGTTGAGGAATGAGAAGCATTCTATGTCCAGCATATGAGCCTGAAATATATATAGAATATTAATTAATATACTAGCTTTCCGCCCACAGCTTCGCCCGGAGATCGGTTATATCGCGTTTCCAAGAGAACTTTTCAAAAGTCTGTGATAAAAACTATATGTTCTTTCTCAAGGTCAACTCTGTCTGTACCAAATTTCATTAATCAGTTCAGTGGTTTAGTTGTGAAAGCGTAACAGACAGGCAGAGAGAGTTACTTTTGCATTTATAATATTAGTAGGGATTTAGTATTAATCATACGAATATAGGTATATATTCGTTTTTTGTGAAATTAACATATACTAGCTGTGTAATAAGCTTTGTATACTCTGAGATATTATATTTCACAATGCATTAAAATAAAGGTTAAAGAATTTCATTAACAAAAGCGGCCTTAGTTATTCTAATTTCTAGAGCTATCTGCAAATCTACAACTAACTACAAAGTCTTATTAAAGTAGGTTAAGTCTTATTTAAAAAATATTGCTAAATAACTTTAATATTAATATTATTCAGGTAATATGGTTACTGTATTACTCATTATTACCGTCTTACCTCATCAATGAACAGCACACCAGGAATCATTTCAGCTTTACCCTCCTCCCTCCATTCGGCAACTTTTCCGTTGATTTGTTCACGAATTTCAGACTTTATTTCTCCGGTGTCACCTTAAAAAATAAAATACATATAAACTTAATCACTTATTAAGTATTTACATACATTTACTTAACAATAATATACATTATAGTGTTCATAATGAGTGTCACTCACACAAATTGTGCAAAATTCGGTAGTTTTTGAGTATAAAATTAACAAACATACATATTTATTAATACCATGATCCTATATTATAAATGCAATTATTTGTCGGGATGAACCAAATTTTATTGATGTTACAAGAAAGATAAGATAATACTAAATTAATGCAGACAAAGCCAGGCACAAGAATTAGTACAATATTGTGTGGTTACATATCGTACTAATATTATAATTGCGAAAGTTTGTGTGTGTGTGTATGTTTGTTCTTCTTCACGCTGAAACGGCTGAACCGATTTTGATAAAATTTTGTATACAGGAAGCTGACGTTCGGAATAACATATAGGCGACATTACATCCCGGAAACCTGCGGGTAACACCGCGGGGCGCAGCTAGTGAGAATATATGTGTATATATACCTGAGAATAGAGCCAGGAAGCCGTGTGTCCTAGAGTTAATAACATCTACTTCGTGTAGGGTCACAGTATGCACCACTTCCTTCCTTTTCTGGAGCTCTCCTTCAGGACACTGGACGAATCTCGCCTGCTGGCCTGGAAATGATGGGGTTTTTATTGAGTTGTCATCCATATTAGTATTAGATAGATATATTTGCAAAGAGCATGTATATTAGTTTTAATTTTTTCTTTGTTTTAATGACAACTACGTGAATATTACAGCCGGTGTCACATTATTTTATTAAAAAAGTGAAATATTCTAGTTTTTTTTTTTCAGTAATTTCCGTAATTTTTTTTTTCATAAGAACCTTCTCCTAATAATAACAAATATAATAAAATAGAATTAGTGAAATCGGTCCAGCCATTCACGCGTGATGCCGTGACCAAGGGAAAAAGGGATTCTTTTATATATACAGGGTGACTGGTGAATTACTATCGATAATTGAGGACGTGATATTTGACGATCATATATGACAAAATAAAAATTAATATAACATAAATATTAATAAACTTCTAAGTAAAGTTAACCAAAAGTTATGTAATTAATTAAGCATCGTGTGAACACCCTACAGATTAGGTATACACACACACGCGCGTCGGCGGCGTGGTGTTGTATCAGTACGCCGCCGCACGCGTCCACACTTGGAACACTTGGAACGTGTCCACCCTTTATTTATTTATACGGAAATTTGGTCAAAAATTAAGTACTTATTTTTTTTACATAATTCGAATGAGAATTATGTACCGAGTATGCTCTGTAAATATTGATAGTAATTCACCAGTCACCCTGTATATAGATTGTGAAAAAAATTGCCTAATAGTCGTTAATATAGCAAATATTTCAGCTCAAACTTTCTTCTTATAATCTGCTTCCAATGTAGATACTTATTATACAATGCTAGTTACGCGGATTTGCTCTATTCCCTACAATATATTGTTACTTACCTGTAGCATCATAATCTCTGGCTCGAGCAAAACTCCTACCCAGTTTATTTATTTTTCCGGTAGCTTTGTCTATGGTAATGACATCGCCGGCTTGCACCTGAAAAATTAATTTGTTTAATATTAAATACATACTTAGTTTCTGCCTGCGACTTCGTCTGTATAAAGATTGTTTAATATATGTATCAATACTCTGTAACCTATTAAAATACTTGGGCCTGTTCAGAACTAGTATTAATTCATTATTAGTACTTCGAAGGCAGCCCTAGTAGGTTCTTTTCAAATTTGATAGAGAGAGGAGCTTGGATAGTTTAGGTGATCGTTTAACGTAAGATAGGGTCCCTTAAACCTACACCTGGGTCACAAGTCCCAGTCACTGTTGAAGCTCCTCTCACTACAACAATGGACCCGGCACACGCACCGTGATGGAATGATGAGAGGTTTCGTCTCATAAGAGGTATTTCATCCTATTAGTCTTATCAAGTAGAACTTTGGGCAGACCCTGGCTAAAGCTGGGAAATTGCCAGGAAGAAGAAGTCTTATCAAGTAGAACGAAGTAGATGCTAAACATATATGTATATAAGTGTTACTCTGTTTTTGTTTTGTTATTTGTTTTGTAGTGGTGTAATCTTTTAAGCAATAAACGTTTATTATTATTATTATATTATCTCACCTTTTCCTTCAACAGTGAATCAATCATCTTCGCCCCCATATCATAATTTGTTTCCATGTCCGATGTCTTGAGTGTCAATCTTCCAGACCGAGCGCCTCCCCCACCTGCTGCTCGTTCAACAACTACCTCAACCACTTCACCTTCTATGATCTCAGATTCTTCTCTGGAAATATAATACATATATAATAATAAATAGCCACACAAGTGCCCTATATTTGGAACTTTAGAAGATATAAAAGAAAATGTGTCACGAATGTTAATACTAATCATAAACTATTTAAATTGTATATTCATAAGGAATTATAATAATTTAGAAATTTATATTTATAGTACCAACCCTGCTAATATTATAAATGCAAAAGTAACTCTGTCTGTCTGTCTGTTACACTTTCACGCCTACACCACTGAACTGATTTTAATGAAATTTGGTACAGACAGAGTTGACCTTGAGAAAGAAAATAGCATATTTTTTATCCCAAACTTTTGAAAGGTTCTCTTGGAAACGTGATATAACCGAACTCCACGCGGGCGAAGCTGCGGGCGGAAAGCTAGTTATTCTATAATCCTTCTCCATATAAAATAGCTGTATTCATAATGAACTTGCCATATTTACTTGCTAATGAAAAGCATTATCAAAATCTGTTCAGACACAAATAAGTTATGCACAAAACTATTCTAGAAAGTTGATAATAATAATAAATCCTCTCTGAAATTTTTCATATATAATAATGATGCATAGTATATTAAAAAAAACAGTTTAATATATGTACATTTTTTATGTGAAAAGTGGCAAACGAGCAGACTGCCTACTTGGTGAGCAGTAGCTACCATTGCCTACGGGCATATGCAACTTATATGTTGCCAATCTTGGGTTTTTAGGAATAGGGAAGGGTGGGAATAGGGAAAGGGCAACCGTCTCTCTCACTCATCAGACGAAACGCATCCATTAAAGACTACTTCACGCCGATCTTCAGTGAGAGGGTGGTACTTACGGTCGAGACAGAACATGTTCGAGCTGTAGTAACTTGACTATAACTAGGCTCTACCACCATAAAACATAAATAATATACATAAAAAATCTTAGATATACATACTTAATTCTTATTCCAATAGATTTCCTTATAGCTTGTGTGAGTGCTTCCGTTTTGCTCATTTCCAACGAGTAAATCTCGGAACCTTGAAAGTTTTAATACAACAGATAATTTTATTAAATAAAAATTATTTCTCAAAAAATTCAAGTAACTTTACTAATTACTTAATACATGAGCTATATGCTTATTAAAATTCCATTTTGTTCAAAATAATTTATAAATTACCGGGAACAAACAGATTAATAAAAAATATATGAAAGAGATTTATATGTAAATCAATTATTTAACTTAACAATTATTATTTATTATTTTAACTTAACAATCACACCATACAATATTATATCTTTGTATTTATAAATAATGCTTGCATATAAATAAAATCATACAAATATAGAATCTTCTTATAAAATTTAGACAATAATGTCAAAAATGAATTTCAAATCACAATTTGAGGTAATAATTTCTTAATCGAGCATAAGCATTATGCAGTAAGTACTATACAGATCTTAATATATTACAATATTTAAATCAACTAATGTTTACCAGCCATGCTTGTGAATGGAGTATCAGGTCCGAGAGCTTGAGCGAGACCCATAGCGATGGCTGTCTTCCCCGTACCTGGCTGACCAGCCAACAAAACCGCGCGTCCAGCTATTTTACCTGTCATTATAATAAGATAAAAGGTTTAATAATATTTTCGTCTTTTAAATCGCCATATTTCAATTGAATGTATAAATATACAAGGATATAAAAAGTTTCTTTAGAGTGTGTTATGATTATAACTAAGATCTGTGATAGTATCAGAAAAAATATTACAAATGTACGATTTTACGAAACAATTGCCAAAATTGATTGCGTGTGAAAAATTTCGTTTATGGTTGTCATGACAACGGTGGAACCTTCTCGAATCATCTGCAGGATGACCCCAGCCGCCTTCCTGGCCATCTTCTGCCCGACCATACCCTGGGAGATGGCTCGCGGCTCCAAAGCATCATCAAGCCCCAAACCACGGATATGTGAATGTGCCCCAATACGTTCGATACGAGTTATCGATCGCACTTCCTGTACTTGAGCTGCCGCTAGCGACTTAAAAACAATCACCACAATTAATATTCACGATTATTCCAACTTAAAATCACAAATTACACACATCTAGAGGTTAGTTTTGCGTAAACAATGCGACATATGTATTACGAAGCATATTTAACAGAGGATTAATAAGAAAAAACTACTCACAGCCATTTCTAATCACTTCCCAGTGTCACTGCACTTTATAAAGGTATTAATATATTAATAATATATCACCGACGCTCTTGAAACACGCAGTTTGTATCGCAAACAGCACAACCCAATAATGACAGTAGTTTGACAGTTCAGTTTTGTTAATAATCATGACGGTTTTACAATTTAAACAATATTCCGATTTATTTTTCTAAATAATGGAACTTAAATGTATTTTTAAAAATATAATATGGCTAGGTTTTATTATTGAAAAAGTGATAATAATATTAAATTTTTATAGAAATTTGTATTATACTTGTACACTTGTACCACAACTTATTTGTCTTTCTTTTACTCTTTATTTCAGAATTTCATAAATAGATTAATTTACACATTTCTTCATTTACCACTTTATTGTGATTATAAGGAAACATTATCCAATCAGTGCCGATAGCTTTTAATACATAATTAAATTATAGTAGAATGAAACTCATTAGAAAAGGAGGGGAGTATTATAAAAATTAAAGGAAAAATAATTTACGGGCGATCTGAGGTCGGGAAGGGTATGGGGGTGGGTATTTTATGGTAAAAAATGGGTTTTCTCGATTTCTGGCAAAATTTAAAGTCCCACGGAAAAATGTTATAGGGCAAAGTTGTAGGTAATAAAAAGACCTAAAACCTTTATACTAACATTTTTTCACATAACCTCAAAATTTATGTGAAAAATTTAAAAAACCAAGTTTTGGGTTTTTTATTTTTATTTCTTACAAGAAACAATATTTTGTCACGAAATTTGGTGAAAACTTACCTTTTGATGTCCCAAAAGGTAAGTTTTCACCAAATTTAGTAAGGTAAGTCCATGTTTCCTCACGATGTTTTTCTTCACCGCCTGTAAGGGGTGTCTAAATACTTTTAGAAATGACTCTGAAAAATCACATTGGTACTTGCCAGGATCGAACCCGCGCCCTGATGCATAAGAGGCGGGCCTTTAACCACTACCTTCACCTCTAACCAAGATTAATGTACGTATCTTAAACCTGTAGCGGCTTTTCAGTAACCTAATTTATACGAACTTCGTAAAGTAGGTAGGTATGCTAAGAGTGTGAAGACTACATAACCGACCCATTTATATCCAGTTTTCTATATTAATAACTAGTTAAATTCATTGCAGGAAAGTAATATAAGGTAATATAAGGTGCGAAGAAACAATGGAAGATGTGAAAAAACCATTAAATGCACAACCACTCTGTGCTTATTTTCCATATAAAAAATCTCAGGACGATTTCAAATTTCGTATATACATACCTATATTGTTTCATTCTTACTTACATACTTTTAATCATACATTACGAAATACAAATGTTTACAGACATTTAAAATACATTTGAGTCATGATTTCTTAATAAGTGCCATCTAACAATGTAAAAACGAAACATCTTTGATCGGCCGCTACTAACTGCTAGCGCCGCTATACAGCTAGAGCGGCGGTATGCAGAACCACTCTCTGCTTATTTTCCATACATATTAATAATTCTCAAGGACGACCTAGAAATCTCGTGTATGTATGCAGGAAATGTTTGTATGTGTGTGTAAAACTAACACATGCATAGTGTTCGAGAGGCACTGATTATTTTGTATTGTTTAAAATGTCGTAGAAAGCCCGTTAATTGTCAAATGAAACGGGGCTCTGATTGGTCGTTAAACTGTTCATATATATTTTTTGGCATTTTATTATTATTGAATACTAGAAAACCAGGCGAACTTCGTATCGCCCTATAATCAAGAAATATCTGTTACGTTTTTTATTTATATTTTTGTAGTTTACCTGTAAGCCATAAATCTCCGTGTTTTGAAGTGCGACAGAATGATTGACATATTAGTTAGTTGTCAAATCTAATGTCAAAAAAAAACGTTTGTATGGGAAATAGAAAAGGGCTCTTTTTATGGTTTTCCCAGTAATGAATAAATTTTTTTCAGCTTTTATACCTTCCCTGAACCTCCACGAACATTTCAAGACTAAGATAAAATAAATCCGTTCAGCTGTTTTCGAGTTTTAGCGAGACTAAGGAACAGCAATCCATTTTTATATATATAGAAGATAGAAGATTGTCATTAGTAAACAGTGGATTAATTTATTAACGAATTATGGAGAATTGTAGCTGTGAGCTCTGTTCTTGTGATATATGATTATTGAAATTAGTTACGAGTAGATTTTCAATATTGTCGTTTCATAATTAAATAAAAATAAGTATGAAGGGAAGGTGTGTAACCAGTTGAGATTGAACTAAAAGAAAAGTAATGTTATTCGTTTTAATAAAAAGTATTATGATAGTTTTAATCAGTTAGCAGGTTGTGTTTACACAAATAAGTTATTTTGTTTGCCTTGTTTGTTGTTTTCAAATGATAATAATAAGAATGTTTGAATCTCTATTGGATATTCCTATTTAAATAACTTTTATAAAGCTGTGATGAACAGATTGTAATCGTTTTAAAGACCTTCGTGGCTCAGAGGTAGTTGAGAGATTCATAAAGTATATAGATGTAGGTTCTAATCAGACTGCTGTAAACATTATGTATGAATATTATCAAAGTTTAAATGAAATTAATATTTACTGATTACTTCTCTTATTTTATTATGTTTAAAAACTACATATTCCCAACATTTCGATTACTTTGCAGCAACTGTGATCATGACGGACCTCTCGTCTGCCCGTTAAAAATAATAAAAATATTAGTTTTATTTAAAATTTAAATCAATACTTGCGAAAGATATCATTATTGTCAATGTTTGAGAGGAGGAAATTATGAAAATTGGTATTTTATTTTTCAAACATATTCTGCTTACCCTATCCCAAAATTTCTTTTTATTTTTTTAAATAAAAATCCCTGATTCTCATAGACTTCGACGACCAAGAGAGTGTATTGTCATTATAAGTCTTTGTTATGAGGAAAAAATAATTATTCTGTCATGATTTAGAGAAAAAGAAAACAACAAAATTATAACACAATCATAAATTTATTTTTGGTTCCAGTTTAAATTCAAACGGGATTTTTTAAATGCATATTTAATAGATACAAGAATTTTATTCACTTCAGTATAATCTGAATTGCGATCTCAGTTCTGCTGGCATTTCAGTGAAACTGTTGAAGCACACGCAGATACGGTTACGGCCTGGGTGTTTGGGGACCAATCCTGGTGGGTATCGACCTATAAGAAAATCATAACTGTACTTAAAACTCTATTTTACTTAACAAATAAACTTGGATATTCATATCAAACTGAAAAGTGAAGGCTTTAGCAAAATATTCTGCTTACCACCACCTGGAGGAATTAGTATAGGCCTGCCGGGCCTAATGCCACCATGTCTTGGCTTTTTGCCCTTAGGGCTATTTGGTTTAGGTGCTTTACCATTAGGTTTGTCAGATGGTCCTGGGGATGAAAATATTAAGATTAAAAAATTTTCTTGCATTAACTACTAAAAATTTCAATACTATATCTTATCAAATAAACCTTTAGGTTTTTTGCCACCTTTGGGTTTCTTACCTCCTGGTTGGCCATCGTTATTGTCAGGGCTCTGGTTGTCGGGTTGTCCGTCATTATCTGGTGACTGGTTATCAGGTTGATTTCCGCCTTTGGGTTTTTTACCACCCTTGGGTTTCTTTCCTCCTGGTTGGCCATCGTTATTGTCAGGGCTCTGGTTGTCGGGTTGTCCGTCATCATTAGGTGACTTATCATCAGGTTGATTTCCGCCTTTGGGTTTTTTACCACCCTTGGGTTTCTTTCCTCCTGGCTGGCCATCGTTATTGTCAGGGCTCTGGTTGTCGGGTTGTCCGTCATTATCTGGTGACTGGTTATCAGGTTGATTTCCGCCTTTGGGTTTCTTGCCACCCTTGGGTTTCTTTCCTCCTGGCTGGCCATCGTTATTGTCAGGGCTCTGGTTGTCGGGTTGTCCGTCATTATCTGGTGACTGGTTATCAGGTTGATTTCCGCCTTTGGGTTTCTTGCCACCCTTGGGTTTCTTTCCTCCTGGCTGGCCATCGTTATTGTCAGGGCTCTGGTTGTCGGGTTGTCCGTCATTATCTGGTGACTGGTTATCAGGTTGATTTCCGCCTTTGGGTTTCTTGCCACCCTTGGGTTTCTTTCCTCCTGGCTGGCCATCGTTATTGTCAGGGCTCTGGTTGTCGGGTTGTCCGTCATTATCTGGTGACTGGTTATCAGGTTGATTTCCGCCTTTGGGTTTCTTGCCACCCTTGGGTTTCTTTCCTCCTGGCTGGCCATTGTTGTTGTCAGGGCTCTGGCTGTCGGGTTGTCCGTCATCATCTGGTGACACTTCTTCTGACTGATCATCTACATCTGGTTGATCGTTATTGGGTTGTTGGTTATTGGGACTACCAGATGGCGAGCCTGTATTAAAATGATAGAGGTCAATTTTAGCACTTGTAAGTCCTATTTATTTACTTTTATTTGCAAAAACAAAAGGGAAGCCGAAAGTATTGATTGTTAACTTACTGGCAGAAGCGGTTGTTTCCGTTGTCGTCTTTGTTGTGACTGTAGCTGTTGTTTGCCCTGGTGGATTTCCGGCGTTGGGTTTATTACCACCTTTGGTTTTTTTACCACCCTTGGGTTTCTTTCCTCCTGGTTGGCCATCGTTATTGTCAGGGCTCTGGTTGTCGGGTTGTCCGTCATCATTAGGTGACTTATCATCAGGTTGATTTCCGCCTTTGGGTTTTTTACCACCCTTGGGTTTCTTTCCTCCTGGCTGGCCATCGTTATTGTCAGGGCTCTGGTTGTCGGGTTGTCCGTCATTATCTGGTGACTGGTTATCAGGTTGATTTCCGCCTTTGGGTTTCTTGCCACCCTTGGGTTTCTTTCCTCCTGGCTGGCCATCGTTATTGTCAGGGCTCTGGTTGTCGGGTTGTCCGTCATTATCTGGTGACTGGTTATCAGGTTGATTTCCGCCTTTGGGTTTCTTGCCACCCTTGGGTTTCTTTCCTCCTGGCTGGCCATCGTTATTGTCAGGGCTCTGGTTGTCGGGTTGTCCGTCATTATCTGGTGACTGGTTATCAGGTTGATTTCCGCCTTTGGGTTTCTTGCCACCCTTGGGTTTCTTTCCTCCTGGCTGGCCATCGTTATTGTCAGGGCTCTGGTTGTCGGGTTGTCCGTCATTATCTGGTGACTGGTTATCAGGTTGATTTCCGCCTTTGGGTTTCTTGCCACCCTTGGGTTTCTTTCCTCCTGGCTGGCCATCGTTATTGTCAGGGCTCTGGTTGTCGGGTTGTCCGTCATTATCTGGTGACTGGTTATCAGGTTGATTTCCGCCTTTGGGTTTCTTGCCACCCTTGGGTTTCTTTCCTCCTGGCTGGCCATCGTTATTGTCAGGGCTCTGGTTGTCGGGTTGTCCGTCATTATCTGGTGACTGGTTATCAGGTTGATTACCGCCTTTGGGTTTCTTGCCACCCTTGGGTTTCTTTCCTCCTGGCTGGCCATCGTTATTGTCAGGGCTCTGGTTGTCGGGTTGTCCGTCATCATTAGGTGACTTATCATCAGGTTGATTTCCGCCTTTGGGTTTCTTGCCACCCTTGGGTTTCTTTCCTCCTGGCTGGCCATCGTTATTGTCAGGGCTCTGGTTGTCGGGTTGTCCGTCATCATTAGGTGACTTATCATCAGGTTGATTTCCGCCTTTGGGTTTCTTGCCACCCTTGGGTTTCTTACCTCCTGGCTGGCCATTGTTGTTGTCAGGGCTCTGGCTGTCGGGTTGTCCGTCATCATCTGGTGACACTTCTTCTGACTGATAATCTACATCTGGTTGATCGTTATTGGGTTGTTGGTTATTGGGACTACCAGATGGCGAGCCTGTATTAAAATGATAGAGGTCAATTTTAGCACTTGTAAGTCCTATTTATTTACTTTTATTTGCAAAAACAAAAGGGAAGCCGAAAGTATTGATTGTTAACTTACTGGCAGAAGCGGTTGTTTCCGTTGTCGTCTTTGTTGTGACTGTAGCTGTTGTTTGCCCTGGTGGATTTCCGGCGTTGGGTTTATTACCACCTTTGGGTTTTTTCCCCCCCTTGGGTTTCTTTCCTCCTGGTTGGCCATCGTTATTGTCAGGGCTCTGGTTGTCGGGTTGTCCGTCATCATTAGGTGACTTATCATCAGGTTGATTTCCGCCTTTGGGTTTTTTACCACCCTTGGGTTTCTTTCCTCCTGGCTGGCCATCGTTATTGTCAGGGCTCTGGTTGTCGGGTTGTCCGTCATTATCTGGTGACTGGTTATCAGGTTGATTTCCGCCTTTGGGTTTCTTGCCACCCTTGGGTTTCTTTCCTCCTGGTTGGCCATCGTTATTGTCAGGGCTCTGGTTGTCGGGTTGTCCGTCATTATCTGGTGACTGGTTATCAGGTTGATTTCCGCCTTTGGGTTTCTTGCCACCCTTGGGTTTCTTTCCTCCTGGCTGGCCATCGTTATTGTCAGGGCTCTGGTTGTCGGGTTGTCCGTCATTATCTGGTGACTGGTTATCAGGTTGATTTCCGCCTTTGGGTTTCTTGCCACCCTTGGGTTTCTTTCCTCCTGGCTGGCCATCGTTATTGTCAGGGCTCTGGTTGTCGGGTTGTCCGTCATTATCTGGTGACTGGTTATCAGGTTGATTTCCGCCTTTGGGTTTCTTGCCACCCTTGGGTTTCTTTCCTCCTGGCTGGCCATCGTTATTGTCAGGGCTCTGGTTGTCGGGTTGTCCGTCATTATCTGGTGACTGGTTATCAGGTTGATTTCCGCCTTTGGGTTTCTTGCCACCCTTGGGTTTCTTTCCTCCTGGCTGGCCATCGTTATTGTCAGGGCTCTGGTTGTCGGGTTGTCCGTCATTATCTGGTGACTGGTTATCAGGTTGATTTCCGCCTTTGGGTTTCTTGCCACCCTTGGGTTTCTTTCCTCCTGGCTGGCCATCGTTATTGTCAGGGCTCTGGTTGTCGGGTTGTCCGTCATTATCTGGTGACTGGTTATCAGGTTGATTTCCGCCTTTGGGTTTCTTGCCACCCTTGGGTTTCTTTCCTCCTGGCTGGCCATCGTTATTGTCAGGGCTCTGGTTGTCGGGTTGTCCGTCATTATCTGGTGACTGGTTATCAGGTTGATTTCCGCCTTTGGGTTTCTTGCCACCCTTGGGTTTCTTTCCTCCTGGCTGGCCATCGTTATTGTCAGGGCTCTGGTTGTCGGGTTGTCCGTCATTATCTGGTGACTGGTTATCAGGTTGATTTCCGCCTTTGGGTTTCTTGCCACCCTTGGGTTTCTTTCCTCCTGGCTGGCCATCGTTATTGTCAGGGCTCTGGTTGTCGGGTTGTCCGTCATCATTAGGTGACTTATCATCAGGTTGATTTCCGCCTTTGGGTTTCTTGCCACCCTTGGGTTTCTTACCTCCTGGCTGGCCATTGTTGTTGTCAGGGCTCTGGCTGTCGGGTTGTCCGTCATCATCTGGTGACACTTCTTCTGACTGATCATCTACATCTGGTTGATCGTTATTGGGTTGTTGGTTATTGGGACTACCAGATGGCGAGCCTGTATTAAAATGATAGAGGTAAATTTTAGCACTTGTAAGTCCTATTTATTTACTTTTATTTGCAAAAACAAAAGGGAAGCCGAAAGTATTGATTGTTAACTTACTGGCAGAAGCGGTTGTTTCCGTTGTCGTCTTTGTTGTGACTGTAGCTGTTGTTTGCCCTGGTGGATTTCCGGCGTTGGGTTTATTACCACCTTTGGGTTTTTTACCACCCTTGGGTTTCTTTCCTCCTGGTTGGCCATCGTTATTGTCAGGGCTCTGGTTGTCGGGTTGTCCGTCATCATTAGGTGACTTATCATCAGGTTGATTTCCGCCTTTGGGTTTTTTACCACCCTTGGGTTTCTTTCCTCCTGGCTGGCCATCGTTATTGTCAGGGCTCTGGTTGTCGGGTTGTCCGTCATTATCTGGTGACTGGTTATCAGGTTGATTTCCGGCTTTGGGTTTCTTGCCACCCTTGGGTTTCTTTCCTCCTGGCTGGCCATCGTTATTGTCAGGGCTCTGGTTGTCGGGTTGTCCGTCATTATCTGGTGACTGGTTATCAGGTTGATTTCCGCCTTTGGGTTTTTTACCACCCTTGGGTTTCTTTCCTCCTGGCTGGCCATCGTTATTGTCAGGGCTCTGGTTGTCGGGTTGTCCGTCATTATCTGGTGACTGGTTATCAGGTTGATTTCCGCCTTTGGGTTTCTTGCCACCCTTGGGTTTCTTTCCTCCTGGCTGGCCATCGTTATTGTCAGGGCTCTGGTTGTCGGGTTGTCCGTCATTATCTGGTGACTGGTTATCAGGTTGATTTCCGCCTTTGGGTTTCTTGCCACCCTTGGGTTTCTTTCCTCCTGGCTGGCCATTGTTGTTGTCAGGGCTCTGGCTGTCGGGTTGTCCGTCATCATCTGGTGACACTTCTTCTGACTGATCATCTACATCTGGTTGATCGTTATTGGGTTGTTGGTTATTGGGACTACCAGATGGCGAGCCTGTATTAAAATGATAGAGGTCAATTTTAGCACTTGTAAGTCCTATATATTTACTTTTATTTGCAAAAACAAAAGGGAAGCCGAAAGTATTGATTGTTAACTTACTGGCAGAAGCGGTTGTTTCCGTTGTCGTCTTTGTTGTGACTGTAGCTGTTGTTTGCCCTGGTGGATTTCCGGCGTTGGGTTTATTACCACCTTTGGGTTTTTTACCACCCTTGGGTTTCTTTCCTCCTGGTTGGCCATCGTTATTGTCAGGGCTCTGGTTGTCGGGTTGTCCGTCATCATTAGGTGACTTATCATCAGGTTGATTTCCGCCTTTGGGTTTTTTTACCACCCTTGGGTTTCTTTCCTCCTGGCTGGCCATCGTTATTGTCAGGGCTCTGGTTGTCGGGTTGTCCGTCATTATCTGGTGACTGGTTATCAGGTTGATTTCCGCCTTTGGGTTTCTTGCCACCCTTGGGTTTCTTTCCTCCTGGTTGGCCATCGTTATTGTCAGGGCTCTGGTTGTCGGGTTGTCTGTCATTATCTGGTGACTGGTTATCAGGTTGATTTCCGCCTTTGGGTTTCTTGCCACCCTTGGGTTTCTTTCCTCCTGGCTGGCCATCGTTATTGTCAGGGCTCTGGTTGTCGGGTTGTCCGTCATTATCTGGTGACTGGTTATCAGGTTGATTACCGCCTTTGGGTTTCTTGCCACCCTTGGGTTTCTTTCCTCCTGGCTGGCCATCGTTATTGTCAGGGCTCTGGTTGTCGGGTTGTCCGTCATCATTAGGTGACTTATCATCAGGTTGATTTCCGCCTTTGGGTTTCTTGCCACCCTTGGGTTTCTTTCCTCCTGGCTGGCCATCGTTATTGTCAGGGCTCTGGTTGTCGGGTTGTCCGTCATTATCTGGTGACTGGTTATCAGGTTGATTTCCGCCTTTGGGTTTCTTGCCACCCTTGGGTTTCTTTCCTCCTGGCTGGCCATTGTTGTTGTCAGGGCTCTGGCTGTCGGGTTGTCCGTCATCATCTGGTGACACTTCTTCTGACTGATCATCTACATCTGGTTGATCGTTATTGGGTTGTTGGTTATTGGGACTACCAGATGGCGAGCCTGTATTAAAATGATAGAGGTCAATTTTAGCACTTGTAAGTCCTATTTATTTACTTTTATTTGCAAAAACAAAAGGGAAGCCGAAAGTATTGATTGTTAACTTACTGGCAGAAGCGGTTGTTTCCGTTGTCGTCTTTGTTGTAACTGTAGCTGTTGTTTGCCCTGGTGGATTTCCGGCGTTGGGTTTATTACCACCTTTGGGTTTTTTTCCCCCCCTTGGGTTTCTTTCCTCCTGGTTGGCCATCGTTATTGTCAGGGCTCTGGTTGTCGGGTTGTCCGTCATCATTAGGTGACTTATCATCAGGTTGATTTCCGCCTTTGGGTTTTTTACCACCCTTGGGTTTCTTTCCTCCTGGCTGGCCATCGTTATTGTCAGGGCTCTGGTTGTCGGGTTGTCCGTCATTATCTGGTGACTGGTTATCAGGTTGATTTCCGCCTTTGGGTTTCTTGCCACCCTTGGGTTTCTTTCCTCCTGGTTGGCCATCGTTATTGTCAGGGCTCTGGTTGTCGGGTTGTCCGTCATTATCTGGTGACTGGTTATCAGGTTGATTTCCGCCTTTGGGTTTCTTGCCACCCTTGGGTTTCTTTCCTCCTGGCTGGCCATCGTTATTGTCAGGGCTCTGGTTGTCGGGTTGTCCGTCATTATCTGGTGACTGGTTATCAGGTTGATTTCCGCCTTTGGGTTTCTTGCCACCCTTGGGTTTCTTTCCTCCTGGCTGGCCATTGTTGTTGTCAGGGCTCTGGCTGTCGGGTTGTCCGTCATCATCTGGTGACACTTCTTCTGACTGATCATCTACATCTGGTTGATCGTTATTGGGTTGTTGGTTATTGGGACTACCAGATGGCGAGCCTGTATTAAAATGATAGAGGTCAATTTTAGCACTTGTAAGTCCTATATATTTACTTTTATTTGCAAAAACAAAAGGGAAGCCGAAAGTATTGATTGTTAACTTACTGGCAGAAGCGGTTGTTTCCGTTGTCGTCTTTGTTGTGACTGTAGCTGTTGTTTGCCCTGGTGGATTTCCGGCGTTGGGTTTATTACCACCTTTGGGTTTTTTACCACCCTTGGGTTTCTTTCCTCCTGGTTGGCCATCGTTATTGTCAGGGCTCTGGTTGTCGGGTTGTCCGTCATCATTAGGTGACTTATCATCAGGTTGATTTCCGCCTTTGGGTTTTTTACCACCCTTGGGTTTCTTTCCTCCTGGCTGGCCATCGTTATTGTCAGGGCTCTGGTTGTCGGGTTGTCCGTCATTATCTGGTGACTGGTTATCAGGTTGATTTCCGCCTTTGGGTTTCTTGCCACCCTTGGGTTTCTTTCCTCCTGGTTGGCCATCGTTATTGTCAGGGCTCTGGTTGTCGGGTTGTCTGTCATTATCTGGTGACTGGTTATCAGGTTGATTTCCGCCTTTGGGTTTCTTGCCACCCTTGGGTTTCTTTCCTCCTGGCTGGCCATCGTTATTGTCAGGGCTCTGGTTGTCGGGTTGTCCGTCATTATCTGGTGACTGGTTATCAGGTTGATTACCGCCTTTGGGTTTCTTGCCACCCTTGGGTTTCTTTCCTCCTGGCTGGCCATCGTTATTGTCAGGGCTCTGGTTGTCGGGTTGTCCGTCATCATTAGGTGACTTATCATCAGGTTGATTTCCGCCTTTGGGTTTCTTGCCACCCTTGGGTTTCTTTCCTCCTGGCTGGCCATCGTTATTGTCAGGGCTCTGGTTGTCGGGTTGTCCGTCATTATCTGGTGACTGGTTATCAGGTTGATTTCCGCCTTTGGGTTTCTTGCCACCCTTGGGTTTCTTTCCTCCTGGCTGGCCATTGTTGTTGTCAGGGCTCTGGCTGTCGGGTTGTCCGTCATCATCTGGTGATACTTCTTCTGACTGATCATCTACATCTGGTTGATCGTTATTGGGTTGTTGGTTATTGGGACTACCAGATGGCGAGCCTGTATTAAAATGATAGAGGTCAATTTTGGCACTTGTAAGTCCTATTTATTTACTTTTATTTGCAAAAACAAAAGGGAAGCCGAAAGTATTGATTGTTAACTTACTGGCAGAAGCGGTTGTTTCCGTTGTCGTCTTTGTTGTAACTGTAGCTGTTGTTTGCCCTGGTGGATTTCCGGCGTTGGGTTTATTACCACCTTTGGGTTTTTTCCCCCCCTTGGGTTTCTTTCCTCCTGGTTGGCCATCGTTATTGTCAGGGCTCTGGTTGTCGGGTTGTCCGTCATCATTAGGTGACTTATCATCAGGTTGATTTCCGCCTTTGGGTTTTTTACCACCCTTGGGTTTCTTTCCTCCTGGCTGGCCATCGTTATTGTCAGGGCTCTGGTTGTCGGGTTGTCCGTCATTATCTGGTGACTGGTTATCAGGTTGATTTCCGCCTTTGGGTTTCTTGCCACCCTTGGGTTTCTTTCCTCCTGGTTGGCCATCGTTATTGTCAGGGCTCTGGTTGTCGGGTTGTCCGTCATTATCTGGTGACTGGTTATCAGGTTGATTTCCGCCTTTGGGTTTCTTGCCACCCTTGGGTTTCTTTCCTCCTGGCTGACCATCGTTATTGTCAGGGCTCTGGTTGTCGGGTTGTCCGTCATCATTAGGTGACTTATCATCAGGTTGATTTCCGCCTTTGGGTTTCTTGCCACCCTTGGGTTTCTTACCTCCTGGCTGGCCATCGTTGTTGTCAGGGCTCTGGCTGTCGGGTTGTCCGTCATCATCTGGTGACACTTCTTCTGACTGATCATTTACATCTGGTTGATCGTTATTGGGTTGTTGGTTATTGGGACTACCAGATGGCGAGCCTGTATTAAAATGATAGAGGTCAATTTTAGCACTTGTAAGTCCTATTTATTTACTTTTCTTTGCAAAAACAAAATGGAAGCCGAAAGTATTGATTGTTAACTTACTGGCAGAAGCGGTTGTTTCCGTTGTCGTCTTTGTTGTGACTGTAGCTGTTGTTTGCCCTGGTGGATTTCCGGCGTTGGGTTTATTACCACCTTTGGGTTTTTTGCCACCCTTGGGTTTCCTTCCTCCTGGTTGGCCATCGTTATTGTCCGGGCTCTGGTTGTCGGGTTGTCCGTCATTATCTGGTGACTGGTTATCAGGTTGATTTCCGCCTTTGGGTTTCTTACCATCCCTGGGTTTTTGTCCTCCTGGCTGGCCATCGTTATTGTCAGGGCTCTGGTTGTCGGGTTGTCCGTCATTATCTGGTGACTGGTTATCAGGTTGATTTCCGCCTTTGGGTTTCTTGCCACCCTTGGGTTTCTTTCCTCCTGGCTGGCCATTGTTGTTGTCAGGGCTCTGGCTGTCGGGTTGTCCGTCATCATCTGGTGACACTTCTTCTGACTGATCATCTACATCTGGTTGATCGTTATTGGGTTGTTGGTTATTGGGACTACCAGATGGCGAGCCTGTATTAAAATGATAGAGGTCAATTTTAGCACTTGTAAGTCCTATTTATTTACTTTTATTTGCAAAAACAAAAGGGAAGCCGAAAGTATTGATTGTTAACTTACTGGCAGAAGCGGTTGTTTCCGTTGTCGTCTTTGTTGTAACTGTAGCTGTTGTTTGCCCTGGTGGATTTCCGGCGTTGGGTTTATTACCACCTTTGGTTTTTTTTCCCCCCCTTGGGTTTCTTTCCTCCTGGTTGGCCATCGTTATTGTCAGGGCTCTGGTTGTCGGGTTGTCCGTCATCATTAGGTGACTTATCATCAGGTTGATTTCCGCCTTTGGGTTTTTTACCACCCTTGGGTTTCTTTCCTCCTGGCTGGCCATCGTTATTGTCAGGGCTCTGGTTGTCGGGTTGTCCGTCATTATCTGGTGACTGGTTATCAGGTTGATTTCCGCCTTTGGGTTTCTTGCCACCCTTGGGTTTCTTTCCTCCTGGCTGACCATCGTTATTGTCAGGGCTCTGGTTGTCGGGTTGTCCGTCATCATTAGGTGACTTATCATCAGGTTGATTTCCGCCTTTGGGTTTCTTGCCACCCTTGGGTTTCTTACCTCCTGGCTGGCCATCGTTGTTGTCAGGGCTCTGGCTGTCGGGTTGTCCGTCATCATCTGGTGACACTTCTTCTGACTGATCATTTACATCTGGTTGATCGTTATTGGGTTGTTGGTTATTGGGACTACCAGATGGCGAGCCTGTATTAAAATGATAGAGGTCAATTTTAGCACTTGTAAGTCCTATTTATTTACTTTTCTTTGCAAAAACAAAATGGAAGCCGAAAGTATTGATTGTTAACTTACTGGCAGAAGCGGTTGTTTCCGTTGTCGTCTTTGTTGTGACTGTAGCTGTTGTTTGCCCTGGTGGATTTCCGGCGTTGGGTTTATTACCACCTTTGGGTTTTTTGCCACCCTTGGGTTTCCTTCCTCCTGGTTGGCCATCGTTATTGTCCGGGCTCTGGTTGTCGGGTTGTCCGTCATTATCTGGTGACTGGTTATCAGGTTGATTTCCGCCTTTGGGTTTCTTACCATCCCTGGGTTTTTGTCCTCCTGGCTGGCCATCGTTATTGTCAGGGCTCTGGTTGTCGGGTTGTCCGTCATAATCTGGTGATTTGTTATCAGGTTGATTTCTGCCTTTGGGTTTCTTACCATCCCTGGGTTTCTTTCCTCCTGGCTGGCCATCGTTATTGTCAGGGCTCTGGTTGTCGGGTTGTCCGTCATTATCTGGTGACTGGTTATCAGGTTGATTTCCGCCTTTGGGTTTCTTACCATCCCTGGGTTTCTTTCCTCCTGGCTGGCCATCGTTATTGTCAGGGCTCTGGTTGTCGGGTTGTCCTTCATTATCTGGTGACTGGTTATCAGGTTGATTTCCGCCTTTGGGTTTCTTGCCACCCTTGGGTTTCTTTCCTCCTCGCTGGCCATCGTTATTGTCAGGGCTCTGGTTGTCGGGTTGTCCGTCATTATCTGGTGACTGGTTATCAGGTTGATTTCCGCCTTTGGGTTTCTTGCCACCCTTGGGTTTCTTTCCTCCTGGCTGGCCATCGTTATTGTCAGGGCTCTGGTTGTCGGGTTGTCCGTCATTATCTGGTGACTGGTTATCAGGTTGATTTCCGCCTTTGGGTTTTTTACCACCCTTGGGTTTCTTTCCTCCTGGTTGGCCGTCGTTTTCGTCAGGGTTTTGTCCGCGGTTGTTATTAGGGCTTTGGTTTTCGGGTTGATTTTCGTCGTCTATCAAGTCATAGTCAGATCCTTTTGAAATTAAATTTGTCAATTGCATTTCATTTTTTAACTAAACAGTCAAACATTTTATGTAAAGATGATTTTTTTTTGTATTCGACTTACCTTTCGATATTGTTTCTTTCTTGGTGATTGTCGTCGAGCTGGTCTGGTCTTGCTCAGATGTCTCCTTGTTGGATTTAGTTACGACTGTTGTTATTGATTCGGTCGTTGTTGTTTCCTGAGGATGTCTGCCACCTCTTGGTTTCTTGCCATGTTTTGGTTTTCTCAAATCAACTGGCCGAGGACCTGGATGTCGAGGTTGTTGATAATAAATGAATTACTTCTATTTACGTATATTTTTAACCATAATTGTGTGATTTTTGTTACCTTTCGAACACTTTTTGCTTGGTTTGTTTGGCGCATTGTTATTTGACGGGAAATCTACGAAAAAAATATACCCGTTTTAAATTATTTTCAAATCAAAAAGAAGAATTATTTTAAATATGATACTTTATTCAAATTTATATTCGGAGGATATTCTTACCTGAATCAGTTTTTGTTTCTGTTATAACCTTAGTTACGGTCGAGGAGCTCTGATTTTCTTTTGATGCTTTGTCATTAGCTGTAGTCACAACAGTTGTTTCACTTTCTGTTGTTACAACTTCATCAGGTTTTCCCACAATAGGTGACTGTCCACCAATTGGTTTCTTTCCTCTCAACCAAGGCTTCTTCGGGATCCTTCCGATTATTGGATGTTTTGCCCCTTGAATACCTTTAACACGTTTTTTTTAAATTGACTATTATAAAGTATATATTTTTATATACATATTCACTAATTAATGTATATTTAATATAATATACGAGTATATTTCAAAATCTATGTCTATATAAAATATAATCTACCGGCGTTGTTATTGTCAGTCGATAATTTTGAATATTCATTATTTCCAGAATGATTTTGGTTCATAAGTTCAGCTACCATTTGTGCCAGACTGCCAGTTGATCGTTTACTGCTAACTTTAAAACAACCGTTAAAGTTAATCGGTTATTAACTTTGAAAGATGTATTTATTTTAAGATGAGTTAATAAAAACAAACCTCCTGAGATTTTAGCTCCAACGCCAATACCGATACCAATATTATTGATCGGGAGAGGTCCAGGTTTCTCAATTGGTGATCGTATCGGAATTCGTGGATGATGTCTCAATATTGGATGAGGCAAACGTCCACGATTACTCTTGGAGTATGATGATTCGATTTGAGAACCTGAAAACATGTTTTATTATCAGGCTGCAGTAAAATAAATTAAACATTAGTAAGTATACGTATGAATTTTGGCTGCTAGCTAAAGGACATTTGATATGAATCGATTTTGATAAATATAACATTATTTGGCATTTCTAATGAGACGAAACCTCTCATCATTCCATGTATTCACGGTGCGTGTGTCGGGTCCATCGTTGTAGTGAGAGGAGCTTCAACAGTGACTGGGACTTGTGACCCAGGTGTAGGTTTAAGGGACCCCTATCTAACGCGCGTTAAACGCTCAATTATTAGTGCTTAAGAAAGTGTTGGGTCTTTAGAATATAGTTGATTAAAACACTTAAAATTACTCACCGGAATTGTATTGGTAATTTTTGCTTTCATTTTCGTTATCAACAGTGGATTCCGAATCTGATTTCCAATAGCTATTTCTATTACCATTATTGAGTACCCCACCAGCGATATTATGGTGCCGTCCATGGTTTCTTGATCTGTGATGATCGCTTAAACCTTGGGCAAATTTCCTCTCAGTGTTGATTTTCTTTTCCACAACACCAGACGTCAAATCGATTGCGCCATGGCCAATGTCCTCTGCAAAAATTAATGGCCCAGTTAGAATAACGCTTAAGATTGTTATACGTGGGGGGGATCTTGGAATTTGAGTCATGGTCGTTGGAAAGGCCAGCGTTAGGCTTTTTGGTAATCAATTTATTGTTTTCTAATAGTTTTAGGCCTAATTCTGTTTATAAAACCGTAACGCTGCCTTATCCTTTACTAACCTTCTGGTATAAATGTGACTTTCACTATTGGTTTACCAAAACTGTCCAATTCTTCTTCCTCGAAGTACGTGTATTGTAAACCATTATCTGCAAGTATGGCCACAATAAATGGACTTGCTCGGACATTATTTAACTAGGCTAGGACATTTCTAATGGCTTTCTGATTCAACATATATTTGTAACTTAAAATATTTTGTTCGCCACAAAAACTTCTATTAATATTCTACCTAATATTATAATATTTTTTTTACAAGCATATAATATCAGAAATCTACAAACAGTCGGAAAATTTATACGAATTTTTGTTTAAAAAGTGATTATTTTTGGTATTTCTATGGGACATTATTTTTAGTAATTTTACAGAATCTCAACGTAAACTTAATATCTCACCTGGGAGTTTAAACACGAAATTCTGATCATCTGAAAAAGAATATATAAAAAATAAAAACTAGTATATCTGACAAATATTTTGTTGAAAAAATATACATATATTTTTTTGTGTACATAGTCCAAATTGCATCGTCACTACATACTCCATGTTAACAGTATTTCATTCGTAACTTCTCACATAGTAACGTAGGTTAATGAAAAACGGGAAACTATTAGTATGTAGTCTAACTTATAATAAGAGAACAAAATATATTTCAAAGATCACTAATTTGTTAAATTATAAATAACTTATTTTTTTTATTTACCTACTGATGATAAATAAAACTATATCGTTTTTTCATAACACTAAAATAAAAATGTAACTAAATGCACCCTAATGTACATTATATATATTATATGCACATACTATATTTGTCTGTCTGTTTGTTCCAACCAATCTCTAGAATTGCTGGTACGACTCCGATAGAATTTTCAAAGATAAATTGATGAAATGTTGAGTAACTTTGTTTTTATTCTCATTAATATATATAATATTATTATTCCGCGCACACACACAATATTAGACAGTATTTTGTGCATAATTATAACTGACATAACAAAAGAGGGTTATGATTTAACAAAGTTATTAAGAATTTTTAAATATATATATTCACTTACTGACTGGCTGTCTCGCCCTTACATAATGTGGATCTGCGTTAACGCAGAGCACCTGGAAAATATATCAAATATTATTTAGCTATGAACAAAATAAATACAAAGAAACTTTTTTCAATAAAAAATCTATTTTAGTATTGAAAAAATGAAGATTTGAATAGGCGATACAAACACGTTCTAACTATCGTGACAAAGATATTATTTTAACAAAATATCTATTTTTGTATATCCCAAATTGGCAAAAACATAAAAAAGAAATTATCATATAATTAATATATATATATTAAAATGTTATCAAACTTACACACAGCGCGAAGTAAAACACCAAATTCATTTTGGTCTAGGATAAGCTATCCATACAAGACCATGAATTGATGCCGAACGAACACACGCATACCTTTTATACCCAACCGATATTATGCAAATAAAATAAATTAAAATTAAACAATAGTCTAAATAAATATGATTATTGGTAATAAATTAACTTTTCGCATCTGTTTAAATAAAAATTTTGGATTAAATGAAAAAAAATATGCTTAATATACCATGTACCAGCTAAATAAATAGTTTATACAAAATTATGTGTTTTGTTGTGAAAAGTATTATTTTTTACGTAACTTTTTATATCTTAAAAAAACTTAAGTAAGGTACAATGTTAATAATTAAATTAGAACTTTTAATAGGACCCATCTATACATATACATTTATACCAGACATTTTTTTTGGCAGATAGTTGATTTGAAAAGATAAACATAGATTTATTGTTTTAGAAGGTAACTTTATTATTTATTTATGCAGATTTTTTTTAATGAGAAAGTCGGCAAATGTGCAGACGGCAACTGTCATGGGCAGTAGTCATCATAACCCATAGTTTCGTTTTTAAAAAAACTAATTAACTAAAATATAGGCATAAATTAATATTTTTAAATGCTTTTTCTTTCACAGGTTTGTAATACTTATAATAAATACTTTTATGGAACTACAGTATTTTGTAATTTATGATTATTATAATAAAACATTTCTTTCATAGAGAAACGCAATTGAGTTTTTATTTTTTTTTTTTTTTTTTGATGACGCAGGGAAACTCTTTTTAGGAGCCGTCCAACTGGCCTTGGTGGGGCCGGAAGGTATGTGTGAGGCTCGGCCTGGGCAGGCCCCTACTCACTAAAACCACTGCGAAAGCCATCGGCCGCTATGTCGGTGTACCCCGGATCTGTCAGCGACAGGGTACTGAGTTTTAATCCTTTTTTTTATGACGCAGGGAACTGAGTTTAATTTCTACACAACCTTTGTTATGTACATTTTTTTTAAACCCTAATATATTTCGTTTATATTTTAAAAAGCAATTTAAATAATATAAGTACAATATTCTCTTCTTTTGGTACGTTTTTATTATATTATAGAGCTTTAAAAAAGTATTTTTTTCGTTCACATTAATCTTAATATCTTTGATATTTGTTGAGCATAACATATTTATAGTGGCAACTATTTTGGCAATCGTTATAATCTTACTTCATAATTATGTGGGTTTCTTATTAAAAATATAAATAAAAATCAATTTTCATCCACACGAAGCGACACCCTTCCCCCTTTCTCATGAGCATAGCAAGATATTGGAACAGTTAGCCTGTGTCTGGGTTTCCATCGAGCTATAATTTGGGTGTTTTCAAGAAAAGAGTTAATAAAGACTAATACTGAGATAGTGTGTTCACAATTTATGAGTTCATTTCCACCTTCCAACGAGTGGAATGACAGTCAAGGACTATCTAGTTGAAATAAAAGAAATAGAACTACTTAGTAAGACTGATGATTGTAAAACATTTTTATAAGTATTATCAGTGTTGATTGTATTATTATTAGTCAGTGGTGTCCTAGTCGTTAAAGGTCCGCCTCTCATGCACGAGGGCGCGGGTTTGATCCCTACAAGTACCAATGTGATTTTTCCGAGTCATATGTACTTTATAAGAGTATTTAGACATCACTGACTGATGAAGGAAAACATCGTAAGGAAACCTGGACTTATAATTTCACAATTATAAGTTTGAAATCGCCAACCCGCCTTGAGCAAGCGTGATGTTTAATGCTCAAACCTTCTCCATGTGAGAAGAGGCAGCTCAGCATTGGGCTCTGATAGGATGATGACGAAGTATTAACTCACACTAGCCGACCTGATGGATGTTCTTTCACGAAGTTGGTGTATCATCACCAGTTCTGAATCGACCCTGGACTTGTAGGATACAGTCCATAATACCTATCATTAATAATAAATAACTATAATTAAACCACAAATGTTAGTAATTAATTCTTGATTCCCGACTACGTGGAATATTCCAACTACAATAAATGTATTTTTTACCAAATCTATAGTGATTTTATTTAAAATGTATATATATATTTACATAACATATAAATATAGAAGAAACTTAATCAACTTTAATGCTTGTTTCACTTTAATTATCCTATTTATAGGACTTTTATATTGGTTTTAAAAATATTTCATTACTTTGAGAAACCAAATTATGTACCATACACATTATACAGATACATTATATACTCCGGATCCCATTGCTTCATGTTTCAGTGAGAAACTTCTAACTTTTAAGTAAATCTTTTAATTCGTATATAGCTTTTTTTACGTTGGAAAAAAATGCTTTGCATACCTTGGCCAAGTCTTTTGACCGGTTATGTGGGGCTCCCGAAAAACATGCATAGCTTCACATGCCTCTCGATTTATTAACTAAAACAACCAACAGTTATTAACCCTAACTAAGATAAACTTACTAAAATAACCAATGATTGTTAACGGTTATTATCACCATAGTACATTACTTGATCATTTTAAAATAACATACGATTCAGTATGACATGACGCTTCAAGCAGAAGGCGTACCTTTTCCTGAAAGGCTGGCAATGCACTCTGAACTCTTCAATCTTCTTGAGTGTTCATGGGCAATGATGACTACTTACTGTCAGGTGGCTAGCCTGCTCCTTTGCCCTATCCCTACTAATATTATAAATGCGAAAGTAACTCTGCCTGTCTGTCTGTTACGCTTTCACGCCTAAACCATTGAACTGATTTTAATGAAATTTGGTACAGAGATAGAGTTGACCTTGAGAAAGAACATAGGATAGTTTTTATCCCAGACTTTTCAAAGGTTCTCTTGGAAAAACGATATAACCGAACACAACTAAACGCTAGTCCTATATGTACGTATATATAAAAAAAGCATAACATAAAAATGCTTACTGAATACTTTTTTAACTCCAACTTAAAAAGAGATGTATTATAATTTAGATGTCAACTGTTTACGCTATCGTTTATTTCAAACGGATGTACCGATTTTGATGCTGTTATATTCATTATAAAAGCTATTTCTTTGTTCTTTTGTTTGGTTAATGTAAGTCCAGCAATGAAAAAGTATTCGCTTTTTCATAAATTGTAGCATTTTTGGCTAGTGGTTTCTCGATTTTATGTCTCATTAATATTATTTTTTTAATATTTAATAAAATATTGCTATTCACTACTAACCTACAGAGGTTACTAATTAATAGGGACGGTCGTATAGGTTTCTTACACAAATTAAAAACTTTGTTTGAAGTTATAATTAAATTTAATAATAATAGAAACATATTTTACAAGTAGTTTAAACCAATAAAAAAAACTCTTTAGGTAATTAAAAATCATCATTATCATCATCAGCCTATCAGAGCCCACTGTTGAGCTGCCTCTTCTCACATGGAGAAGGTTAGAGCATAAATCACCACGCTCGCTCAAGACGGGTTGGTGATTTCAAACTTATAATTTGATATAAGTCCATGTTTCTTCACGATGTTTTCCTTCACCTGTCAGTGATGTCTAAATACTCTTATAAAGTACATATGACTCGGAACATCACATTGATACTTGTCAGGTTCGATTAAAAACTATAAGCAGGTATTAGTATTATGAAAATGGCAATAATACATATGTATAGACTATATAGTGTAAATCGAAGACTTTTTGAAATTAATAATAATCATATGCTATATTAGACATATCCTTTCATTGGGTAGTGGAGATAAAATAACTTTATAACCTTTCCCAATAAATCTCTATCTTATAGCCTAAAGTATCATTAAAAACTGTTTATTTTTTTTATAACGTAATCCTAAAAGATAAATGTAACATTTATTATCTTAAGTTACAATAAGCAGTTACTGCACATGTTAAAATCAACAAGTGACGTTTCATTTTTAATCTATCTTATTTTTAGATTTTATATTGTCATAGTATAGTATGTGGTGTTATACCCTATCTGTGGTCAAGTTACTACAGCTCGAATATGTTCTGTCTCGACCGTAAGTACCACCCTCTCACTGAAGATCTACGTATGTTAGACTCTTGAAAGTATAATAAAATCATCCAATATTATAATTTTTATTAAAATCAGATTCAATATAATCAAAAACTAATTTACATACAATAATTATATAGGATGCCAAGCGGAGGTTTCAGGAAAACTACAAAACTTACTTATATGTATATTATAATAAGAATTACATATTAAAACTTATAACCTACACCTAAGACTACTTGATTGTCCCGATGTTATGATAGCAATACCATTCCATAGCTTGTGTGTATCAGGAATCTTCTGGTTCACACGCTTGGTGTTCGTTCCGCGGAGTCAGCGGCGTCAAGAGTTATATATTTTATACATACAACGATGTTGCCCCGGCGATGTTCATTTATATTTAATATGTAGCGCGTACGTAACACAATGAAAAATATTTTGGTAATTCTCATTGACGTCAATGTTAATCTGAAAAATATTCGTAAATACTTATTAATAATGACTACCTGCAGTGGTGGCAGAGTGGTTAAAAGGCCCGCCTCTCATGCTCGAGGGCGCGGGTTCAATCCTGGCCCAGGCAAGAACCAATGTGATTTTTCAAAATCATATGTACTTTCTAAGAATATTTAGACATCACTGACTAATGCATTCCCAAAAGAGGGTTGATGCCAGGCAGGCGGCCGGTCGTAAAAACAATTAGCCAAAACTATAAAAAAATATATATATGTAAGGCAGACCCTGGCTAAAGCTGGGAAATTGCTCGGTAGAAGAAGAAGAAGAATGACTACCTGCGACATTGTTTGCACAATAAAATACATGAATAAAGTTTAAGTGTGTAGGTTAGGTAGGCTATAAAATTCGCAGTCTCTTCAATAAAACGAAAATTTTCGGACATTCACATCTCGTCTTAATGATCACGGTTGCTGAAAAGTAACCGAAACGTCGGGAGTATATAATAAAAATAATAAAATACGCATAATAATCTGAAAATATTAGTTCCATTTAAATGGATACTCGCGAAAACCTTACATTTTATTAATATTATATTTATTAATATTTTAACAACACAGTCCCGACGTTTCGGCTACTTTCCAGCAACCATGATCATTAAGACGAGATGATAAAATGAGTACTCGCAAGTCTTATTATAATAGTATCTTCTTCTTTCTGCAAATTTCCCAGACTTAGCCAGGGTCTGCCTTACATGTTCTGAATATTTTTGGCTAATTGTTTTTACGATCCGCCTGCCGGACATCAACCCTCTTTGGGATTGCATTAATCAGTGATGTCTAAATACTCTTAGAAAGTATGTACATATGACTCGGAACGTCACATTGGTACTTGCCAGGTTTCGAACCCGCGCCCTCGTGCATGTGAGACAGACTTTTAACCACCAGGCAACCACTGAGTTAATTATTATAATAGTATCTTAATATTTAAATAACTTTATATTAATTTCAGCTTTATTCATATAATAGATACGCATCTAGTGATACTTAACGAAATTTAAACTAGTACATATTATTACCATTACTTTTGCGTCATTACGAAATACTGATAGTTTAAAGTTTTCAATGAAGTAACGTTCAGAACTTGTGGTAGGGAAACTTAATTTAAAGTGATACTACCACGAAATCTTTATTATTTAATCATCATCATCATCCTATCAGAGCCCACTGCTGAGCTGCCTCTTCTCACATGGAGAAGGTTTGTGCATTAATCTCACGTTTGCTCAAGACGGGTTGACGATTTCAAACTAATAATTTGTTTATAAGTTCATGTTTCCTCACGATGTTTTCCTTCATCAGTCAGTGGTGTCTAAATACTCTTATAAAGTACATATGACTCGGGAACATCACATTGATACAATGGTAATTGAACTGATTTTATTGGTTCATTAAAATCAGTTCAGTGGTTTACGAGTGAAAGCGTAACAGACAGACAGAGTTACTTTCGCATTTATAATATTAGTTGGGATTGTAAGTTTTTTTTGTAATTTAAGCATATATCATTGCATTTTTATAATAATAAGTAGTAATCATAAAAATGGGTTTCTGTTACACTATCAGAATTAAAATATATGTATTTGTTCAGGTGTAAATAAATATCGTTTACGTAGTGTCTGCCAATTACACAAATATTTGATTTCATATATGAATATGGCTAATACACACACACACACACACACACATACATATATAGATATATATACATATATTGTATGTATATATATAAAATGTATGTAGGAGTAATAATATAGGACCTTAATATCTATGGTTTTTCATAATCTATATATAAAATTCTCGTGTCGAGGTGTTAGACAGAGAACTCCTCCGAAACGGCTGGACCGAATTTGATGACATTTTGTGAGCATATTAAGTAGCTCTGAGAATCGACCAACATTTATTTTTAATACCCCTAAGTCATAAGGGTTGTTCTACCTTAATTTTTTTTTTTGGACGAAATTTTTGTTTTTATTTTTTTATAATGTAGCGTTATAAAATACATACAACCCAATTTTTTTATTTTGTATATGTCAAACCAACGTTTGCCGGGTCAGCTAGTATTTTATATATAAAAGAAAGTCGTGTTAGTTACACTATTTATAACTCAAGAACGACTGTAGGCAAATGGTTGGTAATTGGTGGCAAGATAACTTAGAACAAGGAGACGGATATAGGGTACTTTTGATACGAATGAAAAAGAAAAAATATAAGTTGATCAAATATAAAATCTTCTTATCTACTGTCTTTAAGAAGGAAAAGAGCTCGCCCGGTAAGATATACATCTAATTTTGAAAGTAACGCAGACGATCTCGCGGTTAAAAGCTAGTATTCCTTAAAAAACACATGGTTATATGTCAATCATTCTAAATAAAATTAAACTAGACGAGATGTCATCTCGTCTGCCCGTGATCACGGTTGCTGTAAAGTAACCGAAACGTCGGGAGAATGTAGTATAAAATAAAAAATAAATACGCGTATGTAGTCAATCCGAAAATATTAGTTTCATTTAAATGAATACTCGCGAAAATCTTAGATCTCATTACATTCTAAATAGGTTATCCCAATACAAAAATATGAATATTTTTGAAGATTTTAGGAAGGCAATAAATAAATATAGTTATGTCTTTGTCGAACAAAATTAAAAATGTATACCTAGATTTTGTATTTGATCAACTTATTTTGTTTTATTTTCCAATCGTATGTAAAGTATCATATGTCCGTCTCTATGTTCTAATCTATCTCTCCACCAATCTTCCTCCCAAACCCGTACAGTCGTTAGAGTTATAAATAGTGTAACTAACACGACTTTCTATTATATATAAAGATTTAACCAATCAAAATAACATTACTTTGAGGTCAGTTAAATCTCTAGTATTAATATTTCCAGATGAAATATGGAATCTTACCTGTTTTATTACTTTTTTTACATTGATATAAAATTTTAATTATTTTTGTTTGTGTGTCACATTAAATAAAAAATAATATATATGCATAGCTACACTATTCTATTATATATAATACGCAGACGATGTTGAGTGCTATTTACTAGTTAAAAATTTGTTTTATTACATTTTATGGAAATATTTTTATTGTCTGATGTGGGAAACAATATGTGTATATTATATGGCCTTGAAGAAAAATAACTGTTTCTAATAAAGCGTTGACAATTAATACATTTGTTGAAAAACATATACTCTTAAAAATAGTATTAATTTAGGGTTAGATAGAGTCCCTTAAACCTACACCTGGGTCGCAAGTCCCAGTCACTGTTGAAGCTCCTCTCACTACAACGATGGACCCGACACACGCACCGTGAATACATGGAATGATAAGAATCGTCTTATATCTGTACATTTTAGTATGTATAGTATTCAATAAATTATATAAAATTTGTCATGTATGTATGTATTGTGCCAAGTAGAACGACTATGACAGAACCTTATATAATAAAATAATCTACCTACATTACATTTGACATCATATTATTATTTAAAAACATCCACCAAGTATAACTAATACAATAAGTATGCAACTAATACATATATGCACGAGGGCGCGGGTTCGATCCTGGCCCCGGCAAGTACCAATGTGATTTTTCCGAATCATATGTACTTTCTAGGAGTATTTAGACATCACTGACAGACGAAGGAAAACATAGTGAGGAAACATGGACTTATAATTTCACAATTATTATAAGTTTGAAATCACCAACCCGTCTTGAGCGAGTGTGGTGATTAATGCTCAAACCTTCTCCATGTGAGAAGAGGCAGCTCAGCAGTGGGCTCTGATAGGCTGATGATGACAACTAGAGTTATAGGTCACATAATTTTCGTAATTATTTTTTGATACATACCTTTTTTACACCTCATACAAAATGAATTAAATACTATCATTGATAATTTTGAATGATTTTATTTCAATACAAATAAACAATAAAATTTATTAACATCTTAATTTACCTAAAATACAATATATAGCATTTCAAGTAATTTTACTTTACTACAATTCGTACTATCATTTTACTTTTACGTACAAGTAGACAGTTTTTTGTTTTTTAATCTCACAGTATTATCTTTTAAACAGAAATTACGATCGTGTGTATGTCAATAAAAACAGTTAATAAGGTACTAATGTGTATAAAAATATTATTTAAATTCATAATATATATACAGGGTGACTGGTGAATTACTATCGATACTTGAGGACGTGATATTTGACGACCATATATGACAAAATAAAAATTAATATAACATAAATATTAATAAACTACTAAGTAAAGTAAACCAAAAGTTACGTAATTAATAATCACGCATCGTGTGAACACCCTACAGATTAGGTATACACACACACACGCGTGCGGCGGCGTAGTGTTGTATCAGCACGTCGCCGCACGCGTCCACACTTGGAACACTTGGAACGTGTACACACTTTATTTATTTATACGGAAATTTAGTCAAAAATTAAGTACCTATTTTTTTACATATTTCGAATGAGAATCATGTACCGAGTATTCTCCTTAAATATTTATAGTAATTCACCAGTCACCCTGTATATATATATATGTAAATATGTTTTTAATACACAATAACGTGTAACTTTATCACCTAATTGTTCAGATCATCATAATCTATAAAATATATAACCTTTTCATCATTTTCATAATTTTCATCAGGTTTCATCAATCTCATCTCATTATTTTTATTCAATAAGTACTCTCTATACTTATTGACGCTTCCACAATCATTTATATCTATTTTTAGTACAGTTTTCTTTTCTTTTTCATCCGATGAATGTCTGTCTATCACAATTTTCAACATTCTGATGTCTAAATCGTCGTAAAACCTACTAACATCTTGAATATATGATGACAATTTGATAGTAATTTCATCTATTTGCCTCTCAGTGTCGTTTGATAGATGCAAGCAGTTCACGTCTCCTGAAAATATATAACATACGTATATATATATATATATATATATATATATATATATATATATATATATATAGGCTCTATCAGCTTTCAAGACGGATGCGACATGAAAATAATTTGAGCCTGTCATCAATTATTATTAAAACTCATTAGTATTCATAATTATTGTTCAAAGTAAAACGAAATCAAAGATTGTTTAAAAGGAGAATAGAACTATGTTTAAATCTTGGTATAAATATGACGTCTGGACGTACGACGGTAGAGTTCAGTGAGTGAGTATCATTGAAGTATGTGATTATGAAGAACCTTCGAGAAATACAGGAGCATTAAGAACAATTGAAGTTTCATTTTAAAATATCATGGAACGTACTGAAAGAAGTGACGTCAGTGAGGCTGGCGTTTAAAATGTCTGACTCTTTAAAACTAACGAATTTATATTAAATCTGATATATAATAACATATAATTATTTACTACAAGTATATAAAAGTATTATATCTTACTTAATTTCGTCGGTAAACTATGTACGCTCGTTAACTGAAATAACACAAAAACACCCAAAATTAATATTATACATAGTATAGTTTTTAAGAATCAAGAAATACCCAATAATTATTTGATTTAAAAACTGTTATATATCTTAAAATCATGAAAAAAAATCAGATTTGATGCTGAATTATCAAAAAAATCTTTATAATTATTTCAATAAATATATTTTTATAATAATACTTACAAAAAATATTAGTAGGAACATAATATTTGTCTGTCTATTGAGGCAGCAACTGAATAAATGAATATAACAAATTAACTTCAGGGCTAACTAATAAAGGAAAACTAAATACGTGATATTTGTATAGAACAAATATGTTCTTATACAGAGTATTGGATTTGGATGATGCTCTTGGATTTTAGTCGATAATTTTTTGGATAACTCTTTTTGGCAGTAAATAAATTAAAAATAAGAGGATTTTTGTTAGATAAAATATGATAGGTTTATTAAGGCGTATAAATTAAACTAATATTTTCGTATAATAATCGTTTTTCATTATTTTAAACTACATACTCCCAATTCCGTAACTTTGCTACCGTCATCACAGAAATAAATAATAAAAAATGAGTATTAAAATCAAAAATATTAGTAATATATATAAGAATACTTCCCTATTTATTAAATTAATATCATCATCGGTCTATCAGCGCCCACTGCTGAGCAAAGGCCTCTTTCTCACATGGAGAAGGTTTGAGCATTAATCACCACGCTTGCTTAAGACGGGTTGGTGATTTCAAACTTATAAAATTGTGAAACTATAAGTCCAGGTTTCCTCACGATATTTTCCTTCACCGTATGTCAGTGGTGTCTAAATACTCTCAGAAAGACAATATACTCGTAACTCCGAAAAATCACATTGGTACTTGCCAGGTTTGAACCCGCGCCCTCGGTAAGGAGAGGCGGGTCCTTTAACCACTAGGCCACCACTAACTTTTATTAATTTACTAGCAGACCTGGCGAACTTCGTATCGCCCTATAATCAAGAAATATCTATTACGTTTTTTTATTTATATTTTTGGAGTTTACCTGTAAGCCATAAATCTGTGTGTTTTGAAGTGCGACAGAATGGTTGACATATTAGTCGTCAAATCTTATGTCAAAAAAACGTTAGTATGGGAAATAGAAAAGGGCTGTTTTTATATTATGGTTTTCCCAGTAATGAATCAATTTTTTTCAGCTTTTATACCTTCCCTGAACCTCCACGAACATTTCAAGACTAAGATAAGATAAATCCGTTCAGCTGTTCTCGAGTTTTAGCGAGACTAAGGAACAGCAATCCATTTTTATATATATAGAAGATTACTTGAGATATAAATTAATTTTTTATAGAATAATGATAAATTTAGTAAACCGTTGTAAAACCAAAATATTTTCAAATATTGCTATTGAATCACCTAAAACATTTATTTGTCAATCCTTCCTGATGATAGAACTACATAGATGTAAAGATGTCTTGATATTAACTATTAAAAAGCTTTTCTATCGAATTCAAAAAAGAGATATGTAGATGTAATATCGTTGAGAGGAGAATCTACAACGAATAGAGATTTTGTATGCGTTTCATATATGTAAGTTTGAAATCACCAACCCGTCCGTGGTGAGTAATGCTCAAACCTTCTCCATGAGAGAAGAGGCCTTTGCTCAGCAGTGAGCTCTGATAGACTGATGACGAAGTCTATCTATCATTCAACATTTATATCTATGCCTTATTCTTATCACAATATATCCAGATTTTTACCTACTTTACGTTTAAGTTTAATCCAAATTGATTCAGAGACGAAACTTCTCAACATTCCATGTATTCACGGTGCGTGTGTCGGGTCCATCGTTGTAGTGAGAGGAGCTTCAACAGTGACTGGGACTTGTGACCCAGGTGTAGGTTTAAGGGACCCTATCTAACGTTAAACGATCACCTCCACTGTACAAGCTCCTCTCTCTAACACAATTTGAAAAGAACCTACTAGAGCTATCTTTATTGAAGAGTTAAGCGAAAACTTTGTATCACTTTTTAAAGAATTATGTGTACTGATGAACGTAGAATTTAAAACATACTAAATTTATATTGAGAAGAAGTATATAAAGATACTATTTATATATAATATTATTTTAAAATTATGAATAAAATTCCTAAGAATAAGTTCTTGAAACCTCTTACAAATTTATAAGCTTGTAAAGTATATTTAATTTTAAACTAAGTCTAAAAGCCTCATATATAATATGTATAAATAATAAAAATATACATTTATATAATAATACAATTTATTTTTACCTCACTTAATTTGTATGAAGTCGCTCGTAAAACTTAAATCCTGATCATAGTTTGAAATACATTAAAAAATGTTAAATTACAATAAAATAAATAATGTTTTGTTAATAGTTTAATAAAATACGAAATAAATTAAGCAAAAATAGGTAACAATAACAAATGTATAGAATTAACTGTGACACTGGATAAATCTTTCCATTGGAGACATTTGTATCAATTTGGACGAGCTTAGGGGAAGTCGGGGTGAAATGGATGAATTTTACTAATATTTGATTTAATTTTGACTTACTTCATATAAATATATAAATTAAATCTAATTTTACTTAGCAGTTTGTTGATGTTAATTTTGCATTTTTAATCTAGAAATTTTAATTTACATATACCAATTTTGTATTTATCATAGAATTATATAAACATATCTTTATAACTTTTTAAATATATATATACTAGCTTTCCGCCCGCAGCTCGCTTGCGTGGAGTTCGGTTATATCGCGTTTCCAAGAGAACCTTTCGAAAGTCTGGGATAAAAACTATCCTATGTTCTTTCTCAAGGTCAACTCTATCTCTGTACCAAATTTCATTAGAATCAGTTCAGTGGTTTAGGCGTGAAAGCATAACAGACAGACAGAGTTACTTTCACATTAATAATATTAGTTATTATTGACTAATCTTAAAACGACACATCCAAAGTAGACAAAGAAACTATTTATTTTTCCCCATATGTCCATTCCACCCCATTCAAAGAGTATTACCATAAATTTTCTATCAGCCAACATATAAAAGTACAAGGAGCTGTACCGTCAGCATCAGTTCAGAAGAATTGGTGTCAAGAACATGGCTTGTGTTTGGGATTTATTTTTATCTTTCATTATTCTTCTGCTGACCCTACATTTGTCTGACGCTAGTGATATGAAGGTTATATGTTATTTAAACAAAAATAGTTTTTTTTTAACATTTTTTTTTCATATATAATCAATTATAAGTTTGAAATCATCAACCCGTCTTGAGCGAACGTGGTGATTAATGCGTTCCCAAAGAGGGTTGATGTCAGCCAGGCGACCGGTCGTAAAAACAATTAGCTAAAACTATTTAAAATATGTAAGGCAGACCCTGGCTTAAGTTGGGAAATTGCCAGGAAGAAGAAAATATAATTAATATAATTATACTTTTTTTCTAATTGTAGAATTAAATTATTATTTCTATACCATGAGAATGATTGTGATTTTTCTTCCAAATTTCATGTTATTTAAAATGTCTGGTCTTTGAGTTTCAATGAAAAAAAAATTGTAGCTATATATAAAATTATTATCTATGTTTTCATCTATTAATCTATAGATATCTATGTTGCAGGATGACAACTTAGATCGTGGGGCTCATAGTGACAGAGGCGGCGTATGGTTTGGGCCACGTCTGGGAAAGAGGTCATTGCAGCTTGTAGATGAAAGTAACAGGTAAAAATAACACGGAATACTTATCCCCAAAAACAATTAATATATATTCTCCTTATATGTTTAGTGATTTTGTAAAAATTCTCATTAAAAATACACATTAAAGCAATCAAAAACAGACTACGATTAACATTACTGAGGTCCAAATATCATATATATACTTATAACTATTCTATTATATATAAAATTATCTTCTAACTACATATATGTAATTAATTTTTTATATAATTATTTGGTTTTTGTGTTATTTTATCATGGAAACCTACAAAGATAGAACCATAAGTATTTTCGTCAAAAATAAACCAAGCTTTGTCACCATTCTCGTAATTAATGATTAAATTTAAAAAACATTATCTTTTTCCATCCCACATATAACAAAAAGTATATAAATTGGAAACAAAACAGTTACAAACAATAAAATCTAAAAATACTAAAGTTATTTCTGTAATTTAACCAACAATTTAATATTAAAAACAAAATTATTTTTCGTTTTTTTGTTTAAACTTGACTGTTACTTCTCACTAATTTAAACGTACATTTTCGTATTACGATTTCCCGAATAGTGTGCACTGATAGTAAACATTTTAAACATACTAAAAATGGAGTCAATTTAAGCTTCAAAATTTATTTCAGCCAAACTTTCCTTCGGTTGCTTGAGGCGGCTGAAGCTCTGAAATATTATTATGACCAAATGTCCTATCAAATGCAAGCAGACGCCCCGCAGAAAGGTAAGTCCTAATCCATATATAACTTAACTAACTTTCTGCCCGCAGTTTCGCCCGCGTGGAGTTCGGTTATATCGCGTTACCAAGAGAACCTTCAAAAGTCTGGGATAAAAACTATTCTATGTTCTTTCGCAAGGTCAACTCCATCTCTGTACCAAATTTCATTAAAATCAGTTCAGTTGTTTAGGCGTGAAAGCGTAACAGACAGACAGACACACAGAGTTATTTTCGCATTTATAATATTAGTAGGGGTATATATATGACATACATACAAATGTTCATATTTTAGACTGTCTTTGTGAGCTCCAATATTATCTTGTAAATACCCATATATAATAAATTTTAATTACAGTTATAAAAAAAGTGATATTCACCCCAAAACTGGGTAGAGCATTGGATCAGTACAGTGAGAAAATGATTGAAAACATCGAATTTACACCAAGACTAGGAAGAAAGCTGCCAGAAAGAACACCAACTACGCCCAGTGATGAGGAGAGGTGAGAAATGACAACTCTTATACATATTCCAAGAAACAAGATAAGAAATGACTTTTAAAACAATATGCAATACAAAATAATGTTAAATTCATAAGTCAAGTAACTCTATTTAAAGTCATCGTGTATTGTAATCTGTATATAACAAACGATAGATATAAACACACACACACGATTTATTAATATATAACACTGACTTGACACGATCACGGAATGTTGATCTATAGAACACTGATTATATGTGGTGCGAACCACTCATACACTCATATATATATACTAGCTTTCCGCCCGCAGCTTCGCCCGCATGGAGTTCGGTTATATCGCGTTTCCAAGAGGACCTTTCAAAAGTCTGGGATAAAAACTATTCTATGTTCTTTCTCAAGGTCTACTCTATTTTTGTACCAAATTTCATTCAAATCAGTTTAGTAGTTTAGGCGTGAAAGCGTAACAGACAGACAGAGTTACTTTCACATATATAATATTAGTAGGGATTCATTAATGCATTCCCAAAGAGGGTTGATGTCAGGCAGGCGGCCGGTCGTAAAAACAATTAGCCAAAACTATTCACAACATGTAAGGCAGACCTTGGCAAAAGCTGGGAAATTGTCAGGTAGAAGAATATATGTTATATAAAGATTATTTTCTTTCAGTATTCAAGACACAATCGCAGCAAATCGTCGCCCGAGTTACTTCTCTCCAAGACTTGGTAGAAATTATAATTTCTCGCCCCGACTTGGAAGAGAATTATACGGTATTTATTTTCCTAGTTGAATGTACATAGTATAGTAATTATACTTCAATAGATATATACTTCTTGAGAATCAAAACTAATTATAGATAAAAATATAAAAAGAAATGTTTCTGGTTAAGTTTTGCTTACTACAAGTTTGTACATACTACATACTAATAGTTTCCCGTTTCTCATTAATACGTTAATACTATGAGAAGTTACGAATGAAATACTGTTGACGTGGAGTATGTAGTGACGATGTACACTTTTGTTACACACTATGAAATTAAATTACATATACATTCCCTGTATTTTGTATAGTTTTGTTATATATATATATATATATATATATATATATATATATATATATATATTTAAAAAACATATATTTTCCTCGTTTCTTTCAGAACTGTACCCTGAAGAACACGTTCGCGTCGTGAGGAGCGTAAACAATACCAACTCGAAATAAACTCAAACTATGATATCACATTAATGTTCTGGACAAAGACGTGTGACGGTGCTAGTCAATAAAATATTACATTCTATATATTATGTATCATTTAAAAATATCCCTTATATATAAGTATAATCATGGTGGCCTAGAGGTTAACGGTCCGCCTCTCATACATGAGGGCACGGGTTCGATCCTGGCAAGTACCAATGTGATTTTTCCGAGTCATATGTACTTTATAAGAGTATTTAGACATCACTGACTGATGAAGGAAAACATCGTGAGGAAACATGGACTTATAATCATAATATAAGTTTGAAATCTCCAATCCGTCTTGAGCGAGCGTGTTGATTAATGCTCTAACCTTCTCCATGTGAGAAGAGGCAGCTCAGCAGTGGGCTCTGATAGGATGATGACGATGATGTTATGTAAATTAATATGCTTTTTGATCAGCTTAAATTGTAGGTTACTTCGTAGTGTTAAAAAAATTATTCAGTAATTTCTGGATGACCGACAAACATACAAAACCACGTAGTGCATTAAAAATAACATATTACATAGAAATACATAAATATAAAACTAAGAATGTAATGTATGCATGTCTATTAGCTCACATTTTCTCATAAAGCTAAGCCGATTTGAATAAGGTTTTCAATTTCGTCGGTTCAAAATCACGAAAACCTTTTTTTGTTCCACAAAAAATTGTCATTTCAAAAAGTTTATTACGAGGAGCTATTGAAGAATCTCATATTTATTATATCGGATACAAAGTTTGCGAAGTCACGGGCACAGCTTGTATGTATTATACATATTTATATAACACCTTTTTACTAAAGGCCTATTAGACATACATATAATAAGAAAATTACAATGTCTCTGTTTGCTATCTCCAATCTTGGAAACGGCTGGACCTATTTCAATTAAACTTTCACTACAGATAGCGGGTATAATGAACAATATTCTAAATAGTAACAAGAGAAGGCCCGCCTCTCATGCATGAGGGCGCGGGTTCGATCCTGGCAAGTACCAATGTGATTTTTCCGAGTCATATGTACTTTATAAGAGTATTTAGACATCACTGATAAATGCATTCCCAAAGAGGATTGATGTCAAGCAGGCGGCCGGTCCTAAAAACAATTAGCTAAAACTATTCACAAAATGTAAGGCAGACCCTGGCCACAGCTGGGAAATTGCCAGGTAGAAGAAAAAGTAACAAGACTATATAAAACATTTATATAACTCATGCGACGTTACAATCTAAAATATTCCTACGCTCCATATAATTCGCTGTGTTCGAGTTAGCAGTAGTAAAAAGTGCAGTTAAATTTCAATCACATCCTAAAATGAAATCCTTATCAGACTTACTGCGTGTGGGTGAGTTATAAACACGAGTTTAACAAAAAAATAACAATATTAACATGTATTTCATTAAAACTATTAATGGATAGTTATTAAGAATTAAAAATAAAGATTTTAACTATATATATTACTAACTAGTTTTTGCCCGCGACTTCGTCCGCGTTAATTTCATCATTAGTAATAAATGTATAGCTGACCAGGCGAACTATATTCCGTCCTAGAGGCCATAAATAATCAGGTTTTTCCTGTTTCAATCGAACAGAATGATTGACATATTAGTTGTCAAATCTAATGTCAAAGAAAACATTTGTATGGGAAATAGAAAAGGGCTATTTTTAGGGTTTTCCCGGAAATGAATCAATTTTTCTCACCTTTTATACCTTCCCTGAACCTCCACAAACATTTCAAGACTGAGATAAGATAAATCCGTTCAGCCGTTCTCGAGTTTTAGCGAGACTAAGGAACAGCAATCCATTTTTATATATATAGAAGATTATAATTTGTAAAAATTGGTATACACGTTGTGACACAAAATTTAAGTACATTCATACAAAAAGACCCAAAAGCGCAAGATTTTTCGGAAAGTAATAAGATTAAAATATGCAATAAAAGTACTCGATAATTTTATGTCAAATCATTTGACAGATATATTGATTTGTATTTATCACTAGAAGACCTGGCGAACTTCGTATCGCCCTATAATCAAGAAATATCTATTACGTTTTTTTATTTATATTTTTGGAGTTTACCTGTAAGCCATAAATCTCCGTGTTTTGAAGTGAGACAGAATGATTGACATATTAGTTAGTTGTCAAATCTAATGTCAAAAAAAAACTTTTGTATGGGAAATAGAAAAGGGCTGTTTTTATGGTTTTCCCAGTAGTGAATCAATTTTTTTCAGCTTTTATGCCTTCCCTGAACCTCCATGAACATTTCAAGACTAAGAGAAGATAAATCCGTTCAGCCGTTCTCGAGTTTTAGCGAGACTAAGGAACAGCAATCCATTTTTATATATATAGAAGATTAAAATTCTACTATATTTGACGTTTTCCATATAAAAGTAGTTTCAAAATCAACAGAAAAAATCATGTTCATCATTCATCATCATCAACTTAGTGCCTATCCTTGGAGAAACCAGGCTCCGCTTTCCTACTAAGTTCCCTCCACTTTGCCCGATCTTTGGCATCCTTTCTATTGAGTCCATTTGCACGCATGTCATCCTGCATTATATGTATATATATACGTCAACATTACCTAGGGATATTTCATTTTTACCTTGTTATATGAAATTCTGTATTAATGTCAAAAGAATTATATATGAAATTGTAGTTTATATTATGGCTCATACTTGTAATACATAATTTTTTTTTTATTTATTTCAGGTTACTTCTTCATTTTCATAAAACTAATAAACAGTTATCTGTTAATCGCTGCTAATCTAAATGATTTTCGTACAATCGCTGAGAAACTCGTCCCACAGAACTTCGCCCACAAACTAGTTAAGATGGTAACGCATCAGGATTTCGTTAAATCTGAAGCTAGCTACGACAATAGTGGGTACGATGAGAGTGATACTTCATCTGTAGGCCAACCGTACTTAAAAGGTAAGGACTATCAACCAAAAAAGGTTTACAACATCCAAGAAACTAAAGTAGACTTCGATGAGCTAGTAGAAAGAGTCAAGAAAAGATTAGAAGAAGAGCTTAAGAATAAATATCTTAAACATAAACAACAGAATGAAGAAAGAGATAGAGATATAAAAGAAAGAGATGTCACACAAAATGGCGTCAATATTAAGATTGTTGACTTTAATAAACAAACTTCAGAGCAACCGAAAAAAGATACAATCGTTGATGAAAATGCTTATGAGGATCTAGAATATGAGGATATCACGGAGAAACAAGAAAAACAAGATGCTGAACCGAAAATAATAAAACTAACAACCCAAGCTACGGAATACGCTGACGCGATGGAAGAGGTAGCCGATAGAATAAAACTCTCGCATAAAAGTAGAATAGCAACAAAGAAAACAGAACAGGATTACGAAATAGTGACACAGAGCGATCTATTTAACAAAATTGACTTAATTAAACAAGACAGCTACGAAGATTACAAAATACCAAACAAGAAAAACATATACGCAAGCGAAGAAACGACTAAAGCTGAAATACAGACAGAAAACTATGAAGGTAACAAAAGATTTAAAGTACAACAGAATAGACAAATAACAAGACGTGTAAAATTCGGCGAGATGAAATACAATAGCCAAGAAATAAAGAAAACAGATGAAGAAAATGATACAATTATATTATCAGAAAATAAAGATAGGACTAGGAAAGTCAAAAAGGGGACTATGATACCCAAAAGAGAGTTATACACTATAGTCACACCCAATTATATAGAGAGGATCCCAAATGTAGTTGAGAAATACAACTTCGATGAACCACTACCAGCTAAGGACAGAGAAAGAGAGGAGATTAGGTATTATGGGAATCCACCAGCAAGCATCAATAAGAAAGTGAGATTATTGTAAACTTTTGAGAATTATTAAAGCTATTTTTCCTAAGCGAATATTTTATTGATCGTCTAAGAATGTATATATATGAACAAGCTAAACTTTTACTATGATTTTGTCGTTTATACAGAAGATCAGTTTTTAACACTTTTAAATTAGCTTGAGCTGTATGTATGTATGTAAGGGAATCTTTGAGCACGATTTTCACCGGTTTCTAAACATCTGATTAACTTGAAACTTTGCATGTCTCAAGGACCAATGACAATACAATAATTCGTTAACAATTTCCCATTATCCTTATTAGGGCCGCTGGATTAATATATTCTTTTCATAGATCCTCTATGAGAGTGAAAGGGACAGAACTAGTGTGCGTTCTGTGCATGTCCACAAAAAACTAATTGTTAATATTTAGCACTAAAAATATAAAGTAAATAATAGTTAGAAGCGTATTTTTTTAAAACTAATATTTATTTATTTCTGATTCTTAAACTAATATTTATTTATATCTGAGTGATATAGGTCCCATTATATTGTCATTGAAATGACAGAAATATTCACTTGTATGTAATAAACATGGTATAATAAAATGTGCTAAATCTTACAATTAAAAAGGATTTGTTTAGTTTATTGTTAATAAATAGGGAAACAGCTTTCACGACGCTAACTTTTGTTTCCCTGCATTATAGTATTAAATTTCGTTGAACGAAAGACTGAAAAGTCTTCTTACGTAGTGTCACGCAAACTTGTGGTACACACAGATACGAGTGTAAAGATAAATATATATGTATATATAGAATGTAATTTAATACATAACATAACGAAAAATTACATTAAAATCAAAACACATTTCCCGTTTCACCCTTTCCTCTCCCTCTTCTACAATCAAGGGTGGAAAAGCATGAGCAAAATTATGTTGCGAATATCCATGAGCGACGGAATTACCTCCATCAGGTGGACCGTCTGCTCGCTTGCCCATTTTATCACAAAAAGCAATGATTTCTAACACTTCAGACGTCACTGAGACATCGTTTACAGTTCATCAATCCTAAAATCTTGGTACGCGGTACTATCAATTTATATATATGGATAAAAGTAGAAGTAATAATTTAAATAAATCTCCACTGAATGGCTTTTTGATCTACTCTGATACGATTTAATTCTACCACTAAATATAATGCGATTGAAACTGTGTTTGTTTTTTAATGTAAGCAATAACTTTGACACAAATTCTACAATAATATGTCATACATTATAATAACACATAGTATACAGGGTGACTGGTGGTGGTGGTGTATGTGTGTGTATACCTAATCTGTAGGGTGTTCATACGATGCGTAATTAATTACATAACTTTTGGTTAACTTTACTTAGAAGTTTATTAATATTTATGTTATATTAATTTTTATTTTGTCATATATGACCGTCAATTATCACGTCCTCAAATATTGATAGTAGTTCACCAGTCACCCTGTATATTTAATGTATATTGTTCTTATTTATTAATTTGTATTTGTATTTTAACTTGGTCACCGCCCGTCAGTAGTTATTAAGAGGGTACCATTGAAAACCAGCATTAGGTGTCCACGCATATTAATTGCTGAATGGTATTTGGGACACGTCATGTACATATGTATATTGTAATAACATTATTCTTTTTCTTTCTTTTAATTTTTTCTTTAATAGTTATAAGTTGTCTTTTTGGTTTGTTTTTTTTTGTTTTTTTGTTGTTTTATTTCTTATTTTTTGAAATAACTGTTATTTCATCATTTTTGTATGGTCCCAAATAAAAATGTTCTTTCTGTCTTTTTTCTTCTACCTGGCAATTTCCCAGCTTTAGCCAGGGTCTGTCTTACTTGTTGTGAATAGTTTTAGCTAATTGTTTTACAATCGGCCGCCTGCCTGACATCAACCCTCTTTTGGGAATCAGCATAAATCAGTGATGTCTAAATAATCTTAGAAAGTACATATGATTCGTAAAAATCACATTGGTACTTGACCGGGCCAGAATCAAACCCGCGCCCTCGTGTATGAGAGGCCACTTAACCACTAGGCCATCACTGACTTTCTTCTTCTTTCTTTCTTCTTCTTTCCTTTGGTCTTTGTCAAGGTCAACTCTATATCTGTACCAAATTTCATTGAATTCAGAGGTTTAGTCGTGAAAGTATAACAGACAGATAGACAGACAGAGTTACTTTCGCATTTATAATATTAGTAGGGAATATAAAGATTTTTAAAATTTGGATACAGGTAAATCCAGAGACAAAATCCTAAAGTATAAAAACTTATAATCCGTGGCAATAAAAAATGATTATTCTAGACTAACTACGCTAGTAAAACAGTTCAACTGTATTTATTATTGTAGTAAAACAAAATGTTTTTAAAGTTTTCCATATATACATTATTTTTCGTCTCTGTATTAAGTCAGGATATTGTGATCAGACTACCTTTAGAAGTGAATCCTTTTGACGCTGTCAATCAATATATATATACAGATAAGGGTCTCAAAGCTTTATCAATGAAAAATATTGTCAAATACACTGAGATTCCCCCTCAGTTTGATGTACGTGGTAATAAAAGGATTATATTTGGTTTAGATGACAGAAGGAGACTATTTGAAGGAATATTTAGTGGAAGACCTGGAAAGAAGAGGTTGGTTTAGCAGCTTTGACGGAATAGAAAGGAACACCTAAATTGATGAAACTAAAAGATATTAAAATTGATTTGAAAAAGAGATATTTAAGTGTTATTTTGATTAAGGAATGTTTGTTTTAATATAAAAGTTTTTTTCTTCTAGTTTTATTAAGATTTTCAAATTTAATTTAATGTAAATTCTCAAAGTAGCATATGCATAATAAATTAAATGGTATGAAACGATTTGTTGATGTTTTTATATTGTTATCTTATTAGTTAAAATATAATATTAATATTTATAATTTATTAAAAGTTATTAATATAACAAAGTTATTGATAATTTTCTGGTTTGCTTTTGCGTAGAAATGAAATATAACAAAAACAAGAATTTGTTTTATATTTATATAATTTGGTAACCTAAAATGTATATCGGAGTAAATACCTTTTATGTACTTAATTGATTATTATGGATGGTTAAAATTATCTGTTGTCGACCACATAACCTAAGCAAGTGTAGTCACAACAATGAGTGCCCGTTGGTATATATACCACTCGGTATTATATATGTATAAGACAGATGTAATAAAATATACTTGAAAATTAAGCATCTTTAATTAATATTTAAAATCATTTGCTTTACATCGAAGTGAATAAAAGAAACGACTTCAAATTGTGACATTTATTATAACAGTATGGTAAAGGTATGCGGTATGATTACTTTATTTAGGATATGTTTCCACAAAAATCACGAAAACAAAATATGTTAATAAAGAAAGAAGAAACATTAAAAATACATGTAAAGTATAAAGTAACGAGTTCTAACTTTTTTGAAGTCGGTAAAATCTACTTTTTATCCAAAAATCGACGATTTACATTATTGTAAACATTTATTCGTTTACGCTAACTGACACACTGATAGTCACAGAGTTTACAACTTATATGTTATAGTTTTTACTCAAACTTAGGAAGAAAAACACTTTCTTTTTGAAGTATTATATAGTCTTCAATTGTTTACAATATTACCATTTATTACAATAAATTTCTGCTAAATAAAAGTTCGTTCCACTACATACGAAATATTTGACGTATTTCATTCAATAGAACTTAATACGTGTGAAGATTTACGAATGAAAACCTATTAACGATACGTTTATAGTCTGATGCAAACTTGTAGTAAGCATATGGGATTAAAATACAAGAGTTTCTTCTAACAATCATCATCTTCCTCTTCACAACGGGTTGATACAGTTTTCTTCGTGTATTTTGTCACTCGAGGTGCTTTCGTCGAACCTAGATAATAATTACCATCAAATAAAACGTATTTATTATATTAAATTCATGTCTTAACTCCTACTTACCGTCGTATTTAGATATCAGGATGCACGGAGGTCTAAATATCCTGGTTTGTTTCAACAAATTGGTAACATTAGTTATATCCATACGCCAGTTCTTGAACATTTCTCTTATACCAAACCTCAATCTGCCGAAAGTGTGCCTATGATCTGGAATAAACAGAATTAGCTTATGTTTTTTCTTCTTCTACTTGACAATTTCCCAGCTTTAGCCAGGGTCTGCCTTACATGTTGTGAATAGTTTTGGCTAATAGTTTTTACGACCGACCGCCTGACTGACATCAACCCCCTCTGGGAATGCATTAATCAGTGATGTCTAAATACTCTTAGAAAGAACATATGATTCAAAAATATCACATTAGTACTTGCCCGGGCCAGGTCGAACCCACGCCCTCATGCATGGGAGGAGGGCCTTTTAACCTCGAGGCCACCACTGACTCTTATGTTCTTTATATATACAGGGTGACTGGTGAATTACTATCGATACTTGAGGACGTGATATTTGACGATCATATATGACAAAATAAAAATTAATATAACATAAATATTAATAAACTTCTAAGTAAAGTTAAAAGTTATGTAATTAATTACGCATCGTGTGAACACCCTACAGATTAGGTATATACACACACACATACGCGTGCGGCGGCGTGGTGATGTATCAGCACGCCGCCGCACGCGTCCACACTTGGAACACTTGGAACGTGTCAACACTTTATTTATTTATACGGAAATTTTGACAAAAATTAAGTGCCTATTTTTTTTACATAATTCGAATGAGAATCATGTACCGAGTATTCTCCTTAAATATTGATAGTAATTCACCAGTCACCCTGTATATGAAAACAATATTTTGATAATAGTATAGTCGTGGTGGCCTAGTGGTTAAAAGGTCCGCTTCTCACGCATGTGTGCGCGGGTTCGATCCTGACAAGTACCAATGTGATATTCCCGAGTCATATATACTTTATAAGAGTATTTATGTTTTTAATTTTAAATTAATTTTGTGTTATTTTTTTATTTTATTTTAATTTTGACGTACTTTTAAAATGTGACGATAATTTATAACATCCGATATTAAATTCTGTTCGATCGAAAAAAAAACTTAATAAATTCCAATATCTGGTTATTCACGCCCTTTAGGGCAGAATAGAGTTCGCCCGGTCATCTATACATTACTATTTCCAAAATTAACGCGGACGAAGTCGCGTGCAAAAGCTAGTCAGTAATAAATTAATATATTTACCTTTAATAATAGCTGTCAGCAACATGTTCAGTGGCCCAAGATCCCATTGGAAGAGACGAAGTTGTAAATTGTTTATTTGATACAATATCGAATATATGTCATCTCGGCCGTAATTCGACGTGTCCACTTTCAATAATTGCATAAATCTAAAGAAAAATATATATATATTTATTATAATAATACATGTTTAAGTCATAATCTTGTAGGAGGTGATAGCGCAGTTGAAAAAGTGAATTAGATTGGTTATCCGCCATGGTATGAGTTTGAAACTTTTTCTTGTCAATCAATGCATTTTATAATATCAATTTAAAACCTTACATTACTGAAAATAATGTAAATATATTATGCGTAAACGTCAGTAGCTTTGACATATGATTTTATCGTACTAGTTTGTGCCCGCGACTTCGTCTGATTTAGTTTGAGAAATAGAAGCTGACCGGGCGAACTCTGTTCTTTAGTAGAGACGGTAAATAAGGAATTGGATTTTATAAAATTATTATTTTTTTATTATTTTGATCCTTATGAAAAGTATCCTATGTCGTTTCTATGTTCTAATCTATCTCTCCACCAATCTTCATCCAAACCCGTACAGTTCTTGGGTTATAAATAGTGTAACTAACATGACTTTCTTTTACATATAAAGATATACATAATACTCCATACATAGGGTGACTGGTGAATTACTATCAATATTTAAGGAGAATACTCGGTACATGATTCTCATTCGAATTATGTAAAAAAAATAGGTGTTATATTAATTTTTATTTTGTCATATATGATCGTCAAATATCACGTCCTCAAGTATCGATAGTAATTCACCAGTCACCCTGTATAAGAGAAAGTAAAAAATACATTGTAATATATTCACAGAGCCAGAAATTAGTAAATCTTTATGTACCTTACTACTGTGGGATCATTGGCTGCTAATCTCTTAGGGTGTGTTATGTCTGTTTTGGCCCCAGTTAGATATGGCGTAATCATATCTTGACAATGGACCCATTCTGTAGGATTGTCTATAAGGTCTTGATATGACAAACGTCTATAGAATATTTCTATCGGTTTTCGGATGTGGTACTTTTTATGTTCGATCAAACTTCGGTTTTTCGAACGCAGGCTTGAGTTGCGACTGTCAATATTTATTCTTATTGCCGGTTTTGTTGTCGACATTGATGTCAGATCGGTGATTGATTTTGACAAGTATTTTGATGTCACTTTTGACTGTGACGTCAATTTCGACTTTGACGTCGATTTTGACATTACGCTGGGTGGTATATATTTTTCTTTTTCAATTTCTTCTTCCATTATGGGAGTTATAGGCATCTTTTGGGATTCCAAATAATCTTCTTCTTCCATAGTCGTATCGTCATCTATATCGCCGGCTACATTACGAATCTCCTTCTTTATTTCTTCTCTCAATATATTTATTCTTTCTCTCTGGCTCAACGTGACAGGAGTAACGCAATTCGATTCATAAATAAATTGGACTGAGACAGATAGTAAATGTTAATAAAAAAAGAAATATAAAAACTTTTTAATAAAACCTCACTCACCCAGAAATATGTTTAACAGCACAAACATCGTTGCTATTTCTATTTTAACTTAACAATACTAAATCTGATTAAAATTTCACCCAACCATACATACACAAAGAATTAATAACTAGCGTATTATATTTTCAAAATATTCAACTACCATTTTAGTTATTTTGATAATATTTTTAATATTAAAGCTTCTTTGGTGTATAAATATACAAAAACACTATTACTTAGCGGGAAACAGAAAAATTAACGACATTGGAGAGAGGATGCAATATTGAAGACTCGTTGACATTGGCAAAATATTGCACTTATTTATTCAATTGAGAGTGAAGCCTTAGCGTTAAAAAAAGACATTAGGCATGATAAACTGAATGTTTAAGAAATATTCTCTGAACGTGCATCCCCTTTACATCAAGGTATTTTAATTCATGACATATAACTTGATACACATAATTGAATTAAAGTTATGACGTACTGCGTACACACTCCAAACATTCTCGGCCTTTCCGACACGATTTGAATTTAGATAGGACCAAAACTTATTTTGATTACGTCAAAAATTCATCACCATGCCGGTAATATTTGTTTTATTATTCTAAAAGAGGCATCCGAGCAGACGGCCTACCTGATGGAGGTAGTACCGTCGCCCATGGACATCCGCGACATAGATTTGTGAATGTGTGGCCACCTTTGATTAGGGAAGAGGGGGAGGAAAAAGTGGGAATGGGAGGGAACATATAAGTTATAGCATTATATGCATATTTGTCCTAATGATTCTCTATCATTCTATAGTTGAAAGAATATTATATTTACGAAATTTCAACTTATATTTTTTCAATGATATTTAAGATTTTCTAATGTGCTCATTTAAATGAAACTAATTGTTTCGGATACTACGCGTTTTTCTTATTTTGTAACTATGATTCGGTTCATTTGAAACAACCCATATCACGAAAACGAAATGAAATTGTCTGTCAGTTTTAGCTTTTCTGACAAATATCCCCCTTTTTCAGCCCACGTGAATTTATATCTCTTTCTTTACCTTTTATTCTTTCTATTGCATTGAGAGGCTTGTTCTATAACTGCTTCATCGTTTTGATGTAATTCGTTGAATTTAATTGACAAAACCTAAAATTTTGAGTTATATTTCGTCTATAATTGAACCAGGTTGAAAGCTGTTCCTGCTAATTAAACTAAACTTATTGTTCCCATTATAATGTCCTGTATTTCTCGTCTACTTGAGTTACAATCTCACTGTAGGTTGTGGTTGTAAAGAAAACTTTTGAGGTTTTTATACCGAGTCAATCTTAACAAAATAGGTTTTCACTACTTTTAGAAAATATTTTTTTGTAACAATATTATATAAGAACAGTTATTGGCCATTAATATTGAGATCCAAAGAGTGTAAATTCTGCCTTGATGTTCCAACCAGGCAAGAATGGCTTTAAATTATCATTATAAACTACACTAAACTACTCCGCAAATTATTTTCTGATGTTAATCTAATATTAAAATGTACTTTTTATATCACCTAGTAGTGATTACATTTAGCAACATTAACCACTTCTGAACACTTTTTTACCGGTAAAATATTGATAGTTTTTGAAAAATATTTCTCGTGACTTCATAAAATAAAAAGTTATTTTTATTAAACCTTAATTATATTCTAATGCGAACTGTTTTTTTTATATAAAAATAATTTTAACAACAATGAGCAAAAATAAGTAGATACGATAGTAAAATTCAAGTCTTTAGATAAATAAATATAAGTAGCATTTATGTGTATGATGTATTCATGTGTATGATGAAAAAAAAACATTAAAATAATTAACAACCTTCCAAAAAGTTTATAAAAATATATATTTTTATATTCTTCTTCTTCTTCTACCTGGCAATTTCCCAGCTATAGCCAAGGTCTGCCTTACATGTTGTGAATAGTTTTTGTCTATTTGTTTTTACGACCGGCCGCCTGCCTGACATCAACCCTCTTTTGGGAATCAACATTAATCAGTGATGCTAAATACTCTCATAAAGTACATATGACTCGGAAAAATCACATTGGTACTTGCCCGGGCCAGGATCGAACCCGCGCCCTCGGCGACGAGAGGCGGGCCCTATTATAAAAATATATATTTTTATATTATAACAATATAATTACTTAATTTTTATATTTTTGCGCCTTTTAAGGCAAGGCCAATTTTATCTCTTTGGTATCACAAAAAAAATCTGCATTTATCGTATTATAATATGTAATTAAATATATTTTGTGGGAGGGAAAAAAATATGTTCTCAGTATATTTTTCGAAACAGAAATTTATTTTTGCAATAAATTTTGGCATACTCGTAGGTCGATTGACTCGTATTCTGAAAAAAATAAAATAATAAATAGTTCTTCAGATTATAAAAATTGATGTCGATGCTCGATCATTAATTGATTACTTCATGTTCAATAGTAATATAAATTATTTTTAATATTCAGTGATAATTGTACGTAATATATTTTTTATACATGTTATCCCTACTAATATTATAAATACGAAAGTAACTCTGTCTGTCTGTCTGTTACGCTTTCACGCCTAAACCACTGAACTGATTTTAATGAAATTTGGTACAGAGATAGAGTTGACCGTGAGAAAGAACATAGGATAGTTTTTATCCCAGACTTTTAAAAAGTTCTCTTGGAAACGCGATATAACCGAACTCCACGCGGGCGAAGCTGCGGACGGAAAGCTGGTTTAATATAATATAGTTTTCTACGAGACTTTTGTGTAGAAATTATTAACGCAATTCATTTAAAAAGGGATATAAAGTTCAATCAAATATTTAATTCTCAATTTATAATCTTCTTTAAATGGCAAACCCGTATAAATTCACTTATGATTCATGAGGGACGGGTTAAGTGGTTAAATAGTTACTAGCGACATCTATTCTCATATAACGGACAACTCACCTTCCAAAATCCCGCCTCTACAATTAGCTTTTTCCATTTCGCAGTCGTTCTTAAATAACACGACATGGTTATCCACGGTGCTAATAGAACAAACTGGTTCTAATACATCAGGACAGACATTAGGACAACCTGTTCTTAGGAACATAACGTAATACGTACAGTATTTCGTTTCAACGCCGTCGTATTCTGTAAATACGTCAAAAAAAAATAGTTAACTTAAGTTTGACGTTTGAAACAGTTGACAATGACGGATTATTCAGGTATGAATTGAGATTGTATTTGTAAGAATTTATTATATATTTGTATTTGTGCTTCATAAATAACTATTTTATCAATTTCTAATATTTTTTCTATGATTCTAATGAATTAAAAGACAATTATCTATCTTTTTCATGTATGTTTATGACATCTGAACAAAATTGACATTTTAAATGTATGACAGGTTTGTCAAAATATAAGTGACGTTTTGTACAAAAGAAATTCAGAATTTGTTATAATATATAAATGTGATAGTTTTATGAATGCAAACTGTCAAACGTCAGTTTTAACGAAATACTTTTAAAATTAATATAAATTTACAATCTTGAAGAGCACCAAGTAATATTTTTAGTCATTTTATTAATATACAGGGTGACTGGTGAATTACTATCAATATTTAAGGAGAATAATCGGTACATGATTCTCATTCGAATTATGTAAAAAAAATAGGCACTTAATTTTTGACAAAATTTCCGTATAAATAAGTAAAGTGTTGACACGTTCCAAATGTTCAAGTGTGGACGCGTGCGGCGACGTGCTGATACAACACTACGTCACGACACGCGTATGTGTGAGTGTCAGTGTATACCTAATCTGTTCACACGATGCGTAATTAATTACATAACTTTTGGTTAACTTTACTTAGAAGTTTATTAATATTTATGTTATATTAATTTTTATTTTGTCATATATGATCGTCAAATATCACGTCCTCAAGTATCGATAATAATTCACCAGTCACCCTGTATAATCCAAACCAGAGATATGAATTTTAAAATATGACAGTATTATCTATGATTTTTTAACCATAGAGTAGGTAAGCAACATACGCAAAGATCCTCTGTACGTCGAGCATAGATTGTTCAAAATAATATGACATTGACTCTGAAACCATTTGAACCTCATGTTCTGACGGTTCAGACCGCACGCAATTTTGTGATAATCATTACAATGGTACGGATCACAATAATCCATCCATGCCGGATGAAATGGTTGACGGAAACGATTTTTCCAATAATCGCTGACCATTGGTTTCCATATTTCATCTGGAAATATTAATACTAATAATTTAACTGACCTCAAAAGATGCTATTTTGATTGGTTAAATATATATAAAAGAAAGTCGTGTTAGTTACACTATTTATAACTCTAACGACTGTACGGATTTGGATGAAGATTGGTGGAGAGATAGATTAGTACATAGAAAGGACATAGGATATTTAATTCTGTTCGATAGAATACGAAAAAAAACTTAAGAAACTCTAATATCTGGTTATTTACGACCTCTAGGCCTGAATAGAGTTCGCCCGGTCAGCTAATACATATATTAATAATTCCGAAATTAACGGGAACAAAGTCGCGGGCTAAAACTAGTGTGTTATATTTATTTAGACTCAGATTTTATTGCTCTACTATTTATTTCTTTGTAAAATTTTAATGTATATTTCTTTATCTATAGTAATTCGTTTTATTTCATATTATATTTTTTATCAGAGCGCAGTTACTCATGAAGATATAGCCAATACGACTTTATTAATTGACTTTTTGCAAATAAAATACATTACCATAGTATCTGTCTCTAATAAAATTAGGATTATCGTATTTAGACGACGGTCTGAAATAAAAAATATAATTAAAATAACTATAATTTAATAAAAATAATATTAATTTAACATCTATTACCTCGTCTGGTTAGTATTTTTTGGGGTTTTGGTATCTGAAAGAAGTTATAACTTAATAATACTTAAAGAAAATCAATAAATATTTAATCTATTCTCTCACTGTCAAAATAAGTAAGATATGTTGAACAAGAAATATAATTACAAGTAAAAATCAGCTTCATTAAAAGAAAATATTAAAAAAATAATATTAATGACTTGTTTATATAAATTACAGAGAATTTCTTTATATATTCATATTATTGACCTTAGTTCACTCCCTAAATGAAAACCAAACTTTTCTCGTTTTTCATAATAAAAAACAATTTACTCTCCGTACATAATTTGACAATGAAAACTAACGTATTAATATTGAAAAATAAAATAATTATAACTATCATTACTTCAATAAGAAGCATAATTTTTAACACCTTCATATTTGTCTTTCAAACCTTAATTATCTAATATTTACCACAACGTCTTGTTATAAGAAATATTATATTTTAATATACTCACATATAAAATTAATATTACTTAATAGAATAACAAAAACAAGCAACATTATCGATTGTGAAGAACAATTAGAAATCTATCGTCATTCAATTAGCTTTGATCATTAAATTATTAACGACTAATTATAACCAACAAGTTGAATAAGAAAATGATTTATTAATGAACATTCAGCTATAAAGATTTTATAAAACATATTAATTATGTATAATCTTCTTCTACCTGTCAATTTCCCAGCTTTAGCCAGGGTCTGCAATACATGTTGTGAATAGTTTTGGCTAATTGTTTTTACGACCCGCCTGACATCAACCCTCTTTGGGAATACATTAATCAGTGATGTCTAAATACTCTTAGAAAGTATATAAGTACACATGACTCGGAAAAATCACATTTTAATTATATTAATTATGTATACTAACAATGTATATTTATATTTTTCGTGGAAATGTGGCAAACGAGCAAACGGTCTACTTAATGGAAGGTAGTCACCTTCGCCCATAGACATCTGCAACATAAGAAATGTTGTGGATGCGTAACCAACCTTGGTTTTTCAAGAAGTAGGTTGTTGGATGGGAATAGGGAAATGGTAGGAAAGGGAGGGAATATAGAAAGGGCAACCGTCTCACTCAGAGGACGAAACGCGGCCATTAAAGATTACTTCACGCCGATCTTCAGTGAGAGGGTGGTACTTACGGTCGAGACAGACCATGTTCGAGCTGTAGTAACTTGATTACAGCTAGGCTCTACCCCTAAAAATTATATTTTAAACACATACAATTCATATCAGATAAATTTACATAATAAGGCATATTTTCAAAGTGTTTCGCTAAACAGTAGTGTAGTTCCTTATTTTTATAACAAATGCTTAAGAATTCTGAAAGATTATAATAATTATTAAAATGTTATAATTTAAAACAATGAATAAGCAGTGATAGTCAGTTTATTTTCAATGGTTCAGTGACAAATATTATATGTACAATCAGTGGCGTTACACCATTCTAGGCTCGTGACAAAATTCATCCGATGCCCCCCTCCCCGTCCTATTATAAAAAGCAGAACGTCCAAAAATAGTATTTTTATTTTATATTACTTTTTAATATACTTTTATTAGAAGAGTTTGCTTATAATCACAGGAGGAGGTAAAACCTTTAGGGGGATTCTTATAGAAGAACCACAATATGTTTTTGCATTATTTTAGTATATAATACATATAAATATTTTCATCTGATCGTAGGACCCGTGCCATTTTTCTGACTTGCAACCCTATAGTTACGTCACTTAATACCACATTTTATGTGAGCAAAACTATGAAACTGTATGTTTTCTATTTGACGATACTAATTCTTATTAAGGCTGCCTGTTGAGTTACAATTATAACGAACAAGTTTTAATGAAACATGAACTTAATGAAATTATTTCGTCTAACTGTTGTAGGATTATTTTTTTTGTTTTTTATCATAAAATTGAGATTAATGTATATTCCTCACATTTATGTACCAATACGGCAACAAAATTAATTTTTAGTGATCATAGTATTTTTAATAGATGGCGCTTTAATTAATAATAACAATCTATCGATAATTTACATTAACTTTTTAAACTAATATTCTTATTAATATTTGGATACTATAAAAGTAATGTTTTAGAAGTAACTGCCATTAATATATCAAAAAATAGATTTAAATTAAAATTTATTCGGAGATTTAATAAGAAGAAAATTTCATCACTTACTGTTATGTTTACAGCAAAATCTTCAAATTAAAATATATTTAATGAAAATACTCATTTAATACAACAATTAATTAAAGGTAAATAATAAGACGTCATGATAAAAAATATACTTTATATACATCAGTACATATGAATCTTCCTCTTGAGTGTCTTGTAAGCATTCGGGAAACCAACGACTTTGGTTGGTGACAAATAATTAATAAAATATAATAATTCACTCCTACTGCAGTGAGTAGCAAAACAAACATCCAAATGATCTTTATTTATATATTTAATTGGTGAATTATCATGTTTATATTTAGTCCATTTCATCGCTGACAGACGGACATACAGATAATTCTTACAATTATCCATTGTGCAGTACATATGATTATCCTTTTTGTTACATAAATGTATTCTTGTCAACTCGTTTGTTACACCGGGCACCAAATGTTGTATGGTACTAAAAATAAATGAAGATTAATTAAATTTATATATATAAATAGTTGAAAGAAGATATATATATACTAGAAGACCCGGCGAACATCGTATCGCCCTATAATCAAGAAATATCTGTTACGTTTTTTTATTTATATTTTTGGAGTTTACCTGTAAGCCATAAGTCTCCGTGTTTTGAAGTGCCACAGAATGATTGACATATTAGTTAGTTGTCAAATCTAATGTAAAAAAAAACGTTTGTATCAACAACTACTAATAAATTAAAAATACATTGTCCAGAGGACAAAATTGTGAATCTAAACCATTCCCAGATCCCCTTGAACACACACAAATAATTTCATTAAAATCGGTCCAGTCGTTTGAGAGAAGTTCAGTGACATATACGCTCACAGAAGAATTATATATATAAAGATATACGTATATATGATAATAAGTTATTACCTATACAAACTCCATCTTTCCGACGGTACATGTACCTTGAAACCCAATCTCCGATATATTTCATTGAAAGCAAACTCATATCCATATTTTGCCGAGGTCTGCAATGCAACTGCATTTTGTTCGTAACTCAACCACTTCGTGATTTCGGAGCACATTTTTTCTATGCTCTCGCTGCGTTTGGGGAAATTATCGTAATTGTAACTTAAGAATGTTGTATCTACATATAGATTATCTAATTTTATTGGCTGGCCGTTCTCATGAAGTGCTGAATATTTGGGTAAATCGTTTGGATTCATTCTGAAGTCACCGGTGAATAGAATTGTTTTAGTTGTTGTCTTGAACAAAAACATTGTCGAACCAGCACTATGGCCGGCGGGAATGAGAGTTACAGTGACAAATAATTCTGGAACATTCTGTTCGGGTATAGACGGAAAATTTAATAACTTTGTACCTAAAATCCAACTGCATTGATAAATTGTCTATTTTGTATGTGATGTAAGTTATTTCATATGTAATTTTTTACTCAATTTTTGTATTACTGACGATAAAAAAACATGTTATATAGTTGCAAACTAAGAAAGGAACTAACTTTTGTGTTTATATTATAATTTATATATTAAAAAAATGTCGTACCACCAATTTTTAAACTCTGTACATGATCACCAATATCTTTGTTTACATCTTTCTTTATAATGGCTGAAGATAACTCCGTTGTATAAATCTTGGCCTCAGTCTTCCTCAATGTCTCAACTAACTCATCAGAACTCAATCCATTCATATGATCAGCGTGGCAGTGGCTTAAAAAGTAAGCTCTAGCATTTACTTTAGCTGCATTTCCGAAGTTATCAACGTATATACCAGGTAATTCTTCTATTGCGCCGTGGAAGGCGCTTTGTATTGTGCTAGACATTACACTATTATTACAAGGCACATTTAAAACATTTATTTATATCCCTTATTCAAAAAACTAAAAATCTTAGAGTTTTTTAAACAAATATTTATCTTGTAATTGTCAATGTCATCGTCAAAATCCCGACATAAAAGTGTTTGTAGACATTTATTAAGGCATCCATAAATATGATTTTTTCTTTGCACGGACGAGAGCCATATTTAAAGAATCGACTAAATATCATATTAAATTTTAGGGAATTTTGCATAAAGTGATATTATTATCAATAACAGGTAACCTAAATAATTTTTGAGTTTCAATTGTAGTTTAAAATTTAATAAATAAGCTGTAGAATAACAAAAATTTTGCAAATTTAAATGTTAGTCATTTATAACGACGGTTTGATATTATTAAATGTTTAGCTTATTTTAAAAGCCAATAAGTAATAAGAGTCCTTTTAACAATTTAGTTCTTACATCATAAAAAACTTTAAATAATGTATTTAATACTTATATAATAAAAAAATATTAACAATTTTAACAACAGCTTTACGATTTATCTTACAAAAATAAAGAAGAACATTTATTTATAATTTCTTTTAATAATTAGTTTGTTTTTTTATGTATGTAAGCAAATTCTTTATCCAATTTGTAAAAACCGGTAATTTTGAATTTATTTTCACGTGTGACAAATGGTATTACTAATGCACTAGAATCGATTTTATGTGTTTATATGCATTAAAATATAAACGAATTAATTTTTTGTTATATAGAAGATTTATAATATAACAAATCTGATACAATAATGTAATATACAAATTTTATAATTATGATTAAATTCCATGTTTTTTACCGATATCTCACAGTGATAATTTAACTCTCTGATTCGTTTTTCCCGGTATTGTTAATAATTATCTGAAATCTTATTTCTTGAAGCTATCATTCATTAAGTGACTATTTGAAGTGGATTTTATATTTCGAGTCTGTGAACACAAACTAATATTTACTGCGCAATGAATTTAAACGAATAAAATAATGTGACAAACAAAATAAATAATAATGTTTATAAAACTAACTGTTTGATAATGATTTTATAAAGGGTATGTAAACTATAATATACTTAATAACTCAATTAAATTATTATTGATATTATAAATATTTATTAATGAAAATATTTCAACTTTTAGTTTTTGGGATTATATCCATATTTAGTTATACAAAATGACACTAACAAATAGTGAATATTTTCTCGATTTTCTCAAAGAGAACATAATGAATGGTGATATACCAGAAATATATGTAGATGAGGAAATTTTAAAGACTGCACAAACACATTCCGTTCATAATAATAAAGTTTATAACATAAATGGTGAAGAATTCACTGAAAAAAATGATGTTGACGAATTAAAAGAGTTTTCTATAGAATATAACAATGAAGAAGAAGGTATATATATAAATATTATTTTATTAACATATGTACATATATATGTATATTCTAATTATACATTTCCCTCCATCAAGATTTCCCGATCAACTTGATAGTAAGAGATGAAAAAGTTTTAATCAATTCCTCAATACTTCTGCACCGAAACCAATGGAATGCCATAACCGATGATAAATGCCACGTCTGTAATATGGCCGTCCAAGATGTTTATGGCCATATAACATCGGCAAAGCACAAATTTAACTTAGATAGTTGCAAGCCGTTGAAGATCTTTGAACTACATATAATAAGAAGGGTAAGTTTATTTGTATTTAGAAGTTTATATATATTGATTCATATATATGTATATAATTATTTATTTGGTTGAAAAATGTAAGTTATAATTTTTAATGTCATGTTGTTTTTTAATATTATTTAAATCTATAGGAATATATAATTTTTCCTTATATGATGCATGTAGTATGAACACATATATGTATATATATATATATATTACATGCAACTTATATCTTTATTATACAGTAATACATAAATTTGAACTTTTATTTTATGATCATAAATATATTATTTGGTTATTTTTATTTTTAAACATTTAAGCATTTTTGGTTTTTAAATAAGTAATGTACATATTTAATTTTTTATTAAAATGAAATCATAGAGAAGTTACATGAAAATATCAGTTTTAATGTAATAAATTAATTTGAATCAATAAATATATAGTTTCAAAGTAATACTTGTAGCATAGCATATATCTTTGTTATAAATATATTTTGTTAAAAATATACATATATATCTAATCAACAGTTATAGACAAGAGAAACAAACTATATAAGTATATAAACAAATTATTATATAAGTACTAAAACTAATTAAATTGAATTACTTGATATAATATTTTGAATATTTTTGACAAATAGATTGGCGATAATTATCATTGCGGTATATGCAACACGTTATACAATGCAAGAGAACATAATAACCACATGGATAGCATGATGCATTTGGAAAATATGTTATACGCGACGAACCGCGCCGTGGATGTCACAAATGACATTGACGCGACCGATGTCACTTCTGACAGCGTCAGTTGTGACACGAACACTGTTTGTGAAACCGAGAGCGGTTTTAACAGTGAAAACACTGATCTATATGACACAGATCTTGTCAATGATAATGTAAGGTCGTATGCATCGGTTTTGAGATCATCGAAAAATAAATCGCCACAATATATAGGTAAATCGTTAATTTTTATTATATGATTGAATTATTCTACATTTACAAGCTGATTTTCAACTACATATACAGGGTGACTGGTGAATTACTATCAATATTTAAGGAGCATACTCGGTACATGATTCTCATTCGAATTATGTAAAAAAAATAGGCACTTAATTTTTGACAAAATTTCCGTATAAATAAATAAAGTGTGTACACGTTCCAAGTGTTCCAAGTGTGGACGCGTGCGGCGGCGTGCTGATACAACAACACGCCTCCGCGCGCGTATGTGTGAGTGTGTTGTATACCTAATCTGTAGGGTGTTCACACGATGCGTAATTAATTACATAACTTTTGGTTAACTTTACTTAGAAGTTTATTAATATTTATGTTATATTAATTTTTATTTTGTCATATATGATCGTCAAATATCACGTCCTCAAATATCGATAGTAATTCACCAGTCACCCTGTATAATAATATAATATTTTTGCGCGTCTTATTCATTTAAATGAAACTAATATTTTTCGTATATGTAAGCCGTGATCACGGTTGCTGAAAAGTAGCCGAAACGTCGAGTATGTAGTTTTTATCAAAAATTAAGTCGCGTATATCAGAAAAATATTAGTTTCATTTAAATACTTATTTATATTTCCGTACATTTGTGATATTGATAAAAAAACTTCTGGATCATTTTGGATGAAACTTATAGGTATACGAAAGAAACTGAGTGTGAAAGATTTAATAGCACTAGGATTAGACTGAAAATTATCCTTACAATTACTCAATTATATGTATATTAATTGTTATTAATTTAATTACTCAATTATTATTAATTTACTTATATATATCCTATATCCTACTAATATTATAATTGTGAAAGTTTGTGAGTGTGTGTGTATGTTTGTTACTTCTTCATGCTCAAACGGCTGAACAGATTTTTATAAATTTTTGTATACAGGATGCTGACGTCGAGGAATAACACATAGGCTACTTTACATCCCGGAAATCCCTGAAATCCGCGGGTAACACCGCGGGGCGCAGCTAGTATTATATATACTTTAAATTATTGTGTGTTTCAGATTTTGTCTGTGAGAACAGCAACTGGAAGATCCCTTTCAACACATATCACATGTTGAATAAAATTAATAAACAGTATTACTGCACGATTTGTATGGAATTTTTCGATTTACGAGCAAAAATCGATCATTGCGCTTCGACGGTGCATTTGGACAAGCTAAAGACGTGTGAAGCAAACAATAAAGATGGACATTTAATAAGACGGGTACGTTAAAATCTTTTATTTCCATTTGTATTTATATATAGAATTTTATGAGTATTGTTTTAGGAAAATATTTTGATTTGAGGCTTTTGCTTTATTAAAATTTATTTTTATTGTGTATTTTTTCTTATTTTATTTAGTCTTAAAAGGAATAACAGTTTTTCATATAAATTCATATAAATGAAGATAACTTAGAAACACTTCATTCAAATATTTCAAATTAGTGTCCAAGTTCAAGTCAGTGGCGGCCTAGTGGTTAGAAGGCCCGCCTCTCATGCACGAGGTCGCGGGTTCGATTATGGCAAGTACCAATGTGATGTTTCCGAGTCATATGTACTTTATAAAAGTATTTAGACACTGACAAATGAAGCAAAACATCGTGAGGAAACATGGACTTATAATTTCATAATAATATGTTTGAAATCACCAACCCGTCTTGAACAAGCGTGGTGATTAATATTCAAGCCTTCTCCATGTGAGGAAGAGGCCTTTGCTCAACAGTGGGCTCTGATAAATTAACAATAATTTTTATTTAAGGTAACAACAAAATTTTATCATTGCGGTACCTGCAATAATCTAGTTATATCATACCAACTAGAATCACATTTACAAAAACATTCAAATGTAAAAAAATGTAAGAAAAACACAGTTAAATGTAATTCAGAAACAAATGAAGTGAATGAAAAGAAAAACGAAATGATTCATACAAATGATTTAGATCAAATGAAAAGACTATCTGTAAAAAATGAAAATAATAATAGCTTTGTTAATAGTATACCTAGCAGTACAAATATACTACAAAGCAACCAGATCCATACAACTCCAATGCAATATATATTTATAAATAATTTCTTTTGCAATTTTCGTTTGAATTTTTTGTTCTATCACACAATAATAAGGAGAGATTTTTATTTCATTTGTGTTTTATGTAATATATATATAAATGACATAAACGGGCACATCCAAGATCTAAGACATGCTATTGCCCTGCAAAATGTGATGTTTCATCCACAGTTCGGTATAAATCTCATAAGAATGGTGAGTTTATTGATAGTTTTTGTGTTTTATATGGTTTTTTGGTCAAAAAATTAAAAGCATATACATATATACTAGAAGACCCGGCGAACTTCGTATCGCCCTATAATCAAGAAATATCTGTTACGTTTTTTTTATTTATATTTTTGGAGTTTACCTATTAAAGCCATAAATCTCCGTGTTTTGAAGTGCGACAGAATGATTGACATATTACATAGTTAATTGTCAAATCTAATGTAAAAAAAAACGATTGTATCAACAAGTACTAATAGATTAAAAATAAATTAAAAAACATTGTCCAGCGGACAAAATTGTGAATCTAAACCATTCCCAGATCCCCTTGAACACACACAAAAAATTTCATCAAAATCGGTCCAGTCGTTTGAGAGAAGTTCAGTGACATACACACTCACAGAAGAATTATATATATAAAGATTACATATAAAAACTGTTATTAAAGGTTTTAGATATTCAATACTTATATAAAAACACTAAATTATATTATTCTATACATTACAGGTGCAACAAAACGCTCATTGTGCCATATGCAATGTGGTTGTTAATGGCACCGAGGTTCACTCACATATTGTGAATCAAAATCACATTACCCGCCTTAATAACTCGATAATTCATCCCTACCCGCACACTTATTATGCTAACATGCGTATACCTGTCAATAATATGCCAGTTATGCCATTACCGATTGGCATAAATAGAATGCCAACGCCATTACCGATTGGCATTAATAGAATGCCAATAAATATGCCAGTGTACCATCATACAACGAATAATATGAATGTCAATATATATCAAACAGTAAATGCTGAAAACGCTAATATATCAGTTAAGAAAGACGAATCAAAAATTGAAGAATTAAAAGTCGATAATATAGAAAATAAAGAAAACGAATCAACACTATCAATTAGTATGAGAAATAGAAATGACACAATCGAAACTGATATGTCAACCGAAAATATACTTGACATAAACACAGATGAAACAAAAACAGATGATGATGATGATAAACATACTTCCAATAATAAAATGGAAGATAAAGAATATGAATTGAAACTTTTAAATGAAATATTATATATAAGAAATAGAAATGACGCGATTGCAATGTCACAAATGACGTACAATAGTTTGATTCATAGCGGCGATGGTAAAATATACTGTTTCGTGTGTGACACGAAAATTATGCTAACTATAGAAGGACACGTTGAATCAAAACAACACGTAGATAGAATAAAAGATAGCAAGTTTATAGCGGAATATGAAAATGATTTATTGAGACAGGTAAAATAGATATTAGATGAGTTAGAATCTTTATAGATATATATAGTACATTACCACTTAGTATTTTTAGACTAAATACGTTACTTTTGGAGTATTTAATATATTTAATTAATACTAACGTGTGCCATAACTTGAAACTTTGAGTTTAGTTTGACTGCAAACATACAGTATTTTTTTGCAAATTCGGTCAATTTAAATTCAATTTTTTTATATATATTTAATTATTTACCTTTTGATACTCAATTTTGAATATTGCATTATCAAAGATCAATTTTTTTATGTCCTATAATTTAAATTTTCTTTATTTACCTTAACTTTTTATAAAGTACAGATTATATTTGTTATATATATATATATATATATATATATATATATATATATAATAAATTTAAATTCATTAAATGTATAAACACTTTATACCTGAATGGTAGTAGGTAATACATATAGAAGCATAGACAGTCTTATTACTAAGATTGAAGTAACGAGGTTTAGTGATGCCATATATTTAGACTTAACTAAACTTATAACATATTTAAATAATAAATACTATTAAAAAATTATTAGGCTAAATAAATTTATTAATAATCTACGCTTATAATAGAAATTTCTAATGTATTTTCATTTATTTGCAATTAAAAACTTGGTTGTATTCTAAAATTATCTTATTTTTGGATAACATGTATTAATTAAAATGTATAAAATTTTATTTTTCAGGTAAAGAATAATTTTCACTGCTCCATATGCAATGTTTTATTTCCGAAAACTATAATCAACAAACATATTAATTGGTCCATACATATCAAGAGGAAGAAATGGGTTGTATTCGACAATAATATACACAAAAATACAATAGAAGCGACTTTTAAAGACGAAAATAAAGATATTAATATGGAGAATGATATAAAAATATTATTAAATATAAAATCTGGTGAAAAAAATTCCAAAAATCTAGGCGGTTATGTGTTTTTCTTGTATGAACAGAAGAAATTAATGAATATTTCGTTTGATTCTTACAACGGTTTGACAAATACTAAGAATGGATTGTATTGTAATCTATGCTGTGATTACTTCATCGATAAAAATTTACATTTAGAAGATATATATCATAAAAAAGCTTTGGAAACACAACCTGAGATGAAATACTTACCAGCGTGTTATAGAAAGGTGAGCTTTGATATAAATAAATATAGAAAACTAATAGTAATTAATTAAACTTATCTAATATATGAATAAATAGAAATTATCCTCATAATATTTGTATATAAAACATTATGTATATTAAATATTTTGAAAAACTTATTGAGGTTAAGAATTATAAAATTTTAATAAATATTAAAATTAATAATGAAAATAAACGCCTAAATTAGTTTCATAATCGGCACCAATTTTTTTTATCTTTTCAATCATAGATTTAAGTAAAAGACATTGTCATAAATAAATAAATAAAGCTATGAAATGTTAATTTAAGTTATTTTTTTAACACTTTCAGGTAATCGATGGAAAATTAAATTGCGTCACGTGTAATATAAATTTTCCTAATACACCAACAAATATAAAAGAACACGGAACAGGCAAGAAACACAAGGAAAATTACTCAAGTGCTATGGAAGATGCTTTTACTATAGTTTAAATGACTCATGATATGATATTATATGATATGATATATCTTGTACTTAAAAAATATATATTTCTAAAAAAATGTCTACATACATATTTTTTTATATATATATCTATATTTTTCTTTCAGTCTTCTGTATTTTTAGTATTAATACTTTATATATATTTGTAAATATAAATCTATCAATTTAGTTATAAGCTATGCCAAATTCTACAAAAACTATAATCCTTCCAATATGATCTTTTTCTACTGATATATGTTTATATAATATATAAAAATGTACATATATTCTCCCTATTGTAAATATATATAATACTATTATAAGGATTTAAATCCCGTTGTAATTTGTGAAGTACATTTATTTAATGAATCGTGTCATTTATGACTTGTATAGAAATTAATTTAAAATAATGTCATTGTAATATAATAATAATTTTGATGTGATATTAAAATACATTTTTATATATTTTCTGGTTTTTATTTAACTACTTAAGAATTTTATATATACAAAAAGTATATATACATGTATATAGTTCTATTGTCCGTGTGTATATACTGTGTGGTTTATATTCACAAACTAGCCCCGTAGATGGCGCTGCAGTCATTGTATAGTTTATTAAGAGCGAATGATTGTGGGAAAGAGAGCAACTGTCTCTCTCACTCATCGGACGAAACGCATCCATTAAAGACTACTTGACGCCGATCTTCAGTGAGAGGGTGGTACTTATGGTCGAGACAGAACATGTTCGAGCTGTAGTAACTTGACCACAGATAGGCTCTACCATCTTGTAAGTGACAAATATTTAGCAAAATTGCTGTATATAATTTAACGGTTAATAAATTTTTAATAAGATTTAGAAATGAAGAATTTTTTGACAAAGTTGTAAATGAAATTCTCTGTAAAAGCTATACGAGAGGCTGATTGCAAAACTTTCTGATTAAAATAGGCATACAATGTTATTGGTAATACAATTATTTAAAAGTAATTTTATTTCTTTTGCTTTCGTATCTGTTTAGGGATAGGGGGGGTCCCTATATATATATATCACGACTTCAATTCCATAAGCAGTTTATGATAGGAGCACAAAGCAACAGAGTAGGCTTAGGATCAAGAAGGAAAGTCCAAGATACGGATATATTGAAGTCTTTTATTCGGCAAGACGAAAATGATAAATATAAGATCCATGTTTAACGCGAGTTAGATAGGGGTCCCTTAAACCTACACCTGGGTCACAAGTCCCAGTCACTGTTGAAGCTCCTCTCACTACAACGATGGACCCGACACACGCATCGAGAATACAATTAATCTCTTATTATCATTGAAGTTACAATACATATTTATAAATTTTGATAAATTGTTTTAAACTATAACGATTTCTTATATATTATTCGATATATAAATATAAAACAACTTTATAATAGTAAATAATTGTAAATAAAACAAGAATTAGATAACATTTATTTAATTCTTATTCAATTCCTCATTAAGTGTGCGCAAAATCAAACCGGCTTTTTGTGCTATTTTGTTTGCGAGGTTGTTGAATTTCTTTGACATGATCGTATCTTTTATAGTATCGAGCAATGACTTCGCCTCTACTTCGTACATCAGAGACGGCTTTCCATTACCGTCCCTGAAATTAACCAACTGTGGCTCTGAAAATAAATAGTTTTTATTTTTGTTCTGTCAAAATGTTATGTCACTCCTCAGAATTGACATTGACAATGTCATTCTGATTTTGTAAATGACAATTCTGACAAGTGACATGTTAGTTCTACGTTTAGGATTTAGATATTTATTATATATATTTAATGATAAGAACGTAAAACAGGAGTTAATTCCCAATTATTTACTAATTCATTGTTTATATATTATTATATATGTGCTACTAAAATTATTGTGATATTACGAAATTATTTTTTACTTATATGAAATGCATAACTTTTTATTTGAAAAAATCTGTCTTATATACTTATTATTCTATTAATATGACGTGGAACTCACTTATATCATACTTCTGCATTTTAGCTCTCAAATTTGGGATATCATTCTTGTCGGGTAGACTGAAAAAATCTAGAACCTTCTTCTTCAAATCCTCAAACACCATGGAATATTCTGGGCCATCGTTGTGTCTTCTTTTTGAGTCAGTATTCGTTTTTATCGCAAATATAACGCTTTCTAACTCTTTGTCGTTGGGATTGCTTTTTATCTTGAACTGTTTATAGTTCTTGAATTGTTTTCTCGCTGTATTTGCTATTTTTTGGAATTGCTGAGGTGGCACCACTTTGTGGATGAGGGCGTCCACGTTTGACTGGTTATCTGTTTTCCGTACTTGGAGAAGAACATAGCTGTGTGTCACATTGACCAGCAGACCTTTGAATACATAGTTCTTTATATAAGTAATAATAAAGTAGTAATTTCGATAATTAAAGTATTTTTAGGAGATGTTTATATAATAATTAAATATTTAAGATAAGTTTTAATATATATTTCATTACTAGCAAATGTAATAAAGGCATATTATTGTTGATACTATTTTGTTTTATAGACTGTGTAGCTCAAATTGTTTTATTATTATAAATGTTAAGAATTTTAGAGGATAAGCGCCATTTTAGGCATTTATTCTAAGTCGTCGATTGAAACGTATTTTTTACTAACTTTCCTGTTAATTTTCCGACGAGTTTCTTAAGTTTAGGCGAATAATTCGTGTTAGTTTATCCACATAGATATCCTATTTGTTTAAAATGTTTTCATTATTTCATTATTATGAGTATCTTCAGAAATATTACTAACTAGCTTTCCGCCCGCGGCTTCGTCCGCGTGGAGTTCGGTTATATCGCGTTTCCAAGAGAATCTTTCAAAAGTCTGGGATAAAAACTATCCTATGTTCATTCTCAAGGTCAGCTCTATCTCTGTACCAAATTTCATTAAAATCAGCTCAGTGGTTTAGGCGTAAAAGCGTAACAAACAGAGTTACTTTCGCATTTATAATATTAGTAGTGATAACTCACCGAACAATAGGATGTACTTCAAAAACATTTCAACTAACACAATGTTTTAACAGAACATTAACGAAATTATTTGTTAATCACATTGTTTATTGTTATTTTACGATTCTCCTTATCTTATTCATTATTTTTTTAATTATATGTTTAATTCTAAATGAAGAAAGTTTATTTAGAGAGAATAGAGATGTTTCTGTGGAATCGAAATTATAAATAAACTAGCTGATTTTTGTGACTTTGTCTGTTTTTCTTATAGCTACAAATAAGTCCTATAAGGCTGTTTTATAAGCACGTTAGATTATAAGAATTGTAATGCAGTTTACTTACCACATGTTTGTATACACTACATACTAATAGTTTCCCGTTTCTCATTAACCTACGTTAATACTTTGAGAAGTTACGAGTGAAATACTGTTGACGTGGAGTATGTAGTGACGATGATATTTTGGGGTTAGTATACAGATTTCAATATGCTAACTTTCCCGAAAAACTATTGCTTATTTCATTATTAAATGAGTAAAAAATATAATAAAAGTTTATTTTATAGAATTTTCATTATACATTACATATATTAATTATTAATTTTGATTGTAAACTGTACTTTAGTACGTGTTTACTATTCAAACTAGACACAAACAGTTACACGTTTATAAATAACAAAACATCGTATACTATAGTCTTCTTCTACCTGGAAATTTCCCAGCTTTAGCCAGGGTCTGCCTTAAGTGTGACTAGTTTTGTCTAATTGTTTTTACGACCGGCCGTCTGCCTGACATCAACCAACTTTGGGAATGTATTAATCAGTGATGTCTAAATACTCTTAGAAAGTACATATGACTCGGGAACATCACATTGGTACTTGCCAGGATCGAACCCGCGCCCTCGTGAATGAAAGGCGGGCCTTTAACCACTAGGACACCACTGACTATCATATGCTATAGTATTAATGTATAAGTAAAATAGTTTTGGAGTTCCTCGGACTAAAATATACGTTTCAAATGAGTAATCTTGGTTTTTTAAATACTTTATTTGATAGAAATACAAGATATATAAATATTTTTCAGTTGTTTCGTCTTCTGTAACCATGATGCATAGCAATTACATCCACTTTAACCTCATTTTTTTGAGTTTTATTTAACTTAATAGTTAACCTTTTAAATAAACTCGAAAACGATACATTTGTCAGTTCCTTTGTGATAGATACATTGACACACACAAAAGATATCATGAGGTTTGACTGAAAAAAGAAATATATACATTAAAATTAAAATATTTGGCAAAATATTACACGATTCCTTTACGAATGAAGCTATAGCTTAAAAAAAAAGTTAAAATATATATTACTAGCTTTCCGCCCGCAGCTTCACCCGCGTGGAGTTCGGTTATATCGCATTTCCAAGAGAATCTTTCAAAAGTCTGGGATAAAAACTATCCTATGTTCTTTCTCAAGGACAACTCTATCTCTGTACCAAATTTCATTAAAATCAGTTCAGTGGTTTATGCGTGAAAGCGTAACAGACAGGCAGAGTTACTTTCGCATTTATAATATTAGTAGGGATATGTATTTTTTATTACAATTAGATTACTTCAGACTTCCAATGTTAAATAATCTTCTCTAAAGTCTGTTAAATACGTATCTGTGAATGCAATTAGTAAATGTTTCTACCTCAAAAAATAACACCATTTTATTCATACCCGGTGGGACTATATGTGTTTTGTTACAGAAAATTTTAGAATAGTCCCAGCTTGGATCACCTGAAATGTATACAAAATTCAATTATATGAAATAAATATTGATAATTATACTTCGATGACTCAGAAATATTGAAAAAGTTGATAGATATCACTTATTTTGGGTAATGAGTCCTTAAACTAATATAATTTTGTTTTGTATGTAGCAATATAAAAAAACAAATGTAGTATTCGTGGAAGTAAATATCAATGAATTGAATTTATTTTAAATTGCTACATGCCAAAGCATAAATATATATTATAACTAGTTTTTGCCCACGACTTCGTCCGCGTTAGTTTGGTCAAGGGTAATATATGTAGGTATAGCTGACCAGGCGAACTCTATTCCGTCTTAGAGGCCATAAATAATCAGGTTTTTCCTGTTTCAATCAAACAGAATGATTGCCATATTAGTTAGTTGTCAAATCTAATGTCAAAAAAAACGTTTGTATGGGAAATAGAAAGGGCTGTTTTTAGGGTTTTCCCGGCAATTATTCCAATTTTTCTCACCTTCCCTGGACTTCCAGGAGTATGTCAAGACTAAAATTAGCCAAATCGGTTCAGCCGTTCTCGAGTTTTACCGAGACTAAGGAACAGCAATCCATTTTTATATATATAGAGATAGAGATAGAGATTCTAACAAAGTGACATATACTTATATGACAAATACTTATTTTAAACAACATTTTTTTACTCTCTCAGAGCCCACTGCTAAGCAAAGGTCTCTTTCTTTCATGGAGCATTTGAGCATTAATCACCACGCTTGCTCAAGACGGGTTGGTGATTTCAAACTTATAATTGTGAAACTATAAGTCCATGTTTCCTCACCATGTTTTCCTTCATCTGTCAGTGGTGTCTAAATACTTTTATAAAGTACATATGACTCGGAACATCACATTGGTATTTGCCAGGATCGAACCCGCGCCCTTTTGCATCAGAGGCGGGCCTTTAACCACTAGGACACCGCTGACTTATATTAACAGGATATATTTTAATAAATGGTAGGAAGTATAAATTATAATAACTTTTTTAACGTGTATGATTTACCTAGGATGTAATATATAAATAAATATAATATTTTTGGAAATTAAACTATATATTAAATCAAATTTACAACGTTTATTAAAAACATACATATTAAGATTTCGACAGCTCGTATTTTATGTCTAATCAAGATATAATATTGTATATAGAAAGTGATATTTGTAATAATAAATAAACAAGTAAAAATGAAATCTCACCAAATTTATAATCACAAGAATATTTACAAGAAACTGAAAGATAAATTAATGAAAGTATAATAAAAATGTTCATTTCTGTAGTTTCTCAATACGTTTGAGAATTTATTTCATTTCTTTTGTTAGACTTTTGCTTATCTTAGCCGAGTTTGAAGTTTTAAATAGAGACTAAGGTTTTAGGTTTAAGTCGTCCGTTTAATAAAATACAAGAGAATTGTTGATTTACCAATATTTTTTTACCAACTGAGTGACATTTAGTAATTAATTTGTCACTTATATACAGGGTGACTGGTGAATTACTATCGATACTTGAGGACGTGATATTTGACGATCATATATGACAAAATAAAAATTAATATAACATAAATATTAATAAACTTCTAAGTAAAGTTAACCAAAAGTTGTGTAATTAATTACGCATCGTGTGAACACCCTACAGATTAGGTATACACACACACACACACACACACACACACACGCGTGCGGCGGCGTGGTGTTGTATCATCACGCCGCCGCACGCGTCCACACTTGGAACACTTGGAACGTGTCCACACTTTATTTATTTATACGGAAATTTGGTCAAAAATTAAGTACCTATTTTTTTTACATAATTCGAATGAGAATCATGTACCGAGTATTCTCCTTAAATATTGATAGTAATTCACCAGTCACCCTGTATAAAGATACCCCGGAGTCAGGACTTCAATTCCATAAGCAGTTTATGATAGGAGAACAAAGTAACAGAGTGGGGTTAGGATCAAGTAAGAAAATCCAAAATACGGATATATTGAAGTCTTTTATTCGGCAAGACGAGAATGATAATATAGATATAAGAACCAGTTTTAACGCTCGTTAGATAGGGTCCCTTAAACCTACGCCTGGGTCACAAGCCCCGGTCACTGTTGAAGCTCCTCTCACTACAACGATGAACCGGACACACGCACCGTGATTATATTGAATGATGAGTAGTTTCGTCTCAGAAATAAAGACATTTTTTCATCATAGTTTACCTATTGATTTTGGTTGATTTTGCTATATAGATTGAGATGAAAAAAAAAAACTGAAATAATAAATCTTTTCGTTACCATTTACTGCCTTTATCAGCGGAACCTTAAAATTAATTACAATTTTAATATTTCTTGGTAAAATTTACGATTTGTAATCTCTATTTTTATTGACCACCTGAAATTCTAATAATGTGTCATAAAAATATTCGTTTAACACTTTTTACAAGTTTATGAGATTTGTCAAAAATTACTCTCAATTTTGAGTTTTATAGGTTGTCAAATTGCTTTTTGAAGTGAAACTTCTTTAGGCGTATAAGGGTGAAATTTTTACAGATGTAATGTCACGCCGGTATGCAACGTAAGCGTCGAAAAAGAGAGAGAGAGAGAGAGAGAGAGACAGAGCAAACGTAGCATGAAGCAACTAGCCGTGGAGTGACAGTAGGGAGCGAGCGAGTGAGATAGATTGAGAGAGAGTGAGATAGAACGAACGACGTATCACGTACAGTGCAAAAGAAGTTTCACTTCTGACATGTGTACTTTGTATTCACGCATTTTTAAATATTTTATTTTGTAAATGTAACAAAGTAACAATATAACTAGTCTTCTTTAATAATAATAATTAAATAAACGTCTTTATTCCATTCTACAAACTCCTTCGAGTCTCCACACAGAACTCAACATTATGATTCGTCCAACAAATAAAAATATTGATATTGACAAAATATCATACGATTCCAGTGTTAATGAAGATATAGCATAAAGTAGCTAAAATTTATAATGAAATACATAATTATTTTAATGAGATAAAATAATTAAAAATAAAAATATTTATTCAGTTTGTTAATTTGAGTTACAGTAACTTTATGGCGCCTCTTTTTAAGTATTCTGGATACTTGTGTTAGGAGAGGACCGCTCTTCTACGTATTGTTTCTAAGTTAACATAAAAGTTTACCTAAATCTACTTTTTCAATGAAGTTTATTATAATTTTACAATACAATTTCTATACATTAAACAGATAGAGTGCCTGTGAAAAACATTAATAGTAATAAAAAACTAGTTGTTTTTGTAATTACAGTTTAGTTCAATTATCCTCACTTACTTAATTAATAAAAAAAATATTTTACAATAAGTACACTTGAGTGTGTGTGTGGTTTTAGCCAATTGTACACCTTTTTCTTACATTATCTTAATGACAAAGGAGATATATATATTTTTTTGACATTATTCTACAAGTTTGCTGACTGTATCAAATTGGCGTCTAGCAAATACAGATTTCATTTAAATTATTACTTTAATAACAAAACACAACTGACTTTTAAAGAAAATATTTCAAATATACGATTTCTTGGTAAATCACTTATTTATTCCAATTCCCACAAAATAATGAATAATTACGTATAAAAATGCTCTTTTAATAATCTCTCCAGTCCTCAATACACTATTTGTGTTACAAAATGAAACAATTATTTTTATATTTAAAATATATATTCACAATCAGTACAATAAGATTTTTCACATACATTAAATTATCACTCGTTTTGAAAATAAATAAAAAAAGTTTAAAGCGAAATTAAGCACCGACGTATGACAAAACAAAAATCGTTTTAAATTCCGGTTTTTAAGTTAAAAAATACATTTTTTATTACAATTAATGAATAAATTACAGTATGGCGTAGGACTTAACTAAGGCGACTTAAGTAACGAAATTGACTAAAAAAAATAACTTAAAATAGACATAATTATTATAAAAAATGGTATTTATACAATAAAAAATATTAAAACTGCATTCACGAAAATATATACATATATAGCAATTTTTTGAGACAATTTTATACATATATAAATATTTTTTTACACAAATCATAGCCATTATTTAAGAAAAATTATATTAAATTTACATTTTAACCCGACTAAGTGGTAAGAGTCAACGAACCCAATAAAGGTAAGTTCATTTTACATTGTAATGTTTTTTTTGGTCACACAGTCTTATTACAAACGGATCACACACAAAATGGCCGCCAACAACAAGATGGCCGCCCGGTTGGTACTTCCGCTGCACGCGAGGAAGTCGTTAGGGTATAAATTAGGGGGAGGCGCTTCTTCCCCGCCCTTACAGTACTCGTTGCGACTCTGAAAACATAATTATATGTACATAAATAATTATTTATTAATAAGAAATAGTTTTCTTTTAATAATAAGAATGTTTAGAATTATAAATGAAAATCGTTGTTACATTTTCATTACTTTTCCTTATTTTCTGTAACTTGATACTTTTGAATTCAGTACTTGCTAAAAGACTATTTTAATTTGATATATTTGAATATAAAGCATTGTTTGAGTTGGTATATAATAAAATCGAATATAGTGTTCACCAACAGTCAGCGCCATCTATCGCGTGTCGTTACTTCATACAATACATCTGTTATGAAGTGTAATACAAATCTATTCAGTAGTTTTCAATGAACATACATACACACTTTAATCTTTAATAATATTACTACATAGTAGAATATTTAAAGTCCATTTCCAAACCCAGCTCATTTTCTTGTAAGGTTCAAACCAAGCTTAAACCAAGCTCATGTTATATATAGGAACCTAATGTTCTTGGTCTTACCTTGAATTCTTCTCCACATAATTCCCTACAAGGAGGACAGACCACGCCTCCTCTATGAAGCCAGCCCTTCTGAATGATTTTCACTTGCAACACCTGGCCGGCGAAGAAGCAGGTGTATGTGTAGTTACCCACCTGGAGAAGAATAGGAATAAATAATACAGGTCTATATAATAGGTCGGGGAAAAAGTTTCTTCGCATTTTTTAAGAATATTCAAAACCTTTTTTTAATATAGTTTATTTAAATTAACTAAAGTATGTATGTACCATTTTGTTCGATAACCTTTTGCCATCTTGTAGGTAGAGTCATGATCCCATTGCTATAAAAATTTTGGGACTTCTCATCAAAATACCGCGAGAAGTGGATTTGGCTTTGTTGTAGTACAATTTTAAAATGAATCGAATTTCTTCATTAGATTCACTCATCCTGTCAGTACGAAAAACAAATGAAAATCACACATTTGCCTAATTTGTATTTGGAATTATGTTCTTTAAATTTTTTTACTTTCAATGATACCAAAACTAGAAAGATACAAATACTACAGCCAAAGAGATTTTATTACAAGTTCATACATACTATAATGCGAAAAGACTTTTTCCTCAACCTATTATATTTATATATATACATACAGTTGTTAAATAGCTGGACCAATTTTATAAGGATTGTAGTTGGGTTATATACATACAAGTTTATGTCCGCGACTTTGTCTGCATTAGTTTCAGAATTAGTAATGTACATATATCTGACCGGGTGAACTCTATTCCTTAAAGACATTAGATCAGAAGATTTTGTATTTGATCAACTTATTTTCTTTTTCAATCGTATGTAAAGTAACCTATGTCCTTTCTATGTTCTAATCTATCTCTCCACCAATCTTCATCCAAACCCGTACAGCCGTTAGAGTTATAAATAGTGTAACTAACACGACTTTCTTTTTTATATAATATATTTATATATATAATACATTACCACAACATGAATCCTTCCATTTTCACACTTGTACTTGTAACAACCAGAGCCCCAGTGTTGCCATTCTCTTATCTGAAAAAACAATACAAAAATATATAGAAAAAATAAAAAATATATATTATTGTACCTTATATGACTTATTTTTCTTGGATTCAAGGTAATTTTGTCACATACGGAATTAAAATTTCAAACAGTGTTAATTCTTTAATATATATATACTTATTGTTTTGTACTATTTTAGTAAATTACCAAAAACATATAATCTCTATACAAGACTATCTATAAAAGTTATTTTTGATTAATAACTATTTCTTAATCTTTATACTATACCTGTCTACATGACTTCTGTTCCCACACTTTGTCACTATGGTCGAAACACTTTGAATGCGGCCCGTAGTTCTCAAGAGCAAAATTTACCTCCATATCTGGAATAGAATTCAATTTCTATTAAATTACCTTATATTGTATATATTTACTAGTAATAAAAATGTTTAAATGAGTGGATTTTGTTAATAAATGAGAAAAATTGATAGAGTTTATCAATGTATGGATATTTTTATTCATGATTTAATATTAAGGGTATATAGAGGAATTTTATCATATTTTAGATAGTACATAAATTGATATATTGTGGATTGGATGAATTTAAGATTGTTGGAAGGTTGGAAAGTTGGATGTTAAGATAGTTGGATGGTTGGTTTGTGGAATTTTTGTATGTTTGTATAAATATATATTTATTTAATAGGTACATAAACATCACACATATTCAGCACACATAAACAACATATAAAATAGAAAAAAATAATCTAGGACCTGGTATGAGTGACAATTACAGATGTACACAACATTCGCACAAAGAAAAAATAAAACTTATTGTCTACCTGTTCAATTTAAATGATAATTATATAACAGTTAAAGAAAAAAAATCTTAAGATCCAATATACAAAATTACAAGAAAAAAAAAATATATAACTCACTGGGCGTATTTTCCTCATATGAACATCTACTCCCTCTGACGAGTACGCTCTTATGTTTCCAAGAGAACTCTTGTAGGTAGGGACAGTAGTCTGCTAGAGACACAGAGCCGCCGTACTTTGCTTCTTCACCCGGTTTGATGTTGGGTAATGTGTCGAAATGCTAATAATTGTAAAAAAAATTACCTTAATTACTTTATTTGTATATATAACATATATAAATAGCGCTATATATCACACAAAAGAGGTAAAAATTAGTTTAAACCCTTCTATTTGTAGGGTATATATGAAATTATACTATAGCATATATCAACAGGGCCCATGTATAGCAAAAAAATGTATAAAGTTACATTAACTGCTATTCGTAGTATATATTTTAATTTTATAACAAATATAGAGGCATTTATATGCTAATTGGTGTATATATGTATATGATATGATATAACACACATAAAAAAAGTGCCCATGTATAGCAAAAAAGTGTGTAAAGTTACTTTAACTGTTTATACAACTATGTATTCACCTGGTATTGTCTGGGCAGGATGTTGTCGTGTTTGACCAGATTACACAACACCACGGCGTTCCTTCGAGGCGAGCATTCAGTTCTTAACGGATCACCCTTGACCCTCTCGCAGAATGGTGCTGGGTTTTTACGCCTAAAATAATATTATTATTGCGTTTTTTTTGGTTGAAGGAATAAAATATAAGAGATTTCCACCCATATATTGACTTGAAATTTGCTAAGATTATTCCTCTCGCCGAGTGGAGGTCATAAGGGGGTTGCGGGGGGCGTTAACAAAGGAAAATACGCTTTCACGCCTAAACCTCTGAACTTATTTTAATGAATTTTGGTACAGACATAGAGTTGACCTTGAGAATGAACATAGGATAGTTTCTATTTCAGACTTTTGAAAGTTTCTCTTGGAAACGCGATATAGCCGAACTCCACGCGGGCGAAGCTGCGGGCGGAAAGCTAGCATATATAAATATTAAGTTGTGATTTAAATAAAGTGATGGTTGTTGAATAACTTACACGGGTTCCGTCACGTTTGTAATGCTTGTAAATATATTAAAATTAAATATATGTATATACACTTTTATATCTTAGATTAATAATATATAGGTATTTCTTAAATAAATTAATATTTGTTAGTAAATTCATACATTCCAATGTTTAAGCCCAAAAGACAACACAGAAGCACCCATTAATAAATAAATGTTTTCACACGCTAAGATTTAAAAGAAATAATCTATACAATGTTAACTCAAGATTGACTAGACCGATTTTGATGTTAATTGTCTTATATATAGACCATGCTTTAAGAATAATTGAGATTTATATAATAATAAAGGTACTTCTTACTCCGCTGTAGTGTTATCCGTATCGCTGCTTGCAAAAAAGTAAATTTTATATATAATTTAGCTTAGTTGAAGATATGGTTATTAAAGTAAATTAATTGTATTTAAGTCATGTCTGATAAATATTTATTATATACAAACATATATGAAAAAAGGTAATAGTTAAATTTAATTCATGTGATAAATTAAGATATTTAAAGGCTATTTGAAATTAATTAGTATGGATATCCCCAAAAACAAAAAAAAAAATACCACAATAAATGGCAACATCTTTTAAAACATATATAATTAACACATTATATAAAAAATATAATTATAGTATCAACTATAGTCCGTTAGACTTAAGCTGAGCTTTGCATTTGTGTGAGTGGCAGTAAAAGTAGAGTTAGACAAAAAACTTTTACAATAAAATATTATTATATTTTAAACAGATACATAAGTGCGAGAGTTATTCTTGATTAAAAATAAAATAAATAAAACATGTAAAAGGTTAAATGGAAATATTATGGAAAAAAAATATTAATATAAGTAATAAAAATTTTGAAAAAACAATACAAATTCTTCTTCACTTGACATTGCGTTTTCAACATTTGATTTTGCTACCAGTACAAAGGGTGAAGTGAGGAAGGTGCGGGGCGGAGTAAAAACAGAATAAACCGGTTCAAAACTAGAAAAGAATGTGGCATTCAAAAATTTGACATCACACCTACACTATCCGTGTGCACACAAATGCAAAGCTCAGCTTAAACCAAACGCACTATACCCTCACTAATACAAAACTAACTACACACATACGTCATCATCCTATCAGAGCCCACTGCTGAGCCTCTTCTCACATGGAGAAGGTTAGAGCATTAATCACCATTGCTCAAGACGGGTTGGTGATTTCAAACTTATAATTTGATATAAGTCCATGTTTCCTCCCGATGTTTTCCTTCATCAGTCAGTGGTGTCTTAATACTCCCAGAAACACATATAACCCTCTAATCTCAATATACCTGAACCTTTGCGTGTTGAGCCACTGCTTGCATGACGTCATCGCGAAGTTACATCCCAAATTCTTCCCCCAGTCTAGACTAGTCGCATGTTCATAGTTGGCGCGGTACCAGCCAGTATCTTCCATGAGTGCGAAGGTTATTCTACTGAACACACTGTTCTGTGTGTGTGTGCCTGTCATCGCTTCGTTCTGGAGATATTTATAAGGACAACTTACAAAACATACACCATTTATATATTTTAAAATAAAGGTAATTACATTTTTAAGAAGTGTTGTTTCAATTAAAAGTTATCACGCCATGGAAAAGGACAGTATTTTCTATTAATCTAACACAACTTTTTTTTTATAGGTATGATCATATTTTGTATAATTTTTGTTGGTGGTTTTTTTTTGAAGGGAACTGAATTGATTGTCATCAGGCAATTTTTTGATTTTGAGCAAATGCAAAGAAGTTCACAATGGATTTTGCGCTTTAATGCCTAATCTATGGCCTTACAAATAAATTTTGCTATGCTCAAAAATTCTATAGAATATGAGGTATATAAGCCAAAAGATGTTCCGACTTTGGTTATAGGTACAGAAAATATACACACATTCGTAGATCGGATAGCATAACGAATTTATCTTTATAAACAAGTATAACAGTATATGTAACATATATTATGTATTTCAGGATTTTATTTCCCAAAAATGAATACCAAATTTATATAGAGGTCGTCATTAATGCTTTAGGTATAATATCACGTTTTTAATATATATATACCTCAAAAACTCTTTTCTCCCAATGTGTAAGGGCTGTTCCATCACCTCCCTGATCTTCTAACTCAGCGCCCTCTAGCAGAGAACAGTTAAAGTGTTCGCGGACCTGATAAAGATCAAAGAAAATAAAAAATGAAAAGACTTAATACTAAATATACTATATATGAATATGATAATAATGGACTCGCTTTGGTCGCTAAAGACTTTCAAATCAATAGCATATATAGAAAGAGAAATAATAAAAAGACAGAGACAAACATATGAGAGAAAGAGACAGGAATATGTTAAAAATGATGTTAGAAAGAGATAGCAGTATTCATCAATTTGACTATAAAGGACTTGTTTTTGTCGCTAAAATCTTTAGAGACTATAAAGGGAAATATTATAAGAAGAGAGAAAGAGAGATGAATATATTAAAGAATGATGTTAGAAAGAGACAGCAGTACTCACCTCCTTTACCACGCGTGGAGTTACGACCATTTGCAACGTCCTTTCCATATAACCACCACGCACCATCCATTTCTTCCTCGTTACATTTCTGACCACTTTCGACGACCATTTGTGTATTTGCAACCTGATAGAAATTAATTGCTGGCTTATATTATAATATAACTATGAAATTAATAAATATATATTAAAAATTAAAGCTTAAAATTTATTTATATTTCAACTGTATGTATAGTAATTAAATTATATTGTATACTATGTAATTAAATTGAATTATTTATTAATTAGACAATAGTTTAATTGTAAATGTAATTACATAGTTAATTAATAATAAATTAAGTTGTTACTAACACAGGTATAAGGAAAATGTGTACTAATAAAAGATGGGTCCAAGATGCCTTAATAAATAAAATTATTATTAATATTAGAATATTTTTTCTTAATCATTAAGGTACCTATATATAAAGTACTAATTTCAGTACTTTTGACTACCCCTGTCCTTGTCACATTTTTATCCTCCCTAAAGAAACGTCACACATTTTTTTAAAAATTTCTGTATATATTTAAAAATAGTCGAGAGAACAGTAATTTTCATTTTTTACATATTTTTATTAAGCACTAGCTGCGCCCGTGTTACCCGCGGATTTCCGGGATGTAAAGCCTATGTGTTATTCCTGGACGTCAGCTTCCTGTATACAAAATTTTAACAAAATCGGTTCAACCGTTTGAGCCTGAAGAAGTAACAAACATACACACACTCACAAACTTTCGCAATTATAATATTAGTAGGATACAAAGTTTTCGTTTAAGTATTTAATTTTTTGAAGGTCATAGAACTATTGCCCAACTTTCTTATCACACAATATCACACTTTAATGCTACCCTATATATTAACGTGTAATGTTCTTTATAAATGGCATCTTTATTTGCGAGTCATATTGTGTTTTTATCATAGGGACCGTTCAAGTATTACGTAAGCAGATTTATTACAAATATTTACCCCCATCCCCCTTTTCAGCAATAGTAAGCAAAGCTCTTACCCCCTCCCCCCATGCTGACGTAAACATTTTCAATTACTGTATTGTTTTTTTTAAATACAAATCCATTAACAAAATATAATTATATTTTTTAATGGATCTTCTCGATGTGACGATAAGAAAGTAAATAACTACCGATGACGTAATCATCATCTAGACTCCGCTACCCCCATGTCATCCAAAATAAGCAAAGACCCCCCAGCCCTTCCATAGTGCTTACGTAATACTTGAACGGCCCCATATTCTTGTTATTCCGTGTACCTCGTGTACCTACTTACTGTTCATCTAGCGGCGGATTCCCTGTATCCTTGCGTCGTTTCGTCAATGGTTCACCGTTGTCGTCTCTGAAAATACATTATTTTATTTTAGGTAAACAAACAAACAAAACAATAAGATAATCTTATGGGATATGGAAAACAAAATTACATATATCAGCTAAGTTTACACTGGTAATTAGACACATATTATTAAAAAAAGACATAACATACATAAAATCAAATATTAAAAACGTGTACTGTATTTCTTCGGCAGTTATAAATAAAATCTAACATTAATATAATTAAACGAAACAAAATTAAAAAAAAAGAAGTAACAAAACACATTAAACAAAATAGATTTTACATTGAATTATAGTTTCTTACCAAAAAAACAATAAAAACATAGTTTTTTTTCAATAAAATGAAGGTTTCTTTTTTTGTTTTGATGAAAATCGATCTATTTTTACCTGTAGAAGCCAAACAGTGAGACGCTGAAGCCTAATGCGTGTAGCATCTCGTGTTTCACTGTGGATAGTAGGGATGGCAAGTCGCGAGCCTTCGTGGAAAGTTCTGCTGGACAGAAGTTCGCGTGACCAGCTACCGGTCTAAAAATGATGAAGGAATAATAAAACCATAGAAGATTTCTTTGAAAAAACATTTATAACAATCTTTTTTTTATGTAAGCCGAGTTTTTAATTTTGTTTCTGATGAAAAAATGTAAAGTGATCGAAATTTTTAGTTTACCATCCATCCGTTAAATGCATTTTAAGTTGGAAAAAATAGAAGAAATTCGCAAGAAAATATCGCATAGTAAATACGAAAATATTAGTTTCATTTAAATATTGGAGTATTTAAATTTCTATATTAGATCTTTTAATTAATAGAGATGACACGAAAAATCAAAAATCATGGCATATTTTTTAATGGATGTTTTATACTTAAAAATTTATACAAAGCAAGATTAGACATATCAAAGTATTTTAATAGTTTTTGATGTTTTCAATTCAAGAGTGAATGAGATAATGAGATAGTAGCGTCAGAGCTACGTTTCCACTTATCATCTATTTCCATTATATATATACTAGCTTTCCGCCCGCAGCTTCGCCCGCGTGGAGTTCGGTTATATCGCGTTTCCAAGAGAACCTTTCAAAAGTCTGTGATAAAAACTATCCTATGTTCTTTCTCAAGGTCAACTCTATGTCTGTACCAAATTTCATTAAAATCAGTTCAGTGGTTTAGGCGTGAAAGCGTAACAGACAGACAGACAGAGTTACTTTCGCATTCATAATATTAGTAGGCATATGAAAGAATTAAATGGCTCTTTCTCAATTTCTCACCGATCTAACGCCGATTCCTGTTGACAGTGAGAAGCATATGCCACTGTAAGTCCCCGCTTACACCGATTTGTCTCCAAAGCACTGACGTATAAAACAAAATCGGTCTTCTCTATACCGATCGGGTCGATTCTTGAACTCTCTGCGCTGCTAACTTCTGGTACTGCTGAAAAAAGTTATTTGTGATTTTAAACCATTTATTTTGCTACGCTATACAGAAGAAAATAATTAAATTTAAAGAATACAGTGTAGGAGCAAGTTCATCTCACTATGAGCTGTGCTAATGCACAGAACTGATTTTCAGATGTCCCCTGAATATTGGGTAAACAATAAACATACACAAATACATAATTTTCCAATTTAGATGTAATTTTAGTAATATTCTTGTATACGTAAGTATTTTAGTGTGATTGTTAAAATAAAACGTTGTCATTTGCAAAATATTCTAGTGCGAATGAAGACATAGCATAAAAAAATACAATTTTAAGTTTTTACCAGTAGTATGAAAGATTTCAGTAGAATTCTCTTTCATATATTTTTTTCATATTGAATTAAATATTGGAAATACTTTAAATATATATCTGCTAAGACACATCTGTTACATTAATAAAAGTTAAGATATTAAAATTAAAAATTTCTTTAACAAAACATTAGATTGTCCACTTAGTATGGGGACTTTGGCCTGACATGAACAGACATTTTATCATATTTTTTGTAATTAGTTTAAAAGCACTAACTAGTAATAATGAGAATATGAACTTAATTTTGTACCAAAATGTTTAAAAACAGATTTTTTTCATGTGAGGAAAAACAGGTTAAAGCGAAATAAAACAAAATTTCTTATGATTTATTTTTATTCTGAGACATCATATGTTATTAATGTGTTCAAGAAATTGGACAGGTGGTGAAATGTGTTCCTGATACTTTGTCCAACTTAAAAACCTTAAAATAGTCATTATATGAGCTCAGCAACCAACTTACAATAATATTCTTTTATAGCTTCCTTACCATTGTGATTATTTTCATATAATATATATAAAATATATTTTTCGACTTACATGCCTGCTTTGTATTTTTCCAAGCAATAATCTGCAGTTGGCCAAAGGAATCGGGTAGTCAACCAATAGGTCGCTGGCTATATTTCTACATATTTCTATAGTATAGGAACCATCACCTCTTATGTGCTCCATAATATGAACAAGCTTGTTTTAGTTGGTATGCTCCACATATTCTATTCTTGGAAATATGAAACTGTCCATGTTTACATTTATAGGTTGAAAATCTGCCCGCCTTCTATTTAAATTATTTTCGGTAACAAAGTCAGCCAATGTGTTAGGAGTAAACATATTTTCATTTATTATAATACAACAGTATATAAGGATTATAATTATATAAAACAATAAAACCTCATATTGCATTATAGGAATAGCATATACAATACATATGTATTAAAAAACGAGTGATTTAAATAATTAATTGAATTGACACTTACTCGTCGAAGAGCTATCCACTGTCTTATAATAGACTGAACCTGATTAAGATCTAGACTATGTCGCCTTCGCTCTATCAAATCAGTTCCACAGTTTATGCATCTCAGAGATACGGATTGGTAGGAAGTCACTTCTTCTGTGTGCAGACTATCATGAGACACGCTTTGGTTTTGTTCAATGTCCATATTCAAGCCGTGGTTAGCGATGGAGCTAGATTCGGGGTCCATATTACGTGAGTGTAGGTCATCGTTTATGCTATGTTTGGAGTCCATAATACAAAAGCCAGGGTCATCGTTTGAGCGAAATTCGGGGTCCGTAGATGTGCAGGGGTCATTGGAAAAAGATAGGTCGGAGTCCATAATGAATAAACAATCGTTGAAAGAAAATCCACAATAAATCAACACTCTCAATGTAGGTAAACAAAGCGAATTTAAAAATCAGTCTGTGACATACCAATGTCAATTTGTATTTGTTTTCTTAGTGTTACAATAGAAAAAAATCATTAAAAATCGATCGAAAACAGATATGATAACGTTTAACATTCTTCATATTTAAGTTTATAAAACGTTTTAAATGACGAAACTAATTAAAAACATTTTTTTTGTATTAAATACGTATAGTTGTATTAAGTACTGCGAGATGATTCGATTTGACGCAATCGTTAATTGATCTTGCTGGTAACACAAAACGTGGATGAATAACGTAAATCAATGAAGATACTTTAAAAATATTTTTTCAATAAAATACAAATGTACACTCAAACAACAATAGAATGGCTAGCTAAAAAACATATTTTTTTGCATAAACTTGTTTTTTTGATAGCAGCTTGTTCACGCTAGGCCAAAAATGGACATTGCTTTTTATTAAATAACTGATTAGTACATTAACAAAGATATTAAGTACCTATGTATCTAAGCGCACGGAATCTAAGCTAAGTGTTCTCTTCTACCTGGCAATTTCCCAGCTTTAGCCAGGGTCCGCCTTCCATGTTGTGAATAGTTTTGGCTTATTATTTTTACGACCGGCCGCCTGCCTGACATCAACCCTCTTTTGGGAATGCATTAATCAGTGATGTCTAAATACTCTTATAAAGTACATATGACTCGGAATAATCATATTGGTATTTTGCCAGGATCGAACCCGCGCCTTCGTGCATGAGAGGCGGGCCTTTTAAACACTAAGCTACCACTAACTTCTTACTGCTTTACTACTACTAATTACTATAACTTTCTTATTTATGAACCGATTGATATAAAACGAACACCTTATTTTTGGGGAAGATCACCACAATGCATTAATGACAACTACTCTCAAATTCTGTCCACCGTTTTAAAAATTATCGCGCACAAACACAGACACACAAAAACCCAACAAATCACTTTATGTTGCTAAGGTTTAGTTATAACATATATATTATATATATAGAGGTTGTATTATATGTATGTATGTATGTGTGTGTGTGTATGTATATATGTTCTTATTAATATCCTTACCATTATCAACTCCATCATTAAGAGCATTCCCAGAGATCTCCGTGGCTGTAATCTCATCGTCTAAATCAACTTCTCTTGGCAGAGCTCTGCAGTTGTGGCCGGTGCTGTTGCATACGTAGCAAGGCTGGAAAGCATATAGCTTAAATTAGCTCATTATAGCTTAAAATGCGATTATGCGAAGTCTTACTATAGCTTGTCATTAAATAGAAGATATGCTTATAAATATATTTATAAAATAACTAGTTTTTGCCCGCGACTTCGTCCGCGTTAATCGTCATTAGTAATATATGTATAGCTGACCGGGCAAACTCTATTCCGTCTTCAATAACCCGGTATTGGTATTTATTAAATTTCTACTGTTTCAATCGGACAGAATGATTGACATATTAGTTAGTTGTCAAGTCTAATGTCAAAAAATCTTTTGTATGGGAAATAGAAAAGGGCTGTTTTTAGGGTTTTCCCGGCAATAATTCCAATTTTTCTCACCTTTTAAACCTTCCCTGGACTTCCAAGAGCATTTCAAGACTAAAATTAGCCAAATCGGTTCAGCCGTCCTCGAGTTTTAGCGAGACTAAGGAACAGCCATCCATTTTTATATATATAGAAGATAGCCTTTTAATATATGTAAAATTGATCTCTAATAAGTGCTAGTGTTTTTAGTTTGTTATTGTTTTAGTAATTAATACAATACTTTTGTTTCTATTCGCTTATTGATATTGTGGTCAAGTCAATATTGAGATTACGGTAACTTTAAACTCTGCGTATGTAGTGAACCATGTAACTTATAGTAAGGAAAAATATATATTACTAGCTCACCCGGCAGAGCTCGTACTGCCTCAATCGATAAATAAATATATATATATATATATTTAATATTAGTTAGTTGTCAAATCTAATGTCAAAAAAACCGTTTGTATGGGAAATAGAAAAGAGCTGTTTGTAGGTTTTTCCCGGAATTGATTCAATTTTTTTTCAGCTTTTATACCTTCCCTGAACCTCCACGAACATTTCAAGACTAAGATAAGATAAATCCGTTCAGCTGTTCTCGAGTTTTAGCGAGACTAAGGAACAGCAATCCATTTTTATATATATAGAAGATATTTTATATTAGTTAGTTGTCAAATCTAATGTCAAAAAAAAAAACCGTTTGTATGGAAAATAGAAAAGAGCTGTTTGTAGGTTTTTCCCGGAAATGATTCATTTTTTTCAGCTTTTAAACCTTCCACGAACATATAAAGATAAGATAAATGCGTTCAGCCATTTTCGAGTTTTAGTGAGACTAACGAACAGCAATTCATTTATATATATATATATATATATTAAGACAGATACAGATTAAACTACTTTAAGAGTTTCAAATTAAAACATTTGAAATGTTTACTTTTACTTATTGTATAACTTCGTCATTTGTTTATTGATTTCGAGAGCTTGTACGGTGGAGGTGATCGTTTAACATTAGATAGGGTCCCTTAAACCTACACCTGGGTCACAAGTCCCAGTCACTGTTGAAGCTTCTCTCACTACAACGATGGACTCGACACACGCACCGTGAATATATGGAATGATGAGAGGCTTCGTTTTTAAATAGAATATGCCATTTAAGTCTTATACTTCTTTTTGTAATAGAAACAAATGCAACCTTAGAAAACTTCCAATAATTTTAAAAATTAGGACATTTGGATATATAGTTTAAACAATGTATTATATATAGTTATAAAATTGAAGAGAAAAAAATATTTTCACTTCAGTTATCGTAATAACAGAGGCTCGTAAAACAAGTTATAGTTGAAATAAAATAGTTGAATAAAAATAGGAATAGAACTATATTGGACCATGACAAAAACTTTGTACATTATAGGTAAGAATTGTTGTTTAAGATATTTAAAAACATATAATAATACATATACAGGGTGACTGGTGAATTACTATCAATATTTAAAGAGAATACTCAGTACATGATTCTCATTTGAATTATGTAAAAAAAATAGGTACTTAATTTTTGACCAAATTTCCGCATAAATAAATAAAGTGTGGACACGTTCCAAGTGTTCCAAGTGTGGACGCGTGCGCTGATACAACACCACGCCGCCGCACGCGTGTGTGTGTGTGTATACCTAATCTGTAGGGTGTTCACACGATGCGTAATTAATTACATAACTTTTGGTTAACTTTACTTAGAAGTTTATTAATATTTATGTTATATTAATTTTTATTTTGTCATATATGATCGTCAAATATCACGTCCTCAAATATCGATAGTAATTCACCAGTTACCCTGTATATATAAATGCATGAGTATGTGTGTGAATGCCAATTGAAGTCGAAACAAAATATTACATATGCCTATGCAGTATTAGTGATAATGAAATTTTATTAGAAACTTTTCTTGTTCTTCCTGGCAACTTCCCAGCTTTAGCCAGGGTCTGCCTTACATGTTGTGAATAGTTTTGGTTAATTCTTTTTAAGAACGGCCGCCTGCCTGACATCAACCCTCTTTGGTAATGCATTAATCAGTGATGTCTAAATACTCTTAGAAAATGCATATGACTAGGAAAAATCACATTGGTACTTGCCAGGATCGAACCCGCACCCTCGTGTATGATAGGTGGGCCTTGCAACCATTAGGCCACCACCACTACTTTCGTCATGGTATTGATTTAAAAAACATCGGAAAAAAAATATGTTATTGCAATTCTCTTTAGTAATTATCAGCCTATAAGGGCCCACTGCTGAGCAAAGGCCTCTTCTCTAATGGAGAAGGTTAGAGCATTAATCGTCATACTCGCTCAAGACGGATAGGAGATTTCAAACTTATAATTAGATAAGTCCATGTTTCCTCACGATGTTTTCCTTCATCTGTCAGTGATGTCTAAATACTCTTATAAAGTATATTTGACTCGGAACAACACATTGGTACTTGCCAGTTGCCAGGTTTCAAACTCGTACCGTCATGCATGAGAGGCGAGCCTTTAATCTTTAGGCCATCACGACTTAAAAATTCTCTTTAAAAGTATATTTTTTGTAACTGAATATATTTTTTTGAGAATTTAATTTGTTATCACCTAACAGGGAATATTTTCCCATATATTGTAACTCAAATAAAATATTTTTTTTTGTATACAGGGTGACTGGTGAATTACTCTCGATATTTGAGGACGTGATTTGTGACGATCATATATGACAAAATAAAAATTAATATAACATAAATATTAATAAACTTCTAAGTAAAGTTAACCAAAAGTTATGTAATTAATTACGCATCGTGTGAACACCCTTCAGATTAGGTATACACACACGCACACACACACGTGTGGCGGCGTAGTGTTGTATCAGCACGCCGCCGCACGCGTCCACACTTGGAACACTTGGAACGTATCCACGCTTTATTTATTTATACGGAAATTTGGTCAAAAATTAAGTACCTATTTTTTTTACATAATTCCAATGAGAATCATGTACCGAGTATTCTCCTTAAATATCGATAGTAATTCACCAGTCACCCTGTATATTAGTTTAGGATTTTGTTAATACACATACATACATACATTCAAAACATTACTCTCCTTTTTAGTTTTAGTTCAAGCGTACTAAAGAAAAACTAACAACAATCTCTACTTATTTTATATCAAAGAAACTATACCCGACAGACAAAATATCTAATCAGGAACAGAATTTACGATAAGCTATTTAATATGATAAATTTGAATATCATTATTGTGACATAATAAACAACATATATACTAGATATTACAGAAATGTTAATTGATTATTTCTATCCAATAGTATAATTTATACGTCATTGAAGTCAGTGGTGGCCCAGTGGTTAAAAGGCCCGCCTCTCATACACGAGGGCGCGGGTTCGTATCAATATGATTTTTCCGAGTCATATGTACTTTCTAAGAGTATTTAGACATCACTGATAATGCATTCCCAAAGAGGGTCGATGTCAGGCAGGTGGCCGGTCATATTCACAACATGTAAGGCAGACCCTGGCTGAAGCTGGGAAATTGACAGGTAGAAGAACTTTAATATATGCGTCATTTTGTTTAACATTCAGTGAGAACACACACATTGAGGAATTTTCTATGTGTGTGTGAGATGTTTATTTTATAAAATTTAATATATATCTAATTCATTATATATAAATAATATCTTAATACTTTTCTTCTCAATATAAGATTTGTCTCTTTTAAATTCTACGTTTATCAGTTCGCATTATTCTCTTTAAAAGGGATAAAAAGTTTTCGATTCAGGTTTTATTGTTATGACATAAGTAAAGTATGTTGGAGTTTATAATTAAGGCTGAACCAATTTAAATGATATTACTATATTTAAATATATAGAAGGATATATTTTTTCCTCTAAAATCATTAAAAGGGTATAAATAGATCATTAACTTTAAACTCCTAAGCGAAGACCTCACTTAGGCCATAAATAAAAAAATAATATAATAATACACTCATTACTATATCGTAAAAACTACAGTAAACAAAACCACGATAGATAATTTTATAATTAACAGTACCAATACGATTTACCATAAAAAATCTTTGCATTTAAAAGCAAAGCTGGGCCATTTAATGAGTATATGAAAGTAGTTCTAAATATTAAACACATTAAAATATTTCTCAAAATTGTATTTGTTTTGTAACACATTAATATGTATATTTACATATTTATAATTTAATTACATCTTAACAAAAGCGAATAATTTCGTGAGGTATAATAAAAAATATCAGACTTTACTTAGCATATATTAATGAATGTTATTCTTTTTAGGCGCAAATATAATATTTTTTGCCCACGTCCATTCCTTCGTGTTATTGACAGCAAATTTCGACGATGTGAAAAAATTAGCACAGAAATTCGTATCTGAATCTTTGGCTGAGAAAATAGCTGAATTCGTTTCCAAGGCGACCGTGAATAAAATAGGTTTGAAATTATCCAGGGAGCAAGAGAAATCCAAAATAGAGGAAACTACCACAAAAACAGACACCGAAAGTGAGGAAAAAGAATCAGAAACAACAGAAGAATCCATATCAAAAGAAAACATGAAATATAAAGCAAAAGCCTTAAAAAGCATAGAACCAGGACATAAAACAAGATTCGAATCAAAATTATCTAGATCCAACGAGAAATTATCTAACAAAAATCATCAAAAAAAGGATAAAAAATTTAAAATTAAAAAGACCAAAACAAGTAAAGAAATAAATTTTATATCAGAGACGAATAATTTGAATGTATTTTCAGACGATATCTCTGCTAACGTCTCGGTAGAATCAACTGCTGGTTGGATTGAGGAAGGTAAATTTAAAAACCATACATCAGATCAAGAAACTGAATCAGATTATGTGTTCCGTTTTAATAACATCGAAGGTGTTAATGAGGGTTTATTTAGAGATAAGCTAACGACGAGGAAAGAAAAGAACGAATTTGACCAATACGATAATACTTACTACCCTAAAGCTATTGGCACAAGTGGTAGTGTAACTTTACGATTGTTGGATTCGAGAAAAAGTAGATATCGAAAGGATTGAATGTGGAGAATTAGATATAAATTTCCATTATATATACATATATACATAAATATAGACATTCAGGAAAATTCGCATAATGTAAGGGCGTAAAAAAGTTATTCTCATAAATACAGTGATATATGAAAAAATTAATACATTTATATCAGTGGGTATTGAATAAGAATTGAAGAAGCAACAAAAACAGTTTTTACATATGTATTACAATGCAATACATACAAAATATATATACCTGATGCTCTATACTTAATTGGCTTTTTATATGGTTCATTTAAATTGGTAAAAATCAATAAATATTAATGATACATTTAATAAAAATATCAGGGTCGTGTTAATGATTTTGTTTTATGCAATTACTGTTAAATATGTAATGGCCATTCGACCATTATGTTCTAATCTACACTACAGAAGCTATAAAACCTTACAAGGAATTTCAGTGATTGTACAGTTATGGTTATTAAATTTCAGTATTTATTACATATACAATATAAATTTTAATTTTGGTACCTTTACTTAACTTTGACAATAATGTATTGTAATTATACGATTTTAGTTTTATGACAAAAAATATAAGACACACAAACACACACACACACACGCACTCACACTCACATGCACACACACACACACTCACATGCACACACATACACACACACATGCACACACACACACACACACACACACACACACACACACACACACACACACATGCACACACACACACACACACACACACACACACACACACACACACACACACACACACACACACACACACACTCCACACACACACACACACACACACACACACTCCAACACACACACACACACACACACACACACTCCAACACACACACACACACACTCCAACACACACACACACACACACACACACACACACACACACACACACACACACACACACCAAAACACACACACACACACACACACGATGATTGTGTTTCTTCGTTTTTAACTTTGTATAACTATTTATCCAGAATTACCCCCTATATTAGCTACCTATACTTACCTTCATTGATCATTACCAACCACAAAATCAATCACATTAGATTATCTCCTACGAGTACAACCCTTGAGTTTCTGAAGGAATTAAAGAAAAACATTTGAGCACTTCAAAGTATACTAGCCTATTATTGCATACATTTTTTAGTACTACGATATTGCTATTCAAATATTCATAACATGCTATACTGTATATTACTGTATGGCACGATTATAGAATTAATTCCTTGTAAAGAATATAATAATTCACTTATATTTAAAAGCTTTTAATGCGTTTTGTTGCTTATCGTGAATTCTAAGTTTATTTGGTCATACGAAACTAGTTAAAGAATTTTATTTGTTTTTACAATAGGTAAAAAGGGATCGTATGTAGCTAGCATCTTCAATAAATTCCTATAGATGAAAAATTAAGTCCTAAGTATTTTCAAGTGATTTTTAAGGTTTATCAAGACTAGCCAAAGAATATTGAAATATATGGTTATATGTATATAGGATATAAGTCAAATAGAGCCTAACAATTGGTGATTTTGAGAGTAATTCCTGAGATAGAGCCTACATCCCTACCATATCAGTAGATTAAACCTAAATATATGACTAAAAACTATATATCTTGTACATATATATATATGTATTCCATACTTACATTAAGATGATGTTCGGGAACCTTGACTTCTCCACACATCGTGTCAACGCTGCAGAAGTCTATGCAGTACGCTCTACCTTCGTGTAAGAATACTTGTCGTGTTGGACATTTTCTGTGCACAAAAGAAAATACATTTTAAATATAATATATGAAAGTATTTTAATAGATGAATTAGGCAAAAAGATCATCTGTTGGTTGAAACAGCATGAACAAAATTACATGATTTTTTGCGATGTCTCCAAACTCCTCTAATCGGCTGGCGTCTGCCGATAAGAATTTAAAACGATCAAGGTCGATTATAATTTATTAAAACAAATATAAACATTTAGCTTTAAAGGACTAATTTGTTAATATTTAAGAAATACAATAACTGTACTTGCTGCAATTAAAAAACAACTAAATGTTATAAATTGAAGTCATTTTGCTATAATCTTCAATTAGCATTTTATTATTTGGCAGAAAGATGTCAAAGGAAAAATATATTTCGATAAATTTTGATAACATAGCCTTTTAACAGTTCATTCACAAGCCTTCACAAGATACTATGAGCAAAATACGCCAAATGTTTTGAATGATTAGCACAAATTTCCAGAGCACTTCTGTGACTTGGTGATAGTATTGTCGTAAACACGTATAGATATACTATCTGATAAGATTCGCTTCATATGATATCTGGTCGCTGTTCTATAGTGGAATGTCGGTGATAGTGTAGTGCGATCCTGAAAAATTATACGTAAGTAGCGTTCACTGTTTATTTGTTGACTAATTTTACGTTAATGCCCAAACATGAAGCTGGAAATATTGCATTTATTTGAGTAGCTAGGAGGTTATAGCTAGAAATACTGCTTTTATTGGGTTCTTAATAAGTATGTAATTGTGATAATATTAATTCAAAAATTTATACTTTTTGATCTTCTTGCTGGATGGATTTTGTAGCATCAATTCATTGAAATATCAGCCTAATTTGAATTTAAAGCTTCAGTGAGTAACTCTTCGTAAATAAAGCCAATCAACTTGTAACGAAAATACAAGTTTTTTATGTCTTTATGTGTTTAACATATCTTAAATGTAACTATTATTAAAAAATACGTCTATTGTCGTGTAAAAGACACAAATTATACACAAAATTCTGTGTTATGAGTGATGAGTGATTAAAAAACGAACGTTAGCCTAAAAAATGAAAACAATTCAGTGAGTGTTTTGTGTTTTAGGATTGAGTGATACAGATAATTCTAGAATCTTCAGAACAGATAAATATCGAGCAAATATAAACATACATATATATAGCTGATAATAATTATTAACTTCTATTCAAGAACACCAATTACTTTTTCTCTAGAAGTAAATATATTTAAATACGCCATACGTTACTCTTGTAAGTTACGTTATGATAGACAATAAATATTAGTTTAAAAAACTAAAAAAGCACCCTTGTAACTAATATTTATATTATATTTTTTAGTACGATTTATCAATTAGGTTTTTGCCGACATGCGCAAACCGCACACTAGCTCTATCCCTTTCACTCTCATAGAGGATCTATGAAAAGAATATATTAATCCTGGCGGCCCTAACAAGGGTAATGGGAAATTGTTAACGAATTATTGTATTATCATTGGTCCTTGAGACATGCAAAGTTTCAAGTTAATCAGATGTTTTGAAACCGGTGGAAATCATGCTCAAAGATTCCGTTACATACATACAGGCCAAACTAATATAATGTAAAATCTAGGAAACAACAGTAAATTCATGATCTATTTCATTCCCTATTATATTTTAAATGCAAAATAAATTTCAGTATATTTCATATTAATATCACGAAGTTTATCACCAATAAATATGTGACACCTTTTCATGAGAGATAATTTTTATTCATACAATTTAAGGTGATGACTTCACTCACAAACAGTTCAAGTGAATATCAGGGTTACCCCTACAGAAATCCTATTGTGACTGAAGTACAAACGATTGACCAGGAGACAGCAACGAAATGGACGAACTTACCAAGAAGAGCCATTGCCGAAAGAACACGGGAGAATCTTAATAAAGTGAGTATAATATGAACAGAAATATTACAGAATCTATGGGTCTTTTTGAAGTTATTCTACAATTCTGAAGGTCCATGCTGCTAAACTAACTTTCTTAAATAGTTTTATAAGTATAAGAGACCTATTTCGTGGTAGTTTTGTTAGGTTAAGAAATAACTTCTAGGAATTTCACATAATACGACACTAAATGTGGATCTAAGACCTAAGAATCGCTTTTAATTTAAACATTTTATAGTGTCACAATTCTCAGAAAATTTAATCACTATCTCCTTTTCGGAATCCGTCAGAAATTCCACTGAGGATCACAGGTAGTTCCAGAAAAAAACAGTCTGTTTTATCTAACTATTAAGACAGAATATTAAATATTATATTTTTATTATTAATAAATCTAAACATGAATTGGATGTAGTGTAATTTCATTTTATGCTTATACTGAACCTTATAATTGTTTATTACACAAAAATTTCTCTTTAAATCCTCATAAATAGGTTTTAAATTTACTTTACAGAACACAAATTCGAGAAATCAACCAGCTATCAGACCGGATTCTTTGAAGTTAGCCCAGACAAATCAAAATCCATCAGAAATATATATAGATTTACCTATAGCTCAATCAAATGAACGAAATCAAAGCATTGGGAACTTAGAAGATAATTCAAGGTTTGTAGAAGTAAGTATTATTATTCGATTCAAACTTGCATCTTCTAAAAGTGCTGTATAAAGAAACTGAGCTATAGTCTTCTTCTACCTGGCAATTTCCCAGCTTTAGCCAAGGTCTGCCTTACATGTTGTGAATAGTTTTGACTACTGAGCTGTCCTGAGCTAGTGTTATACTAAAATCTGTATTTGTAGTAAATGATTTTACATTTAGACATCACATTATCTTGATTTAAATATATATCAAATTTATTGGATAATTTCAAGTATACCAGATATATACTCAGAAAATATTGATGCAAGAATTTAAAATTAACATCACTATTCAAGATTATTATAAGGGAATGTCACTATATTTCAGGAAACTATATTATACGATCCATTCGAAGATAGGAGAATAAATATCCAGAGACCAGAAAATCTGTCTATCCAGCAGAACACGCCAGAATCGCCGCTGTTTCACCCAGAAGCAAGACCTGGACCTGGATGTTCCAGGTCAGAGCTCAGTCAAGGTGAATTCTAACATCTAGATTTTAATGACTTATGATTAATAAGATACGAAGACCTGGAAATTATTGCTTAAATTTTATCAGCTTATTATTTTGGATTTCAAATATATGTATTAAAAAAACACTATTGTATTAAATTTAGCTGAGTGATGTAGTTTTTATCCAAATATATTTTCAAACAATAGTTATCTTATTTACATGAACTATTTCAGTTTTGAGACTAGAAACAAAATATATCATTTTCATAATGAAATATAACAAACTAGCTTTCCGCCCGCAGCTTCGCCCGCGTTGAGTTCGGTTATATCGCGTTTCCAAGAGAACCTTTCAAAAGTCTGGGATAAAAACTATCCTCTGTTCTTTCTCAAGGTCAACTCTATATCTGTACCAAATTTCATTAAAATCAGTTCAGTCGTCTAGGCGTAAAAACGTAACAGACAGACAGAGTTACTTTCGCATTTATAATATTAGTAAGGATAACCAGAGAAAATTAATTACGTTCAAATCGATTTAAATCAAAAATATTATTATATTAAGTAAAGAAAGTTAAACTTCTTGGATTTTGGAGATATAATTCATGAATTAATCTAAGGCATTCTTAGAGCATATGTGTCAAACTGTCTACCCTCATCTTGCGAGATACTTTATTAAGAATGATTGATTTTTTTGAAGTGAAATTAAAAACTTTCTCAATTAGAGCTTTAGTTTATGTTAGGGAAACTTTTGTTCAAGTTTTAGGGCAAACTTTGATGGTCCTTGATTTGAGATAAACGTGAAAGATATATAATTAAAATTAATGAAGGTTTGATTAAAATGTAATATCTTCTTCTAGTTGTAACTTCAAGGCCACAGATGATGTCCAAAGAGACTTTGGTGTATGGAGGACGAACGCCAGATGACTTCCCATTATCACCAATTCCAGTATCAGAATTCCCTGAACCACCACCCGCATACACAGAACGCTATACGCCTCAAGATACACCACCAAGAACTGTGGTGATTGTACCAGGTGAATAATCTTCTTCTTAGGGGGCATTCATAAATTAGGTGGGATTTTTTTCAATCCTCTCCCCCCATTCCTCAATCTCACGTGAGATTCTAATGGGGTATGGTGGCTTGACCCATCCTCCTTTCATCGTAAGATTTGACACGACCCTCTCCCCCTTTAAACATCCCATGTATTTTATGAACGCCCCCTACTGGTTTCCTTATAGATTTTGCCAATGTCATGTGCCGATATACTGAACTACGTAAAGATGGATTTGTGAATGAACAAGGTCGCGATTAAGGATTTAGAACTATGATACTACTGATGGTGAGTTGTTTAATATATGGGCTTCACTATTGCAAAGATGTGCACAGTATATTCTGCTAGAGTCATGTAGAATGGAGACACGATCCAGGGTTAACTTTTAAATGAAATAAAATTTAACAGCCTCGACTGTTGATACTGCTAAGATCGTTTACCGAAGGGTATCAATGATATTTCTGACTTAAGCAAACGACAATGGTACTTAGTTTTTTTAATTTTCATATCTGTACTATAATTAGAACCTTTTTAAGGCTTTCATGACCTCAATTAGAACTTCATTATCTATCCTTGAAATTAAAAAAATATATGTTATTTCTTAATTTTGTAACAACAATGGAATAACAATATATGTACTTTTTTTATTTTATTTCTAGTCAACAAAATCTGTCAGTCTGACAGCTGACACTGTCAATTTGACATAACTGGATACATAAATAATATATGGAAAGACCTTGTTATCTTTGCCTATTCAGACCCAAACTAATTTAACCAAAAAAACTATAAAAAGAATAAACATCCAAAGAGTTCTCTAATAATTAAAATGTCCTAGCTTTTTATAATAACAAATCACCATAACTAGTTTCCTTCTGTTATTAATTTATGTATAAATAAATTATATATTCCAGAGGTGAACCAGTATTGTTTATTCTGATTCAGTTTCATCTATCAAACGATTTATGTTCCAATAACATTAATTATTCATCTCTGGCAAAGACTTCAAGGTTTTTGGATCAATGCATAAATGCAATTCAGTGCTTTATTGATTCATTGCTATAAAAAATTAAACTATTCAATTCTATATAAATGGGGGTTATTTTAGTATTAAATGTTTAGTTAGAGATTTTTAAACTTACTTTTTGTAAATTTAGACTTTGTATCCACACCAAAACTTGTATGTACATATATATACATGTATAAAGTTCATATAGCATTTAATATATTCTATATGTTATGTTATGTTCATTTAAAATATTCTTCATAAAATACCTTTTTGCCTGGTACATTAATGTGGCCACAAAAAAATACTATATAGCAATCTGGCTCACGAGATAAAAAATTAAGAATATCACTTAACTTATTTTACAATATCACAGAGTCTTATGCAATATATTGGGTAAAATTGAAGGCTCATCAAAATTCTGTTCAATATAGAGACACTTATTCATATTAAAAGCTAAAACGACGCTGTATATTAAAATAAGATATTTTTTTGAAGACAACATGAGGCATCGCTTTAATATTTAAACGAGAATTTTACGGCATATTTGGCAATTAACTTTTAAGTCAAGTATTTGAATAATTTAAGATTGAAATACATTAAAAATTCATCTTGTTCGAAAGTTTAATCTCTGATATTTACACCAAAGAAATTGTAAATTTAATTAATTTTATACATTCACTAGTTTTCGGCCAGCAGCTTCGCCCGCGTGGAGTTCGGTTATATCGCGTTTCCAAGATAACCTTTCAAAAGTCTGGGATAAAAACTATCCTATGTTCTTTCTCAAGGTCAACTCTATGTCTGTACCAAATTTCATTAAAATCAGTTCAGTGGTTTAGGCGTGAAACCGTAACAGACAGACAGACAGAGTTACTTCGACATTTATCAGCTAATATGATTCTGCAAAAGAATATAGAATACTAAAATCTACTTCTGCTTGACCTGGAGCTAATTTTGCCATCTCATCTTTTCAGATCAACAGACTCCAGTGGGTATTGCCAGCAATGATAGAAAACTATTGTCTTGTGCTCATTGTGGACTTAGAGTGCATACATTAGCAGTTAGAGAGAATGGAGTCATCACTCATATGCTTGCTATTCTATTCTTCTTTATGTAAGTCTTAGTTTCTATATATAAGACTCTTCTAACTATTGTTCAATTATTTGGACAAGTATTTAGTGCGAAAATCTGTGGCTTTGAAATAGAATTCACTTATTATTCCAGCTTAATTTGTTTTTATAAAATTAAGCTATTTGGAACAAAAAAAAAAGATTATAAGCAAATTAATCTACGCTTCTAGCATGCAAATAATTCTTGATTTTAATGAAGATAACTAGAAAATTATATGGTTTTAATCAGATATATTTTTTCCCCAGATTCGCCCCACTGACGCTTCTGATATACTGCACAGATTTCTGTAAATACAGGAACCACTACTGCCCAAACTGCAATCAGCTAATCGGTTACGAAGTGCCAATATTATGCCAGGATATGGTCTATAATAAACCTGCCTAGATTTTGGTTATATATATATATATATTCTATATGATGAATGCAAAATATAAATAATGTAAGAGTATCATAAATAGTTATTTGTATGTTAATTCTATTGTAAATTATGACAATTTTAGTTTTATAATAGTCCTATTTTCTGTTTGACAAACCTATTAAGTTTTTAACATTTAATTTTAGACTAATTTTTGATATAATACAAATAAGTAATAAGGAATATGGAATTAGAAGACTAGTTGTATAAATATTTGTCAGAATATTTGCTTCCAGTAAAATATGAAGGTCATAAATACTAAAAAAATAAGATTATTTCTTTGATGTCATAAATATGAAAAGATTTGTTCGCTAAATTTAAGCAAAGCATATTATTATTTAAGTCTCGAAATAATACCATTATCTAAAAATAAATTTTCTATGTAGCCCTCAATTGAAACCTTTTTTATCCCATAGATTTTTTCCCAGGTTACTAATTAATACTTCACTTCTTAGGCATTCATGTCAATCTTGAGTCTAGAAAAGCAAAAATATAAAGTTTTTTTGGCTAATAATAAATTTTTAATGACCATTGTTTGTCTGTCTGTTTCCTTGGGGGAGGCCTATGTCCTGCAGTGGACGTCTTTTGGCTGATGATGATGATGACCATTGTTTAAGGATTTTTTTAATGTCAATATTGAAATTGTAATCAAATTTATATATTTTGATTAATGAGTCTCGTTAATGCTTCACATAAATAAATTGTGATGATTTTTCTTGTAATAATATTTATCTAGCGAGAATACTTAATAAAAAAATATATATAAAAAAAAAGACAATAAATAGAAGATATATTAACATTTTTATAAATTATTTTAATAAAATTTTCACTTTTAACAAGACATATATGTATATATGTTATTAGTTTTTGTAAGGAAAAATAAATTATTCTTTTATATATGTATGTATAAGTTTAATTTAATTATTATTATAGGTATTTTGTATTGTGAGGCAATAAGTTTTTTTTGTAAAATAATCTCCATTCGATAGAGACGCGATGGTTCAGGGGTTAGAGAGGCGGTAAGACAAAATAGCAGCTAGAATTTTTTTTATAAATTAAATATATAGAAAAATTCAAATAAAGCTTTTTATTGTAAATTTTTTTTCATTTAATTAATAAATTTATCAATTCAATATGTACTGTAAATAAAAAAAAATATATTTCATAATTTTATTTCAATAACGCTTTATAAATTACCAAAAAAAAAATATTCTATGCCATCAATAATAATATTATCAAAATATTACTTTGTCTGCCTTTATTGTAAAAGCTATTTTGAAAGCATTTTTCAAACTTTTATCGGAAAAAAACACGATAATTTTATTTCAACCCTATTTAAGGCCGCAAGAAAATAGATGCTTTTAGTATACAAGGACAATTTGTTAATTAAGTTAATGGATTTTTAATTATATATATTGTAGGGAAATCTGACAATTTTATACAATAACATAAAAATCAATACCGAGTCATATGTACATTAAGAGTATTTAGACATCACTGATTAATGCATTCCCAAAGAGGGTTGATGACAGGCAGGCGGCCGGTCATAACAACAATTAGTCAAAACTATTCACAACATGTAAGGCAGACCCTGGCTAAAGCTGGAAAATAGCCAGGAAGAAGCAGATAGTAAATGTTGAAAATAGAACGATTTTTTCGGATTTTTAACATTAGAAAACAGCATATGCTAAGTGTTACTACTTTTAGCAAATAGATATTGGTTCTAGGAATAAAATGTTGAAGAATTATTAACTATTACTTCAAATAGCCTGATCTAATACCTTTTTGGGACATTTACGATTAAGGATTGGCAAATCTTATTTTACTGGAAAATCTTTGGATTTACTTTAGTTAGAGCTTTTAGTTTTTTATATTCAAATATACGATACTTTTTTCCTATACTTTGTCTATAATCCAATGAAAGCATAATTAAAATCGGTTCAGCCAACCTATTCACATTATAACACAAAGAAAGATGAACAAGATTTTACAAATTTAACTTCTACAGTGATCTCTTGAGAAAACATTCTGTAAAATGGTAAACAGAATTATTTATATCATATATATAACGCCTATCCATTATTCCGTTTGTTTATACATGAGAAACATCCAAATATATGTGTTTATTTAAGTTTGATTTATTTGTTTCTATTGAACTGATATACAATCTTTGCCACGTGACTTCGTCCGCGTAGAATTCTTATTTATGCCAATATTTTCTTTGTACAAGATGTAGTTCTAAATTTTTCCACGGAATCTTAGCTAAAATATAGCTATGTTATTTTAAAGATTTAAAATACATGAACGAAAACACGTCTACTTCTGCAATTATGCCTTAAAATTTCCAGGTTAATTCTATCCAAAGTTATAGGAAGAATTATCAGGTTCTGGAACACCTAACATACTTTTTCTACTTAATTTAACTCACCTATTAAGTTTAATTGGTCCCCCAGTTTTCCTCACTTTAAGGGCGCTCTCCCAAAATTTCACCGCTTCTGGGAGTATAGTGTTCTGAAAGAGGATAATCATTTAAGATACAGCCGTTGAAATAAGCGAAATGACAAAAAGTCTAATAAATCTCCACAGATTTTAAATAATAATTGATAAAATGAATGTAGTTGACTTGGTCTTAACAGCAGTTTTAGCGAAAAAATAGACTAACTTAAAAACAAATAATTAACATTTATATGTAAAACTAAAATAGCTTAGCACTTATACTATAAAAAATATAAAAAGCTATCCAAATCTGTTCATCAGTTTTTGTTTCATTAAATAAAAAACACATTGTTTTAGATATATAGAGAGGAGCTTGTACAGTGGAGGTGAGCGTTTAACGTTAGATAGGGTCCCTTAAACCTACACCTGGGTCACAAGTCACAGTCACTGTTGAAGCTCCTCTCACTACAACGATGGATCCGACACACGCACCGTGAATACATGGAATGATGAGAGGATTTGTCTCTATTTAGTTAATATTTATATATCTCACAAAATCCTTAGAATGTGTGTCATTCTAAAACCTAGTAACTGTAGGTTCGTAAGTAAAGTGTGTATTTAATAAAAGTAACATACTTACGTTAATGACAACGAATTTTTCTGGTTCTAACCTGAAAAGAAAGATTTATAATGATTAAACATACTAAGGCTATCAAATACCAAATATGTTATAATTATCTTGTCATTTTTGAGTTTTTTTGTAGAAGATCATGCTTAGCTACTTTTAAAGGAGACAAAGCCAGCAAACATCGGTAAGCAAATTTCTGATAAACTTTCATTATGGTCTTAATAGCGTTGTTATTACAAAATATATTAAAAACATATTATTTTTCGTATTACTTTTAAAGAATTCTCTCATTATACATCAAAGTGGATGCAGCAAAAAGTAGTCCACCATTGTCGAAATTTTTCCATCTTGTATTTACAATTACGTTAATTAATATCGCCACAAAATAATATTATATTGTAGAAAAAATTTGGGGTTGAAAATAACCATTTGTGTATATATATACATTGAATTGAATAAGAACATTAAATTAACCTTATTTTAGTATTACCTTCATATTTTAACAAATATTGTTAATGAGTTATATTAATACTATTGAAACTTACAAACATCATGCTTACTATAAGTGTACATCGTCACTACATACTCCACGTTAACAGTATTTCATTCGTAACTTCTCATAGTATTAACGTATTAATGAGAAACGGGAAACTATTAGTATGTAGTGTATACAAACTTGTGTTAAGCATACATATTATTTTTTTATTTATATCTTTCTTAGAACCTTCTTAATAACTTCACACACTTGTAGTAAGTTTCAACTGGTGTTATAAAGTAAAATAATTCACGCACGATCATAGTTTTCGTAATTCTAATTACATTTAACATGACAGTCACGTTGTTAAACTCAAACTGAATAGTAATATGTGTTATAAGGCTGTTGATTTCTTATATATGTTACATAATACTTATATATATATATATATATATATATATATATATATATATATATACTAGCTGACCCGGCAAACATAATTTTGCCATATAATAAATAGGAGTTGATGATAAAGAAGTATAAATTTTAGGATGTATGTATTTTAATGCTACGTTATAAAAAAATAAAAACAAAAAATTTCGTCCGAAAAAAAAAGAGAGTGAACAACCCTTATGACTTAGGGGTATGAGAAATAGATGTTGGCCGATTCTCGGAGCTACTCAATATGCTCACGAAATTTCATTAAAATCGGTAAAGCCGTTTCGGAGGAGTTCTCTATCTAACACCGCGACACGAGAATTTTATACGTAGATATATCGCTTTCCGCGCTTTCAGCACCAATGATGAACGCAATGTAACAATAACTTGTGGCTCTCATCAATTATATTATTATAAAATTTAAAACAAAATTATACTGTTAAAGGAAATAGAAATATGTTTGTACCCTAATTCTAACCTCCGACAGAAATGGCAGACAAAAATGCCCACTAATATCATAAATGCGAAAGTAACTCTGTCTGTCTGTCTGTTACGCTTTCACGCCTAAACCACTGAACTGATTTTAATGAAATTTGGTACAGACATAGAGTTGACCTTGAGAAAGAACATAAGATAGTTTTTATCCCAGACTTTTGAAAGGTTCTCTTGGAAACGCGATATAACCGAACTCCACGCGGGCGAAGCTGCGGGCAAAGCTAGTTAGTAAAAAAAGCTATAAAACACAAATATGTATTATGACGTTCTGCTCTTTAATTTAACTTTCATTACAACATTTTACATACAAAAGAAATAACAAATATTTAAACTTATGAGATCTAAGACTTTACTAGTATTCATTTAAATGAAACTAATATTTCATATAACATTTGCTGAAAAGTAACCGAAATATTTTGAGTATGTAGTCTTTATAATAATAATATACGCGTATTAGTAGTAATCCAAAAAATATTAGTTTCATTTTGAAATCCTTATCGATCATTTAAGAGATTCATTTAGGAGAAAAATATATAACTCACCTATATACAGAGTGGTCATAAAATATGCTTATCCTTAAAGGTTGGTCAATGCTACGCTTCTTAACAATATGTGCTGGCTCGATGTGGACCCCGCGTACAACCTGGAAACAATATATGTATTATAAACTTTGATATATTAATATTTGAGCTGGATGAGATAAGAAAAGTATAGCTTTTTACTTAAATATAAATATTTATACAAATCAGTTGCGTACATATAGAATAATTAAAATATGTATCGGCGCTACCAGCTTTAATAACGGATGCGACATGAAAATCAATAATTATTATTAAAACTCATTAGTATTCATGATTATTGTTAAAAGTAAATCGAAATCAAAGATTGTTTAAAAGGAGATTAGACTATGATTATATCTTGGTATAAATATGACGTCTGGACGCACGACGGCAGAGTTCAGTGAGTGCGTATCATTGAAGTATGTGATTATGAAGAACCTTCAAGAAATACAGGAACATTAAGAACAATTGAAGTTTCATTATAAAATATCATGGAACGTACTGAAAGAAGTGACATTAGTAACGTCGGCGAGGCTGGTATCCCTCTCTTTAAAAACAACGAATTTGTAATAAATCCGATTTTTATATTTAATGTTGTAAAACTAATTACTTTACGATTTATGTATTTTTGAATTTTACATCCGTGCCCAAACCTTCTCCATTTGAGAAGAGGCAGCTCAGCAGTGGGCTCTGAAAGACTGATGATGATGATTATGTTCTTGCATCCAGAGTTATATATAGAAAATTAAGAGATCGTTGTCAGTAGATGACAAATAATAAGACCAACTGATAGACACTTATATCTCGTCTCGTGAATAAGGTAAGGGGTAAAAAAACGTATTTATTAATGTAGTATAGTATAGAAGAAGAATAATGTAGTATAATAAAATCATGTAGTTTTAAAAAAGGTACCTAGTTCCATTGTTATATACGCAAAGGAAAAATCCTTCGCATAAGAATCTTGCGTCAGTCATAATCGTTGAAAATAGTAACAGTAAACAATTATATATTGAAAATAATAATTCAGTCATACAATAATATAAATGAATAATTTTTAATATATTATATACATAATACAATACAACAATTGAAAACAGGATGATCCATTTCTTGGTAGACATCTCTTTAGTTTATCCTTTACGGGAAAATATATAGTGTAGGCAATAAATACAAAGAAATACATTATTTTTAGCCTATCAGAGCCCACTGCTGAGCTGCCTCTTTCTCACACGGAGAAGGTTTGAGCATTAATTATCACGCTCAAGACGGGTTGGTGATTTCAAACTTATAATTTTATATAAGTCCAGGTTTCCTCACGATGTTTTCCTTCATCAGTCAGTGATGTCTAAATACTCTTATAAAGTACATATGACATGAAAAATCACATTGGTACTTGCCAGGGCAAGGATTGAACCCGCGCCTTCATGCATGAGAGGCGGGCCTTTTAACCACTAGGACCCTGACTCAAACTAACTACCAAGTATCTCCTTATTTTAAAGTTGGTTAAATTTTCAAAGCTCATGAGATCACCAGGAAAATATCATGTTCCATAAACATAAAGATACCCTCAATTGAGATAAATGAACACGCGATTCAAGAATGTCCTTAGCACGAGTGACGAGTGTCCTTTGTTAAACGTCATACCGACAGTTTATGTGTGTATCGACGACAGATAGTAGGAGATAAGTAAAGAGATTGAAATGTTGAGTTTTTGTATGATATATATACTAGTTCTTGTTAGCGACTTTGTCAGCGTTAGTTTCAGAATAAGAAATGTATATATCTGTCCGGTCGAACTCTATTCCTCCTTAAAGACAGTAGAAAGATTGTGTATTTGATCAACTTATTTCTTTTTCAATCGCATGTAAAGTATCCTATGTCCTTTCTATGTTCTAATCTATCTCTCCACCAATCTTCATCCGAACCCGTACAGCCGTTAGAGTTATAAATAGTGTAACTAACACGACTTTCTTTTATATATAAAGACATACTTTTTTCAAATCAGTAAAAGCTCTATGACAAAACGAGACCCCTTTTGTCAATCACTTCACCAATATAGAGTTTTCAAACGAGCGTTTTAAACGTCCGTATACATAAAAACGCCCGTAATAAACGCTCGTTTCAAATATATAATTTTTATCTATTTATATGGAAAATAATAATAAAATATACGGAAACAAAACTCAAGAACTTCGCAAGGAACTGATATGATTGATTAATTACTGCATTTAACCGACTGCAGAAAGGTGGTTCTGTATTTTATCAATCCATTTGCAAATCTCGAAAATTTCTTATTTCTTTTTGATGGGGTTTTCATAAATGAGAAATCATTTTTAACAGGCAAAGATAATATGTTGAAATTAAATAAAGATAATTTTAAATTCGAAAAAAGCTACTATTTGTATTTAAAGACGTATTTTTGATTGAAAACTATTAAACTGTAAGTGCAGAAGTTAGCGATGTTAACACATACTAAGGCTAGAATAAATACGCAATACTATGATAAAGTTTACAATAAACATATATGTATAAAGGCAAATCCATGTGCAAGTACATATGCGTGATATGCTTTCACAACAAAAAAATTTTGTCAATACATGCTTAAACTATTTCTACAATGAATATCATATATATATATATATATACAATATAATACTACTACTACTACTTATATAATAGAGATATATATACTATATTATTCATATACATATATTTCTGAATCATTTGCGAGGTACTAACAAAGACTAGAATGTTGGACTTATAAAAAACATTGATTGCACAAATTAATATAACATATAGTATATTACGAACTTTGAACTCATAGTATGCACAACATATATGTATATGTATATGTGTATATACAAGTAATATCTCCATAATTCTTACGAGGCCATAAAACATGAAATAAAATGCTCTGTTCCACACTGTTGTATATAATAACATTTTTCTGTGAGTATTTTACAAGCCAGATGCTAAGAAATATATTTATATTGGTATGTGAATTGATTATTCTGAACTAAAATTAGAAAGCGTATATAATAATATATGTTTGAACTTCTTCTTCTACCTGGCAATTTCCCAGCTTCAGCCAGGATCTGCCTTACATGTTGTGAATAGTTTTGGTTAATTGTTTTTACGACCCGCCTGCCTAACATCAACCCTCTTTGGGTTTGTGCTCAAAGTACATAATTTTATAGTAATTTTTATTGCTAAAGTATTTTATAATTATATTTGTCGTTCTCCTTTTACGAAGCTCAACGGTTTTGATGAAAATTTTGCTGATAATTGAGTTTCAAGTGCCATTAAGACATAGTTATTTACAAAAGAAATACTTCAACGCCAAAATGTAGTATTTATCGAATATTCTTATGAATATCTCATTGTAATAATTTTTTTTATCTTCATTCACTAACACCTGCAAGACCTAGAAGCTAAAAAACCAGTTGGAAAACTGCTATTGTTAATAAACTTCTGCAACCCAAGGTCATATTAGTATATGCCAATAATATGTGATGAAAATCAATTTCCAGGTGAAGTCAGGGGCGAAGTTATACTCAAAATAGATCTGGATGAGAGCACGGACAAACAAACAACAGCCAACAATTTGTATATAACATATATCAACGCAACGGATTTGCAAAATGGTAAGCTACATATATAAGAAAGTCATGTTAGTTACACTATATATAACTCTAAACTGGTGAAGATATAGATTAGAACATAGAAAGGACATAGGTTACTTTTCATTCTAATCCACCTAAAAAGCTTAAACAAATAACTTAATAGAACCAGAATATGCATTTATTTCCTTTACAGAGACAGAGCTTGCACGGTCATTTACATATTTCTAATTCTAAAATTCACATGGACGAAGACGTGGGCAAATACTAGTATAGATTATATAAAATATAAGTGAATGTTAATTAAAAAATGCTGCAGTTTTAAATAAATGTTTTACCTTAAAATCAACAAAAATATTTCAAAGAATGGTTTAAATGAAAGAAAAACATTACCAGAAATTTTTCTAGTAGTCTTTGTAGTTATTTTTTACTTATTTTATTTACTTATACAGAATAAACAGAAAATATATCTTCAAAGAAATCATACGATATTTATTATACAAATAAATGAATAAAATTATTGATAGTTCTACAATTATTAAAAAATGTCTTATGCCTAAAAAAATATTGTTTTTTTAGCTTGCTTTAGATACTAAACTTTGTATAATGCAATTTGAAATTAATTCCTTAAAAACACATTCCCAGGTAATACATCAATGAACTTGGACATGAAGAACAATATGTTCGGTCATCAATTGTTTAAGAGGAATCCTGACAGTCCTATGTACGTGCCACTCGACATAAGAGAAAAGATAGGTATACCAAGAGAAAGAAATTTAAATCCACCATTAGTGCAAACGAAGGGAGATAGCGCAAAAATAATGAAGAGTCTTGATGATTTCACTATGAGGAAGAGAAGAACATTTCTATCTACACCAAAATTCGATTTCCCATTCACAGATTTAAACAGCAAATACCAAGAATTTTCGTATGAGCACTATCTAAGACGAAATAACCCAGTAGAAGATGGTATAGCTGAAAGAGACCATAGAATATTCGAAGTATTAACCAAACAGAATAATTTAATTGAGAGAATCGCCAACAGTCTTCTTTTAAGAGAAGAAAAGAAGAAAAAAATTGCTAGAACATACTTCGATGATATTCTAGAATCGGTTGAGAAACGACAGTCTTCGGTGAACGCTAAAAAGACTAAGCCATCAACAACAACAAAAAAACAAAAGACTGTTGTCGATGTTGTTGATGAGACGGAAATCAGGAAGGCTTTGAAAGCTGATCCATTTGTGAGTAGAATATTACGTCTGGCTGGACAGAAGAAACAGGAGTATGAGGGTCAGAAGGATCAAGCTGATGGGTATCTAATGTGACTTTGAAAGCTAATAACATTCTGATATGTAAAATATTTATTTATTGTGTAGCAGTGCTATGTATATATATAAAAATGAATTGCTGTTCCTTGGTCTCACTAAAACTCGAGAACAGCTGAACGGATTTATCTTATCATAGTCTTGAAATGTTCGTGGAGGTTCAGGGAAGGTTTAAAAGCTGAATTTTTTTTTATTAATTTCCGGGAAAACCCTAAAAACAGCGCTTTTTTATTTCCCATACAAACGGTTTTTTGACATTAGATTTGACAACTAAGTAATATGTCAATCATTTTGTCGCACTTCAGAACACGGAGATTTATGGCTTAAAGGTAAACACGAAAAAAATAAATGAGACATAATTTATTTCTTGATTGAGGCAGTACTAAGTCTGCCGGGTCAGCTAGTAATATATAATTTTCTATTATTATATTTCTGTTTGTATATAAATATATCTTTTTCCTTCTCTGCTTTTATTGTAGTTACACCACATTTCTTTTCACATTTCTTCTATCAAAAGGGTTTTGGTAGAGATCTCTTTTAAGAGTTAATTTTCTTTTATGCATCACATTTACTTTATAATAATGTAACCACTACTTTTGGTATATTAATAAATAAGATTCATCACAAAAGATTTTCAATGTTTTTTTGTCTGTCAGTAACAAATGTGTTATTATAATTACAATTTTAACAACAATAAAAAAGAACAAAAAATACTTAATAATTTACTCGCTGAGGTTACGAAACAAAAAAATTAAGGAAAATAAAACTCAGTAATTCTTAAAAGATTTTTAGTAAAAAACGTATAAGGTCTCTTAAACCTACACCTGGGTCGCAAGTCCCAGTCACTGTTGAAGCTCCTCTCACTACAACGATGGACCCGACACACGCACCGTGAATACATGGAATGATGAGGTTTCCTCTCTTAATATACTTATCTTATTAATTATTGAACTAAAAAAATTTGGCTAAAAAGATCCTTTTTTATCTTTAACTCAAAAAATTACTCTTTAAAAATCGATATTTAAATACTTTTCTTTGATAGAAGATTATAAAAATATAAAAAGAAAACTCAGTTCTACTGACTGCAGTTGAGAAGATTGAAAATATTATTAAAGAATCTCTTTTATTTGAACAAATATAAGTATAGTGTTCCATATAACAAAAATATTAAATAAAATACTATTTCAATGAATTCAAGAGAAACAAACTCGAGTCTATTTCCTGAGAATTACCTATTTATACGGAATCTAACTATATACATCATACCAATGTGATGTTCCGAGTCATATGTACTTTATAAGAGTATTTAGACACCACTGACTGATGAAGGAAAACATCGTGAGGAAACATGGACTTATAATCAAATTATAAGTTTGAAATCACCAACCCGTCTTGAGCGAGCGTGGTGATTAATACTCAAACCTTCTCCATGTGAGAAGAGGCTCAGCAGTGGGCTCTGATAGGCTGATGATGATACATACATAGCTCTGAGCGACTCTGATGTTCACGAGGACGGAGTCGCGAGCTAAAACTAGTATATACAAATCCCTACTAATATTATAAATGCGAAAGTAACTCTGTCTGTCTATCTGTCTGTTACGCTTTCACGCATAAACCACTGGACTGATTTTAATGAAATTTGGTACAGACATAGAGTTGACCTTGAGAAAGAACATAGGATAGTTTTTATCCCACACTTTTGAAAGGTTCTCTTGGTAACGCGATATAACCGAACTCCAAGCGGGCGAAGCTGCGGGCGGAAAGCTAGTATATATATTGTGAACTTGATACATTTCCCACGCTTATTTCTAACGTTTACCACATATCCGGCAAATGTTTTGTGAAAATCAAGAAATTGTTACTTATTGACGAAACAGAGTCGAATGGTTTTACCCGATTACGCATAGAGAGGTTCTGAATTGTGTAGTAAATAACTATGAGAAATTAATTACATTCTAAGTATATTGAAGGATTACCTATTTGTATATTAAGACGGTATATGTATTTATTATATATCTTCTTCTACCTGGCAATATCCCAGCTATAGCCAGGGTCTGCCTTACATGTTGTGAATAGTTTTGGCTAATTGTTTTTACGACCGGCCGCCTGCCTGACATCAACGATCTTTGGGAATGCATTAATCAGTGATGTCTAAATACTCTTATAAACTACATATGACTCGGAAAAATCACATTGGTACTTGCCAGGATCAAACCCGCGCCCTCGTGAATGAGAGGCGGGCCTTTTAACCACTAGGACACCACTGACTTATGTATATATTATATATGTAATTTTTATTATTATGTAACAATATATATATATATATATATATATATATATATATATATATATATATATATATATATATATATATATATATATATATATATATTAAATAAATTAAGAAAACAGATTTGTATAAAAACATATAAATAAATATTACTTAATAATCATCTTCAATTTATAGTCCAAGGCTGAACAAAGGCCTCTTCTCTCATGGAGAAGGTTAGAGCATTAATCACCACGCTTGCTCAAGTCAGGTTGGTAATTTCAAACTTATAATTTGATATAAGTCCATGTTTCTTCACGATGTTTTCCTTCATCAGTCAGTGATGTCTAAATACTCTTATAAAGTACATATGACTCGGAACATCACATTGGTACTTGCCAGGTTTCGAACCAACCCTCATGCATGAGAGGCTGACCTTTTACATAATTATAGTTATTTATTATTGATAGGTATTAAGGACTGTATCGTACAAGTCCAGGGTCGGTTCAGAACTGCTGGTGATACACCAGCTTCGTGAAAGAACATCCATCAGTACAACTGGATTGAAATAATATTAATGGCTATAACTTCAACAATCAAATATTCCTTCAGCTTTTTATATTGATTTTGATAACAAAACAAAATCTCAGCTAATATGCGCTAAATATTATAACAAATGAACATCGCCGGGGCAACATCGTTGTATGTATAATATATAACTCTTGACGCCGCTGACTCCGCGGAACGAACACCAAGCGTGTGAACCAGAAGATTCCTGATACACACAAGCTATGGAATGGTATTGCTATCATAACATCGGGTCAATCATGTAGTCTTAGGTGTAGGTTATAAGTTTTAATATGTAGTTCTTATTATAATATACATATAACTAAGTTTCGTAGTTTCCCTGGAACCTCCTGTTCCACTCTATACAATTTCTAACTTTCAAACAGTCGGTAATAAAAGAACTTATAGTAAGAGAAGCTATGTGTTTGAATATAATTATGTATATATGTGTAATCAAATGATTTATATATATATATATATATATATATGTTCAAGGTTTGTATAACCTACTAAACTAATATCTTTATATATAAAAGAAATTCGTGTTAGTTACACTATTTATAACTCTAACGGCTGTACGGGTTTGAATGAAGATTGGTGGAGAGATAGATTAGAACATAGAAAGGGCATAGGATATTTAATTCTGTTCGATCGAAACAGAAAATAAACTTAATATATTCCAATACCGAGTTATTTAAGACGGAATAGAGTGCGCCCGGTCAGCTATACATATATTACTAATGACGAAATTAACGCGGACGAAGTCGCGGGCAAAGACTAGTATATATATAATTATTTATCTGACACAATTTCATAGCGACTTGCAATTGAACTTTGACCTAAACAATGACAATGGGTTACGTAAATGCCAGGGTGTGATGATTTGAAGTAAACCTTAGCAGCATCTTGGAGATATTAATCCATCAAGATTGGAAACTTCATATGTGGTAGAGCCTAGCTGTGGTCAGTTACTACAGCTCGAACATGTTCTGTCTCGACCGTAAGTACCACCCTCTCACAGAAGATCGGCGTCAAGTAGTCTTTAATGGATGCGTTTCGTCTGATGAGTGAGAGACACGGTTGTCCTTTATTCCCACCCCTCCCTTTTCCTCAAAACCTAAGGTTGGCAACGCATGGATAATAGTCACTACTGCCCATCAAGTAGGCCGTCTGCTAGTTTGCCACCTTTCACATAAAAAAATAACTTATTCTTCTATTTCCTATAACGCAACATAGGTAAAAAATTCTAAATCCAAGGTGCAGTCACATTGACCTTCGACCTCCGTATTTAAATCGGGAGCTTCATGTGAAACGTGTTATGTAAATCGACCTTTGAACTTTGACATCGTTGTTAAACATTTGACTCTGAAGAAATAATTCTCGTCTTGATTTTGTTGTCACAAAATTTTGTTTAGGAGTTTCGTTGGAATAGGAAGACTTATAAACTAAATATATATTTTCAATAGCACACAAGACTTATACAGAGAGGAAACCTCTCATCATTCCATGTATTCACGGTGCGTGTGTCGGGTCCATCGTTGTAGTGAGAGGAGCTTCAACAGTGACTGGTACTTGTGAACCAGGTGTAGGTTTAAGGGACCATATCTAACGTTAAACGATCACCTCCACCGTACAAGCTCCTCTCCCTGTATGGGATTCTTAATAATGAAAACATTTTGTACGTATGTATGTCTGACAAAAAAATCTCATAAACTAATTAGTTAAATAATCCATTAAGACCTGTTTGAGTTTTTGTTTACTTCTGTAGTTAAACGCGTACATATATATATATATATATATATATTAAAACATAACCAATATCATAGTGATTTTTAATACATTCGTGAGTGAATGAATCTGAATGAGATTGAAAAGAATGATTATATGAATGAGTGAATGGAGTAATTTATTAAATGTATTTAACCAATTGAACCAAAATTAATGTAATAAATGAATGTATTAAGTGATGAAATTATAAAACGAATGATATTGAATGAGTGAACGATCATTATTATATACAAGGTTACATTTATAGGACGACGAACGTTCTCAGAAGTATTTGGTCTTCAATAAACATATATTCGTGATTTGTACTCACGAAACTAAGATGAGATTAACAGTAGTAGTGTAATTATATATGTATATACATATATCTGTGTGTGTG